ATGGCCGTGGTCACGCCAAGAGTTTTCAAAGAGGAGCCTAGCTATTGGACTTTGGAAGATGCCTGGGAAGAGAATGCTATCAATACAAGAAGAGGCCATACTGCAAGAAGTCTAGCTCCGTAGAATACTTAAGAAGAGATCATACTGCACGAAGGGGAAGAAAGTAAAGAGAGAGGGCGACATGAGAGGACAAGGGAGAACACCCACCATGTCTCCGCTTTGGAGCTTCCTTCTCCACCTCTTCCTCGTCGCAGCAACGGCAACGGAACCGGCGGAGGCCGCCGCCGGAGCACTACCGGGATGCCCGGACCGATGCGGCAATATCACCGTCCCCTACCCGTTCGGCATCGCAACGGGCTGCTACAGACGGGGGTTCAGGATGGCATGCAACAGCTCCTACAGCCCGCCAAAGCTTTTCCTCAGCAAAAACATGGCGGTGTCGGAGATAAGGGACGCCGACCTCGTGGTGGAGGCTCCCATAGCTAGGAACTGTTACAAGCCTTTCAATCTCGGCCCGGATGTGGAGCTGACCACCGTCGACGTTACCGGGACGCCCTACACCTTGTCCTATAGCCGGAACAAGTTCACCGCCCTCGGCTGTGACACTGTCGCACTCAACTTCCAGGGGGGGAACATGTTCGACTTCAGCAGTGGATGTGTGTCCTTCTGCATCGACCCTTCCAGCATCAACAACGGGACCTGCGATGGCATCGGGTGCTGCCAGACCTCTATACCTAGAGGGCTCCAGCAGCTGAGCACCATATTGCGTAGTCTGAGTAACCACACGGGCACTTTCAACTTCAGCCCCTGCAGCTATGCCTTCCTGGTGGAACAGGACAGCTTTGCCTTCCAATTGACGGATCTGTACAGCTTCGCGCGGAAGAGCACGGTCCCCGTGGTGCTCGACTGGGCCATCGGAAGCCAGCCATGCGATGTGGCGGCGCAGTCCTGGAACTACGCCTGTGGCCCCAACAGCTACTGCTTCAACGCCACCAACGGCGGCGGCTACGGCTGCCGCTGTAACAGTGGTTATCAGGGGAACCCCTATCTCCCGAATGGGTGTCAAGGTAGACGACCAAAGAACAGAGGGCACTCTGGGGCAGGGGAATGGTGGAATCAATACCGAGCCACTTGATTCTATTTTCTCTACATTTCCCGCAGATATCGACGAGTGCGCGGATCCCTCCACCAACACCTGCTCGCATATCTGCACAAATTACCCAGGCGATTACGCCTGCTCTTGCCCCAGAGGAACCACGGGCGACGGCAGGAAGCTAGGGACAGGGTGCATCGACTCCAGGAAGTTGCCTCTGGTTCAGATTGTTCTCGGTTAGCACCTCGCAAGTCGACGTCGGTGACAACAGACTTGATTTTCGAACCGTAATCGTGATCCTGAACTTCTTCCTGACCATGATGCAGGTGTCGGCCTAGGCTCCGCGTTCTTAATCGCGATCTCTTCATGGGGATACTGGGCACTCAAGAAGAGGAGAATGATCCTACTGAGAGAGAACTTCTTCAAACAAAACGGGGGGCTGATGCTGCAGCAGCGGATCTCTTCCCTTGGAAGTGCAGGCGAGAGAGCAAGGATCTTCAGCGCTGAGGAGTTGGAGAGGGCCACTGACAACTACAGCGAGAGCCGGATCCTGGGGAAGGGAGGCTACGGCACTGTTTACAAAGGGATCCTCCCGGACAAGAAAGTGGTTGCCATTAAGAAGTCCAAGGTAGTGGACGAGACCCAGGTGGAGCAGTTCATCAACGAGGTGGTCGTCCTCTCCGAGGTCATCCACCGGAACGTCGTCAAGATCCTGGGCTGCTGCTTGGAGACGCAGGTCCCTCTTCTGGTCTACGAATACGTCCCCAACGGCACCCTCACCCACCACCTCCACGGAGACGATCACGTCTCCACCGTCTCCTGGGAGATCCGCCTGCGGATCGCAGCGGAGACTGCTGGTGCTCTCGCCTACCTCCATTCTGCGACGACTTGGCCTATCGTCCACCGCGATGTGAAGACGGCCAACATTCTCCTCGACGACGACTACACCGCCAAAGTGTCGGACTTCGGGGCGTCCAGGTTGATCCCTCTGCGGAGGGGCCAGGTCACCACCTTGGTGCAGGGGACGATGGGGTACCTGGACCCGGAGTACTTCCAGACGGGGTTGCTGACGGAGAAGAGCGACGTGTACAGCTTCGGGGTGGTCCTGGCGGAGCTCCTCACAGGGCAGAAGCCGCTGTCTCAGACGAGGCCCGAGGAAGAGCAGAACCTGGCCATTTATTTCCTCCACGCAGTGAGACGCAAGCAGTTGCTCAACATACTGGAGCCTCGCATCCGCAAGGAGGCAAGCGAGGAGCAGCTGGAAATGGTGGCGAGGGTGACAGAGAGGTGCCTGAGCTTAAGGGGAGAGGAGCGTCCGACCATGAAGGAAGTGGCGGTGGAGCTGGAGCGCCTGCGGTTGCCCCCGTCGCACCCTTGGGCCCCACCGACTCCGGACCGTTCAGCGTCCGCTTCACGCGCGTCGGCGAGAGGCGGCATCTCGGAGGATGAGAACTTACTTAGGGAAGACTATTCGACGGCCTACTGTACCGCATAGATTGTCTGAAAAGCACAGTATCGTCGTTTCATCGTCTAATGTCCCATGGTGATTGAAGTCATTCAAGAACATCGTTCATCCATGCATCGTGCTTCTAATGCAATCTTCTCCGGCTTATTTCTGTTTATTTTGATATTTTCGGTCAAATAACGTTATCGAAGTTCCGAAAGTCAACGCGAACAGGGCAGCACGAAGGGGATGCTGGATACTGTGGCTAGCCTGAGCAGTGGGAGTAAACCGTACGAGTTGTACGAAATTATAAAAATCGATTTACCTAAATAACAGAGTGGATCTCAACCATCGTGAAAGCGACGTCCTGCCAGTCCGTTGTCCCGATTTGTGAAAAGTCCAACGCTCTTGCCAGCTGATAGCGATTAGTCAATTAGAAACTTTCAAAATAATACTGTTATAAGAGTTTGACTGTTTGCTCGTCCAGACAACCATCTTTTTTTCAGACATTTTTTAAATATAGCTAAAATTATTCTTCTGAAGGTCATTGCCTAATTTAGGCCCTTTCACCTCCGATCAATCGTTACTTCTATAATGGGGATTCTCATTTAGACGTAAGTGGATATGATCATGATCACATTGCAAGGCATCAATTAACTGTGCCGACTATACATTGCAATGCAATATATTTATTTTACAAATTTCATCCTTTAGAAAATAGACGAGACCCATGCGATTGAATTATTTTTAGAAATCTGATGGGGCGAGTTCCACTCAAACTAGTCTTCACATGATATTTACCAATTTATTATGCCACACGCATCTGGTGATGCTGAACGGATCATCAGATGATGATGATGCCGCAAATCCATTGACAGATATTTTCCTTATCAAACCCAACACCCCACACCCCTTCCCTTGAATTGAGACGAAGACAAGCAGACCCAATTCATAACTAGAAAAAGATCTTAAAGTTGAATGATCTCAAACATTTTGAGTAGTCTCTCTCGGAGAAATGCAACCTGTTCTATCACCCCTAGAAATAAATAGAGAGAGAGATATATATATATATATATATATAGACATTTATATATCACCTAAAAATCAAGTACTTTCTAAAGATATGTATATTTTATCTAATAGAAAATTTTCCAGACACAGTTAAGTGGAGCCATCGTCACCTGCAAGAGAAGGTTCTCAGCCGCTGGTTTTCTCCTCCGTCCACAAACTGATGGAGTAATAATCTGCAGTTATAGATTAGCATTAGTAGACAGCGACGAGTATTTTGACGTGCAACTAATTTTCATACGAAATATTTTTTTTGCGTTAGAAAATATATAATTAGGAAAAATGTAATCTTTCTAAACCTAAAAGTTACAACTCAGATGTTGAAATTTATCATAAAAAACCAAAACAGTAATTTGGTCTTAAATATTATAAACTAACAAAATCAGTGATAAGTTCATTCCCTTTTTCAGTTGAACTTGTAGCTCTCTAAAAACTCTATCATATTCTTATTTCCTAGTCCCTAGGTTTAATAAGACCCAGCTAACGTGTAACTTACAGTGAAAATTACATAATCACCCTCATTATCGGCTATGTTTCTCTACCGTGAGCATACAAAAGTGAAGAAAGAGGGAGGCTGATAGGGGCAGATGGTGCTCATACTTTAATCGCGCAGAGGGAGGCAGGCACCTTATTCTTCGTGACGAACATCAGGAACGCAGCTGACGCTGAGTGAGTCGTCGTCGGCTTCTTATTCAGCCGTCGGAAGAACCCAAGCCTCTCACCCACCACATATGACGGCATCTCTCCTTTCCCTATCTTCGTTACCGTCCTTTGTAGGCCATCGCAACGAAGAAGCACAGCATTGAGAGAACAATTTAGAGTTCAGCGTAAATACATGGTAGTCAGCTCTGATTAGGTCGAGAGGTAAATTATAGATAGTATGGTAGTTTTCAGAGATTTAGGAGCACAACGAAAAACGAAGCAACCTTATGACTAATTCAGTTCATTATCGTGGAGGTAAAACCAAATAAAAATGTGATCAGTTTACATTGCCATGGACTAATCAAACAGTAGCAGACTTTCGGTAGTAGCAAAGTTTTACAACTCGGACAGAAAATTTTTAGTCCACCTGAGCGCTGAAATATCTACTTTATTGAGGCGGCAAGACAGAATCCCACCGTTCAACGGTTGACTTGTACCGGTTTTTGGAGTGGTCAACGGTCGTCTCCGTCGTAAAGCTGTGGACACGGCATAGAGAAAGCATTTATGATGTTCAGATTGAGTTTTGTGGATTCAAACCTTCCGACGGACGGTCAAATTATATGCGTCGATTACTCCGTCCATGACTTGCATACTGTCTTTCTCTATAAAAGGATCTCCAGTCTTCCCAGACCTATCACCACAAGTAGAAGCGAAGCCACCTTTTTTTTTTATCGTGAGGCGAGTTCTTTGTCCATGAAACTCACCGTGATCTTTCTCCACCTCTCTTCCCTCTTCCTCCTCGTCTCTTCGACGGACGGCGCCCCGGCAGTCCTCGACATCGAAGGGAACGAGGTAAGGCGGGGGATCACGTACTACGTCCTGCCCAATAATGGCACTGGCGGGGGACTCACAGCCAGTGGTCGCAACGCCACTTGTCCACTGTACGTGGGAAAGGCGAGCTCCGAGACGGACCCCGGTGTCGCCTTGATCTTCTTCCCCCTCGAGCAGAGCAGCGACGCCCTGTCGGAGGCATCGGACACGAACATCGCCTTCTCTTCCTCCCCCCTGTGCGCGCAGTCGATGGTGTGGAAGCTTCAGGGAGGCGTTAGCGAGGGCGCAAGCCGTGTTTATGTGGGGTTGGACGGCACCTTGGGGAACCCTGGCGTGGCGACGGTATCCAACTGGTTCAACGTAAGGAAGGCCGAGGAGGGAGGCTATAATCTCGTGTTCTGCCCAGGAGTGTGCGAGGTGTGCAGGGTCATCTGTGGCGACCTGGGCCTCTTCGTGGAGGACGGGAAGACCTGGCTTGGTCTCAGGGGATCCTCGTTCTCGGTCGTCTTCAAGAAGGTCTAGGAGGAGATCATCGTGCATAAGCTTGTGCAGACGAATGAATGAATTGACCAACTTTACTCTTGGGAATAATATCATGAAACTAAATATGAATGGCATGGTTGGATAGGTACTTATTTTGCATTTTATAATCTCTTGCCAGGCTGACGGAGGAGACCCATATGGTTAGGTTATAATCTTTAATTTATTTCAATCCATAAGAATCAGTACCAATGAAATTGTTAATTATCATACCAAGAATGTGATCCGCAGGCTAAATAATGTGGCCAGAGTTGTGCAGTTCTTTGGTCATCTTAACCTAATCTACTGTCTTTTTTGGGAAAGAGAGGGGTGATGACGCGGCCTTATGGAGGAGGAAACAAACAACCCAGGATATGATCCGTTGAAAGGTGATACATCATTCCACAAAAATGAAAAAAAATGCACATCTAACATAAGACAGTTAGGAAAAAAATTGACATTAGGATGGCATAAAAAATATATAAATATCATGTGGATACAAAGTCATAAGTTTTGACTTTCTAGTAAGCCTTCTTTTATCCCTCAAAAAATGCCTCCATAAATTCACTGAAATCAGCTTGTCAAATTTCTTGTGTTGGGTTAAGAGGGCCAAATAGAGAATGGAGAGGAGTGATTTTTTTTTTTTGCATGGCTAGAAATTTATGTGGGAAAAAAAAACCTTTTTTAACAAATAGGTGAGTGAACTCCTCAGTTGACTCATATTGGTAAAATGTATACCCCCAAATTTAGTAATGTTTTGTCTATCCAAGCTTACTTCATTCTGAACGGACCATACATCTTAGTTCAATCAACTTCCTATTAGTGCAACATTAGCTGGACACAATTTGATATACAACTCTAGTAGACCCTAGTGCACTTAGCCCTTACCTCTAGAATCATAACTCTTTGAGGCCAACTAGATTATCACCCAACTAACGCCTTTCTAGTGCTAGGACACCTTTTTTAAATGATCATTGGAAAAAAAATAAAGAAATAATAACAAGTTCATATGTTTGGTAATTTGCTATCACTATAGACCTCTTCATATGCGCCGTATTGTGCCTCCACCTCATTAGGATGGAACATCTAGCAGGCTTTATGATCAGAAATATCCTTATTTATTCTGTTTAATAATGGCAAAGCACAGTCCCCATCATTTGGATGAGAACTTAGGAAGTGAATAATGATAATACCTTCCGTGGCCTGGTTTCTTTGACGAGAGATTCATAACTAGGTCCGGAAAAAGGATATGCGCCACCTGGTCCAGCTCTGGGTTTGGTGAGGCATAGGCCAAAACCACACCATTTATACTCTCATTAGTATGCGTGTGTCTGCTGTATTGGTGGTTGAAGTAAGCAGCTGTTCAAAATGGACCACGATCAAGCCAGGTCTTAGCCAATTTCTCAGGTCTCCAGCCCCCAAGGGTTGACTTTTTAGACCATAAAAGCCAACTATTCAGGTGAGAACGTGAGTTGAATTAGTTCCATCTTCAAATGAAACAAGTCAAACCCTGTGATTGCGAAGTATGCACTATTACATTCGCTGCAGATTATATTTATTTCACCGAAAAAAATAAAATTATATAATATAAAATTCCTTTCCTTGATATGTAAGATCATGGACGAGTAGATGGAATCTTAGCTTCATTGTTGACAGAAGATTGTATCAGCATTGGCTGCCAAATGGCAAAAACATTGACTTCCTTTCTAGACCCTGTCGAAGACCGGAACTGACCCAGAGAGGGAGCAAATTTGTCTGGTCTTATGTCTCACGGAGTGCCCGATTAGGAAGCCCATTGACGTTCATGATACCATTTTTCAGACATTACGGCGGGAGAAAGAAAAAAAGGAAGGAAGAAAAAGACGGTGAAGACGAAGAAGAGCTTCGTTCGATCTTGAGAAGCTTACAAGCACCGATGATTCCCCGCAAAGAATTAAAACTTTGCGACGAACGGACCCCGGAGATCTGTTCGCGACTCCTGTAGGAACATAAGAAGATGATGAATCTGTCCCCGAAGACGTTCACTTCTTACGTTCGGGCTTAACCTATTCTCTCCTACTTTGTGAGAGGATCTCCGGTCTTGCCGAAGCCATTAATTACCAGGGACAAAGCAAACCCACCGCTGTCTCGCTTTTGCACCGCCCGTTCTGCCGTGAGGCTCAGGGTGGCCTTTCGCTTCTTCCACCGCCGCGGGGGCTCCTGCTTCGCGGCCTCTTCCTTCCATGAGAACGCGCAGACGATTGCATTCGCCGCATTACTTTGTGAAGTAGTAACCATCATGAGAACAAACGGTGCTATCCCATGCCTATGAAATACTAGTTTTAGTGAGAATCATTCAGGGGATGATCATTTCCCACCCTCCCAATTTTGGTCAGATGGTGGAGAAGACCCATTTAATTTCCCTACAGTATTTAGTTCATTTCATCCAACAGGAAGACATATCGATCAGATGTTCACTCGCATACCCATTCAGGAATCTGATCCGCGAACTAATGAATACAGCGACATCATCTCCTTCGGTTATCCACACAGAAAAACTGTAAAGCAGATGCTTATCTCTTCGATCTTGGGTTGAGATCTAGATACAGATATATCCACAGAAAGAGAGAGATAGAGAGAGAGAGAGAGAGAGAGAGAGAGAGAGAGAGAGAGAGAGAGAGGTTTGATGATGCAAGCCTTATCGAAGATCATCCAGGATATGACCATGTGAAGAGTATACATCATTCGACAGATTTTTCTCCATCTTCTATACAGGTTTCAACCAGGATTTTTTCCTTTAAAAAATAAAATAAAATGATAAGAATAGCATGCCCGGCATCACCTGGCAGACTGCCAGGAAAAGAATGGGTATTGAAAACAATCAATAATAGAATTGTGTGGGCCATCCATCTCCTCTGGTCCTTTCCCTAAGAACAGCCCTTGCAACAAGTGAGCACACAATCGTCCAAGAAGGAGGCCAGCTGGGAGGAGTAGAGATTTGGGTGACTGCGGAAATGGTCAACATGGGGAGAGGACACGAAGTCAAAGGCCCTGACTTCGTAACCAGCTTTCCTCTGGCCCTCGACAAAAGTTTCCACAGATTTTGCTGGAATAACCCTGTCAGAAGAGCTGTAGACATAAAGCTGTGGGCATTTCGGCTGCTTTGACGACAGCAGATCAAAGACGTCAGCGAGCCTCCTGTACAAGTCAGATAAGCAAGTAAGAACTACAGAAGCTTGTCCCCAAATTTAAGTGGTCAACTTCATTTGTATTACGACGCAACATGAGTTTTCCCACTTCAGTGTGATTGATGGTAATGAACTTTGTATGAGCATACGACTTTAGGCGCGAAGACCTTCTGATCCCAGGGTCAAACTCTCCTCAAACTAGTTGCTTACCTATTCACAGAAGGGAGGCTAAGAACCACCTCGAAGAACTTCTCCAAAACTCCCAATAAGGCCGTCTCGGCAACTGCAGGCGTGACATCTGGTGAAGCACTGTCAAATAACGTCTCCAAGCTTGAATTATTAATCTTCAGCACGTTTTTCGTAGCGATGCTGCGCTTTTTCAGAAATGCAGCAGAGAAACCCGACGCCCATACCTTTAAAAGAAAATTGAAGGTTTTTGAGTGAACAGGAAGATCACAAATGTTTTAAATCTACGCGGCAGACACCGTGGCCGATTGTAAGATGAAAACAAGAGGACGTAGATTCATATCAATAGGTTGAAATTGTAAATAGAAAAATCATATTTTATGGACAAACGGCCAGATTCACCCATAAATTGAGAAACCGATTTATCAGTACAACCACGTTTAAAACGTCAATGACAGAGGTAATTCAATATATTAGAGTGGGCTGAGAAATTTTGAAGAGCAGGATACGTGAAAAAACAGGCTGCCCAAATCGAAACCAGTTGTCAATTAGTGGAGTGGGTCAGCATATTTCGAAGCCAACAGCTTGACTTTATAGAATTATCCTGACATTCACTCTCACAGGCAAATCAAGCTTGTAAGGTTTTGATACCCATCAGTTCAAGTTTGCAGTATACAATCACAGTCATCTCCTCTAATACTCTGCAAAAAAAAAAGGGCTTCTCAACTAAAAATCAAAATAAAATGAATAAAACATCCCGTGTTTAACCTAAGATACTTAGTTCTTCTTTTGAACGTGAGACTATTCATGAATATATCCACTTAGAACAGTTATGAATGGATATGTCACTCTTTAGACTGTATTTTGCACAATAGCATCAAGATAGTCGCCAAAAAAATTATGTGATAATCAAAAACATTGAGAACATAGAGAAGGTGAACCTCCAAACATGTGGAGGCGTTCCCGAACACATACAAATGACAAATGTTTTCATGGCCTTTATATCAAAGATCGTTCTCAAAGCAGTCCCAGATACAGAGGCATGTGTATACCTGCGGGTCAGGAGCGGCAACGGGAGCTGAGTCCACAATGCAACCCATAATTCTTTCCATTAAAGATGGATCCTGTTTCTGAAAATTCTCCAGGATAACTCCATACCTGCAATTAGGGTCACCAGAATCTTAAGCACGATCAAAATCAGGTAAAAGGCAAGAAACGCTTGAAAAAATGGATTGCGTATGAGAATATTGTGAAGGGTAAAAGAATAAAGAGAAGGGATTCTCACATTATCCATCCCGTATTGCTGAAAGTGTGAAAAATTAAGTTTTTCTCACGCTCTTCTGTCAAAAAGTCCGTAAGATGATTTGCAAGTAAGCCAATCTCTTGTTCAGCTTTCCCTCCCACCTTGTAGTACCTCACAACGTCCGCCAGAGGAAGGGTAAAAGTAACCACATGAAACCCTTTCGAAGTGTACCAATCCGCATACCTCTTGAGGTGCTTCTGCTTTGCTCCCAGCCACCCAAGCAAAACCACCACCATCTGCGACTTGGCAACACTGCAATCCGGATTCCCTGATGACCCATAAGAGCTGGCCTTTGGGAGATGCCATCGGTACGTAACCTCCTCGGAGGACAGGAGATTTGAAGAAGCAACGTCGACTGATTGCGGAGAAATAGCCAGCTTGCTGTACTCGCGCAGGGTCGGTCCAACAGGCAGAGAAGCTAACGTTGTGGAGAAGGACGCGAAGTCGGTGATCCGATTCCCGGCCTCAGCAGCCGAATTCTGAGCCCTTGACGCAGCCGATATACCTGAGAAGGAAACCCTAGAGACCCATGACTCCTTCGGCGTTGTCGGAATTGAAGAGACTGCGGTGGTGGGTGCCTGTCCAATGAAATCGGTCTTTGGCGAGGCGAATCTATCAGACAGATCGGAGGACACGGCGGCGACGGCCACAGCGGCCGCTGCAGAAAGGGGCCGGTGGAGAGCACCGGAGAAGGAAGCCATTGTTGTTGGAACAGAGACGAATCCTTCTCCCAGGGTCATATATCCCCGACGGCAGAAAGACCCGTTTCAAGGAAGCCTCCTACGAAGCTCCTGACTGATCCCGAGCCTTTAATGGCCGACATATGGTCGGTCGACGAGCCGCCTCCACCTTATTAGAAGAGAAAAGGATACGATATGACGGCAGCGATTTAGGCTTCCCTTCTGCTTGTGAAATCCTCGCCTTTTCCGCTAGTAAATGAAAAGTACTTCCGAACGACCCGACTGGGAACGGCAGACGATGCGGACGCGTGAAACGTCGAACCTCTCCCACCAGAATGGTCAACGAAGGAAACGGCACATGTTTGACGGAAATTGGTCCCTTCTAGATCGATCTGGAAACAAGGAAAACGTGAATTAATTCCAGATCATGTCTACGTCCGTCCTAATGAAGGAATCGGACAATCAAGAAAATAGATGACGTGAAAAGGACTCCCATCGGCGTCGGACAAATCTGCGCACACGTCGAACTGACGTGGGCATCAGAAATCGGATAGGATCACTTTCCCCAATGGAACCGTGTGAACTCTTCATTGAGGAGCAGATTGAGGTAGGCTGACTGCCACAGTCCTAACAGTGGATGGAGAGACTCCTTCGAAAAGGAGATCTGCTCGCCACTGAGACTAGGAAGCGATTAGAGAGCGGGTGGGCGATCGTGGATGCGATCGGAGCGGGGGGCGGAAGAGCATTTCTGTTACGGGCGGCAAAGAAAAAAGAAATCTCCAACGTAATCGGAAAATTCTGAGACGAACGCAATCCCCAAACCTTCTGGAACTGCGAAACCCTAACCTCACATAGGAGGTTGGTGCAGGACCATCGGCAATGGAAACATCCACCATGAATCCTCACCCCCCTCCCCCATTACGGCAAACGAGACAGAAAATTCCAGATCCACAAATCAAATCCCCCTCGGTCACGACATCAAGATGGAATTCTAGGAAGATTCAGAAAGATAAATAAAAAGAATGCAGGCAGACGCGGGGGAGACCAGATGGAGAAGAGGACCCTCGACGAGTCCCGCCCTGGGAAGAACACCGCCACCAGTCGGGGGGCTCGATCCAGCTCCGCTTATCTCCCTGATCCTTGTCCTCCTCCCCCAAAAGATCGCCCCTCGGGGCAATCACCGGGGACGGAGACGACGAGAGAAGAATCCGAGCCTCCCCCTGCGGGGAAGAAAACCTTGCCACAGAGAGAAACAGTGAGGATGTATGAACGATTACTTTCCTCTAAAGGGGGTTTCGTACAATTTCACAGAAATATTATTTTATTAAAATATATATTTCCAGTTTATCCCTCGGAAATCTAATAAAGTACCGATTCAAATCATCTCTAAGCTTCCTAACCAAGTCACCACCGGCCCAATATGCGGGCCATCCGTGCTCGATATTGGACCCAATAGGGGCCCAGCAGATACTCATTTGGCCCGATAGAAATCTCGGCCCGGCCAGACCCGCGAGTAGAGCCCACATGGGTGCCCCTTGGCCATCCACGTGTCAACTCTCTACTCCCCACCAAATTCTATCTCGTGGTCGTAAAGGCCGGGGCCGGGTATATCGGGCCCGGAAATCGTTCCCGGGCTCGGCCCGAAATGTCTCCTCCGTCCTCCCCTTTCTCCTCCATGGCGCGGGCTTGGGCGTCGGACTGCGTCCGGCGGCGGAAAGATGGACCCTGGAAAGCTCTGCAACCTCGGAGCTTACTCAATCTCCTCACATGGCAGCCGCCCACAAATATCCTTCTCCGGAGTCTTGTTCCTCAAGTAATCACCAACCCGGCCACCCAATAAAGAAAATGAAGCCATGATCAAGAGTAAGGTCGACGCATCGTCGTCTTCCCGGAACCGGAGCCCCCGAGGAGATTCTTCACCGGTTCTCCTCCTCCTCCGCCGGCGCCGCAACTTTCTTCTTGAGGAGAGCCAAGGTTAAAGATCCTGGTCCGGAGCCGCCGGAAGGGCTGTCCCCCGGGAACCAGTCAAAAATATCCATTAATACTCATCAAGGTCTCCTTCGAAGCCAACCTGCTTCACGAGCTTTGGTTGGGATTCATCACACAGAGGTTAGAGATTGCAGAGGGATTGGGTCTTAGGAGCAGGCGATTCATCGGGGAAGAGATGGATCCGTTCGAGATTGATGGCATCGCTGAAGATCTTGCGCGTTTATTTGAACTCCTTGCATTAAAGGGAATCATGAACTACGAGAGGGAGGATGGGGTAATTATCCTGGAAGAAGAACGAGCCCTCGGAGTCGTAGCTCTGGCGAGATGGGAGGGATGACTTTCTCCGATCATGCGCTTCTGGATCACGGAGCTGGGGTGGGTGACGTATGACCAGATGAACCAGTAGAGTGATAGAGAGACAGATGGGAAACCCTAATCCACCTCCCTCCACTTCATATGATCATCCTTTCTGAGACCAACCCCGTCAATTCAGATTGCTCTTCCCTTCATCGGGGAGATTCACACGATTAACAACAAGACAAGGAGGTAGAAACGAGGGAGGAAATAAAAGACGATCCTGTCTGTAGAGAGAGAGGGAGAGAACGGGGGGGAGAGAGAAAGAGAGAGAGAGAGAGAGAGGGAGGGAGAGGGAGAGGGAGAGAGAGAGAGAGAGAGAGAGAGAGAGAGAGAGGAGAGAGAGAGAGAGAGAGGGAGGGAGGGAGAGAGGAATTGGAGGTGAGGGTGCGCTAGCTATCCATGGAACCTAATGCTTCCGATCGTGTGAGAAAGGAAACCCGAGTTTGAGTTTGATGGAAAGCACAGACAGCAGCGATCAACGGGGTTCTTCCTCCAGTCTCCCACCCGTTGTGGCGGCCGGAGCACCGGACAGAGATGCAAGGAAGTTTAGATGCCGCTGAGCAGTGGGCAAATGGTTCCCCGCCCTCGCCGCCGCCGACTCCCCGATCGGTTGCGCCACCGCAAATCTCCCCGCCATGGCCGGCTGCATCATCATCTCCGGCGTAGCAAAGCTCCACATCTGCCCAAACTCCGACGCCCTTGCTGGCAGCGCCCAGAAACCGCCACTTGCTCCAATCCCCACACCCATAGGTGCTCCTCCTCCTCCCCCTCCGACGCCGCCGTCGTCCTTCGACTGGCCGTCGGCGCGTAGCCGCTTGCCGAGAATGAAGGGAGCGGCCATCGCGGAGGGGACCCCGCCGGCATTCTGGTCGAGGGAGGCGGCGGAGGAGGTGGAGCAGGAGGACTGGCCGTTCTGGGCGTTGCGCATGGAGGCGTTGACGGTGGAGAAGGAAGCGGGGGTGGTGCCGGTGCCTGTGGCGGCGATGATCGCCGGCTCCGCCTGCCGGAGGAGCCACTCGATGGTCTGCCCGTCGGACTTGTGGCCGAGCTCGCGGGTGAGCTGAAAGACTCTGGCGGCGCAGATGATGGGCATCCGGATCCGCCGCCCGCGGCCGTCGACCTTGCTGTGCCGGTCCTTGGAAGGCGTCTTCTTCCCCGCGGCGGCGGTGCCGTTGCTCTCCGCCTGCTCCTGGTGGCGCCGCCCGCCGCCGTTGACCCCACTATCTTGGTTCGTCATAGGCCCCCGGAATCTGAGAGAGACCCGCTGCTTGAGAGAGAGAGAGAGAGAGAGATAAGAGAGGAAGAGCTGAGGGTGAAAGAGGAGAGCGAGGAGGGAGGAGAGGGAGAAGGTGAAAGGAGCTAATCATTGAGCGGCTGGAGACAGGCGGAGGGCACATGGGGAGATTGCCGGGCCCACTTTTTTTCCAATCCTTCACTTACGGTGTAGTTACCGTCCACGAAGAATCGGCGATCGCGGTCGAGACGGGCGGTGAGCATACTGCCAAGCCCCCGCACGCTCGCCGCCTACGGAAAAGTAAGCGCCGTCTCAACAGTTATACCCCCCCAAAAAGGAGACGACAGCTGCCCGCCTCCCTTCTCCCAGGAATTACCGCATATGCCACCGTGACATCTGCTTCCGATCGGAGGCATTTACGTCATTATATGTTATGAAGGGGGCACGTGTAGGGGGGCGAGGAGGGGGTCGTGGCAATAAATGGCTGCTCCCGCACAGTTCCCAGCACAGTCGCGATTCGTACGGTGGGCAGTGCGGCTGAAGACAAAAGTTGAGAACAGCTTAGGCGTTGACACGTGCATCTGTTATTCATTGGATCACGACTAATAACTAGTGATCCGCAGTCACCGGCGACCGTCAGATACAGGCGACCGCCGGCGGCCTCGGCCAGATGGAACTACTCTTAGTCGCCGGCAGAGAGAGAGAGAGAAGGAGGCGGCGGCGGCGGAAGTGGAGGGTCGCGGGCGTCGAGGCGGCCGCCGCCGTCGTACGTCGGAATCTTCCTCCATTTCCGTGGTAAAAGGAAGAACAGAGACTTACCGGAGCTTTGCTGCGGCCGCCACCGCCGCCAAGATTCCGCCAGACAGAGAGAGAGGGGGGCAGAGAGAGAGAGAGAGGAGTAAAGGAGGGAGGAGGGAGGGGTACCTGCAGCGGCGTCAGAGGCCAGGGGCATTAAAAATGCCGCCTTTGGGGCGCCGGCGCATGTGGAGTTTTGGGTTATCGACGGCCGACGCCCCGCCGTACGGACAACTGACGCCGTCAACTCCGGTCGATCGAGCTAAAAATAATCTCCCCAGTTTTTGCCCCCTCGGGAGAATACGATTTACCCCTCATTTTCTACTTTTCTGCCAGTCAGCTGAGAGAGAGAGATGATCTTACACGTGGGTGAATTCTACTTTTCGGGCCGGGCCCTTCTTCGAGGCCCGAAGTTTGGGGGGGTCGTCTTCTACGTGGGGTCACCCTATGTCTTGGTCGGTGGTGTAATCAAGGTTCGATTTTTATTGAAAAAATTTGTCCATGAATGCTCCTAACATCAATAAATGGCATCTATTTATTATGCGAGTAAGGTGCGTAGATTCATTATAAACTATATATATATATACTTAAATAGGGGTGTAGTGGGTCGGATAAGGAACGAGCTCGACCCATCGTAGTCTCCCCCCCACCAGGAATTCAAATCCATTTTCCCATAAAATCTCCTCTTCACATTGACACGGCACTCTCCCTCTCTCTCTCTCTATCTATCTCTGTATCTCTCTCTCTCTCTCTATCTCTCTCTGCATCTCTCTCTCTCTCTATCTATCTCTGCATCTCTCTCTCTCTCACTCTATCTATCTATCTCTATCTCTTTGCTGATATGATGAGGCATGGGGGAGGAGATTTGTAGGAGAAACAGGGAGGGAACATTTTGCTGAAGAGAAGCTTGTGGGGGGGGACGGGAGGGGGGGAATAAATGGGCCGCCATGGCGGCGTTCTTGAGTCCCCACTTCGTCTCCGGTGGGCATTCACTGCGACGGCGAGAGAAGCTGCCATCCAACGCCTCGGTGCAGCTGCTTGTCAGTTCCATGTCAGACATTAAACGGGCCCAACGAACACAATTCCGCCGTCCCCACCCCATCACCGGCGGTACATCGCCGGCGAGTCGTTCACCGGCGGGACTAGTCAGCTATATTCAGGAACTCAAGATCGAATCAAGCTCGCATCTCTCTCTCTCTCTCTCTAACTTCTCGCAGGGAGGGTGTTCTTTAATTAGGAGCAAGCAATATTCTCTTGGGCTGGGAGATATTCCGCCAGCCTAATGGAGGGCAGGCATTGAAAAATCTTCACCGGAACACTTTAGTCAACCCTTGGACATCCGGCGGCAGGAACAATTACGAGGGTCGTCGGGCGGGCGGCGGCGAAGTTGTTTTACGCTCAACCTGCCCATCGACGGGGGGCAATGCACCGGGCAGAGATCAGCGCCGCCGCCGCCACCTTTGACATCGACCACCTGACTGAAACGAGGGTGGCGGGCGCCGGCAGCCGTTGGATATCACGTTGACTTCAAAATAACACGTTTTTGTTTTTCAGAAGACCCGATTTTGAGATCTGAATCTAACAGGAGAAAGTTAGCCGAGGTGAAGTAAAACCCGAGGAACTCGTGGGGATCGACGTCCCACCCACTTATCGAGTAAAATTCAACGGGGTCATCTTCGATGGACCATCTCGTAGGCGGCTCGTAGTCAGCTGCCGGTCAAAATAGGATTTTTGACAAACCGCTCGTGTTCGAAGAGCAGCAGAAAATCGCATTGGCCCATTAAACGAGATTAGGGGCACTAAAATGGGTCGGGACTATCCATTTAATAGGCCACTATGGGCCTTTCCCGTCGGCAGATTATTGGGCTGAATATCGAGGACTGTGGATTGGGCCTTTAGATGGTCTGAGCTGGAATACGAACCCGAGAGACAGCGTTGAAATCTACTAAACAGGGCGGGGTTCGGCGGCGGCGCCGCCGTGAGGCACCTTCCCCTCCGGCGGCGCCACCATGAGAGCTCTGGTTCGCCGCCTCGCCGCCGCCGCCGCTCTCCCTCTCTCCCCGCGGCGGTGCAAGACGACTTCTGCGCAGTACGTCGCCGCAAGGGCGATGGACGCCACCTTCGAGAAGCTGATGGACGGCTACAAGAACCTTCTCAAGGTCACCGCCGTCCAGGACCTCGTCCTCGCCTCCCCCAGCGGCGCTCTCCCCCTCTCCTTCCTCTCCTCCGCCGCCCAGAAGCTGCATCTCAACCGCGGCGCCCCCTACTTCGTCCGTCGGTACCCTCACATTTTCTCCGTCTCCGGCGACGCCGCTACCGAGCAGATCGTCCGCCTCACGGAGGCCGCGGCGGAGATCTCCCGCCAGGAGTCCCTCGCCGCCGCTGACGCCGCCGCCCTCGCCGTAGAGAGACTGGTACGGCTGCTGTCCATGTCTCCCTCGAGGACGGTCCCTCTCCGTGCCGTCTTCAAGGTCTGGAGGGAGCTGGGGCTCCCCGATGATTTCGAGGATTCCGTCATCTCCCGGAACCCTAGGGTTTTCTCCCTCCGGGACAATCCGCGGGAACCGAACACGCATCTTCTGCAACTCGTCGGCGAGGTCCCCACCCTCACTCCGGCAGTGGAGCGGTGGAGGAATCAGGAGCTGGCGAAGAAGGTGAAGAAAACCGAAGAGGAGGACGAGGAAATCAGGTACGCATTCAAGCAGGAGTTTCCCCCCGGGATGAAGCTGCAGAAGAACTTCCGAGCGGCGGTGAAGGAGTGGCAGCGGCTGCCGTACCCGGGGCCGTACGACGGCGGCGGTGTCGCCGCGGGAGGAGGAGGGAGGACGAAGGCGGCGCTGAGGCGGCTGGAGAAGCGGGCGGTGGGGATCGCCCACGAGTTTCTGGACCTGACGGTGGAGAAGATGGTGGAGGTGGAGAAGATGAGCCAGTTCAGGAAGTGGCTCGCCATCGAGCTCAACATCAGGGACCTCTTCCTCGACCATCCGGGGATCTTCTACCTCTCGACCAAGGGGAAGAAGCACACCGTCTTCCTCAGGGAGGCCTACGACCGGGGCCGCTTGGTCAACCCCAATCCACTCTACGACGCGAGGAGGAACCTCCTCCACCTGGTGCTCCTGGGGAAGAGAGGCTCCGCCGATTCCGCCGGCGAGGTTGGCGGCGCCGCCGCCGCCGCCGAGAGGGAATAAAGCCAGGCCCGAGCCCAGGGAAGCGGGCACCAGGGTGTTCGTTGAAATGGCTCAAAAAATGAAGAATACACGAGAAAAAAAAACTGATCTTCCCAATTTCCTGTATGAATTGTGCCAACAGAGGAGAGTGGACTCGCCAACCGTAAATACAGAGCAATCAGCCGCTGCGAAACTGGTCAACGCCGATCCTGCTCAGCCGCCGCCCCAGACCCATCGTCTTCCCCGTCTTCTTCCGCCTCCTCTTCCGTCTGTTCCCCGCCTCTGGCAAGGAAAATCACATGCAAAAGATTTCGAGGAGAAGAGGTTCAGAGTAGCGACCAAATCCATTAATATGGTAAGGAACAAAAAGAGCTACGATCAAGTCAACCTTGATCTGTATTTCTGCAGCTTCTCCACCGCCTTTGAGGTGGCATGCACCATCATCTTCTTGACCTGAGTCAAACACCACGTTGACGTGAGCATTGACCTTTGCAGTCAGGGATTCAAGTCTAAGAAATAGTCAATCTGAAGTATCGCATCGAAGTTCAATCTAAGTAAAAATGAAATGAGACCGCGATGGGCGGACCTCAAGCTTATCCTCCTTGGCCCGGTGGTCCTGGGGAAGGTCCCGGAATTCCTCAGTCAAACGGATGCACTCGTCGACGTTCTCGGGGGAGACGAAGTCAAGGGCGACTTTTATACACGACTGCGACAAGGGTCAATTCATATTTACTTCCAGAGCCATTCCAGGAGGCCCAAATCAATCAAAAGTCAACTCTCTGGTTTTGTTTTGAATCATTTTTACCTTGAGATTTCGGACCTGGTGTGCACAGCCGGCGGGTATGAAGACAGCCTCCCCAAGCTTCTGGACGAAGGTCCAGGGTTCAATCCCTGCAAAAAAAACACCCAGATTCTCACTCAAATAATCACCGCAAGTAGAAATAATCACTCTTACGGTGGAATTATGGCCCACCGAATTCTTCCTTGAGCTTCCTCTTGTGCTCCAATGTCAAGTAGAAGATTTGGTCATGGATGGGATGAACAACCTACATGATCATCATCAACATCATCATCATCATCATCACCATCATCATCATCGTCGTCAATGCTTGGAAAGTGGGTTTGAGAATACCTTGTCTATTGGACAACAGTGGAGGTGTCTGAATTCTCTACAGTGCTTCCTAAGATAGGCCTGAAGCTTCTCGCTATCTTCCCTTCGGAAGATATCCCACAGGGCGCCATCTTCTGCTGAAATACTCTCCGTTCCCTGGCCAGAGACCGAAGGTTTCTCATCTGCCATCATCTCGCCAGACCCAACCCTATCAATCCCATCACTGCCACGCTCCACATACTCATCTTGACTCGCACTGCCATGGGAACCACACAGCTTCCCACTGGGCTTCTTCTTCCAGGCAGGTTGGCCGCTTATATCCGGAACAAGCTCTCTGTTATCCAAATAACCATCCTTTGCATGAAGATCTGCATCGCTGAAGATCACAGAATTAGAAGCATTTTCTTCTTTCTTCATTACACCTTCTGGAATGCTCTTCTGAAGGGTGCTGTCCAAACCAGATTTAAACCTCTTCCTTCTACGCTGAAACATCTTTGTAGCTTTCTCGTCCCCTGCAGCAGTATTTTCAACAGGATAATTCACCACATGACCAACAGTTTTAAGAGAGACAGAGTTCAGATCGGCTCTGTTTGCAGCAACATGGGAGTCCTCGATCTGCAGAATCCCATTTATCCCAGCTTCAGTTATTGCATGCTTGGTATCTTCGGATTCCTCTCTATGAATGCAGGTTTGAATATGAACATCATCTGGGCCAGATCCTGCGCTGCCGATAAGAGGTGAGCTAGAGTTCTCAACGGTTTCATTCTTGTCAGGTGTTATATGATCACCACAGTGGTTTATGAGAGAATGATGGATTCTACTGTGAGACATATCTACGAGCTCAGCACAATCTCTTTCAGAATGTTGCTCATTTAAATGAGATCCTGAGCCATGTTGTTTCCCATCATTTGGAACATGATCAGGAGGACATAAACCCGCAATATTACCTTGGCTAGCAGTGGAGATTTCACATTTGATGGCACCCTTCCCCAATCCTTGGCCTTCTTCGTCCACCACCTGCTTCCCATTTGAAGCACAAGGTATTAACTGACGATCTGTGTTGATATCAGTAATACTAGAACCAGAAATTTCCTTGACTGCCGCAATGGATTCCCTGTGATATCCAACATTACGGTCTCCTTTGTTCGCACTTGATTCTGATTGTTCACAACTACGAGACAAGTCAACCGCAGCAAGAGAGACTTCACAGTTCTCTTTCTTCTCACTTTGAGTGGCACCTGTTAAACCTTCTTGAGCAAGGTTATATCCGGAACAGTCTGCATGATTTTTGTTCCCACATTTAACAGCTGAACTTGACTGCTCAGAATGAGGGACCAACTCATATGAAAGGCTAAGTTCAGCATGGGTCACGGCATTTGAACAAGTAGCATCAACACAAGCATGAGCCCTAGACACTGCGCCATTAGTATGAATAGGGTCATCAGTTTCAGCAGCTGATTTCAATGGGTCTCGTTCATTTTTTAAGAGCAGGATTTTCTCTTTGTCATAGGGGTTAGAATCTAATTGTCTGTCATCTGTCAATGGATTGTCAAGAGAGCCGTTTTCTATCAAAACTTCAGAGTTGAACTTTTGATCAACGTCCACAAAGTTTTGATTACCAGGTTGCAGAGCATTTTCCCCATCCAGCTCTCTCTCACAAATCTCACCAGTGATGGCATGCTCTCTTTCATCTTGAGTACGGTGCATCTCCTTCAGTTTTTTGATCTTAGAAAGCTGTGAATCACTAAGAATCACTTCCGCCGTATGTGTCAATACATTCACCTGGAAAGAAGTCCGAAGATATGTAATCAAAAGGAGCCTGAACAGTGCTCAAAGCATGGCCAGGATACCTGGAGAGATAGTAGGCAGAATCTTATCCTAAACTTATCACAGAGAAAGCACGACAAGAAAAGAAGAAAGCAAGTTTACGTTGAAAGAACAAACCTATTTTAATGCGCGGCCAAAAATGTGAATTTAACGTAGATTTTCATAACAATATGCAGCATATGCAGTGGAAAACCATCTTAGTTAAATAGACGTTTACTGATACCCAGGTAAATCAAACGTTAAATTTCGCGTCAGCTAACGACCACAAATTAACAGTCTAACATTCAAAAGAAAGCAGGCAGCCCTTGGTTAATTACCGCATCAGACATATCACAATGAAGCTTAGTCACTGAATCACCCCTGCCCAACTCTTGAGCCAATCCATAGGCGATGTAGGTCTTTGGCCCCATGTCTGGCTTCAAAATATTCTTGGGCAATTTCACAGCAAGATTGAGAATCCCATACCGAGGATCCGTGTACTCCTGAAAAGGTAGAGCACTGATAAACTCAGCACCATGACGTGGTAAGCGCTCCTCAAAGGCATTAGCTGGAGGCCAGTCCTTAAGTTTTAGCATCTCAGGCCAATAATTACTGTGAGCACGGCCATCAGTATAGCCTCTGAAAAATTGATGAATGTTGATCTCGACCTGCATGCCAAAAAGAGGACTAACAACATCAATCAAATCACTCAACAGGAAATAAACACCACAGACCATCATTGGAAGTTGAAAGAGTATTAGGTAGATGACAGCAAATTTAGTGGAAATTTCTTTGGAAATATATTTTTGCATTGTAATAACCAGTAGATTTCAGTCAAAAAATACGACATCATTAACCCTTTGCATCTGTATGTATCCATGCATCTGCGTCTAGTACAAATTCACACTGCTCCACGGACTGGGTTATCCAGATGCCAGAGCTGTGAACACTGATCAAATCTTGCTCATAAATGGCTCATGTTGTAAGGAAATGCCATCATCATGCCCCCCATTGGTTTCAAACTTAGATACTTCTTTCTAGCTACAACTATAATTTGTGTGTAGTTGGTTTATCTCACTAGCCTTACGATGTATGATTCATGTTGATCTTCCTATATGGGTTATCATAAAAAAAAAGGACATCACAAATTTTTCCCATACAGAATTTGATGTTTCTTCTTCAGTAAGTTTCCAGATATCTTGAGAATTAGGTCTCCGAAACCAGTTCTTCCTCCTTCCAAAGATAGGTCAATCCAACACACCCGCCACCCCCTTAAACCCCAACATCAAAAAAGAACACCTGTGAATGCTGAAGGCAAGGACGACATTTATAAAGTGCACTTAAAGATCGAAAGCATCCGAACAAATGTTTTATCAGAACTCAACTATTTTTCTAGTCAAACTAAATGCAAAAAAATACAGAGGACATATGTCTGACCTCACACCAATCCAAGCAATCAATGGCCTTAACTGCAAAATGCTCAAACCCAGCCCTTGATTTTGTCTTCTCACGTAGAGCACGCCACATAACCATTGGCTCCCAGCTCAAGCCAGAAGTGAACTCAAGGACATCGCGAACAATCACAGGTTCGCCTTTTACCCAGTGTTTCTGGAAGTGCTCTACGTCTCCCTCTCGAATGTCTCTTGATGTGGGGCAGTACAGATAGTTGTCAGTGGAATCCTCTCTACAAGCAGCCTTCCTCAATGTTGTATTAGTATCATCAACCTGACCAGCTACCGTAAAACAGGGACAAGTATCAGAATATTTTATGCATTCGAATTCACTGGTCATTTCTTCAGCCTTTTCCAGCAATTTTGATAGCCAATCATCAGAAAATAATGTCTTCAGTTCCAGGATGGAGTTGCCACATCCACCTAATTCCTCAGGCGGACAACAGATACTCCCATTGCTGTTTGCTTTCCATTCCTTCAGAGAATGAATTTTATTTTCCCTACTTTCTACGTGTGCAGCAGAAGAGCTTTTTTTTCTTTTTCCAGTCTTCCTACTGGCAGCTCCACCATGTAAATAATCTTTTCCCCGGTCCTCATAACGAATTTCAACTGCACTGTTGCTACGAAAAAGTTCACCAGTACGAACATCCCGGCAGCATTTGAGGCAGAGATCGTATGAGCAGCTTGGACAATTTCTGTGTAAATCAACAATTGATGTTCTACAATTGTTGCTGCGAAATAATTAAAGACATTAGGACATCACAAGGCCAGTACTGGCACAAGAATTGGCTTAAAAAAAGAGAAATGGTTTAAAACCATGAAGTGCAACCATAGAAATAAGCTTACCAAAACATACGCTCATCTGGATGACATTCAGCTTGCTGCAACTTTACATAAGTTGGCATCAATCCTGTTAAGGCATGACACATATCTTAGCAAATAATCAAAGTGAACGACTGGAACGGTCTCTCAAGGCATACCTCTGATGCTAGCCTCTATGTCGATTTCTGTCCTTTGTTCATCAACCATTTTCTTGAGTGCAGGAAGCACCAAATTTAACAAGAAAGAATGGTGCTGTATTTTATTAACTCGATTCAACTTTTTTTTCGAGGGCTGTAGATGGAAATCATAAAAAAGTGTAAGATCAGGTGCTGAACAATGAAATATGGATATAACATAGGGAGAACTACGTTAACCAAGCAGACAAATAGCTAAACCTTCCCCATTCTTTCATTCCAACATCACTTTTGAAGGTTTTAGGTCGAAATGTAACCACTAATTTGTCCTACTTAAAGAAGAAAGACAAGTTATGATGACAATCACCTGTTTTATTCCATTCGTTCTCAGGCACTGCTTACAGTTGCATTTGTTTCGGCAAAAAGGGCATTCTTCTGCAACTTCATTTTCTGTCAATTGAGGATACCTAAAATACACATCAACGAGTAAAAAACTAGGAAAAAGAAAAATATCAAATAAATGTAACATCCCGAATATAACACGAACCCACCCCTGGAATCCATTAAAAGGTTTATTTACGGATTCTAGGAGATGTCAAGAAAATTCTACAATACTAAAGCATACAAACCGTTTAAAATACTGAATCAGACAACACAATCATACTTCCTTTTCAACGGATGAAAAATAGTAGCTTATTTTTTCTTGTTTGTCAAATGAAACGTCAGTAACTATCAAAAGAGTGAATATTTAGCAATTGAAGCTCGAACCGATCAAGAAATAACATGTATTTTCCATTCAATGCAGATCAAAAAGAGATTGGAGTAAGTCAGGGTGAAGTCTAACCACAGTGAATGTAAAGCAATAAATAAATTTAATAGATCTTCATACCATCTTTCTATACATGGTACACAATATCGCTTCCGCCCGCACTTTGTGCAGAATACCACCCTACCCTTGTCATTCCTCTGACATTGATGACACATGAGAGAACTTGTCGGCATCTTCTTCTTGAAGCCCTAAAAGCACATAATTGGCATCAGCATTGAAAATAAACATATATTTAACAAGGAACATTTGAAGGAAGACATAAAAAAAAGGTAAACCACTAGGAGCGATGGAAGTCGCTAGGTTAACCTTCTCAATCCTATCGTACATCTCCACTGCAGCCGTAAGTCTACCATTATGAGCGATGGAAGTGGGAGCAGGGTCTGCTTCCTCTCGACAAGAATTCGCCTTTTCAATCTCCGAGTGTTCTACCTTCTCCCTTTTTGTTTGCTGGATCCTACTATTGGAGTCCTTCCGTACTCGCTTATTTCTCATTCTAAGAATATGTTCATACAGCTCTGAAGCATTTTCCATCGCGCCCTGCCAAGCAAATGGAATGAAATCGTCTCAGTCGTGATCGAGAAAAGACAATGGAATAAAATGAAGAATAGAAGAGCATAATTCATGGAAAGGTAGTCGGTCTCAGTCAGGAATCAGACTTCGTCGGCATCTCGATCCACCACAGGCGGCTTATTTGGCTTCCTTATCCTGAGATGAATGCCTCGCCGGTCCAACTGGCGCCTCTTCGCCACCGCGTCCCTCTCACCCGCCAGAGAGAATCCGCCCTCCTCCTGCCCCTCCGCAACCCTAATCTCAGAGGGAGAACCTCGTCCCTTTCCCTTCCCGCTCTTCCCATTCGCAACCCTTGTCGCCCGCATCCTTGCCTGCTCATAATGCACCAGACAGAGGCTGCTATCGGGCAGTTTCCACGCCCTGCACCGCCATTTCTTCCCGTCGTTCCGACTGCACCTTTCCTCTGGCGGAGGCGGCAGCGAGCGCTCCTCCACCTTCTCTTCCTCATCTCTCCACTTCTTCGGCCTCGCCATCACGACGACCAAGCAGCAGCCGGTTCCCACGACTCCGCCACACCCCAGCTGCCCCGATAGTTCTCTCCTCCAGTTCACAATTCCCCCCCGCACCCCCCTTCCATTTCAAATGCCCAATGCTGCGGGATGGTCGGGGAAGGACACCCAAGAAGGGAAGGCGATGAACAGGACGTAGCGCAGAGAGAGAGAGGAAGAGAGCGAGCGAGCAAGCGAGAGAGAGAGAGAGAGAGAGAGAGAGAGAGAGAGGAGAGGAGGTGGCCACTGATGGCAGCCCACCGGTTTCCGCAGTCTACTCCGGCGGGTTTCTTGATCACCTATTTCGTCGGACAGTTAAGGCTTTTCACCGCCTCCCCCCGCATCGCGGCCGTCGGATTACACACCATGATTTCTTCTGGGCCGCACGATGTAAGCCGACGGGCCCCCGATCGCCGTACACCTTCAACCGTTGGATCGGGTCGTGTCCGGAGATCAACCGAAATTACGGATACACGGAAGGCGCGGGAAAATTGTACGTTCCCGGGGGCGACGCGGACTACATCCAACCGTTGAATCTAAAATCAACGGTATTGCAATCCGTACGTACCACCCCCTCTCTCTCTCTCTATCGGATCCAAATGGAGATTTATCTAGTAAACATCCTCCCATACCATAAAAGGAAAGTATCTATTGAATTCCCTCCCACACAAAGCCACCAAGAAGTAGCATAAAAGGAAAGAATGTTCTAAATTAGCATCATCCCATTACCCTAATCTCTCTCTCTCTCTCTCTCTCTCTCTCTCTCTCCATCCGATGGCAACACAAAAACCGTCCAATTTCATATGATTCTTCCACGAGTGGAAACTGATGATGAGAGAGAAAGGCGGAGTCTTTCTCTACGAGCAGAGATTCTATGGGCATTTTCTCTGGACGTATGAGACTCCATGCTCCTCGTACCTGAAGAAGAGGATAGCAAATGAAAAGGGTCAGCTAAATAAATGATAAATAGATACTTATTAGCTGCTCTAAATGGATTAAATAATATATAATTACTTTTATTTATTTATTTATTTATTTATATTTGAATGAGCATGAACTCACTCCATTTTGGAGAACCACATCTGCTGGAAGGATCCGAGAGATGCAAGAATGCTCCCTCCTATCCAGACACTGCAAAAGTAAGAGATTCAGAAGAAAGATCTTCATGGGCTTCACTGAGTTGACATGAAGTCAACCCTCTCTAGTGGCAGGAGAGCTTGAGATTATATTTTGACCAGAAGAAATGGACGGCGGAGTAAAGGAAAAAGAAAATAAAATTGAGTTACATGGGCACGGATAATTGATTCACGTAAAAGATCACATTATTATTATTATTATTATTATTATTATTATTACCATTATTATTTAAATGAGGCCCTCACTAACAAGAAATTAAAGCACTTTTTCTTGTATTTATTATTTAAATATCAAATTACTGAAAAAAGCCCAAAATCCATATTTTTTTCATTTTTTTATCATGCATATCAAGTATCTGCTAGACGTAGATAAAACCATAATAACATGAAATGAAATGAAATGAAATAAAATGAGATGATAGATGAAGGGGCCTTAGTAAAATAATGTACCTGAATCGTCTTTCCGTTGCATTCCCGCTTGCCAGGACCTTAACGCGTGCAGCTTGAGGTGCTACCTGGCAATGAAGCACCGGATGAAAAAAAATAAAATGATGCAGAACATACGGTAATTAATATATTTCTTATTCCTTCAAGTATCCAAAATTCACCACTATCAGCAATATATAGACAAATGGGCAAGAGAAAGATAAGAATCAAACATCGTACTACTTAAAATAAATAAATAAATAAATAGAAAAAATAATCTCGTACAAAATGCTCAACAGGCATCAGAGTCCTTAGAGAGATACAAAATTCTATGTTATGGAAGTGGGAGATTAATTCAAAACAGGTATCATTTCGAATGAATCATTCAAAATATACATTTTTTTTTCAAGAGAATGGCATCCGGGAAACCCTTCTTGAAGATTTTCTTGGGTTGCTAGGAATCATATCCGAGTGAATAAGAAGAATGGAACTGTTACGATCAGGAGACATCCCCCAGCCTCGGTCCGGGGATGTCAAATGAATATGACAAGTATTCGACAGAGTGGTTCAAATTCCTCATAAGCATTAGCTCCTGGTGCGAAAAACAACAGAATATATTTCTATCTCTCTTTTCTGATTCATCTGATCCCTCAACCTCCTATAAGTAAAAATAAAATGAAGGGTAAAAGATGGAACGTGGATATGTAAAGAATATCCATCAATGAGGAAAGAAGTTTCATGGTTAGTAATTTTATTTTTTTTATCATATATGAGGTAATTATTCACATTTTTAGCATCCCAAATTTTGGAAAAATCCCAGAAAGACAGGATAAGCAAGTAACATAAGGACTAGAAAATTCAACAGGAAAATTGAAATTCTCAGAAACTAACCGTTCGGGAATAATGTTAATAAGTTATTAGAATAGATTGAGCTAGCTCAGGCAATATTAGAAACATATCATCAAGGAAGAATATTGTGGTTCGTCATATGGGCACACACTGCAGCCAGTAACTGCACCTCTATCAAGTCTTTCTCCAGACGTTCCTTCAGCTGCTGCATTGATGCTGTTCCTCCAGCAAGCTGTTAAAAGAAGAATTTCATTAATGGTGTAAATATAAAGACAAAATAAGCTAACAAAATAATAAAATAATCACATATTTGAACTTTTCTCTCCCTTTAGGCCCCATTGTCCTTCCCTCTATATCTGGGCCCTTTTGGTTCTAACCATCTCCCAAGCAGATCCTCTTTAGAGACTAGCATACAACGTTCGGATCTCCACTTTGACCTAAACCCCTTTAGGTCAGCTCTTCATCCGCATCAAAGGGAACTCCATCCTACTATTTCTTGTCCTCGAATAAAAAGTTCCTCTAAATGAGAATCTCTAATATAGCCAACAAGTTAGGAAGAGTGACAATATGCAGCATCCCATGTGAGTTCAGGAGCGAGGTATGGTAATCATCCCTACTCTCAAGTATCGGACTCCACATTGTTATCATTAATATGAATTTGTCGTCTTGAAAACCAGAAAGATGATCATTAGGATGACATGCATGATCATACCAGAATACTACTAAACAGTTCCCTGCGAATATCCACATCACACTTGTTGATGCTCTCAAATACCTGTCAATCAAAGAATCATAAAATTACACAGATTCTAGGTCAGAATTTAGGATAGTTAACTATTACGATCAAAATTAACTCACCATTTGCGGCAGACCACGGATAGAAGGAGCATATTCTGCAAATCTCTCCATGCCAGGGATTGTCTAGAGGTTCATGCAAGAAAAAAAATATAAAATTGGATGGCGCAAAGACGCCAACAAGATTGTTTTTCATTTATCAATACATCACAAACTGAAGTGATATAGGTGTCAAATGAATTTTCTCATGAACCATCACAACGGATAAGCAATACCCTTTTTTGTTGCATTGAAAATGATAAACAACCATAAACCAATGAAATTTTTCAATGGAATATCAGGATAGTATGCGAAAAGAAAAGAAAAGAAAATAGCGGTAAACTTTAACATGATGCTGTTGGCAGGTGCCTCAAGATGTCAAGAACTAGATCGTCTAACATAAAATCAGAATGTTGATATTAAACAAAACGATTTCAGGAAAAAAAGTTAAGTACCTGGACTATCGATGGATTAAAAAGAATATCAGGTATCTTGAATCTATCAGCGCCAATTTCTATTGTCCTGTGTTGGAGTGAAAGAATTGTAGGTTCATCATTAGTTTCCAGTCACGATGTTTTTAAGCTCGATCATAAAAGAATTCAATAAAAAAAAACTATTTAGATTGCACTTGATTAGCCAAACCCAGATCAGAACAGGCACAAACACACCTGACAAGTGGCAATCTGATCTTACATCTGATTTGAATTGGGCTGACTGACTACCGAAGACAATGGTCAACATAGTTAAAAACGAAGCTCAAGGACGATTTTACACTTGATAAAAGTATGCCTAGAAAAACTTATATTAGAGGAAGCCATTACAAAAAAAAAAAATCAAGCTTGACATTGTGTGAAATTTTCAATCTTTATGAACCCGCCCATTTTCTTTTACCGTTCTCAGAGGGACGAAGGCGGGCAATTGACTTGTGGTCATGGTGAGTGCCAACAGATGACTGGCAGAATGCGGAAGCAGGGTTCATTTTTTCCCTGTTATGCCGTTGATTCCTTCTGATACTACAGAGATCGTTCTTTTGTTCTCCCTCTATGGGGCCCGGGCTACAGCCTCTGCTTTCTCTCCTTCGTTCTTCTTTTGACCTTCTCGTATTCTCAAAAGACACGGTATGGTAATGATTTAGACAATCCAAGTGACATTAACACATTTGTGACGGAACCTATTGTTCCCCTTTTAAAGGGCGATAACGTTTTTATTCTCAATACTGAAAAAGTGTGTTCGCAAAATGTCCATGTGAGTTTCTGTAATATTACTCTCTTGCTAAAACTAACATTTTATTATTATCATCATATTATCATGAATCTTTTTAGTATGGCTAATCATTTCATCACCATTTTCCTAGGACTTCAATTTGCTCCACTTTAGTTTCTTCCATGTCCTCCCTCCATCCCTAATCTGCCTTTACGATTTATTTAAGTGGAAACTAGCCTTTAGTTGCAAGCAAGAGGTGTTATCGAGTTCACCTACCGCATTCATATGAGGGTTTATGGAGAATATTGCCCAGGAAGGCGCCTACCTCTGTCTCACCACACCCACCCCTATTTGTATGGCTCTTTCCAACAGCTTCTTTATTCTCCCATGCACACATTTCTTCTTCCTTCTATCCACACACGACCCCGGCCACCCATGTGACCAATTTGCAGTTTTTGTTATGAAACAACAGAACAAACAATATGTTGACAGAACTAGACCATTCCCCGACATCAATCAAGACAAAGAACACAAGTAACCATTTTTCCCGTTTAAGAACTGGTTCTAATTGATAAAAACTGACTGGAACATAAAAACAAGTTGGCAAAAATGGATTCCACAAAATGTGATTAATGGCCCCGATATTTTTATTCCAGTATCAGACGTAAAACTCAGGCAAGATGGAGCTCAGGGGGAAACTTACTGTCCATCGGGAAGTTCATATGGAGTCATTGGAATGTTTGCATAGGAACTCTCTGTAAAATAGGCCCTTTTCAAAGTCAGGAATAAGCATAGCATAAATGAACATCACTTTGATCTACAGGAGCACGTCACGATAAAAGGTTCATCATTTCATACCGAAATCTAACGTCAATGAGCAATTCTTAAGCACCAATCAATTCAAATAATAAATCTAATGCAGCATTGCAACGAACAACTGAACTTTGCAAAAAGAATGGGGAATTATTTGGGGCATAAAGAGAGAAAACTACTGTTGTTAGGATTCTGATATTAACAGGAAATCATAGGAATGTAAAGCCGGCCACAGCCTCCGGTCAGAATTTAGGCAAAACTAACAGCAGTCGTGAAAAAAACTGCTTTCATGACGTATTTTGCAAGAAGGAAAATATCTGCAATGAAGACAATTGATCCGTTGTTAAAATGTTCAGCAGTCATTCTCAATGTAAATGTTCAGCTGGTAATACCCTTATCATACACTCCACATGCAATGATATATTTATATCATATTCCAACCAATGGAAGGTTCAAATCAAGCAAGCTTCTGGCTTCGAAAAATTTAATGCCAAGAAACACCTAGAAATTTTAGAATGCATTGTGGGTATCTGATAGAAGACTTGAATGCATTACACACAGGGCAAGCCATTATGGGTTAAAGTGATAAAACTCCAATTAAAAACAATCACGATAGCAGCTGTTGCACACAGTTATTTCATCCACTATGAGCCAAAAGCCAAAAAAAATCAACAAAAAAAAATACAGATTAATTGAGCCAAGTCTGTTACAGACAAATAACAGCACCCAAGATGGCCATAACCAATGACTTGGTCCACGAATTTCTGTTGTCCGCAAATTGCTTGTTTAGGGTTTAACCATTTCACTAAATCTTCAACAATAAGTTGAAGCTGAATACTATATCTCGGCATGAAAAACAATGAGCATAATTGTACTATACACTGAAATGTACCATCATATGGTGTGTCTGGAACACGACAAACACATTCTTTGATGTCACTAGCAATTACCCTCTGCCAGAAAACAAAAAATAGTCAGGAACAAATAACGGCCTAAGAAAACAACTTTATCCAAGAGAAAATGCTGTAGTCACCACAAACCTGAGAATATAGTTTGTAACTTTCTGTGGTATTTGGAAAATCAAGTTCAACTGTCTGTAAAATTTTGAAAGAAGAAATTAATTCGCATAAAACAATGGAAATATACGGTTACATATATGAATTGTTCATAATAAGAATAAAGCATCGCAGTCAATTTGATCAAACATCACTTTCACGTTAGGTTTGTTATATCCAAGTTCTCAAAGTAGATGACCGATGTAGCTGGATTGCCAAATTGAAGCTTGACGACCTAAAAAATAAGCTTTTACCATCACTGAGCCAATGCGACTATTTTGTGAATCTCCTTTTTTTTATCAATCTTTTTCTGATGCCGACAAGATAGAGGATTTATGGCAACAGAGTTATAAATAAAGAGAGGATTATATGAGAAGGATCATCATTTTCTCTTATTCCTTGTAGAGCCTCTTTTGTTGCACCATTTTGATCTTCTAAACAACCCCCTGCCGCCCCCCCAAAAAAAGGGTTTGTTTTCCAGGACTGAAGGCCTGAGGATCGGAGGGACGTGCTTACTAATTATAGTAGTTCGGAGTCGACATGAAACCTTCTTGGCAACATTATCCATAAGCAGAAACAAATCCTCATTGATCGATCAACTGGTGAAATGGATACTGATGACTGTTAGGTTCAGCGAATTATGAAATCGATCAACTGATGACAGATGACCTATGAGAGATCAGAGAGTAGACAGTTTGGGGAATCCGTGGCAAGTTAGCAGAATGATGGCTGTCCGTCAGCTTTGCTACTGAGAAAGAAGCAAGTATCATCAATAGCAAGTTGACGCTTAGTTTGTTTGATGCGTAGTATGCTGCACAATGGTTACCCAATAAGAAGCCAATGCTCGCAGAAGATGGGTTCACAGATAGAAGAGAAGAATAGAGCAACAGCAGGCAAAGCGGGACTTTATGACCAGAAAAAAGTACAGCAGCTGCGATCTTCATATTTTTCTCTAACCAACTCATTCGCCTTAATGAGGGGCCAAATGAAGGTACTTACTAGAGATAACATCATACAGCAGTCCTCTGTAGTTAGACAAGAGCAGTGACTTTTGCGAAGTAACCAATTTTACAAAAATGAAGCGACCTTCTTAACTAAGTCAAATGAAAGAACAAGAAATAGCTCTTGATACCAAGTACGTAATGACAAAGCATATCACCAATTAAAACCAAATAATCAGCATTGAGACTTCTTGCAGCTTTTCCTGGGATAGTTGATTGCAGCATTTTACATACTGGGTTAGTTTTAGCGCCTTCAGCACTTCTATCTTTAGTTTCGACATGTGATTAAGGCTATCTATCATCTAAATAGTCTTTTCAATATTCCTTGCGGCAGAGTGCAATAATAAAATGTGATATGAAAGAAATCGAGGAAAACCTCTAACTTTAGCTTTGGGAAAATTTCTCAGGCGTTCAGCATAACCAGGTTCAACAAATACTGAATATGACCTCCATCAAATTGGAACTAGTCAAATGCAAAACTACTACCAAAATAAATTTGTGAAGGAGATAATCTTGAAGTATATAATGCTCCAACAAACGACATCTGGGAAACCTTGAAACAATAATCCCACTGTGAAAGACCTAGCTAACATAAAAGATCCCAGTACAGATGTACACACTGAGGCCATCCTTAGCATTCCTTCTGATCTACATTTGTGAACTGGTGTTCATATGCCACAATCCTCCCTGAAGCCCTGGACTTCATCATAATTCAAATGCGAAAATAGACACCAGGTAAGATCATCTCACACAACTGACCAGCCTAAGAATTTAAACGCCACACTACACGATTTCCATCTCGAGAGTATGACCTGAACGATACCAACAAAAATGTCGGGCATTACTGTCAATGAATTCACCAGCCCATATTTCCTACCTCTGCTGGACACAGGACACTGAAGGAAATGCCAGCCTCTACGTGTCTCTGAATTTGATTTCCTTGGTAACAGTCTTGGGACTCTAGAAAGACTGGAGTTACGGACAAAAACCTGCGAATCTCAGATGTATATTGGTCAGCTCAATTAATCCAAGCATACGATATCTGAACGGACTATTCTGCAAATAATCAAATTGATTTCCCAATCTACAAAATCCATAGAATATGCAGATCTGAGAATTAATTCAAATATCTGTATGTTGTAGGTGGGCTATCCAATTTCTGTAGATCAACAAACTTGATTATAGAGTCTTAGATAGCCTTTGCTATGAACTTTAACAACATTCTGAGATGCCATCTGTCGTAGATATTTCATGAAAATAAAAGTATATAGCAGGATCTTAAACACTTTTAACTGTTGGAGTAATATTTGTTTTAAATTATATCTATAAATATGGAATACAATAAAAAATGGCATCCAACAGATAGACCGACAGGATAACTCAACTCTTTGCAGTTACATTAGGATTGAAACTGCCTTCTACATAAAATAAAATAAACACCAAGTAACTACTGTGGAGTATTGAAGAAAGATCAACCACAAGAAGAGCGAAGAGTTCACAAAAAATGCATCACCTACCTGAAATTCTCCAGGGCGACCCTCTTTTTTTTTAAAAGAATATCTAGGTCTCAACTGAAAAAAATAAATTCAGTCAATGCCAAATGGAATAATATTAAATCCACAAAAAAAGCATCATCCGTCAAATCCATAAAAGGATACTCACCACAATACCCCTGTTTTCCAAACATTTCATCATGCACTCTGTTAGGAATTCCCCTCCAACTGGAGATGTAGCCACAGCCTTCAAGAATTATAAAAACGAAGCATGACAAAAATCTGTCAAAACTCATTAAACAAAATGGGTTATCGCATTTATATGCTTATAAATTATTATATTTGTATTATATGATCGGCATTCATAAGCATATTCGTCCTAACCAAAGATGTAGTTCAACAAAAGCAATTAACAGATCCGATAAGCATAATGTGCCAAGAGCTCTAATACCACTTTTATATAGGTACAATGCCTCGGATTACAGCAATGACATCTTTTTGCTATCCTATCACTTAAAATACACCATCTGTACCACCTCTGCAACGGTAAAGAAATTTAAACTTTCAAGGAAGCCCCATCGCATTCAAGTCCTGGGGTTTACTAACAAGACTCCACACTTTCTTTAATAGTTTTTTTCCCAATATTAACAAATAGTTTAAAACGCTCTAACATAAAATTCAACTTTTCCGTGATTCTCAATTCAGTCTTTATTTTCGTTCCCTTTCTTATGTTCCCTGACAATAATCTCGTACAAACTAAATTTATGCTACTTTGAATTCCGTATCTTCCTTTTGTTATCTTCAATGTCTGTCATCATTGATTCTATCTTCTATCATTATTCCACAAAAATACCCTTTTTGTTTTTATCTGAATGAATTCGCAGTAGGCTCAATTATTCTTAATCTAGAAAGAAGAAGCATACCTTCTGAAGCACATATCCATCATGTACAGCCGCGACTGTAGTTGATCCACCCCCACTAAATAAAATAATATATAAGTCAACAGATGTAATGACAACCAAACCAGTCTCAAAGTGTTGTGAAGGAATTGAGTGTAAATATTTCAAAAGTGAGAGTCATTCAATGATGATCCCGTATCTACATCAAAGAAATGAATTGTGGATATACACACGATGGTACATTAAGCACTCCAATTGCTATTTTCTATCAGCATTTTTTTCTCTCCTCTGTCCTTATATAACAATAAAAAAGCATCTATAATGTTCACAAATTGGAGACCTTTTCCGTTTCTACATTGCACTGATTGTTTAGGGACTCCCAAGCGTCCCAAGAGGAACAAGACAAGTGCACAACAGTCAAATCGTCATCTGAAACAATATGTCATCATGTAGAATTATTAAACTATAATCTCCACTGATACTCTTACTTATGTGAATAATCTTATTCAAACACGTGTTTCAAAAATAGGAGACCTTTCAAAGTATCAATGCATTTCACTCCGTGACCACACAGGCTCAATCAGTTTTGGTCCAGTTGATCCACAATTTGGGCAAGAAAGGCTGGGCTGGGGACAAAGGTACAACTTTAGGCTAGATTTGGCTTGCACCAACCTGCATACTAGCCCAGTCTGTATGGGATAAGTTAATAAATAATAAACCAACTCCTAAAGTAGGGTAAAGTTTTGACGATGTAATTACACTTGAGCAAACCCCATCCAATTGAGCATTATCCCATACAGGATTTTCCATCTTACTAACTTGTCTACAATGGTCTTCAGAAGCCCAAGATGGACTCTACAAACAGTTAACTCAACACACCCAACACAAAAGTTTAATCACTAGCCAGCAGCTATAGATTGCAAAGAAAACTGATTTCATCACCGAATTAGCAGAATCCCAGAGTGATGCCAATCACTGCAACTAAGGCGATACTGTGTCACTGCATGTCTAAGTTTTCTCGACTTAAGAAGCTCAATATCGAATTAGAGGGGGAAAATGAGGTCGATTCAGAACCAATCTATAGAATTTTTGCATTTACCAAGTGGTGAAGAATAACATTTCTCGTGGAAGCCATCAAAAGGGGATCTAGCCAACAAGAAACCTCAATATTTCCTGAAAAACCGGTTAAAGGTTTAATCAGTTTAGCCTGTAGTCATCTATTAGGCGACTGGTTGACCATTCATAAGGGGAACCTAAAAGAAAACAGTTAAGGGCACATAGCAGCCATTGGTTCAGATCAAACAGGTTTACAATGTGAGCCCACAAGAGACCACCTACCTACACCACCAATCCTCCCAGGGGTTGTAGGTATTTAGGCCCGTGTAACAGCACCCACCGATGACAAAAAGGTCACCAATGTCCCTCTCAAATGGAGTTTCCCAAGTGGGCCCCAGGGTCATGGCGATCTGAATCAGATTGGACCAAAAAGTTGAATTAGCCAATCTAACGGATTGGAAACCTTTGAAAAATCAAAAACCATAAAACTAGCCCAAAACAATGTGTAACAAGAATTTCACATGGATCAACTAGTAGTCATCTTTTACAAACAGTTAAATAGGAATAGTCTTTCATCAAACTGACGCGATTAGAAATGACGTTCGGAAAAAATTATCTCAATTTAGATAATGAATCTAGAATAACTCGAGGCAGAAATAATTGAATGCATAGAACGAAAGGCCCTTCCAAAGTATCTTTCTCCCAATAGACTCTGACGATGGAATATAAATGCTTTCATTCCAAGGTATTTAATCACTGTAGGTTTTGCATTTAGTAAAATGAGCATTTCAAAAACCAGAAGAACATGTTCATCAAATTTCTTTAAATAACTGGAAAAATTAAGGATGATCCACACAAAACAAAACTTGACAAAAGAAATGCCAACTGGACTGATCCAGAAATAAAGATGATTGAGATCACTAAAAAAAATCCATATTAGCACGTACCTATCCACAACTAAAGAAGTAGCACGACCAGAAGCAAAGGACGTGAGAACCTAGTAATGCAAAGACGAAAATGTGAAAAAATGAATTTACAACAATTATTGTGCTCGGAGTCCAGAGTAAAATCTGAAGGAGACAAATAACTGATAACCATTGGAAGTCAGATTCACAACAATGAGATAAACTCACAGCATTCTTGGCCAAGAATAAAGCAGGAACTTTATACTTCTCAAACATTATCTCAGCTGTTCTGTTCCAGATTAATAAAAGGACGTTAATCATCATTTCTTATCCCAAGAGACAAAACTAAAAGTAATGGAATAAGATGCCCATACAACGTCAAATATGAAATCTAACAAGAAGACAAATGTAATTTGCTGGACCTACACAATTAATTTGAATTTAAAGGATAAACATACAGAACAAGCCTGTCATACACAATTATTGTTGATTATTCGCACAATAAGGCCATCAGCGCAACTTTTGAACTTTATGGCCACAATTAGATAACACCTGAGGAGTATATCTCGGAACAGAATCGAGCTGAATCACTACGCATTAAACTAACTTGGTTCTAACTCAAGAAAGTATCACATAACAACAAAATCCAGAGTTCACGTTTAGGTCACATCAATTTGGCTCAAGTCATACCTAAAAGGAGATAGGGAGCAACATTCAACTATTAAAATACCAAAGAGAACCAAATCAAGAAAATCAGACAAAAATTATCTCGACTTAAATCATTCCGAATGACCTACTAAAGAAATCCTTAATATTCAGAAGGAAATTCTACCCTAACTTTGTTGACACAATAATTTTTTAATTTAAATAAATCCAAGTAAGAACCTCAGACATGTGCGTGTGTGTGTGTGTGTTTGGATCCCCAAATTTCCCATCTTTTTGTGCATCTTGTGGCACTTTTACAGGGTGAAACTATCGTCCTGATTTGGCTCAGGACTTGAACGATGTCTTAGGCGTGTAGAATATTTTAGTTTTCCTGGCATGCATTCATTTACCCGGTCTTATTAATAATATTTCTTTATTTTCCTACTTCAGCCATAGTTCACTACGCTTTTTCTTTCAGACCTATTTTTGATCCCTATGTTACTTTTATCGGATGTAGACTTTTTACATTCATTTCCGAAAATTTTATTTCAATTATCTGTGATAGGGAAGGTGGGAGGTAGACATATTTCAATTATCGGATGTTGACACACTGAAGTCTCAACGCCATTACAAACAGAAAGAATATGGCATAACAATCATACTTCATCATGAAATTTCATAATAGCAAGTTGAATTCTCAACACATTATTGAGGGAAGTATAATCCCTCCATAATGATAATTGACGTGCAATTGGGGAAAACTTATAATTAAAGATATTGAAATTACATGAATGTCGGAAATGAGGAGTCAGTAAATTCATGATAATTCACAAGAAGCTAACAATTTCAAGATTCAATGACTGATGCAATGAATAAGAACACCTTTCTCTTTGTTGTGCACTATTGGATGACGGCTCCGCGAGTAGCATAGGATGTTCTTTTGGATCTATCAAAAGCCGTTCTCTGAAAAGATGTTTGAGGTAGTCAGGGAAAAAGCAAAGTCAAACAAATGTAAAAAAAATCAATTTGAAGACGAAGTTAAGTACATATAGATGACCTTACAATAATGAAAACACAGTCTAGGTTCTGGAGCTTGATCAGGAAAAGTGACATCACCACCCACTTACTTTGTAACTATTATCAACTACAACTGATTTTAACTGCAACATAGTGTGGCAACCAACATGCATTAGATCAATTTGATTGGCTGCTGGTTCATTCAATTGACAATGAAGACCTTGCAAACAACTTGAAAAGTTTATGTTTTTTATGTTTTGCAAGGCTTCAGGGAAGTTTCTTTCAATTGGCTTACAAAAGCCTAGAATAACCCCCCCTTTTGCCATCCACTATTATCTTGATAATCTAAGATCTATATTCCTCAAATGAAATATGGGACCTTGCATCCGCAAAGCCCAGCTCAGTAGTTCCACAGCAATATTACTTCAAATTTGGATTTCCGTTAAGATATAAAAATTAGTAATAAGAATGTTACAGTGTATTTTACACATTGGTCGATTAACATCAATAACTCAGCCAAAAATTCTTGATAACTTGCATCTAATAATGTTGTCCTGGTCCTTCAATGGTTTACCTCATGACACTCCCCAGGACCCACAGCGAACAACCCCATTAGTGCATGCTGATGGTGTTTTGATGAGTAGCCCTCACGTCACTTGTTGGAACATACATTTTTCGTTTGTCGTTTGTCATTTGGACATTGATGGTTCAGGATTAAGTCCCTTATCAGACTTAATGTAACAAGTTTCACATAGCGCAACTAACAGGCACCTGCTTCAGCAGATTACCCACTTCGTACATCTCAACATGCTAATATCGCCTCCCAAAAGAGTTGCCACATGCCACCACAGATTAAAGTCGCACATTATATCTTTTTTCAAATGGTTTCTTCAGAACATTCTCGGAAGGTTGAATGCAGTGGGAACAAATTTCTTACATGTTTCTGAGTCATTTATCCCAAAAAGGATTCTCAACATCGGAGAGTTGATAAAAACTCAGTCCCAAACAAATGGCTCCAAATCATATTTATTTACTTGAAATAAATCAATTCAAATGTCACAAAATTGGTTTTTATGCATGCTGCAGTTAAACTATGTTATTTTCTTATGCAGGACAGTTAGTAAAAACTATAGATCAACAATAGCATCCAAAGTCTTTTCGCACAGTTGTATTATAATGTGAAACGATGATACTTTAATTTGTTTTATATATTGACTGTGGCATTGAAACTCCCACAGTAAATTCTGTATATTACAAAGTTGAATATACGACCCAACAATATATGGAAAATACATGTTTGAATTTACGCCACAAATGCAAAAATTTGCTCACAATGAGCAGCTACCCTAAACTAGTGCAAGCATATGCATGAACAGATATGAGAGTGATAGCAACCTACCCTACCAAGCTCATTGGCCCAAACTAACGATCATGAGACAGATTCGGAGAGTACATCGCTGATATACCAGAAAGTGCTTTGATCTAATCTTCTTCAGTTCAAAGACCTGACACTGTGGAAATTGCGAGTAATTAGGGATTGGTAGGTTCTGAATCATGTAAAGTCCAATGGGTCATCTGGAATGAGAGAGAAAGTCAGAAGTATAGGAGGCCCAGTTGCTTGGAGTCAAGAAGAAATGGTGTTTACGGTTAGTTGTAATAAGGTGAGAGAGAGAGGACCAGGACATTTTTTAACGAGGAAGCTGTGAATTTGGATTGGTAAGATAACTAGAATAGCTGATTCCAACTTGGTATAGAGTGGATATTTCACAGAGCGTTTTAAGAGCATGTTGATAATGTACATACCAGTTCACTCTTCTTTTTAATTTTAATGACTGTGATGTGCTAAAAAAATTCTACATGAGATGCCGAAGGGGTACTCTGAAATCAAGCACACATTTTAAATGCAAAAACTGAGTCAGCGTGTAGTCTCACTCTACTTTACTGTCCAGAGGTGAAGTTTCCTTGCCTCCTCTCCTATGTCTTTATGAGACACGGGGAAGGATCTGTCTCTATCTCTTCTGGAAACAACATTTTGTCAACATGCGTTACAGAGCACCAGTGTGCATCAAAGGGTTCTTCAATTTAAATAGCAACCTGTCATTATTCTACCCCTCAAGCATTGGGGTGCTAGAGTCATAATTGATGAATCTATCATTTTCTTAGGGCCAACAGAAAGACCCAGAGTAAGAACCCGAAAGATGCATAGCCCGATTCAACTGTTATAAATCTTCTTAAATACAGTATCAGATGGATGTGATCTACAAGTGTGTAACAAAATTGTGACTGGGTTTGTTCATAGTAAACTATAATTATAGAAGAAAGAATACACACCTGAAAGCATGGTCCCATATATTATCCACAATATCCCAGTCAACAACAATCCCATCCTTTATAGGTGACACCACCTGGTTAAGGATGTGATGAATCAGAATGCCTCTACAGAACAGCGAAAAATAAATGAACGCAAATTGTTCCAGAGATTGACCTCCATGTAGTCCCGACGATATCCCAATGCTTGAGAACCCACATATAATTTGCGTCTTGATTTTTCCTTGTCTGATTCAGTTTGTCTACCGTCATTTCGTGGTTCCGAAATGGAATCTGAGTCTTTCTCAGATTTGAGATCATCAACTGCTCCTATCTGATCCATGGAACCAACAACCTGAGGTGAAGATAGAAAAGTGAACCATCTTAAGATATTGTTGTGGCATGTGCAATGCATGTGGTTACATTGAAACCCAATCACTCTTAAGATGTGTGCCCCTGTGATTTGTGCTGATCAGAATCAATTACGCATCAAGATGAGCATTGATTATGCAGCATTTAATCTATGATTATATAGACTAAACCCCTACGTCCTACTTTCCCTTCTCACACTTAGAATCAGTCAACAACAAAGGAAAGTGCATCATTGCGCCCCAAAATCCTCCCCGATATGTAGACACTTGCCTTATCTACAATTTTTGCACTTCATGGAGAGGTTGCCAGAATATAAAATTTAATCCCAGAAATGCAGGTAAGAACCTCATTATCATTGAAAATACCCACAAGGAGGCAATTATGATCCACTGGACGAGTAAATTTAGCAGATTTTTTTCACCCAGAAACTTAGGGAAGCATTGCCAAAAACAAGTGTTAAGCCAAGGATCCATAAGACAGATGAAAATCAATCATCTCTTGCGCAACCTTCAATCACTCGTCAAATAAAAAAATTTAGCGTAGAAATATGTTTGAAAAGATCACACCATTGACCATCCCTAATATTGCCCAAAACAGTTTATAGTCTGTGAAATGGAACCCGATCAATTCAGTGTAATTCCCGACAATGGTCACTGATAATCCCACAAAAAATCTAGTTTCCAGTGCAAAGACTACAAACGTATAAATTAAGTTGATCATTTTCGATGGGCCATTTATTGCTATGCATCAAGGCCATTCATAAATCCCTCAAACTTTGGCCACAATCTACTCCCAAAAAAATAAACTAACAGTATACTTCAATGTTTCTTTTGAGTACGCGTATAGCGTAACAACAGAATTCAGATGTATTTTTCAAAAGTTCCACCTCAACTGCAATCACATAACTCTGAAGTCGATACTTACCGATGGAAAAACCGCCTTGGGTGCATCTTCGCCTGCATAACCCGCTTTGCACGTATGCGACCCAAGGTCGATGACAATTGCCGAGACTTCATCTGCGCGGCAAAAAAATAAAACTCAAAACACGACGTTGGAAAGCTAATAATTGTCGGTTGTTGAAATTCAACTCATAAACTTCACGTTTCAGATCGCTCGAGTAACACCTGGACTCCAAAAGCCACCACACGTAAGCAGAAAGAACAATGCACTCACCCCCTCCATACATCGTGGAACCCACCCAGGAGGAGCAAGTGAAGGCGGCAAGGAACGACGGAGCAGAAAGATAGAAGGACGACCCTCGATTTGGTCGGCTTGACGGAACACGAACACGAACACGAGGAAACCCTACCCCCCCACTGGGGAAGGGTCAGCGATGGAAGACCTCTGAGAAAAGAGAAGATCGCTGAACGAGCACCGGAAGATCCTACTGGCCGAGGTAGACGAAGAATCCCCGGGGTTTTGAACTGACGCAGAAAGCTACTCAGAGCATTAGAAAACCCTCGGTCTTCACTCCCACACGATGCCGTTGAAAACCGACTGCTTAATGGATACGGATCCGAAAAAGCCCATTACCATAAATTTTAAATGGGCCTATAAGCCTTCAACGATAGGCCCATTATTTATGAATGGGCTTGGGCCTCAAAAACATATGGAGAAAGCTCGGTGCGCTATATTGGTCTGGCCCAAGTATTAACATTTTTTATTTTAATGAGTTATTTCATAAAATATAATATATTACAAAAAAAGAAGGTAATTATTTCGGATATCAGTCTCGGTTTCGGTTTCGGGTGCGAGTGACCGTTAAACAACCCACCCAAGCTCGGGCGTTTGCCCCCTTCCCAAGTCTCACATATCAGCCGCCCTTCTCCCACAGCTGCTTCCAAGTTCCAGTGGTCATTGGGAGGGCTTTCTCTTCGGTCTCTGCACCTCGTCGTCCCTCTGGTTCCCCCTCATCGGCACAGGATGGGAGACAGCCAATACTCGTTCTCTCTCACCACGTTCAGGTGCGACTCTCCTTCATGCCGTGCTCACAATGTCCTTGTGGTCGCCCAGCCGCTTGGCAGTGACGATGCCAAATTCTGACTCTCTTTTTTATCGTTTTCTTGTGACCAGTCCTTCCGGAAAGTTGGTTCAGATCGAGTATGCCCTAATGGCTGTTGGATCCGGTCAGACATCTCTCGGTATCAAAGGTAGTTCATGTTTCAGTTGTTTTCCTCTGGGTACTGTAATATTTCCTCTTCTTTCTTTGTAAACCACTCCCTTGGGATAGGCGTAGACTCACAAATCTTGGCGTTGTTCTGATCGTATATGTCGATATATAGTCCAGCCCACTGAATCGGGGAGAGCTGTACCAAATAAACATATTCTCCTAGTTTGCCGTGCAAGTGGAGAGCCTTTGAGGGAACTTTTTTTGGGGAAAAGTGACTACGACGTTTAAATCTGATGCGTATTTCGTAGTTTCAGTTGATGCCATACGAGTTTGTTCGGTAAAGTTTCGTCGATAATCATGCTGAAGAATCTATCTTCACAGAAAATAATTTAGATTTTCTGTGATTAAAATAGATCATAATTGTCACAAACCTCGACCATTCATGAGCCAAGAGATTGTGGAAGTAACATAAGTCTGTTATATTCATCGAAGTACATAATGGCGAGGAAAAGGGAGGTACTAATCTCCCTTCTCTGCAGTCCTCCTCCATTCTTCTTCTTCAGCGATTCCTGATTACCCTTCTCCACTACTAGAGTTTTGCGAACTTTCATATTGAAATAAACATCAGCAATATCAAAAAGACCTTCCTGACAAAAGACTCTTTGGAAAAAAAAATTGGGGGAGTTGATTTCTTTATTCAGCTTATACAAGCGCAATGAGACAAACAACTTTGAATTATTAAATTTAGCTGGATTTATGGGGCATTTTCGGTCATGATACACAATCAAGCTCGTCTCTTTGAATTTTTGTTGCTAATATCATGCTAGTCTTTCTATAGCAGTATGTCATTCAACCTTATTTCAGCTATTATTTGCATATCAAACTAAACATTGCAGCCATAATATATGTATATGAGGGATTTTTTTCTGATAATGTTTACACAATTAGATATTATGTTAGATGTTCTAAAGAATGACAAAAAAATTGCTGGATATTTGGCTCTTATATGTTTTGAGTTTTTTTGTGAGATGTCCTTCACTTGAATGTTCCGTTCCCAATGCGTTTTGTGAATGTGACTTCAGAATTCGTGTGCTGACGGATTGAACTTGAGTTTTTAAAGTGTCTTTTCTTTCAGATCATTATCAATGTATATTTTGAACCATTGAATTCATTTAATGACGGTTGCAGCTGCCAATGGTGTTGTCATTGCTACTGAGAAGAAACTACCTTCAATCTTAGTGGACGAAGGATCCGTAAGTGACTTTACGAATTGTTTTGATTGAAACTTATCGATTCGGGTTTGTTTTAAATTAATTGAAGATCTGGCTATTTCAAAACATAATTTAATATATTTTATGTTGTTATTAAATTATAGACAGTTCTTCATTCCATAGATTTTTTTCTTCATGGGCAACATAAAAAACGAATTTAGTGGATGCACAAGATGTACATACTCTTCTACACTTGAGCTCATGAATGAAGCATGCTGAATCTTTGATCATCATTTTCATTTGTTTTCTTGTTGTTTAGTCTTTGTCCTATCATCATCTTAGATTTTCCGTCATCATTGCCAGCATAGTTGTTCTACATAATCATGTCACATCGCATCAGTATGCATTTTGATGCTCTCTTCAATTTCATGTTAGCTGCACTCTTCAAAATGTAAGACATTGCAGTAGATTCTGTCGTCTCTAGTATACCGAAATATGATCCCACCCGAAATGGCCTTTGTTTTTATAATTTTTTCGCAGACATTGCATCAATTTAATTTTCCATCCGTCTCAAATGGATCCAGGTGCCGAGTAATAGTTGCAATAACTGAAATATACTTTATTGTCTTCTTTTTGTGCTGCTCATCTCTCATATTGTCTACGGGCAAGATAGTTCATACAAATATTCTATTGTTAGCTACAGTGCACCCTCTTTTCTGACTTCCTTTCTATATCGTTCATTGTCCAAACGAACACATCTAGTCATTTATTTCTATTACCGTCATTTGAATTTTCGGTACTTCTATTACAATTTTTATATTTTGTCCTTATACAAATATTGGAGTCTGCATAAATGCAGGTCCAAAAGATTCAGCTGGTGACAACGAATATCGGAGTTGTGTACAGGTATGGTTTCAGTACTTGCTATAATGGTACAGCTTCTTCCCTTCACTGTCCAGTTTGTTTCATTTTCTTGATAAGGTAAGCTATATCTTTAAGCAAGTGTCCACAAGTGCTGACCAGATTATCATTCTCAATGGATGCTTTTCTTAGTCAGCCCATGGAACTTGGTCCATTAAAAAGTAAATGTGAAGTGAAAGTTTCTTTTCAATGGTTGGCGTTCGAACAGTCATTTGTAATGTTTTCTTATAGAATTATCAATAACTCTTTCTATTTTAAACGTGTATAGCTAAAGACTGAGAGGTTAACAATCTGCTATTTAGCTGTATCTTACGGTTGCCTATGTGGTGTCTGATATGTTTGTTATGTATCATGTTATTGCATGCTTTTGAGTCACCACATACATGTTGCATCGTGTCATAGCCTGCAGTGTGTAGGGGTCGAATGAAGACCTTCTCGAAATTATTTTATTATTCCTGTAGACCCGTATGCAGTGTTTACTGGACATGAATCAATTTCTATGTTTTCTGTTAGCTCTTTATTGTCTTCCTGATACACGTGAAGTTGATTACTGTTTTGCAGTGGAATGGGGCCAGATTTTCGTGTTTTGGTTAGAAAAAGCCGGAAGCAGGCACAGCAGTATCACAGGTTATACAAAGTACGCTTCCTACTCTCATTTTCACTTGGTTATTTCTTTCATCTTGGGTTTATAAAGTGGATCTTTCTTGGTGTGTTTTTGCCCCCCAATGGAATCTACTGTTTTTATGATGGAAGAATTTCTAATACTGGTGATAGCTGATTGAGTTTGATCTGATGTCTAGTCATGTCATTTATCATGCCGTCTTTCCGTGACACAAAAAGATTCAATGCTCAGTTTTTTCCTGTTCCGTTCGATTCAGTTTTCTTAGGTCTTCCTAATATTACATGTTATGATTCATCCGGAGATCAAATATTTTCAGCCATGTTGAATTTGATGCAGTAGTTCATGTCTTCCCTCGGATAATAGAATCTTCCTTCTACTTGAACTCGTTTAGTGCACGTAACTCCTTTATTTTATGGGCTTTGTTTTGTCTCAATTGTTTAGTGAGCTGTAAGTTTCCAATTGTTCACTCTTGATCATAGAAGTCCTTTCTTTCAATCTGCAGAACTTCTTTCATGGTAGCTTCCTGAATAGCAGTTTGGGCAGTTCTTGGCATAGCATATGACAACTTGTTTATTATTGAGACACCATTTAACTTTCTTTGAAATTATTATTTTACATCTTCTTATCATGGTGTCTATGTCAACATCATGTTATTATCTCGTTGGGAAAAAGGCAAGTCTTACTTGAACTGCCAATATGACGTGTTTGTTCTAAAATGATGAGAAATGTGATCAATAAATGGACCTTATTGTAGCAACATTTTATTATTTTCTGTATGCAATATTTCTCTAGTTGGTCCTCACAAGCAGTACATATACTTGTCATCCACTTGTCATTTCATTAAGCTGGTGAAGTTACCACTTGCTTCCAAGTTCTCACAGACTGCTTTAGAAGGGTGAAGGAAGATCCTCTCACGTTTTCCTGATAAAATTGAATTTGGCTTTCCCAGTTCCCCAATTGATCAGATTGATGATGATCATTAGGATCCGACTTAATGAAAGAAAATGAACTCACGTGTTATTATCTTATATTGCACGTATGCTAGCATCTTAATTCGTGTTGCATTGCCATTGATCTAGGAACAAATTCCAGTGACACAACTTGTAAGGGAAACTGCAACTGTCATGCAGGAGTTCACTCAGTCTGGGTAAGTTTTTTGTCGCTACTTAATTTACTTTCCATTGTGAAAATGCCGCCGCTTTGTTTGTGAATACAGTACAGTCATAATTTATGTGGATTTTTTCCTTTTTTGGCATCAGTGAGAGGTTAGCCAGCCTATGAGCAATGTACATATGTATTTTTTTAGTATGCTTCAGTTTGTTTTTTATGCCTGGCCCAATTTAAATTCAATAGCATACAAATGTTGAAGTTACTTTTATGTTTATGAATACAGTTTTCTTAATAAAATGTTAAGAGTGACTCAGAGGGCAGAGGCGCTAACTTTCATACCTGACTATGCGTTTAGATTTCTGTAATATTGATGTCACAAAATCAAATCATTGTCTGCTCTTTTCAGAGTCTGTGGCAGTAAAAAGATCCTGTACAATTAATACGTGATTACACCCTTCTCTGTGGAAATAGACCTTCATTCTCCTCTCATGTGAATTGAGGATTTGCTGCTTTTCATCTTGTAGCCTGATTTTTATTTATGATCCAAAAGCTGCGAAGTTAAGTTTCAGTGGAAAATGTCAGGCCTTCTTGTTTTTATAACTCTCTGTTTCCTTAACTGCAGCAAATGTTATCCATTTTTTCAATTAGTCCTTTTCAGCTTATCTCCTTTTTAAACTTTATGTTGTAAATGATTGAATTTATCTGTCTCTTTTTTGTTCCTTTTGAGGTTTGCATAACATTTGCCATTTGACTGATATAAGAACTCTTTGGGTGTGAAATAGATCCTATGTGTTGAAGTACTTAGTTTATTTGTTTTATTTTCCTGTAGTGGCGTGAGGCCATTTGGAGTTTCACTTCTGGTTGCTGGATACGATGATAATGGCCCCCAGCTGTACCAGGTACCTACTACTGCACTGATGAAGCTTTTCTCCTAATTGAGCAAACTGTGGATGTTACAATCTGAAATAACTATCAACAGGCAGTTCCGCCAAGTGCATCCACTTCCTGCTCTGTTGCAGACTCCAAAAATGTAGTTTTGCAGTGGATAACCCCCCAGTTTTAGGTGATACTTAGTTGTTGTTGGAGGGCAACTCATGATTGCAATTAAAGTATTGTTACTTGATGGAATACACACGAGCACCAGATAATGTCCTATCCTTATATGTCGTATACATCTGTCCATTTTTTTATCAATCTATGGGAAAGTCCAGACCTTATAGTCACCCTACTCGTGAGAAGTGTGAAGGAAGAGATGAACAGAGTCCTGATGCAGGTGCCAATGCGTAATATGGGTACTTAAATACTATTCAATATATGTGCACATGCATTAGGACTCTGTTCATCTCTTCCTTCACACTTCTCACGAGTAGGGTGACTATAAGGTCTTTTGCTGTCCGTTATTTTGAAATTGATAAATTCCATCGATTAAGCATACATGTACTTTCCATCGATTAAGATAATGTCTGTTATTTTGAAATTGATAAATTCCATCGATTAAGCATACATGTACTTTCTATATTTTTCCTCTTTTGCTGCATTTCTCTCACTAGAGATGATGAAAGCATTAGAAAATCTTACTTTTTCCGTCTTTTGCAATAGGTTGATCCTTCAGGGTCATACTTCTCCTGGAAGGCTTCAGCTATGGGCAAGAATGTTTCTAATGCAAAAACATTTCTCGAGAAGAGGTACTTTGCTACATTTTGTTGGAAACATTAATGACGAAAATATAGCTGTTCTACAAGCTAATCCCCTTTTTACAAGTTTTCGGAAAGCTCGCCTGGCTATTCGTTTTGAGCCTGAACCTAAGTAGGGTACATATGTTGATATTTTTTTCTTATTTTGTCGACATCTTTAATCAGATGAATTTTTATCCACTCATGTCTGTGCATGTATTTTATGCACCTGTTTTGTCTCTGAATCGTTGCTAGCTTTTGTGTACTTGGTATTGTGCTCGTTGACATTCTTCTGTCAGCCAGTCATAGATTCTAACTAATTTCCTCCACTTACCATAAGTCGGAAACTAACTTCAATTATGTCTTTGTGATGTTTAATTGAATGGAGTGAGGGTCTAAAGTGGGATTTATCCGCCACTTTGCTCCTCTTTTCCGAAAAATAGCATCAACGATTCTATTGTGCAAGTTTCGTATTAAGTTTGTCTTGGTGGCTTTGCTCTGTCTGCAACAGTAAGGTTAGGTATTAGGTTGTAAAAGGAGGCATGCTACAACCCAACACATGTGACATCAGCCTTGCAGCGAACTTTAACAGGTGCCCTCTATCTAGTTAATCCGCAGACGTTGCCCTTTGAAATCGATCAGGGAGACCCTGGTAAATCCAACAGTAGATGATAGCCTCAAATGTGCGATTTTGTTGTACTGACTCTGCAAAATTATCTTGATCTTGAGAGTTGGGCAGTCCTGCACTTTTGGGCCTTTTCTACATGAAACCCACCCATAATGTACCACCACAACTGGTATGAAGTCCAGTTGTTCAAAAACATGGGGCAAGTGCGCTTAAAGCCTATCTCTATTGGCTGTTCTCTCACCCTATCAGTCGGATTTAGACTGATCCCAACTCTCCCTGTTGAGTTGAGATCAAAAACATGGGGCAACTCATGTTTCACTTGGTTAGATATCTACTATGAGGGTGCTCAATCCTCTTATCCTTGTGCGCATCCCCCCTTTTCCGTCTACCTCATAATTGGTGCAGTAAAACTCGTCATTCAATGACTTATCCTGTTTTTTTATATTATTATTATTATTAAATTTTATTTATTTATTTAACTGGGGCTGCGAATTTTAAAAGTTCTCTGCTTCCATTAGGTACACCGATGATATGGAGCTTGATGACGCTGTCCACACAGCCATTTTGACTCTGAAAGAAGGGTATTTCACGCTGGCATCCTGACTGTTCTCGTTTCCACTTTGATGCCTCCTATTTAATGCTTGTGCTTTGCCAACTGTTCAGTTTTGAAGGCCAAATATCTGCAAAGAACATCGAAATTGGCATCATTGGCGCTGACAGAAAATTCAGGCAAGATTATTCTCTTGTTGCACGTTCTTAAATGAATTACTGAGATTATATCTTCTTTATCATCAATACTACGACACATGGTTTATTTCAACGCAAATGATCTGGTACATTGGCCGGGCTTCTGGGGGAAGGAAGAAATTAGAGTTCATTTCCTATGCCGGATCTATTCTGGATAAAAAAAGAAAGCGAGCCGCAATCTTAGTAAAGGGAAAATGGTAGACAAATTATGAAACTGCTGGTGGATGTTCAGTGAATAATATCGTTTGGAAGCTCGATCTCTACAACTCCAGGCTGTTTCTAGTTTCCAAACTATTAGGATTATGAAAAAATCTCAACCCAAAACTCAATCCTTGCTATATACATGATGAAAACACCAGTTCTTGGCCGAATGCCGTTTCAATTGAATAGCTCACGTGATTGATTATTTTCTTTTCTTTTTTTGTTTTCTTCAAATACCCTGCTGAATTTATCTCAAATACTTTTATTTATTTCCTCCAATCTCTGGTTGCAGAGTCCTCACACCTGCTGAAATCGACGACTACTTGGCTGAAGTGGAGTAGTCCATCCATCCATCCACCTGATATTACTTCTTCCCAGAGGAGATCACTCTTCTGCATGGGGATCCTGTTAAAGCTGGGTGGTCTAGGAATTTACTCTTCTGTGCTGATTTATTTCTAGGGAATTCTTCCACTTTTCGACTGTACCCAACTAAGAGAAATACCCAGAAAGGAAATGCCCCAAGAATTATTATGATTTCCTTAAATTGCCCAGAACAGCTATAAATAATCAGACGACTTTCAGCCAAAAGTCAGCCTTAAATCTTTATAAAAAGAAGACCCACATCGGGCAGCGGCAGCAGCACCAGCAGCAGCAGCAGCCTCAGCCTCTCAGTAGCGGTACTTGGTGGAGTAATCCTTGGGAGCGATCACCAGCCCGCGGCCCTTCCGGGCTCCTCGGTAGACGGTCTCGATGATGTCGATGAACTCCTGCTTATCCTTCAGCGCCCAGTTGATCTTGTTGTTGTTACCGGTTCCGAGATCGATCATGATGTGCTTGTTGCGGAAGAAGAACATCACCGTGGACGGGTCGTAGAGCTCGTACATCGTGTTGAAGTCGGGCACCTCAGTTATGTCAACGAGGTATATGACGGCGAAGTTCTTTATCGTCTCCGCCACAGAAGCCAAAACCTCGTCCATCTACGGCCACAAACTCGTTAGAAACCAAAACTAGATGGGCTTTTCTTGCCAGATAAGGAAGCTGACAGACCAGCTTTCTGATTTGTCAGCTTTTTATCCAAAGTGCATAAAAACAATACCTAGACGGCCGTTTTATCCAAAATTGGAAATTTAGTCAAAGCCAAGGATTTTCTCAGGCTATGCGACAGAAGATTCGAGCTTCAATCGAAAATCGGATAGGAATGGGAGTGCCCACGAGTTTTCTTGATGGACGGCAACTGAAATCCATGTGCTGTCCCAGTGTGGCTAGGAAAGAAATAAGATGGGCATTCTCCAAAGAAGAAATTTAGTCAGAAGAAAGGAAATGGAGACTACCCATCAGAAAATCAAGGCTCAACAAGAAATCAGACAAGAAAAATCAGAATATCCACAGATTAGATTGATCAACGCCAACTAAAATTCACACCTTGCCGGATGGTAAATTAAATCAAATAAAAAAGTCAAACAGGCTCCACAATCATCATGCTCCACTACATGATATTCTTTTCCATTAGGTACAAGATAATCACTAAACCGAGCATTATATGCCAAAAATATGAGGTACCAGTCACCAAGGACGAGATAATCAATGGTGACTTTACTAAAAATAAAATATGAGGTGGGTATCCATTTCTTTTTTAGGATCGATGAGGTAGCTCAATGCCAATGAAGGCTGAGACTGTAATCCGTCTGTCCTCAATTCTACAGCAGTGGTATTTAGACTGGCTTTCTACTAAACTCTGAGGAAAGCAGATCCCACGCTGCCGTCATACTACTATTAAATATAATAAATATTTTATTAGTAGTAGTAATAGAGCCACAGTTGTTCTCCGCATCAGATTTCTCATGACAAATATGACATAGAAATTTAGTGGTCGATGTTTCTATGTGATTTTGGGAAAAATGACATAGAAATTTCTATCTTTCTATGTGATTTTGAGAGCTGATTCCTTTCCGAAACGGAAGTTGAGCCCCATACAGCAGACCACAAGCACAGGTCAACTCGCTCGAAACGATCATTGCTCCGGCAAAAACAGCGAAGGCAATCAACCAAACACCAGAGAAGCGATTCCTGCGACACTCGGTTCTTTGATCTTCATCTCTCCGCAAAAAAAAAAGCCCTATTCCGTCACTCTACTGCCCGGTGCGAGAAAACCCCTAAAGTTCGTCAGCTACACCGGTAAGATTCGGGACGTAAAGGCCGAAGCGCGGACGAAGAACTCGAGATCGAAGGGTTCCAGAAGAACACGGATGGAACAGCTAATAGAAGACGGCCCTAGGGCGGCACGAAGCTACAAAGCAGATCAAGAATCGAAGGTGATGGTAAAACCCACCTGCATACAGGTCTCGTCCCAGTCATGCCCGAAACGGATGACGACGAGTCGCTCCTCCTCGGCGAGGATCGCCTGATCCACCGCCCATCCCGAGTGCAAGTGCGGCAACAGGTACGACATCCCCGCCCACAGACCTGCTGCCGCACCCTCCTGCCGCTTCTTCCCCCACCCTCTCTCTGTCCCTGTCCAAAAAGGCTACTCCTTTACCTGCTTTATGGGTATTTCCTTTAATCTCCGAAAAAGACCACACGGGCGCGGCCCCAAGCTGAATTGCAAACGAAACCCTCAAACCACGTCTCAAGGTAGAGGGAAAGATCATACGGAGAGATTAAAAAATACTTTTTTGTCCTTTAAATTCATTGCAAACTACAATAATCATCAATATTTATATATTTTTCAGTGGAATTTCAAAGTATCCGAAACTAATTATCTGATTACGGTTTGCGTACAAATGCGCACAAAAAAGTATTAAATTAACCTCGAATGTATTCCACCCTCTCTCTCTCTCTCCCTCTCTTTCTTGCGATTATCACGCATAGCTACAAATGACCCAAAAAATAATACAAATATATAAATATACAATTTTTTACCAATAAAAAATAATTAATTATTAAAAATATGGAAACATTCATGGAATTTGATAGTTTTTTCGACTTTTGCATAAATGTTGGACAAGAATAAAAACATGAAATCTTTACTTATCATTTCCCGTATACTGATATTTGGGCCTTAAATTTAATTTCTCAAATAAAGTTGAGCCCAATCCAACTTCAGATAAATATGAATAATAATAATAATAAATTAGGAACTCTATTAAATTATGGAGATATTTACTGGTAAATGATAGTAAATATGATCGATAAAAAAAATTCACTGGAACGATTTATTTTATTTTTTTTCTACTCGAAATGACCCTTGCCTATTTCTTGTGCATGTGATGACCAGATTAATCGAGATTTCCATACATAGGATAGAAAATAATTTTCATCCGAACAAAAATAAAATGGCATACATACATATTTAGATATTGGCAAAAAAATTCTGCACAAAATAGCATCTATATTGTCCGAAATCATCCAAGATATCGGAGTAACACGCCGTCATTTCCCAGCACAAATCCTTTGGTATCGTTGACAAACCTGCATTCAAGCCAAGTTGTTGGTTTCAGGCAATCCAAATGAATCCCAAGCAGTGCACAAAAAAGTCAACGCAAATTTAATTTAAAGGAAGTTATCTGCTACTCATGGGAAGATCCCTCATTATTTCCGTGCATTGAGAGTTTCAGTAAGATGTTCCATAATAGCACCCATTCAAATCCTGAAGAGTCAAGTGAGAGAGATGAAGTGATGGAGGTGTATGCAAAGAAAAGGCCAACATAATGGTGAAGTCAACACTGATTGAGAACACTACTAATGGAAAGATTCCCTTGAAGAATCCAGCAGGATGTCTACGCAGAATCTTCTCATGAAGATTGAAGTAAGAGAGATGAAGTGCTTCAAGGGCAGGATGAAAAGAGACCCAAAAGTCAATCTGGCATGGAAGTCAACAATAGTCTACCATGGTTCTTCACAATTGCGAAGAGGATTCCTTGCGATATCTGTGAATTTGGAGTGCTGATTCTACTCCTGAAGACGGGAGAGAGATGAAGTGATGAAAGTCCATCGTAAAACAAGGCATAGAGTCCGATGAAGACATGAAGTCAACGCCATTGGACAAACTGACCTCTATTTATGGGAAGACTAATTAATCGTATACGTGAATTGAGAATTCGGCAAGATATTACACAAGACCACCTATGCTACTCTTCAAGAATGAAGGGAGGGAGGGAGGGGGAGAGAGAGAGAGAGAGAGAGAGAGAGAGAGAGAGAGGGCATCCTGGACTCTCTCTGACACGAGACCCAATGAGGAAATTATCTGGAAGAAATGCCCAGTGGGGGAAAAAGTCACTTACTTTACAGAATAAAGGTTGGCGGCGATATTATCCGCAGCTTTGTCACGACTCCATGTCCTCCCACCATCTGTGGTTCTCAACAGAACACCACTGCCGCCGGCAGCCCACGCTTCATCCTGGTAGATTGAAGTCAAAATCATCAGCCCATCCATTAGCACAGGGCGCTGATGCAGCACTGTGCAGGTTCTGGCTCTACGAAATCCGAATCTGAGAACGCAATCATTCACTCACTACCTTTGAGCGATATCCGACATCAAGAATACCGAAGCCGCGGCTCCGAACAGGAACTTCCTCAAATTCCTCATTGATCTGCGATTGAGGAACATTTCAGAAACGCTCCGAATTCAGACAGAACAAAGCACGAGATTGATCAACTAAGTGGGGTCAACTCATGAGAATTATCAACTAAAAAGACTTTCTAAATCAATGCGTGGCCCATCTTCGTTTCTGAAATCAAATCAGTTCAGAAAAATTCAGTTTTTATACATCTGGGGGCGGTATTTGGAGCACAGAGTTCTGGGTGTTCTACATTTTATTGTGATTTCTCTTACCCCGGTGCCTTTGCTGAGGAAGAGCCCACCACCACGGGCCAGGAGCCAAAGACCACCATCAGCCCTCCAACCCATGTTCTGGATTCGCCGCGCAACAGCTCTATTATGTGGTTGCCAGTATGGCTGCAAGGCATGAAAGGATGTGATGACAATAAAATCACGATCTTGCCGCATAACTGGCAGAGCATGGCGTTTAGTTCTTTGGAAAAACGAGATTGCATGAGAGGTTTCACAATCAATAAGCATGCAAGACGGCATAATTAAAACTATATGGTTCAATCGATATTTTACCAGATGAAACATACAGAAAACAATAAAAGATGTGATCTCTTAGCCGCAAAGGTTGAAAGGGCAAAGAAGAAGAAATAAAATGATTCGAATGAAGATGAGAAAGATACGGAAATAGGTCTGGTGAATAGAAACGGAATAGAGTGGCAGAAGAGGATATATGGCCCCAAAATTGGTTAATCAGGGTTTGGCAGATGGCAGTGGTGGTGATGACGACCTAATCAATCATTTGTGTGAGACATCATTAAATAATCCCTTTCCATTTTATCCATTAAAGAAGATCACAATCACAAAGCCTTCAATGGTGAATAAAATAAGTGAGAGGATCAGCTCAAGGTGATACACAGTTAGATAATTTGCTCGTAAGTGACTATAATTTGACCTCATTTTTGAACCAGCCTTTATTTCATGAATCAAACTCATAATCATAGAGCTTCAGTAAATCTTCAGCCTCTGAAAGCAAATAATCTAAAATCCAAGGATAGGGAATCTCATTTTCTCCCTCTATCTTTCCATCAAACGCGTTTCTGAAGTGTTCCCACAATAGCCGTCAGTTCACACCATCCCATGCATATCGGCCACCTTTCAACTACCACCTTTCGGCCGTAATTTCAGAATACTAGTCCTGGATGAGAACAATTCTACCTTCAGATACAGGGATCTATTAACGTGCACACTCTCTGTCATGGTAGGAAAATTTCTTCATTGCATTTTTTAAGAAGAGAAGTCCACTTGAGGAGCCAAATCACCATAACCTCCCGCGATCTAACTGAATAGATTGAATTTCGGTTTCTGCCATCTTCCCAACGACAATATACGAGGTATTGTCTTTCCAGCAAGGTTTACTTGAAAGAAAAGGTAATATCTTTACTTGGATGGCACATACTATTACACGTATTTAGATACATTCCATCAGATCAACAGACTATGGGACGATCCATTTAACAAGGAGATTTACAGCTGTTTTCAGTAAGAGAAAGTTCCCACTTTTGAATCTTATCATTTTTTCTTGATTTTTTCTCAGTCAATAGCATAAAAGCAAAGAAATTAAAAAAAAAAGGAATATGGTAAAACCAAAGGAGATAAAGGGCATCGCATTCAATAGCTCTACTTAGATCTGATCTCTTTTCATGACGTCATTTAATTATGTAGCCTGAACTGAGGTGAAAGTCTCTCGGGTAATTAGCATCTGATTGACAGAACAAATGAAATAAAGTTTGTCTCATTAGCTAAGGAAACACATAGCACGTTTCCATAATCCAGTATCAGGTCTACGACAACTTGGAAGAAACCACACATTTTCAAGGCATCCACAAATATCCTAATTCCTAACTAGGAATTATAATACCCCAGCTACTGGACACAAGGCAGTCATCTGTAGAGATTATGACCAGTACCAGCTACCATAGGCCATAGGTCTATAATCAATTAGAATCCAAGAACTTGGCAAAGTTCTTGGAAACAGCTTCCTGTGACTTGAATCTTCTACGGTCATCAGCTATGTACAAGCATAAAGTTCAATGAAGGGGTCTCGGGAGCCACCTGTCCAGGTTGCCAAGTCAGATAGAAGTTACCACGGCTAGAAACTGCAACATATTTTCCATCTGGAGAACGATTCACTGTATTGAATGTTCCCGTGTAATAACTTGCTCCACTAATGCCACTTGAAACTGTCCTGCAAAGGAAATACTGTTCAAGTTAGTTTAAAACCGAGTATGACACACGATATTTTTTCTAAAGAAAACATGCACCAAAAAGTAGCATTACATGAAGAATTCTTTCACATCACAGAATGAGGTCAGAAATTCAATTTAAATTATTGAGAAAAAATGTGTTACATTCGTTCCATGCAGAATCAGTCTGAACCACAAAGAAAATCATTTTAATTTGACCACAAAACTCTCCCAAAAAGAATTTAAATCCATTTTGAGCAATAATAATCCCCAAGAAAAAAAAATATTATGCCTACCAAATCACAAAAACAAGAGGACTGGATCTGTATCATGTGACCCATAAGACATAGAATATGGTTTACTAGGACTTTATTTTCAGGGCTATTAAATCAATACCCAAGTCCCACTCCATCAACCTCGTTGGCAACCCCCATTTAAATATGCTTCCCTTCTTGTCAGTTCCCTTGCCATTTCCTAAGGAGTTCATTGATCTTCACTGTTCATTCCAAAAGTTACTTCATCATGACTGAAGAATAATTCTAAAAGTTACAATTGGTACAAGTCGTTCACTAACAATTTAAGTCTCTCCAAGCCATGGTTTACCGAAAATGAAGCATTTTCAGTGAAGTACAGAAGACTTGTGCGCAATAATTCTAAGAAAAACACAGATCTCAGAAAGCCCATCAAGAAGTCAAATATAGAAACATCACGATCCCACACATTACACAGATTAGACAATGTAACAAACGATCTCATCCTCCAGTTAGCAAATTCCATGGGTGTATTCTGATGTAAAGGAACTTAGCTGACTATATAGCAAACGACCACGATTTGACCCACTTTCTCATCCTCGAGAGCAATCCTAGTTTGCTCTATCCAGATACCGTATAGGCACCCAAAGCTCATCTAGTTTACAGTTCATTCACTAATGCCATTTAGTTTACGCTATGGTATGGGCGCACATTTAGTGTCAGCAGTGATACATCCCTAAGGTTAGTGGCGCACACATCACTAAAGCTAATTTTCCAGAAAGAAGGCTTTGCAAGAGGATTGTGCACATGCCGTGAGAAATGGAATCATCTGCAGAAGAAGGGGATCCTTTCTGGAGAAGGAGAATTAATTTATTTATTTATTTAAAGACGCTGAGAAGGGGAAAAAAGCAGAATAAAAGAGAAGACATTCATCAGGACGAATACCATAATAACACGATAAAAAGGAAATCACATGAGATCTGATGCAATAATGACGTAAAGTACAAGAGTAAGTATATCCGAAAAGATATTTAACTGGTGCTTCAGCTGTAATGTCAACAAGTCTCCCCAATTAAGTACAAACTGGTATCTTGGTCAGTTAATACAGTGTACCTGTTTAGAGTAGCCGATACTGTCTCCTGAACAGCAGCCTTCCAGTTGTATCCCTTGTTCGATGTGACATAAATCGCTCCTTCGTCAGTGACCATTTCTGCACTTTGTTCCCCCGTTGCTTTGATATAAACCTACATAAGCCAAAAACAGCACACATAAAGCTTATTAGAAGAAGGCTCCACGGAAGCATCCCATTAATGGAAACTGGGCTTTACCATATCTCCAGGAAGCTGAGAACTCAATGGTATCCTCTGCCAGTTTTCACCAGCATCCGAAGTGTAAAGAAGGATAGCAGGCTTTCCAATAATCCAGCCCTCCTTATCTTTGAAGCTTATGGAATTAAATCTGTAGTTGAAGTCCTCGTCTTCCGCAGAGGCGATGGATCGTGGGAACCAAGTGTTTCCTCCATCTTTTGTCTCCAAGATAGTTTGCCTTGTCCCAAGGAGAAACCCTAAATCAAAACAAAAGAATATAGCCTCCTCAGAATAAAAGCAACCCATTCGATTTATCTAATTTCAATAGATTACAGTTTGCAGTTGTTAGATAGTCCTGAGCCTATTGAGCCCCTGTTTAAGGATCGAAAACCATAGGAATTAATAAAGAATAAATCAGTCTCCGGATTCAGAATGCGAGACAATGTCATAGACGCAATCAATCATCAGAAAACAAACTAATCCCTCCTAGAGAAATGTTAAATAATATACGTATGAAACCATATTTCCTGGGCAATGAGGAACCCTGATCACGCTTGCGATGATGTTTTCCAAGTAAAACCCAATATGTAGTAAACCAAGAACAAGGGCATTAGCAATCATAGTTTTCAATTGGGTTTGCAATGCAGCATTCGTTTGGAGGAAAGATCAAACATGTGAGCATGGCAATCACAGAGGATGATTTACTGATTCACGATGCCAGCAACAATACATAGAAAGCTATAAATTGATATCTCCTTCCCTAAGTGAGCCATGAACATTTCTTATATTCGTTCGCTGATGATGGGGATGAGACAGTCACGTGGATACAAGCAAACCAATGCGGGGAAATTCGACAAGACAGTGATATAATATCTCGTTGAAAATGAGCGATTAGACGTATAATACGTATGGCATTATCTTGAATCCGGACTCAATTCCGCGTGAACATCTGCGATTCTGATTCAAATCACTCGATGAAAGAGTGATGCTCTACACATGTAGATTACGTCCAGGAATCATGGCAAGCTCGTGGACAGCGAAAGGAAAAGAGAGAGAGAGAGAGAGATATGGATGAACGAACCGTGGTTTGGGTCGTCGGGGACGAAGGCAATGTCCAGGAGGACGACGCCAGGGTTGACCGGAAGATAAATCCTCTCCCAGTCGGCGAGAGGGGCCTCCTCCGACCGCGCCGCTTCAGGGAAGCTGACCAAGGGCCCGAGGGAGAGCGGAATGGCGGCCGCAGCAGCCTCCCCCAAGAACTGGCGGCGACTCTTCGCCGGAGAATTGGAGGGGTGATCGAGAGAGGCCCTAGGGGAGACACGCGACTGGGGGAGGCAACGAGCTACGTGCCTCGGCTTCACGTGGAAAGAGGGAGATGCAGAAGAGCCCAAGGACGGCCGGAGGAGAACCAGGTTTGAATCGGTGAGCCGAAGGCTCGCCATTGCCGAGATGGGCGATGTTCTTCCTCGACCGTCTTCTCCCCAAGGCTACTGCTTTCTGCTGCTGCCGCTGCACCTCTCGCTCAGTCGTAATCTCCTCCTCTTATCTGCAGGCCACTTCACTACCTTCACAATTTCCTCTCGTTCTTCCCACAGAAACGATCGGACGGCTGACCGCACGCAGTAACCGCGAGCCGCATCTCCCCTGTGGGACCCACGTTGACCCTCTTGACCCCTCGTGGAGCCACCACGGCCTGTTGTTGTCTTTGATGATTTCTAGCCACAATAATCATCGACCCGCTTGTCCATAATTTCGAATTAGCATTGGTCAACGCCACCGGGCTTCAAGATTGGACCCTATTAAAACCCGAAATGACTCAGTCGCCTACCTACTCTGGCCGGGTCATGTTCCTTCTGGCCTGATTTCAAGCCCCAATAGTTGACTTCTACAGGTCAACGAATGCCTTACCTTTTTGTTAAAACATATATGATCGTATTATGTGGGTGATAACTATCCAATGTATAAAGTAAAAATTATTCTTTATTTTTTAAAATATATATGGGAATTTGATGAATTGACTCGGATAATGAGATTAGAAAATAGAAGAGATATGAAAAACCCAAAGTGATCGATTTCAGAGTCCGAATTGGATCAAACCGGTGAAGATGGGTTGGAATTGACCCAGGCAATCGATTCAAATACACAGAGTAGTGGATCACATCGAGACAATCATGAAAATTTTACTCAAATTGTCACGAACCATTGCCGAGTAGGATAAACCCATCAGCCGGCGGCGCAGCTTCTCCCTCCGCCGGCGGTCTCGACGAGGCGGCGCGCAGCCGAGGGAGACAGTAGAGGCAGGCGCAAGTGCAAAAGACGGCGCTTGTCCGGTCAAAGAACAGCAGGAGTAGCAGCAGCACGACGGCCAGAAGCCACGGGCTAGCGGCTCTGCCCTCACCGCGGGGAATGGTGCTGGAGATTTGAGACGTTGCGGCGGAGATCGATGGCGGGCAAATGCCACCCCCGGTGGCGCCTGAGATGGAGGAACAGGCGACCCCGAGGGAACTGGGTGGAGTATAAGTCTCTTCCCCAAGGTAAACGAAGGGGAGACGTAGCTGCTGCTGCTGCCGCGACCGGTGGTGAAAGGACGCGGCGGCGGGATGCTCAACCTCAGAGCCAGCGCCACTACTCTCCGGCCTCTCCTTCATCTTCGTGGGGGTTTCCCCATCTTCCTCTGGCGACTTCCATCGAAGCGAGATTCTTGCCTTCAGAAGTCCCCGGAAGAAGCTATGGTCCTGCGTATCACCGTCCGCCGCCGGCGGGATCTTCGTGGGAGCCTGGATCTTCTTGCCTTTGCCTTCTGCGTTTTCCTTCTGTTGGCCCCCGCCGCGAGCTCCGACCCAGTCCGCCGTTGGTGCTGCCGGATCGTCCAGGGGAACGGTCTTCTTGCTCCTCCTGGACCTCCACCGCCTGAGCCAGGGAGCTCGCCGGCTCGAAGCTTCCGGGCCGCCGGCGGGGGATCCTCTGAAGCACGACGGGGGCAAGAAATACCTCCTCTCTCTCGTCGTCCTCCTCCTCCCTTCGCTGTTGACTTTATCCGTCATCTCCTCCGCCGGCGGCCGGGAACTCGGGAGATGGTTGGGAGGGTGTTGGGATTTCCCGATTGATCAATCCCAAGTCTACTCGGTCTTCAGCGGAACCAATCTATTTATTATGCAACTACATTAATCACGGAAACAAAAGGTCAACCCAGCCGTCCAATCCATCACGTACACCGGCCTATGCCGCCACAAGGATCTGGTCAAAGAAAGTGACCCCGTTCGCCTTGTTCACGAGGGTCAACCGGCTTCGCGCGTTTTCCTCGAAGGAAGGCGGAGGACGCTTAACACGCGGTTGCCTGTTCCATGTGACGTCACCATCTTTTCTTCCCACACAAGAACAACGCCCAGAGATGGCCGGGTGATCTGTTTCTTCCAGGCCCGTCTTCTGTCGCGAGGACCAGTCAACCCGGTTGAGTCGGGGTTGACCATGGCAAGCCCATCCACCGCCGAATGCCCCGGTTGAAGAAAATAACCCGAAAAAAATATAGAATGCAACTCGCAGCTTATGAGTTCTAACATTATGAGCTAGAGAAGAGAAGGAGATGGTCTACCGTATGAGGTTCGTTTATTCATTAGAAGCATGATTTAAAAGTCAAACACAAAAAAAATCAGGGCAGTCACGATCTAATTCTACTCGATTCATTGACAAACTCATGGAGATCGAAGAGTATCCACAATAACTGGTCAACGACCATTAAATAATTTAGATATATATTTTGCTCGTTTCAGTTAATGGGGTGATTCTAAGAACAAAACCAGTTGCATTTTCAATCGAATTCATGATAGCATGTGATATCTAATATAAAGTCAACTGACAGTTCTAAGAAAGTCAGCGGTGGACGCAGTTAGGAGAGAGTCAATGAACTTAAATTCTAACTCCCTGGCAGATCTCCCAACCCTGGTTCACGTGCGCTTTCACGCGGAACTGAGTGCAAAATCAGATCTCTCTCTCTCTCTCTCTCTCTCTCTCTCTCTCTCTCGTGGCGATTCTCAGTGATATCTGAGTCAACGGCCCTCCCGAGCCCTAAGATTCCCGACCGATGCGAATCAGTGGCAGGGAGATCCAGCCAAGCGATGATGAGTAAACTAATAGCGCCAGAAGAGAGAGAGCTTTCGATCATTGGGAGCTTAGGATCTTGAACAAGACGAGAGGAGAGAAACGGCCGAGATTTCCACCGGTAGAGTTGACTTTGAATACCCGCGACAAGATTATTATATCGATTAAGACCAGAGACTGGCCCTACGGGCACTTGTACTTGCCCTTAGGGTTCTTCATGTTGGCGTAGCAGGGGCACAGGGCCCTGGTGTCCGCGCCGGTGCCGGGAGGGACGCAGTTGCACCTCCCGCAGCACACCATGCACATCTTCAAGCACATCTTCGGCTTCCACGACCGGCTGCACCGCACAGCGCACGCTCCGCCGCAGTTCATCGCCGCCGCCGCCGCCGCCGCCGCTGGTGACGGCGCCGAGCTCCCCTCCTGCAAAGTTTCCGAGAAACCCGTAAGAGGAAAGTCACAAAAGGGCGGCCTCCGCCTGCCGACGGCCAAACCAGGGACGTTTGGTGAGGAGGAAGAACGAGATTAACCGCGAGGACGAGGAGGAGGAGGAAGAAGGCCGGGAGGACGCGGTAAGGAGCCATGAGAAGAGCAAGGAAAAAGCCGGGCGCAGGAGAAAGCCCTGCAAGCCCTAAAATATATACAGCCGAGGGGAGCGAGAGGGAGGTCACATCTGGCACATGCAGGCAAAGGTAGATCGGGGGAAGTGGGAGTCCAATGGAGGCTATGGATAGACCTTGCTTTGTACAGCTAAGCTCGCAGTTTACCACCATTAAACCCAGATCTCTATCAGGGTTATCGGGGAAGAAGGGAGCCCGGGCACGTGAAGGGTGAGACGATGCACGTTGCAGAGATTCCCCCTGGTCCGACCGGTTACCCTAGGCGGAGATGGCAACAACCTTTGGATCTGCAAGACGGAGTAGGTGATGGATATTTTATTGCCCCTTGTAGAAGATTCACGAGCAACCCCCTGCTCTCTGTAAATCCGCCAAATCTCAAACTCTTTAACAAAATGGTGGTTTATAAATGGTATTAAATATATTTTCTACTTATAGAGATTGGACATTCATACTGCAAATCCGAGGAGCATGCCAGATTACTTTTATCGGATATGGCGGATTAAATCATTAATGTGAATAGATATATGTTTACCCATAGTCATCGGGAAATTAATAAATGGGGAGGAGGAGTGATGGGAATCATTGGCACTTAGTCTTAGGTTGGATTGCATCCGATTATGATCTTTAGATGATTCAGGTAGGAATCGATGTGGTTTTTCTTGTTGAAGAATATGATCAAGGACAGGTGTTTTCCGACTGCATGATGTTGTCACAGTTTCTCAGTCAGCCGCTCCGGGCACCTCGCACCGGGTCAGGCAGAGCAGGTCCTCGCCGTCAAGGGGAGCACTCGCCGGGCGTCGCTCCGCCGAACCGCGCGGCGTCCTCGCAGTAGTCGTAAACGAGGTGCCTCTTCCGCACCCATTTGAGCTGACGCTGCTGGTGCGGGGTCAGGCCGCTCATCTCCGGCGAGTCCCACCACGACGGCCGCCGCTCGCCGCCGCCGCTGCCCGCCGTGGAATAGGCGTCGATGTCGAAGGCCCGGAAGGCCGTCACGAACGGCGCGTGACTCCAGTTCGTCTTCACCCTCCCTCCTTGCGTCGCCCAGTCGTCGGCGTTCCATACGGAACCATAGATCCCCATGGGCTGGTTCTTCGGGAAGGGAACTCCGCTGGGCTCCTTGTTACTGAAGACCCTAATCGGAACGCCGTCCACAAGGAACCTGCAGACGTGCCCAGTTCGGTTTTAATGGAGGAAAGAGAGACCTTCATCACTGTGAAGCAGATGAGATTATCTGCTGGTTGATTTATCACCTTACATGGTAGCGGTTCCAGAGCAGAGAGTAGGAATGGAAGTCGGCTGTGGGGTCGAACCAGAGCGAATGCCGCTGCTCCCGGTTGCCGGAGCCGTTGACGTAGACGTTGGTCTGGACGAGGTAGGGCTCTCCGGTGACGTTGCCGAGGAACTCGAAGTCTAGCTCGTCGTGGTTCCCTCCTTCCGAGGCCATCTTTGCGAAGAAACGGAGGACTGGTTAGGGTTAACGTGGAGGTGGAGGAAGATGAGGAAGAGGGGATGACAGACGTAGAAGGCCGTCACGGTGCCGGCGGAGTCCCCGTGGATGAGCTTGATCTGCACGCCGACCTGGCCAAACAGGTACTTATCCTTCGACGCGAAACCACATCCTACAGGGAACAATAGTGACAGGGAGATGAGTTGATTTAGAAAGCTACTGACAAGGCCTGAGAGAGAAGTAGAGGCGGCGCCGCCTCCGTCGGCGATGCCGGAGACGACCGAGGAGCTACCGGAGGTGTTGTCGAGGGAGAGACTCAGCGGTTCCCCGTTTTCGGATAAACTGATGTGATCGGGTGACCAGTCGGCCTGGAAGTTTCGACTGAAGTTGACCGGCGCCGCCAGTGCCGACAGCCGGGTGGCCATAACCAGCATCACGACGGAGAGCTGGATTTGCCGTGAAGCCATGGAAGCTCAGATGGTGCTCTCTCGCTATGGCCGCCCCCGAGAGGAGCCTGTGATATAAGAAGTGGGCACACCGCCGTTGGCCGGCGGCGGGGCCCGGTGATGACCTGTGGAGCACTGACGGTGAAGTATTTCCGGCGTCACGCCGCCGAGGGCCTGCCGCTTTGTCCGGGGAAAGAACGGCCACCACGGCGGTGGCCAGGAAGGGGGGGGGGGGGGACCGCCACTGCAGCGGCGTTGTCGGTGCGTTCCTGCATTTTTTTCTACCTGGCCGAAACGGAAGCCTTTTGGGACAGGGGAGAGGGTGACGAGGACACACGTGCGTCTGTATTTCACACGTGCATCAAACATTTGGACGTTGGCAGGAGGTACAGGTGTCCACCCCTCACCCATTTCGGCCCAGTCCGAGTCACCTCACGCTTGAAAATGGGCCCAACCCATTTTCAGAGAGTTTTGAGATTTTTTGTTTTACACCATATAGATTATGAAGTTTTTGTACGTTTATTAAATATTATAAACATATCCTTCTGTTAGGTGCCCTTAGACATGGCCGAAGTTCCTCTCTCTCTCTCTCTCTCTCTCACTGCCATTTTCTCTCCCAGTCCCTCCACTAGTGGGGGTCTCCATCCCCATTTCCCTATCAGAAGCTCTACTCTCGCTCTCCATGTGACGGCAGCACCGGCGGAATCGCGGCTGAATCTGGGGGCGGAGACCGGGTTTTCCCTAGGTAAGCACCTACCATTTATCTTTCTATGTCATTCTACTGGGGAGCTTTGAGGGATGGGAGATGGGAGGGCGACGGAGAGAGCGAGAGGGACGGGAGGCCGGGGCGGGCCACGAGGTCAGGCCGATCCATTCTGTTCAATCGGTATCCTTTCACCCTTCGGTCCGACCGTCGAATCCGTCCATTGATCCCCTTTGATGCCACGCTTGAGCGGAGGTAAGCCACGGCAACACGGCCGACACGACGACGACGACGAACGCCTTGTCCCTTGCACCGGTCTCCGGCCGGCAGTACGCGCCGCCGCGGCACGAGTTGACCGGCCCACGGAATTAATCTTTTGGCTGATTCTTCACACTTGAAGCGAAAGCGGTGGGTTTCTCTCGCCTCAGACGTTCGATTGGACGAGGTGGATTTCTCTCGGACGTCCATCTGCCGGGGTCGACACCGACTTGGGTCCGCCTGAACCCTATATAATGTGGTTTGAATTGCGTCATTCCCACTTGAATTTTTCGCACATCTTCTGCCCTCTTTTGTCACAACCCGTTCGAGAAGTTTCCGGGTTTCCAACTACCCCTCGACGAACTCCGTTGTGTCGATCGTGGGGCTTTCCAGCAGCTTGGGTGTAAGGTTCTCCCTCTTCCTCTCTGTTCGCGTGTTTTCGTCTGCTTGTTTGTGGTCCTTGCTGGTGAGTAATCGCGGGAACCCTTTTGTGTTGGTATTCCTCGTGACTTCGTTCAGATGTTTTTTCTTGGGTTTGGGCTCGGTTCTCTGATGGATCTGTGTTCGTTGTTTTCTATGAAGATGTTGTGTACCCATTTTGTGCCCTCTGCCGTGGTGTTTACATCATACCGCTAGTTGATGGGCATAAGACTTCCACAATTCGTTCGTTTGAGGGATTTTTACCTGGCACATTCACTCGTCTCGTTTGCATTAACATTTTGTGAATTTTCTGCTGACAAGTTTGGACGATAAATCCCTAGAATCTGGAACTGCAATTAAAGGAAAAGAGAAAAGGAATTTCTCGTTAGAATGAGTACAGTACGCGTACTTGTCATAGAGTTTTGTTTGAACGACGAATCTACATGAAAATTGGGTGTTGTTGGATAGCATATTCGTATAAAGTTTATTGATTTTATTTTTTTCCGTGGATACCAGATGTCCCCGATTGCTGCAATTTTTTTTCCTATTTTCGTTCCTTTAATCTGGTTAATGTGAATCTTTTGCATCCGTGTTTGGTCACGATTTCATTGAGCAAAAGAAGATGAGTTATAAGTACGATAACTCATCTCATGCAAAATTTATTTCACTGGGATTCAAAGGTAAATTTTGACGAACAGTATAGGCCAGAAACTGGGGAATGAAATAGCCAGAAGTGAGCTTGAACATACTAATTTCCTATCTTGGAAGCTTAAAGTTAATTTATTTTTCTCTATCTGTTGGGGACTCAGCTTGTTATGGAGAACTGATTTCAGAGTAGACTAACTTGAAACTCACGTGTCCTAGGAAACCAAGCTTATATATATAATGGAAAGGTATATAGTTACTTTCTAGTTATTGAATGAAACAAATGAAAAATTCAAGATTTTTAATTTCTAAATCCAAGATTCCTAACCTGTACAACAAAATGAAACAAGAAATAAATGAAGCCTCTTTGTTAGTTTTGTTCGTCGTTTCTTCGATTGGTTATTCTTATGTTGCTCTTGTTGGAGAAGTGGTTACTCTTTTGAAAAAAATCGAGGCTCTTTTTCGGAAGATCCTAAATCTCTAGAAGAGCAGATGATGATATAAGGGAGGAGTTGTCTTCCTGAAGTCATCCTTCCCCTTCAAAGAACAGTTAATGACTGTAAATCTCTAGTAGGCTGTTGAATCTTCAATCTTACGTTTTGCTTTTCTTTTTTAATGCATTCTTTGGGGGGCATGCGAGTTGTACACTTTCATCAGTTTTAGTGGACTTTATGGCAACATCATTTTATTCTTTGATTGATGTGTTAGGAGTCGAAAGCGAATAAAACACCTTGAAGCTGGCTTCTTTTTCTCGAAGAGTTTAAGGTTACGAAGGTTAATAAACTTTCTATCAACTTGTTTGAGCCCCTCAGATGAATCTGAATCTAATTGTACTATTCCTGGGCACTTTTCCGTTCAGTGGCAAATGAATTATGTTACCAGCATTTCGACATGCCTAAGTCAATCCCTTAAGGGTAGGTTATCAGAGACATTTCGTGCTTCTTTTTGCCTCCAACAATGGTCTTATAATTTGGTGTCCTCTCGGATATTGCTTCTCTCGATGATGTACCTCTGGCTGACTGCTCGTTAGAAGAAATTCCTCAAAGCTCCCGTTCAGGAGCTTCGTTGGCATATATTGGGTCTTCCGGACCTTGGGAACTAGATGCAAATGCCCATTTACATTCCGCTGGTGGGCTAAAATTTTATTCCACATATTCAGCCAGATACGTGCGTTGTCTTCCCAGCCTACTACCAACTTTTCGCCTGAAAAGTATGGTGTTGATGCTGGTGCTATGTCGGTAGCTTTAGGGATAAAGATATGGAAGGTCAATAAAGTGAGAAGTGTCTAAGTGACAAAGAAGTGATCTGGATAAAAATAGCAAGAAGAGGAGACGGAAGGGGAGTAGGCTGATTCTTAGATGATATGTTGCACGTTTGTGCAAAATTATTTTGAGAAAGTTTATCTTTGATATTGAAACTTGAAGGATAATCTGCAACCATTCTTACTATGCTGAGTTTTTTTTTTGCAGACCTTAGATTTCTTGCCGTTTTTTGTTTAAACTTCGAGAGCGCTATAGAAAGAAAAAAATCAAGGATGAGAGCTTTAGTGTCCAGGTTCGGACAGGATTGTAGGGAACTTGTGTCAACGAGGATGTTTTGAGGGATAGCCAGTCATTTGTTTTCAATAACTCCACGCCACATGCCCTCCTGGCTCAAAAAAAGGACCATGGAATCTTCTGTGCATACAGTAGCATGCATGCTTTTAATGCCCAAATGGCTTATGCGATGTAACCCGCATCCCAAAAAAAAGTGCGCCATTATAGAATGTACTTCATAAGTGTCGGAGATGGTTACATTTTCTCTTCTGTCTCAAAAAAATGTCAAGCTGAGTGCGAAATGTTATAGTGGCAGTGTCCTAATTGTGCCTTTTACCAGAAAAGGAGGATCCATATGTACCATTTGCACCTATCTCTTGAGCATACAGAAGATGCATCCTTGTAATGCTCATATCGCTTATGTGACGTAGTCAGCATCATAAAAATAAGTGCGTCATTCTAGAATTTACTTCAGAATAATCGGAGATGCTTACATTTTCTGCATGGTGAATCCAAATTCATTAATCTTAATTCGACTTTGTAATAATGTTTTCATGCAAACGTTAAGTAACTTGGTTAACCCTGTTCGTCACGGAAAAAAAATTGCATTTTTTTTCATTTTTTGCCTTTTTCCCTGGTGTCTTGATGGATTTGACTTGTATTTCTTTCTCCAATTTGGCGAATCCACCCTATCAAATTTTGATATATATCTCTCTCTCAACCGATTTTAGAAGTGAACCTTATCAGGGATTTGCCCAAGTGAAAGGGGGTTGCTAATTTTTTTAATTATAGTGCAGTTCCGGTCATCATACGGTCTGTCAGTTTACACTGACTATGTGGCTATGCTAATCTGTGCTTTTAATTGACATTATGGGACTTTTTTTTATTGGGATAGCTTTATCGTAACTCACTTTTATGTGTTCTGTGACAAAGCAGTTACAATTGAGCAGTTGGTGGTGGGAGCTGTTGCAATGAAGCAGAGTGCTCTTCTGCTCACAGATAGTGATTTTGTGCCGGTGGGTGCAGCTCTGTCTGCAATCAGAGGATTTCAAGATCTTGGAGAGGATGACTTGCTCGTAATTACTCGAGCATTACAACTAAGTAATGTCTTCTACCTAATCTATCCGATACTTGTCCAGATTTTTCTTTTCTCCTACTAGTTTGCATTATAAATTTCAACTGGATCTTAATGGTTACATCTTAACATCTTTTTACTGAGCAGGCTCAATCTTTTCATTTCTCCTTATTTTTTTGGAATAAGGAATCATTACCAAAAAAATAAAGTGCTCCAACATAAATTTTGCCCTTTTTCCCCAAATAATGTTGTGCACATTGATCTTACTTCACAGAACTTCATGCTTTCAACCAGATTTTGATGACTTTTATTTGGCATCATGATGATAGCAAGCACTGTACCAGGGAACTGTTTCTCTAGGTCCTAAGCTGAACCCAGATAGTGGTGATGATGATTGATGATCTTGATATATTCATTTTACCTCTCTGCGTGTCACTTAGAAAAGCTGTCTCACCAGCTATGTATAGTCGAGTTCACAAGCAAGCTGTGGCGTGAATTGAATCCATAATCTCTCTTGTTTCTGACTGTAACAGCAGGACAGCTGCCGTTTGAGCCAGCATCCTTGAGCGTCATCGTGTTCGCTTCAAAATCACTTGAGCTTCCTGGGGAGCAATGGTTTGAAGACGTCATCAGAGTACTGAAGCCAGGGGGAACGATCGTCATACAGACTTTTCTTCCAGTAGCAGATCATGGAGACAAGGTGGGGGCGGATTCTATCCTATGTCTGCTCTTCAGTTGTGCGATGAAACCTGTCACCTGTTTGAGATATATATGCTTTCTTGCAGCCAAGTTCTGCTCTAGAACGAAAGCTGCTCTTTGCAGGGTTTCTGGAAGTGCATCTGATCGACATGAAGTCGGTCCTGCAACCCGAAGACACTACTCTGCTTCTCACAGTGAGTGGGGGGGTGTCAAAGAAGTTTATCTACCCTGGAGTTTTCCTTTCCCCACCGTGCTCTCTCTTTGGTAATTACAGTTAAAAAAAAATGGAAATTTCTGCAGATGAAGGCCAAGAAGGCATCTTGGGTGGTGGGTTCATCGTTCTCTCTGAAGAAGAGGGTTTTGCCCAAAATCCAGATCGAGGATGAGTTGGATTTGATCGACGAGGACAGCCTCCTGACTGAAGAGGATCTGAAGAAGCCAGAGCTCCCCCCTGGTGAGATGAATGATTTGGTGGCTACTCATCAACGTTGTTTGTTCCCTCCCCCCATCCGCCGCCTCCAATCTCTTCTTGAGCCCATATCTTCTTATCTATCATCTGCTGTTTTCCCCTGCAGTTGGAGATTGCGAGGTTGGGAGCACCCGGAAAGCCTGCAAGAACTGCACCTGCGGTCGTGCTGAGGAAGAGCAGAAGGTGCAGAAGTTGGCCCTGACCTCCGAGCTGCTGGATAACCCCAAGTCAGCCTGCGGCAGTGTAAGGCTTCCCTTCACATATATAGATATATATATATTATACATAAACGTGTATTTATTCGATCTCAAATTCACCATAATAAGTATTTATATAATTTATTTATTTACATTTATCATTTCCCCTCCGAGATGTATGAGATCCCATGATTTTGCAGTGCGGTCTGGGAGATGCATTCCGGTGTGGGACTTGCCCCTACCGAGGTCTCCCCCCATTCCAGCTCGGGGAAAAGGTAATGGCGGAAGCGGGTGCCCCCCTGAGCTCTCAGATGACTCGGGAAGAGAGGGAAGTTCTTCTTTCGCAGTACTTAAAAAAAAAATGCCGTCTCCCTTCTGTGCAGGTCTCTCTATCTGGGAGCTTTCTTGCAGCCGATATTTGAAACCCAAGGAGGACGGAAGGGGAGCGAGAATTCTTGCCAGAATAAGTAAGAAAATTCAGGTTTGACCCAGTTGTTGGGGAGTCAACGGCCTTGTTCCAAGTCATTCACTTGGAAACCTAATCCCCAACTTTTTCCAACTTTCTAGAATTAGTTCATTTTCCATAATCTTGATTCGATACGCTTCACATGCGCTGCAGCATAAGGAATGTTCTTCTCGAATATTTTTATATAAAAGAAAGTTTTTTTCTTCTATTTACTGCTGTTTTCCGAATTTATATACAGTAAATTATTAATTTGTACGTATTTATTACCTTCCTATTCTTTGTTATTGAAGATAAAGGTGCCTTCAAAGTCTTCTTAATCTCTCTCGTCCTTTTAAAATAAGATATTACCCTTTAAAAAATAATTAGATATTTGTCTAAATTTGATATTTCGCTGACTCGCCCAAGGGGGTTTTAGGTAACTTCGCATTTGCCGCTATTGAACCATATGTAGAATGAGGATGCACGAAAATTTAACAATTTTAACGAGAGCTCCCGAACCCCACAACCACAGAGCCGTAGAATCTGTATCGGACGGCTAGCATCTCTCGATCCTTCCAACCTTCTTGGCGCCGCCTCCGACGATCACGACGATGAAGTTGAAGAAGAAGAGGTACCTGGGGATGATGACTGGGCGGCGGCAGAGTAGTCGTCGCCGCCGTCATCGGGCCACTCCAGGCCTCCGGCGGCGAGGTGGCCCACCTGCCAGACCCCGTCGGCCAGCTCGTCGGCGAGCTGGGTCCACCCCCACCTAGAGTACCCGAAGAAGAACCACAGGTCTCCGGCGGCGGCGGAGGCGGGGCTGCGGGACCTGATCTGGCCGACGGCGGCGCCGGTGGCGAAGGGGTCGCCGAAGAACAGGGCGCCCTCCGCCACCTGGGTGTAGCCCTGCAGTGGCTTCCGGGCCAGGCTGAGTAAGGGGAAGTTCCTCAAACTCACCGGGCCACCGTGGCAGAGCGTCGCCGCCCTGAGCGCCTCCACGTCCAGGTCCAGCCCCTCGAAGACCTCCCAGCTGAGCCGCCGGTTCAAGATCAGCCCTTGAAAGCCGCTGTCCTGGTCAGCTCTCACGATCAGTACGGAGGCGTTCTCGAAAGGGTACGCCCCCACAAGCTTCTCCGTCGCCGTGAGGACGGACCCCACCTCCACCGTCGCCGCATCGCCGCCGGATTCCTGATCGGCGGCTGGAATGACGGGCTCCGAGATCGGGGACCCCTCCGGGCGGCGGCGGGCGTTTCCTGAGAAGGCCCCGTCGTCCGGCGGCTCTCCGTCGCCATCTCTCCGCGTTGACCGGCTCCACAAGATGCCTGCAGAGAGAAACCATGGTCAACGGGGTCCAGGGTTCCCGATCTTTAAAAGTCAAACCCAGACGTAACATTCAATCTTTTCCTTCTCCGTATATAACGTAACAGGTTGATATGTACATAAAACGACCGACCATGGAAAAATAAAAGACGAACAGCAAACCTTGAAAAACAAAAAAACAAAAAAAAGATAGGAAAAAAAGAGGAGCTCGTAGCTCGTTCACCTCTGTATTCATTGACAACGTGGGAGCTGGTTCCATGTTCTGCGAGAAACTCGAAGATGTCGAGCACTGATGCAGGGCCTTGGTAAGTGATGGCGTCTCTGTCTTTGCCCGGAAAGAGGAGCAGGGTCGGATAGTCTTCTCCCTGAATCTCCCAGGTTGAAAATCAGAGAGAAAATGATAAATAACATACCACTGGAGTCGATCCTTTGCGCTAAATATTATATGATTCCAACATATAATAACACTGATGATGATGATGATGGTCCATGACGTTCTCCGTTTTCTATTTCTACCCATCTTCCCACGCTCACTACCCATTCTGATTTTCTATATAAAGAAGCACGATCACGCATGCCAAACTCGACCAAGGGCCTCTGGCAGTAGACAATCACTTTGAAAGGCCCTGAGAGGCCTCAGCCTCTCTGTCATGGCATCTCACCTCGCCGACGGTGTGGATATGATACTAGAGAGAGACTGGTTGGTTGGCTCATAACACTCGCTCACTACGCTCCACCCACAATGCCCGAGTCTTATCTACTGAAATGAATTAGAAAGAGACTCAGATGCAGATGCAGATCGCGGAAGAAATTATGCGAGCTCGGATGATTATTACCTTGCCAAATTTGGATAAGATTGAGCTGCAATCGTTCAACGTGCAGTCCATGCGGTAGATAGATGGGAAACCATTTACAGGGACATCCGCCGCCTTAACTGCAAGAGAAATGATTGGCGGTAAATGATAAGCAGAGAACCATGCGTGGATGATGAGAGAGGAAAGAAACTAGGAAAGAAAGAAAAAACTTTATTTGGCCCAAATCTTGGCTGTTAAAAGATCGTCCAAGTTTCAACCTCAGCCGTTAATTATTTCCTAGGGTTAAAATAGTAAACCACCATGGTGAATCATCCTCTGACTAAAATAGTCTAAATTATTGATAGTATTAGAGGAAGAGAAATATTTGAACAGCGACATAAGTTCTTCGAGTTATCAATGGACAGATCATAGCAGGGAAGGAAAGAATGCAGTGGATTGCTGGGTTACATGAAGATTTTAAGCAAGATGAGAACAGGCCACAGGAGAAGTAAATCAAAGAGAAAAAAAGTCGAAAAAATCCTGTTTAAATGATCTCCGCATATCTGGGGATCTTGCTGAAAGTATTTATCTCGGATCTTATAGACAGACAAGATAAGATTGTTCCAAGGAAAAAGCCCATAGCTTTACACATCTGTGAGACATCTCCTTTGAGTCGCCCATATTTTTCTGAATCGAATGTATCTCACGATCTACAGGATTTTTACTCCCCAGCTATCAATGCAACAAAACAACTGACAATTGATGATATTCCGTTCCCAGACCTATGAAATATATAGACTAATCCAGTAGAAAGACCATTCTACTACCAATACTATCAAGGAATTAATCAAAGCCAAGAGAATTTCAAGTAAACCAACAAGCTTTGGGAGGAAGACCGTGCCTCTATGATGGCATATGATTATTGCCAAATTTTCACCATATAAACCTCAGAGAAGGAAATGTGCGCATTGCATTTTATTTTTTTTACGGATTAGAAAAATATAGGCATTATTAGTCCCTCCGACAGGCCAAAAAAAAAAAAAAAAGAGAGCTAGTTATTAACTAAACAAGAAATGCAGGTCCAAGAAAAGAAAAATATACCGCGACACTATTTCGATGGTCGCCAAAGTGATTGATCAAACACACTGTGAAGAGCAAATAAAATCTTTAAAGAGCCATGTAGATGTTACCTGCGGGGTCACCTCTTAACCAATGCTCTAAGCCTTTAAAAGCTCTGTAAACTTCACGAACTACCAGTTCCATCCTCTGGCAAAATCCACACCAAGGATTGCAAAAGAGAACCAGTTTATCACCCTTCGGAGTACAGGCAAAGCCCCTGTCGTCACATTGTGCAGAGCCTAGAAACAGATCTTCAAACGCGTTGGCTGCGACCCATGGGACGCCGTCAACTTCATGGAAATCCAGATTCACGAATGGGGGGCTTGGATACTCCCTAGGGCTTTGACTAAATCGTTCTGAACGCTGATGTGGAAAGAGGCTTCCATTCAGGAATTTGTCAACAAAGTTGACGTAGGAATCAAAAGCGCATTCTGTTCCCTTGGGCAGGACGTAATGTTTCTGAGAAACTGGGTCAAGTATCACAAATGATGGGATCTTTGAACCTCCTGTCAAGCTTTTAAGCAGCCGATACCCACCATCTGAGAAGAAAAAGGACCCTGTGAAAGCACGTCGATTAGATTGTCGATGATTTAAATCATCAGTCCCTGTTGTATCTTTTCCTTTTGCCGTATCAGATCCCGCGGATGGCGCATTAGGAGGAGACTGAGCAGAAAAACCAGAAATTTTAGGGTTGCTGCCACGATTTTGAAAATCATCCTTTGATGACTCCTGGGATGATTTTTCAAGAGCTAATCGTTTCTCTATTCTGCACTGAGATAGTTCCTGGATAGGAATAACAGATCTGATGGTGAGAAGTTCAGATTTGTGCCCATCTTTTACTGCAGCTACACACGTTGCCCCTACAGAATTGTCATCATGCACGTTGACATTGGATTCCACTGGACGTTCCAAGACTTTGGTCTCCGACTTCATTATCAAACTGTCACTGGGGCTTTTAGATTGATCATTTTCTCCATTTACTGGCGGCGAATCTATTACTTCGACATCAAAATCATCAGACAGAAGCTGAAAACCAATATCCTTTGCTAATACACTAATTTTTATTTCTTTCTTCTGCACAGCAGAGTTCTGTCGTTGAAGCCACTGTCGCAGAACAGCATATGCAGTATTTTCTAGACTACCATCGGGGACCTTACCTAAGGATACTCTTTCACCTTCATTTGCAATCACAGAAGATACTTTATCATCGTCTTTTGTTGTTTTCAATGATAATGAACCCTTAATTTTTGCACGCCCATTAAAGCCTGAAATTCCTCTATTTTGTGATTCCTGGAATGTCTCCCATGCTGAAAGATCTGAATTGAAGATTTGGTAGTAATGCGCAAGCTGTCTATAAACCTCAAGTGCGGACTTGCTGTCTTCCCTGATACTTGGTGAAGCTGATGATCTATCAATAAAGAGAACGAGAGACGGTCTATCTACAGGAAATACGCCTTCCTGGTTTCTCTGATCCCCATCAACCTATAACAGAATTTAAAGAAAGCTATCAATTGGAAGTCTATAAATAGTTTACTACTCCAGTGTAGTAAAATGATTGGTGTTAAATAACAAAAGAGGAAAATTAAAAATCCTTTTTACAGCCAAGACAAATAGCCGAGTAACTGACACGATTTTTGAGAACATTTATAGATCTATTCGTCTTCATTGATTAAAATTTGACTGTCCATTTTAGGGTATGACGTTTCCATTTGCTGAAATTCTGAAAAGTCAAACAAAAAGATTCTAGGAATCAAAATGCACGAAGAAAAAGGCAAAACTTTATTCATAACTCTGCTGACACGGACAAAAAAATAATTTCCCTCGCCTCCTCAGGAGACTCAGGCTACGGCTCTTTAAGTGAGACCACTAAATGCCCCAACTCCGTCAGAGTTTTGTTACCCTAAATCTTATTCCCCCAAGCCTTATGTATATCAACCAAAAAATGCCTAAACACTACGCCTCTGCCATTTCAGAGCTAGCTGTCCCTTAAAGAGAGAATAAACCAGCATTCCCCAATATACCCTCCAAACCCCACAGCAAAGAAGAACAGAGAATAGAGTAAAGAATCAAAAATATTCATTGCCACTGACCCCTATTTCTGATATTTTTCTTTGCTATGCTCGAGGATCCTCACTGAGAAAGGGATCTAGACAGGGAGGATATAAAATGAGGGCATTGGTTTTTAGAAGTACCTATGGAAACTTTCTTGCATGTAAACAATCCATGTATTTACTACATTTTCGAATAGAATTCGACCGATCAATGGATTGGTTCTGATAGTCTTTGCCAGGATTGGGCATCGCCAACTCATAATCCTTCACTGCAAGACATGCCTCTTTCCATTTTTTAAAAGCTTTCTTTGTATCTTCATCAGAAATGAAAGCGTTATCAAAGGTATTGACGAGATGCTGACATAATGATGACCACACTGAAATGGCAAGATTAAGTTCCGTATGAACAAAGATCAAAGGAAAAATTTCAGTTTCTACAACCTAAAATAGTGGATAATCTTGTGTTCGGAAACAAAACCATTTTGCAATCTCACGAATTTAAAAACTATTTTCCAATATCAACAAAAAGATAGATACTGTTGTCCTCTACATTACAGGAACCATTCAATACGGGTGTACTGAGCAAATTATTAGTTTTAAGACATCTAACCAACATGTTTTTAATTTTCCGTGGCTAAGCACCAGCTTGATAATAACAGACGGCCAAAATCATGTCACACCACAATTTACCCAACATTAAGAAGGGAGGTGGTAAGATTTCCAATATGGTTTCATAGGATCTGATACATACATCATAACAGCTCTGGTAATTCAATCATGACATTGAGCTAGGTAATGACATTTTGAGAAGGAAATTCTATTGAACATCAGTGGAAACAATTGTATGACAGTTTCCTTGGTTAAATTCTGGAGGACAGCCGATCCTCCCAATTAAAATTACTAAATATTCGTCCAGAGCACATAAAATGAAGATAACTGAACCATAGGCTACCGTTATGTTCCCCAACATTTTCTTTCAAATGAAGGCAGTAATGCTCATCAAAATCATAATAGGATAAAAAAAAGAGAAAGCTTGATTAATAAGGTCCAGTTCCTCGTGATGGAACATGGTCACATAAACTGTAGTGTACCTAAAAATGGAAAGTTTTGACAAGACAAATATCTAGGAACCAAAATATATCAACACATGCCCATATATTTCTATCATAAAGAACATAAGGGAAAGTAACTACACACACTACCTCATCAATAGGAGAATGACGCATCTGTAATGATACTCTGAGTGCATCCACATTCTCGAGTATCACTGACGAGCTGGGGAATCCAGAAAAATGAATGAGAAGCGGCCAACCCTGTGGGTCTTCAAGACTGAGGAATTTTAGCAAAGATCGTTCAGAAACCACACCAAATCTTTGCCTTTCGGGGGAGAGAAAAAATTCTCTCACGACTCTATTTAATTCTGAGAAGAAAGATTCAAACTGCTGAAATTTATCTGACGTACAAGCGGTTCCAGTGTTAGAAGTTCTAGCTTTGATTCCAAGATAAGTAATATCATTTGCCGGTGAAAACTCTCCAAACCAAGGGAATCCACTACGCTTTGTTTCTACCCTACATGTTAGCTTTTCATTTTCCAATCCCTGTGTTTGAGCCAAAAGAAACTTGTAATCAAATTTAATGATCCCATTTATCTCTTTCTTTACTATTGGAAGGTTGTTCCAAAAAAAGTCTCAGATCACCTTCTGGTTTTCCTTCCCGCCAAACAGAGTTCCATCTTCATTTGTAAGAATTCCTCCCTGGAAGTCTCCTGCAGGATAAAACTTACATGAAATTTAACTGGCAAAATTACGTGAAAAACCCATTTCAGAGTTCATTCTCATGCAATGTGATACCTTAATTTATGATTACCCAAGGGAAAAAAACTAAGAGGAAAATTATTTCTTCTTTTTTTTTTCTTTTAGACCTGATACAGCATCTGTCCAGACCAACAAACACCTGACAAAAAACATATCGTCAAATCCATGTAAGCAATGATTCAAGGACAACTTTACCATTTCATGAGGCCAAACTGGCATATATTTCAAGATTAAGAAAGAAAGTTCAAAATATATGACTGAAGCCCAATTGTTTATAGAGAACAATCGAACACAGCTTTTACCAAACACACTTTATCATCGCAAAATGGTAACTAAAATGACCCAATTTCTACAATGGCCCTATTCATAACTACGAGGTCAGATACATCTGTGCAGTACTATAGAAATAAAAAATAGAAAATAATTTTTCCCACCAATCTATGTCATGAAATCTCAATCCAGAATCTGATTTAAAGCCATTGAATTACAGCAGAAAATGAAAAATAGCAGCCTCTCCAATTCGGCGTTTGCATTTAACAAAAAAAGAAAAAGAGAACGCTGAAAAAGGAAATCGTGCGACCTACCACTACGAAACACACTTTTCTCAGAGAGAAGATTCTCTGAACTCCCATTGTACATTGCCTGCCACAGTCTGCCTGACCATCCACAGAATTCCAAAAGAAGTACAGCTTTGTCTGTGGACTGGAAAAAATTCCCAAGCTCTTCAGCAGTGCTCAAAAACTCAAAAGGGATCTCAACGTGTTGGAGGGACATTGCACGAGATACTGAAGATAATATATTCTGTGCACGAGGACGACCTTGGTAACTAAATGACTTTCCAAGATGGTAATATAACAATGTTATTCCCTCCTTGGCGTCAAGGGCATCAGCTAACATCTTCTCAACATTCTTATATACAACCATCAGTTTCAGATGGCCAGAAAGCTGTTGATCAGCTTTAACCACGTGAGCTATTTCCTTCATAAGGAATCGAGATTCACCAGACCCTGCAGAATAATAATGGAAATAATCAGACGATATTTATTAGCTGTTCGGAAGGGAAAGCTTATCTATGTGGTGCATAATGTACATTAGTGAACATAATAAACAGGTGACTGAGTTATGGTCTACGAAATATGGAATGAAGATTGAAAATCGAAAAATTCAACGGCCATGGCAATTCAAATTTATAAATGCCCATTCAATTAAACATACCCTAGAACTGGAGCATTCCTATAGAGGGCCTTCCTCAAACTAGAAGTCGCCTTTTTCTCCAAGGCAAGTTACTAAACCCAAGGAATGTCCTTTGTTTTGCCCATAGTTCTCAAATTTTACAGCTTTAATTTTTTACTAAAAAGCTTGTCTCCGGACTCATCATTTTAAATGAAGACTGACAACATGGTGGAAAGACCTTCACACACTTTTGCTTTGATACTACAGACTAGCACATCAACTACCTGACCAAGTGGGGTGAGCTATGCTGAAGCATCAGTGGCTGCTGCTGCCATGCAATCGCACTGGTGGCATTCTACAAGTTGGGGCGTTTACACAGCCCATCTGCCCTTGCCTTGTTATCTCCAGCAGCAGCGTTGTCCTTACATTTTCCACCATTGATGTCATCCCCCACTCCTTGAGAGGAGGCGACTTCCAGCCAACCTTCACTTCAGCTTTCAGAGACTCTCGGCCATTCAAAGACCACTCATTCTTGGTTGTGATATCCTTGACAGTATGTCAGTAATTTCTTCACATCCTCACAGAAAGGTTTACCATCACCTCTGGTTGCTGTCTACAACGTTATTCACCCCACTGCCATTCATATTGACCCTTCTATAGACTATCAAATATCCTTGTTGATCTATAGATCCTATATTTCCCCTTGACTGGCGAGGCCATAGGGAACTGAGCTCGACATTGCTCCCTCTCTCTTTATAAGAAAATGGTCAATTATTTTAAGCCAAGGAGCCAAGTATCAACAATTGGAGAAAGGAAAAAGGCAAAATGACCTCCATCCAGTGGATGGCAGCAGCACCACCAGCATCTTCGGAGAAGAAACTAATAACGTTGGGGAAGGCATTAGTATTCATGGTCTTCCTTCCACCAGTCATGAAAACCACCAAAACTTCTACTTTTCTGCCAGAAACAAGTTGTTTCAGACATAAATGTTTATGACCACGAACTATTAAGCTTGCATATTTCAATGAGAAAACGTTAAAATTTCAGTTTATAATGGCATAAGCCCTTTACATATAATACTTGATTGCAGTCGCCATTCCCTTTATCCATTGTTGTCTGGTTCAAACCTTCACTCAACAACATCTGATGAAGTCAAACCAAGAAAGTAAAAAATCAATTGGCATAAACATACATCATATTACTAGAAAGTTGGGCATTGCGATTCACTAAAGATTGCCACACGAAAATTAGAGCTATTCCTCTCGCACAACTTATATTTCAACTCAAGTAGCATTATTAGTGGCTAACTATATTGCGAATTCTTAGCCCACAGTTCGAAACAACCATAGCACACTGGCAATGGCTTCTTTCAATAAAAGAAAAACATAACTCAAGTACTCCATAGTATCTCCGTCTCATCCAACATAACCAAAGTCAAAACATTTTAAAACTTCGCCCCAACTCAAGGATCATATCCAGAAACTGATACTACCGCTGTTTCCACTTCATGGATAAGTCGACCCTCAACGAACTTATCACTATTCGAACCACCCTCCAATGGTATAACCATTCACACAAACCTAAGTCCAAAAATCATCTCACACAGCCACAGCATATAAGAAATATGGCACCTGCAGATGCTCTCCGACTCTTGTCATCGGGATAAGCACTGAAGAACACACAAATCATTTTCTATCCTGCTACTTCATCCAGTCACAGAGACCCCCCTCCCCCCTCTTCATCCAGACGTAATTAAACCAAAAAAAAAAAGATCCGGAAGTAGTAAATAAAGACAGTTGAAATAGGAATTATGGAGACAGCCACTACGTTAGTAGTGGCCACGCTGGCTGTGGAGACATTTACATTGACAACATCTAAACTAGAACTCTTCCAGGTGAAGAATGTCCGGCAAGAAACTGTGGTAAAGCTTGTGGAAGTAAAAAGGTAGCAATCATAATAGATACAGGGTGTTCAGCAGCGTTATTTAGACCACGAAAATACCACCCACGGTGTTAATGTCAAATTAACGGAGAAAAATCTCTAAGTAGAAAACTTTCTCGTCATGGATGAGGCAAATGATTATCACGCTAATAAAAATAAATCTAGCATTAAAATCAGCATCAACTGCCCGTGGCAATAGTTAACAGAAATGAATTCAGCAGCATTGACGGCAATGGCTCCACATAAGCGGGTGACTCTGGGATTCCGTCTTAGTTATTTCAAATTGAAATCATTCTGGCATCGACCAGTTAGATTCCAAAACAACAAAAAGAAAATGCAACCCCGTTCGAGAAAAGCATTACCACTCTTTCCCCAAGAAAAATAACGGTTCCCTTACAACTACTTTGATTCAACGAGGAAAAAAAGCTATATCGCAAAGTCCCTAAATTTAGAAATATCCATGGGGCAGCTGCCCCGAAACACCTGGGGATCGTGTCTTCGACACAAGGAATCGGGGAAATATGACAATGGTGAGAAAAGAACGAAACGAGACAGAGACTGATGATAGCCATAAGGAAGGTTAACGATCTCTCTAAAGATATCAGACTCTCAGTATATCTTCCACGGGTCAAATAAACGGAAGCGAGAGCTCACACCGTCATCACTACGACGCATCCTGAGACAGAACGACACCTAAGACGCATCCCGAGACACCTTAGTGCTTTCCTCGTATGTCGGGGAACTGAGAGATCAGATCAGATCACATCACATGAATTAGACTGTTTATCGCCGAAAATGAGCTGAACACGGCGTACACAGCACAAACGAAACGATATTCTTTAACGAATGGGAGAGCGAGCGAGAGAAGAGAGAGAAAAAGAGAGGAGGGGAAGACATACAGGGAACGGTGACCATGACGAGGGCGTGAGGGTGGAACCGGATCTGAGAAGAAAAGTTCTTCTTGGAGAGGACCTGCCACACGGGCGATCCCGCATCGATGCCGCCCTCGCCGCCGTCCCGTGGTTCCGCATCTGGAAGATCCTCCACCGCGGCAACAGTACAGAAGAGCACGAACGCGGCGAGGATGGCGGCCAGGAAGCAGACTCCCGTATCCTTCATCTCAGGTATCCCCCGAAGCGCGAGAGTGAGATCAGCCTACAAAATATTCATATATACCTCTGCCACGCCACAGGAAAATTACGAAAACACCTTATCCAGCCACATTATTACAGAAGAAATCCCCATCCATTGAAAGTCAACAGAAGATCCAACGCCCTAGTTCCCGACCGCGACAGGCCGAGCGCTTTCCAGGTCAACGAAGATAAAAACGGTCATATCACAGATACAATGTTGAAAATGCGGTACCCGAGAATCCCAGCGCCGCCACTCGGTCTCAGACTAAACCAAGAGTGAATCCCAGCTCCTCATGGTTGGGTCAGCTTCCAAGGCATTAATCCTTTTGGGGCGAAAAAAATTATATACGTATTTATTGTTATTATTTTGCATTTATCTGAAGCAGGTATCCAGAAAAGTCAACGCTCGACATGGCCGTGTAGGGCGCAAATTATCCATCCGAAAATGGAAAGAACGAGGTGGAAACGAGGTGATAGTTGCAGATAGAATGTGGAAATTAAAAAAAAAAAAACAATATATGCGCGATTTTGGGAAGGTTGCCGTCATAGTTAGCAGCTATGGTCATTTGGTTCTGAGTTGGGTAAAGATGGGTCAACCCCACCACTCGCACTCGCAGTTAATTGGCGTGTCCCTAATCATGGCTAAAAGTTGACCTGGGCATGAGAGAACACGTGTCACCAAAGAAAGAGGATTAAGTGTATGCCATTTAAAACATCAGGCAGTCTATCAAGAGTCTTCTTTTCTTTTTTTTTTTCCTTTTTCACATTTCATAGTCAATGAGGATCATATAGAATTTAAATCCCCAGTATTAATTCAATTCACTGCACCAGAGATAATATATCTACTCATCTACTGTGGAAATAATATCAGCTAAACCATAAAACATTAGAAGGATCCTACCAAAAATTAAAATTAAAATTAAAACAGTAAAAAATAAAGCATTAGTAATTCCTCGCTTGACAACTCCAATAAACATTTATGAAAATAAGTCGAGACATTAAGAATAAAATTAATTGAAGATCAGTCATTAGAAAGATCAGTCATATTTTGCTGACTTCATTGAAGATCCTCATGAGCATTGCTGAGCTCTCTGTTTTTTGGTCATCATCCCCGAGTTAATCCGATCAATTATCTTTTTGACAAAGCAAACAAGGCGAATTCTGAACCGATTTCGTCCTAGTTGATATCCTCGTAAACCAGAAAATTAGGTAGTATGCAAAATAAATAACGAAAAAGATTCAGTATAGTACCAAAGAAACATCCCAAGTCAAACCCCCAGATACCTCACAAAATGAAAGGATTTAGATATATTCCTTCATCAAGAATGTTCAACCTGTAGCTGCCTTATATTTCAAGGAAATTCGATTTTTTTCTCATTGGATGGAGATGATCAAATCAAAGCTTACATTCATACCACATCCTTTCACACAAACTTCATCGCCATGAAAACAAAACGGTTTGTCACAGAATCAAACCAACTCTCTTTAACAAGATCCAGTGAACAAAAGTAATCATAAATTAACATTGATTCTTCAGCAGGGATCATTAAACTCTACACACGTTTGTAACTCTAGCAAGCAAAAGTGCATCAAATAGTCCAAAGCAGATGGCCAGTCCAACCCTTCTCCCAAGTTTAAATCCATCAAGAGGTCCAAATCCATTACACTCAGGTTTACTCTTAAAGATGACCTCAGATAATCCATTCCCGATGAGAATGCTACAGGAAATAAAAAAAAGGACTATTTCGTTTTATGTCTATCGTGATAAAGATTACCAAACACCTCGGATGTAAAGGCATCCCGAGAAGTCTAGATCCTATGGATTACCCAGACCAAACCAAGAAAAGAAGCTTTCCCAGCTGGAATTTTAAACGGTTCCCGGCATGAAAATAAGGAAGAAAATGCCGGGTAAATTTCCGGATCAAAAATTGACGCGGCCTTTGTCTACTGACACCCTCTGCATCTGCAAGACAAATGGGAAGGAAGTTTAAAACTAACTGAAACATTGAGGTGAAGCAGCCTGCAGAATAACCAGGTTAGCAGGAGAAACTTGCTACTATAAATAACCACCTAGTGATAGTATCCACCACCAGATCGTCCTCCATAGTGTGATGAATACCCACTGCCTCCGTACTGCAGAAAAAACAGACCGATACGGATCAACATTGTTAATGATAACAAGCAAACAGTGTAGCTACGAGCATATACTTACATCTGAACTATAATGCTCGTTCCCATATAGACTACTAGAACCTCCGGAAAAATCTACAGTCAAACAAAACCCAATTCAGGGAGAACAGAAAGAGAAGAGAAAGAAATTTGTGCAATTTTTCAATCATATTGATAGAGTAAAGGGCAAAGTCCAAACCCTGGTACTGACGGGGATTTGGCAATGCATCGGGAAAATTGTAGCGAGGACGAATTCTATTCCCATGCTCCAAGTATCTGGAATCATGTTCCTGAGGCATCATCCTCAGCATATGAGCCTTAAATTTGCGCGGAAACAGAACCTTTGGAAACAAAATAATAATAAAATTATAAGGTAGTTCACCCCCCCCCCTCACCATCATAGAAAATGGTCTCTTGAAACCGTGCCCGATCTCCCCATGATAGTAGGGATCATCACCGAACCTTCCACCATCAAAAGGGCCACCAAAACTTCCATCAAAAGTAAATGGTTCCCTTCTCATCTGAAAAGGCCTAGCATGGCCGCCATCAAATCCCCCACGTCTAGACCTGTCAATTTCATGGCCTGGAGAAATTCATCACAGATTCCCTAGTAAGTACACAACATGATCGGATCCTCCTTGCATAGTGATCAAATATGAGGTGAAAGAGAAAAGCAAAAAACCTAGCAAACTAATTAAATTTCAGGCCTCTGAAACAGATCACCAGATAAACCTGAAAGAATTGTTAAGGCCAAAAATAACATCACTACCTCGTGCAAACGACCGCCCCCCATGAAACTCAAAATGAGAGCCCTCAATGTAGTTGTCAGGTGGGAAGGAGAATCTTCCAACTCGGCCGCGACCACGTCCACGAAAATGAGAGCCCCTGGCACCTTGGAAACCTCCACGCATGAAAGGAAGCCTTCCCCGGCCAAATCCTCTACCTGATGGAAAACAAGAGTATAAGGATAATCAGAAGAGAAGGCGAGATTAATTTGTGTGATCAGTGCTCCAGCAGCCAAAATTACCAAAACCTGAAGAACCAAAACCAGGATGGCCAATCCGAAATCCCCCACGTATTCCACCTTTGACCGCCTGTGTCCTAGGTAATGGATTGGCAAGTCTTGCCCGTGCTTTCATCTAGTAAAATTACCATGCCATTCAGATAGAAGTATAATCAATTAAAGAGAGGAATGAAGACTCTCGAGATACAAGGCTAAAGCCAATGCAAGGGGGATAAACTTAAAAGAATATTTATACTCAATAAGAACATCATCAACCAGCGGACTCCATTTTACGTTTTGACAGCAGACGGTAGGACATTATCATCAGATTAGCAAAAAGAGAATGTACAATAGCAAATTGTGTCTTTCTACTTTCTAAGGAAAAAGTAGCAAGGTGACCACAGAAAATTTTGAAGAACCCAAAACATGAAAAATAAAAAGTAGGGATAGATCTTCCCATATGATGATGACACCAATAATAAAAAAGCAGCCATGTGCCTCGTGAGTATATACGACTTGATCTGGCATATTTTTGAAAACTATTGTGCAACGAATTTCAAATGCTAGCATGCTAGTATTAGCTGAGCAAGTTTTTAAAAAATTATGTTAAAGGAGTTCAATAAACACAGAATTTATGTCTTTGTAGAAGAAAAAAAAAACAGAATATGCGCAAGAATAGACGCCATTCTACCTGGGGTGGCTTTGATAACTAATGGTACCTTTGAAACGTTACCACATATGTATATATCTTGTTACACAGAAACCAGATAAGGTCCCCTGATCTTCTTCCTCTACCCTTCCGTTAGTGAGCTATCCTCCCATAGTGTTCCTCCAATAAAAGCAATGCTGCCCTAAAACCAGTCGATCTGAGGAACATTTGATCATACTCTCACAGAATCAACCAACGTGTCCATGTAATTTCAGGTTAATTCTTACTCATTTTGGTGCCCAAAGAAAATAATTGTGGAGCAGAACACCTTCCCAAAAGACATCAATCGGCTAGGAGTATTATGAGCATGACAGCATTTGTTTTAGAATGATATGCGTTATTCCCTAAATGCGACGGAAATCGTCTTGGTTGTCAAAATGATTTGGGTGATGATAACAGCATGATGCAATATATATTGCAGCTAAAGTATTGCGTCTTCTTTTGCTCAAGGTCTCTGCTATTCAGAGACAATCTACCCCAGCTTGTTTGTAGCACAAGAGTACCCCATTTCTGGTCAAGCATTAAACGAAGGATAACACTGTAAATGGAAGTCCACGACTTTTCAAACACGGGAACAATAAGAATTATAAATAAATTGCATATCAGATTTTATTAACACCAAAGACTAGTTTTACTAAGGACAAGCTATCTATGCGAAAAAAACGTAGAACAAGCTACAATAAATTAAATGGGTGACAAAAACAAAGCACTTATCCAAGGTTAAATGCCATATTACCATGGATTTGCCATCACCCAAGTCAGTATTATTTACGGCTTCAACACATGCTACAGCTTCTTCATGAGTTGTGAAGTTGACAAAACCAAAGTCTTTCCTCCTAGCGTTTGGCATATTCCGAGCCAGTACAACACGCTCGATTTCTCCATAAGTTTTAAAACGCTCTTTCACACGTTCCTCATCCCAGTATGGGGGCATCCCATCAATGAACACAGACTTAACCTGTATGGAATATTAAAAACTAGATCTTGAGGCAACAAATCAGTAGCGTCAGTATGGAAAATACAGTTAAACAACAATTTAAACCTGGGCCATAACTTCTGCATCTGGCTCACGTATTGGTTCAGCAAAAGCCACTTTCGCAGTCCATTCAGAGTGCCCAAAGACAACATCTGGCTTTTGGAGCCTTTTGTAAGCATTCATAGCATGTTCATGGCATGAAAATTCCACAAATGCAAAGCCCCTACTACGTCCTTCGTTTTGGGTGTCTTCAACAAGAGTAATGTTCTCAACTTCATCAACACCATATTCCTTCAGCCGTCGTTTGATCTGAAGATGTAGCATGACTATTGTAGAATTAGAGCCAAATTACACCAGTCAATGAAGAAGCAAAGGAAGCATAAACATACAGCTTCCTTCGTCCATGTATTGCAGATGTTCCCTAAGAAGAGCGTATCATTGTCCTCATTTGGCGCAATGCCGCACCTCTTTCCACATATCTGCCAAGGAATTCGATGTGCCAATATCAACAGATCTATCATGCATACAAATTCCTAAGTTACAACTTTTTCCATTGAAATCGAGATAGATAAAATTTGTCACTCTTTCTCAGAAGACAGGAGCAGGAAAATAAGCCAAAAGATCCTATACATGTCATTCAGAAATCAAATACTTTGATTCGCATCTGGACTGTCTTGGAAGAATTAAGCAGGGAATAACAAGTTATTATTTATTCGAGGTATGAAACAGAACAATCTTTAAACCGCTGGAGATCTTTATTTATTCCATTGGGTCGGGTTAAAGTCCTTTATCATAGTAAAGGGTAAGTATGTTACCATAGGATTTCTTAGCTCAGATAGTGCTCTCCTGACGTGCTCCTTTTCTGCAAACCTCACAAAGGCAAAGCCCCTGTTCTTGTTGGTGTTGAAATCCCAGTGAAGCCGAATATCCTCAACTATTCCGATATTCTCAAATGCCTTCCTTACATCCTCTTCGGTGGCATCACGGTCCAATCCACCAACAAATATTTCCAGCTCCTTTTTCTTCCTCCTCTCATTTATCATATCGGACATCTTGCTCTGCTCCTCCTCTTCAAATGAACCAGCTTCTCCCTCTCCCACACCTTCCCCCTCCTCCTCCCTTGGAACTTCTCCTTCTCCTGGTTCGTGAAATCCCTCCTGTTTCCCAAAATCTTCTTCCATATAATCTCCCTCTTCTGAAGCCACAACATTCTCAGAGAAATCCTCTTCCTTGCATATAAGAGACTTGCCAGCTCCAGTCTCTACCTTGGGCCCCGCTTTACCTTCTCCTTTCTCTAGCTTTATATTCTCTGATGGCATCTCATTCTCCAGAAGAGAAGGTTTCTCCGTCTCCCCTTCTTCACTCGATGTAACAGATTTTTGTTCCTCCTCACTTTTGATTGGGACAGCAGAATTTTCCTGTTTATGCGAGGCTACTGAAGTGCCATCTATCTCCAGATCCTCAGTCTTCGGGTATAATTCGACCACGGCCTCCTCTGGTTCCATCACCCGTGCCTCTTCCCCCGCTGCCTTGGTGGAAGAGGGCAGAGATGAGTTGATCTCACCAGGTAACACGGTTTCAGGGAGCTTTGCTATGACCGCCGGCTCCACACCAGCAGAACGGCTTCCTGCTTCTTCCTCTGCAAGCAAGAACGGAACTATTATAAAAGAATGTCCAGTAAAATCACCAAATCAGAAACTAGGGCTTCGTTTGTTCCCCATTATGCGATTTTACAGCATACCATTCAGTTCCGCCTTTGTGCCTGGAGTTGCCACTGCAGGAGGTACCACATTGATTGGAATAGTTGCAACGGGGACTGGATTAGGAACATCGGCAACTATAGGGGCAGCAGCGGCAGCGGCAGATGCAGCTGCTGTGGGAGTCGACTGCTTCCCCGTCCTTTTCGGCCCTTTCTTTCCTGGGCCAGACCTCAGCATTGGTTTAGGGGCTGCAACCGCGGCCGTCTCCGGAGTCTCCTCTGCTGACTCTGTGGAGGCCGCTGCATCCTTTTTAGGTTGCGGAGCCTTCTTGCCTCCAGACCTGGTTGTCCTCATCCTTTCCCTTCCACCAGTCGGTCCCGGAATCAAACTATTGCCAAGCTCTAAAATGTTCTACACCGACAAAGACGAAGGAAGAAATAGCAATGACCGAAGAAAAATCATCAGCAGGAAGAAGCTTTGTCAAACGCAGGCGATATGAGAATAAGGACGAATTCGAGAGACCTATTCGACGTACCTGAGAAGCCGATGTGGATTGGCAACGCCCCTCTGTCGGTTCTGTGAATTAGTCGAGAAGACCTGAGAAGAAAACCTAGAAATGGAGGGAAGACGCAGTTTCCGAGTGAGAGAGGGAGACGACGCCGGCGAGGATTTCTCTAACAAATTGACTGGTAGCAGCAGGTCATGTGTTCCATAAAGCAACGAACACGAAACATTAAATTCACTTCTCCAGCTCCTCTGCTCTCCATTTTCTCCTTCCACATGCTACCAGCGGCTTCCATTGCTCCTGATCGTAGTCTCCCCCACACAGCCTCTCTTCCTACCAGACCTAGGAATCTACAACCAGTAGCCTCTTTCGATCGGTGATCGAAGACCAGCCTGTTGTCAAACCAAAGAACTTCAAATCTTGATTTCCCGAAAAATGACAGAAAACATAGCAAGAAAATCTCTCTCAGAAAGCGAAGAAGGTGAGAAGTATGAGTAATCAAATCGAAGATTCGGACAAAACATTGCTACTGAATCATACTTCGACCTGCAACTGCTGCTATCCCTTCAACCGACGAGGCGAACCGATCAAGCTCTCCCGAGAGGTAAATCCCTTTTAAAGTGTTGAAGGCCGCAGTTATAAATACGCTCATCTGTCCGTACGAGAAGTTGATGTTATCCATCGGGCCGGGTCCGCAGAATTTCAGGGCCTGGAGACGGGTCACCTTATTGGGCCCAGTGGATATATTGGGCCAGGATAAAGGTCAACACATCAGGACCGTAATCAAAGGGAGACTTGTTTCCCGACGGTGAACTCCACATCTCGCCACTTCCTATCAGCAGAGTTCTTTACCCGGGCACAAGCTCGGCCCAAGTGGAGCTTGAGCTAGTCTAGAGTTGCCTCTCGATCTCAGAGAAGTCAGTCAACTTCATCGGTGGTAGCATAGCTGACTTCATGTTGGATGAGGGATGAAGGTTCATGTTCATAGACAATTTTGAAAGGGGATTTTCTTGACAATTGATTAAAGTTGGTATATATTGTTCACTTGCTTATCAATTCACTATATGCTTTATTTCAAGCTGAACATGATTCTCACTATTTTCCGATGCTCCCCTTTGTTACTAGATGTTGCAAATAATTGCAAGGTAAATGGATGAAGATGTTGTTCTCGCCGATGCGATAAATTTGAAATGATGATAATTAGCTATTACTAGGACATCTATGGCGGGCGATGATAAGTGCTCATGAAATCATGAATGAAGTTGGCATCACCTTTTATGTAATTATTGGTATTCAAGTAGAGGAAAGAATTTAGTCAACTCACACTGAGCAACTTAAGAGTTGAAAAAAAATCACTATGGGTTTGAGTTCTTATATGAAAATGTGCAAGGTTCTACTAGCATGTGTCATCTTTATTATCACTTAGTTGAAACTTTTCATGCTCATAGTCTAAATTGCTAAGGTACCTTTTATTCTTTCTATGTTGAATTATAAAGTAGCTAAACTTCAACACTAATTGGTTGACTTTTCTAAATCTATGTTCAATACTCATCTTATGGGATTACTAATAGGATCTTGATAATTTCTCACATTCTTCGTGACACAACAAAAATTGAAAGATCATATGATTGGATTATGTTCAACTATGCATAATATTTTAGAAGTAAAATCATGACCTTGAATCCACATTGAATGTGATTTTGTTGAAAACTCATAGTCGTGAGTCCATAGAAAATAGAGATTTCGTCTCTTAAATTCACAAAGGGTTGATCATGAGTCCATAGATAAAAAACATAACTCATTGAGTCCACATGGATGTTGAAGTCTACCAATAGATGGAGAACACCTCTATGAGGAAGAAACTCACAAAAATTATTAATTAAAAATTAGAATGTCTCTTGGGTTATATAGGGTGTCTTTAAATATGATGAACTCTCTTGATTTGACACCTAATTTTAAGCTTTAATTTATTTTTAAAAATAGAAACATAAAGATAATATAAAAGATAATAGGAATATAAATAAAATAAAAATAAAAAGGGGAACGAAAATAGTAAGGGTTTGAAAATAAAATGAGAGATAAAAATAGAAAGCACTAAAAATAGCTAAAAATATAAATACGAAATAAAATTAAATAAATATGGCCACGTCCTAAAATGTGTCTTTGTTATAGGCCTAATTTTGAATTTTGGTTGAGTCCAACTTAAATAGGTCTTCAAATTGTCTATATTGACATTCCACTTAATATAGACCTTAATGCTTGTAACACTTTAAAAAAAATGTCGAGCAGACTATCACATCCTCTACATGTTCAACCTTCTCATGTAACCGTGTATCAAGAAAAATGTAATGATTTTGAAAACATACTAAAATATTAATGATCGAGAAATGCACACATTTTTTAAAAGCTCAATAAAAGGAAGGGAGCAAGCAAATATTGAGAATATGAAGTCACTTGAAGCATCTACTTAGAAATGTCATTCATTTCATTTAATAATTGCTCTTTTTAATGATACTTCATATCTCTCTCCCCCTACCAATATTCTTTCTCACTCATTTTCAATCCAATCATGTGTACCCCATTCGTTATTGTGTTCATGTGGTTGTTCCCTATTCATTTCTATGTGTGAGTCACTAGAGATAAATTGTGAGTCAATATTGTAACTTTGGAGTTTATCCATATATTTTATTCTAATTATTATTATCTAGCATAGTAGTGGTCAACAACTCTCTCTCTCTCTCTCTCACTTGTCATGATAGTCACCCTCAAAATTATCCACATATCAAAAAAGGTCATATTAATTTGGTATTAGAGTCCTCATCCACCATGGCACCATGCCATATTGAATCAAGGGTTGATAGAGTGAAAAAGGATATTGATGAACTTCAATATCAGTTTCATCACCTTCCTAACCCAAAGTCTCAAATGGAACAATGTTACTACATCGTATAACAAGTATTTTTGTCACCGAGGAACTCTGTGGTCAAACGGTTCTACTTATCACATTTCTCACAACACAAAAGAGGCCATTCAGGAGAGACAACAATCTTACATCATCATTGGGACTATTTCATGGACCATGGATCAAATCCAAATTGATTATTAAAAGCAATTCTTATTACCCATTGTCTATAGCTTCTCATTTTTACATGTCAAAATCCATATGAATATAGATCATGTTGAGTTATTATTTTCCATCCATCATCATTTAAATGTAGAGAAAATTACCATGGATGTAATTAGCTTCAAACAAAGTGTTTTCTAGTTTCATTAAGTTGAACATCATGCTCCATTCATTAGTTAGTTGGATCTACATCATCAACTACTCACATATTTTGAAACATCTTCTAAATAAGATTCTCATGAACAATTATTTAACTTGCAACATTACAAATCAATGGAGGAATATTGCCATGATTTTGAACTCTTGTTAGGGACCATCACTAATCTTTCTATTGATGTTCTCAAATTTTTTTTTTTGAAAGGATTAAAACTTGATATTAAGATAGAGGTGAAATTACTTGCGCCCAATGGTCTTCATGACATTATGTGCAAGTAGCTTAACATGTGGAGGAATAAAATCTATTTCTCCAATAGGAATTGAGCCATCCTACATTTATAGTTAACTTAGGCTCTTTCTCAACTTATCTCTGGCATTTGTCATGTTGAATCTATTGCTTGGCAATCTCCACCACCACCAATACTTCCACCTCATTGACATCACCTTCTATTGATGGACACAAAATATTAGGCATGCATACTAAAATGTTTATATTTTACTTGTAATGACAAACTCACCTGATGACACAAATGCTCGCCCCACTATTTTCCTATTTTATAAAAAATATTAATTATACTTTTATATTATTTATATGGCTCTTATAGTATATATTTATATTTAGTTGTGATTGGTGAGGAAAGACTTGATGGAGCAAGGAGGTTCTATGGGTAACTTTTCTTGGGCACTCAAATGGATTTATTCCCCTCTCCATCTTCTTGTTTTATATATTTTATTAAGTATTATTTTATAATTTTATCCCTCTATTATAGTATCTTCTTATATTTATATTTTTACATGGTGAGGGAAGACCTCATTAGACTCCAGGATGTTCAGTGGGCTTCTTAATTTTATTGGCCTCTATAATGGACCTTCTTCCTCCATTTCTTTGTATTTAATGTGTGATCTTATGAAAGAAAAATGAGCCACCTTGTGCTATGATATCATGTTATTTCTAATTATATAAATATAATATTCATTTATATGATGTATTTTTTAACAATAAGTACTTAAAATTTTCTAAATAAATAACTTATTGGTAATGTTGATTATTGAATCGAGTCAATACTCTAAAAGTAGAGAATATTGTAGTAGGTTGTTAATTGCACTTTTGATTGGATGAAAAATGGGACAGAAATAATAAATTTTAATTCCCTATCACTCCACAAAAGAAAGAAAAATAAATCAAAATACTAATTCTAAGAAAAAAATAATATTTATTCGACAGTGAAGGAAGTCCCTAAATGTGTGAGTTACTTGCTAAATATTTGGATATTTTTCTTTTAATATCAAATGCGATTAATTTTAACTTTGGAAATATGTCAAATGTAAAAAATGTTTTGAACATATTTTAATACGCCAATATTGTGTGTTAAAAAATGGGGTGGAAACGGATCTTTTAGGCGTTGATTTAGTCAACATTTTAGAGACGACGACTGAAGGTAACTACACTGAGGGTAACCAGATTCTTAAGCTGACTGTAGGTGACTATAACCAGCAGGTGTCCGCTGGCCGTATACACATGGTCCAACTGGAGAGTACGAATGGCGGGTTCGCCCTCTGAAGCTCCGCGGCCGGAACAGAGCTCGATGACGGTGGAATCGGAGAGAGGCAGCGGGATGGATTGCTGGAAGCCGTGGAAGCAGTGAAGGCCTCTTCGAAGCAGTGGAAATGCTCGGAGATCGATATGCGATCCATCAGCCTGCGTCGAAACCCTACCTCTCTACAGGTCCTCGAGCCGCCGCAGGATGATTGATGAGCGGCGTCGGGATGCAGGGGTCCTCTCTCCACGACGTGGAGCTGGCTGCGACTTCGGGGGTGCCTTCGGATTCCCGAAATCCTCCCAACAGCAGGTCTCACTTCACGTCGTCTCTCTCTCTGGGGCTCACGCACCCATCCTCCTCCTCTCGTCCTATGGCCGACCGTTATCACGCGGTCGCTCCGGAGCCAATATCATCCATCAGTCCCCCGGCTAGTGAGTACTCATCAGTGCCGATCGTGAGAGTACGCCTGTCGGATATCATACCTTACGAGGGAGCCCCTTGCGAGGCTTATGTTAAGGCTGTGGAGTCACTTTCTGGGTCCCTGACGAGGCACAATGCTGTTTTAATTGAGCTTGACACCGAAGATTCGACGATGATGCGGTGTGCATTGGAGTCTGCGAGGATGTATTTTAAGGCGAGAACGCAGTGCAGTGGCGTTGGCAGCAGTAGCGATACTTGGAGGAAGTCAAGCGGAGGTGTTTACACGTATCGTGCAGGAAGGTAGCTTTTGGCTTCCCGTCAGTATTTTTATTATGTAAATTTTGACTCACAATTTGTAACCGGAGTAGAAAGCGTGGATATCTTTTCATGGTACCCATTTATTGATAGGACAACATGGATTTTTTCGCATGCCCGCATTTTCACCCATTCACCATGTGTGATTCCTATCTTAGACGAATGCATACATTCAACAATAAACCAAATGAAAGGAATTTATTCACATTTTTTAACATCATCGTTCAGAACAACCCATTCACATGTTTGAAATTATGTTTCACGTCGTTGATGCCGTAGTCATTTTTTGAAATCTGGGATGGTAATATTACGATAAGTAATAATACTTGTCCACTGAGCCTCTTTCTATTATTTTCAATAGTTATTTCTTGATTCCACTTTCCTTGGACCTCGGAAAACTGCTTTCTGATGTCGTAGTAAAAGGACAGCATCACATTCCTACCTAAGAGGGCTTTTTGGCAACATTTCAAGAGATATTCGTGGCGTCCTCTTTCTATCATCTGTATGTCTGTTGCTCCTTTGATCTTGCTCAGAGTTATTAGGATATGAGTACAACATTGCTCATTTGCTCCCATAAACAACAGTTTATACGTGCTCTGAATTTGTTTTGTTCTATTCTGCTATTAACTCCCAAGGTTATGAATCTCTTCATCCTTAAAAAAATTCTTCACCATTTCATTCTTGCAGTTTTTGCCAAGTTAAATGCTTCGTGGTATGATAGAGTACTGAAAAAACATTGTTTTTTAGCCTTTCGTTTTTTGCCATTTGATTTCAAAATACACTTCATAGATAGGTATATCTGTCTGCCAGGGCTTTAGAAGATGGAGACCTATCACCTCCATGCATGAGTGAGGCTTTCAAGTGCTTGGGAAAGGCCGCTCGTGCTGCTCTATATGCAGTAGCTAGGCACCTTCGTCTACATAGCAAGTAATACTTCTGTTGATGTCTAACTAGCCTTAAATATTTTGACTTTCATGTTTTAACCATTTTTGGGCAGTGTTTTCAACCACCTGCTTGATGATTCTCCATTGCCTCTAAATGAGGTATCGTCATCTGTATTGATTGCAACCTTTTCTCAAAATTCGCTGTCAAATGGAAAGGTAGTAGTGGGATGTGGGAAGGCTGGAAATAGTGAAGTTGAGAAGGGTTTATTGGCATTGATTGCTTCAGACAATCCCGGAATTCAGGTGCTTAGTTCTTATCTTTTACTGTTACTGTCAATATTTTTAGTATGTTTAGGGTTCTGGTTTTGTGCACTAGTGGTGTTGACTTGTAGATTCTGAACGTGGGATTGGTTGTCCCATAATTGCAGGGCAATTGTCATAAACTGTGCAGTTTTCTTACTTTGGGCTTCAAATCATTTTTTTCAGTCATCTCTTGGATAGGTTTGTGACCCAAATGGTCGTTGGTACCTAGCAGATGGAGCTTCTGGGCCTGGGGATCTTCTATTGATTACTGGCAGGGCTCTCAGCCAAGCTACAGCTGGTCTTCGCCCTGCCACCTCATATAGGATTGTAGTTGACTCTTTGTCAGGCATCACTTCTCGTGGAAGGTCTGTCATTTCATCTACTGCTCTGTTTTATGATACTATTCTATCTGATTTCGATCTAGTCGACTAAAGGCCTGTTTTATTATTCCATCCAATTGAATGCATTGAAAAGATTCCATTGATCTAAGTTGAGGTCAGGAAATGAATTTCATCTGAACTTCGCACCACTTTTGAGCTTGTAGGGTATCCCTGAGATTTAAGCTTATGCCACAAAGCCATGCTATACTGGATTGTTCTCCAATTGCCGCTGCTGGTCATGTTATTCCTCAGAGTTTTGTGCCAACAACAGTGAGCCAATTCATGGATGACCTGTCGGCTGAGGAAGATACAATTTTCAACCGTCATGATAATTATGTGCGTATTTTTTCCAGCTAAATAATGATGAATAAGAACTCTCAGACTCTAATAAGAAATATTGTTATTGAAACAAAATTGTAATAAGGCACAGTATTTTCCTTCAAATTGGTGAATGGTAGCCTCCGTACATTGTGAGGAAATATTTTTAATATTATTATTTTCATGCCTCGTTATCAGTTCAATGTCACTTTGGAATTGCAGGAAGCTCATCGGAATTTTATTAGGGAGCCTTCACTGAGAAGTTTGCTGTCAGATTCAACATCGTGAGCTCCGTGTTCTTTTTTTCGATTTTCAATTTTCATGAGCTGTCTTAGCGTGAATGATTTTGATTTGCGTGATTTTTATTTAAAATTTCCTTATAGATGGTTTTTGAAATTAGTATAGGGAACCATTTTTTTGCTCATATATTCACGTTAAAAAATTACCTAATATATTATGTTGTGACTGTTAGTTAACTGAGTAGAAAATGAGATGCGGAAATGGTGTAATCTTTTAACATAATGTCCCGGAAAATCTCTAAGGTCGGAACTAGAAGTATGTCAATATCCCAAAACCAGGTGAGAAAGGCTGGCCTGTTCATTTTAATTTAAGCATAAACCTTCCTGGAATGGTGAATATTTATGCAAATCGATTGACTTGAGTCGGATACCTGTCTCATCTGAATGCACCAGGAAATCAAATCCCATTGTTTTTTCACATGCCTACATTGGTCAAACTAGTTCTCAACCGGATAAGCCAAAGATAACTGTTCAGCAAGATCCCCCTATCTGAAAACTTAGTAGTAAGAATGTAAAGAAGAAAAACACGAGAAATAACACGTGTGAGTTTTTTTTAAAAAAAATCCTTATATAGTTTGCATATTTCGAAGAGCATTTAAAGTTTTTCCCCATTTATTATTGCAACATCTGGGTTTCCTTGGGAGCAAGAAGAATAAAGGAAATAAAGAAAAGGAGAAAGAAGGATCTTCTCAATGTGGAAGCAGGCTTTGCAGTTTGCGGTCTGCGACTTTTCTGCTTGTTTGGTTCCTTCCACTTCTGTGCTGTATCATTAACTTCTATGTCATCATTATGTCACTGCTCTCTAAACGCCATACTTGCTGCATGAATTATGTCATCACTAGGAACTGTAGTTTTTCTGCTTTTGTTGTCTTATCTTACGATGCTAGTGCTTGTTTTTACTGTGCTAGTGATTTTATTTGATTTTTCTCCCTTTCTTGTTTTCATCCCAAGAGCTATATGCCAGTGAACAGGCATGAATTTGAACGTCTAAGGTTAACTATCTTAATTATTCGTGTTTTTTTAATCTCGGTATTCAGCGGTGCCTTTCTTGAAGATGCTGTTGTTGTCTCCTGTGGACATTCGTTTGGTGGCGACATGCTAAAGAAGGTTATTGAAATGGTATTGTAACCTCTGATTTCCTTCACATGTCGTTCAGTTTTTGAAATATTTTCAGTAAAAAGGACTCCGAAGGGAATATCTTGAACTGATTTAAAAACATGGATTGAAAGATGGTCTGGAATTAATTCATTTTTTAATTTTTTTCCAAACATGAAAAAACTCAAGCTTTTTTGTAGAGAAGCAAACTTATTCCGGGGAAAAACACAAATTTTTTATTTGAATGCTTTTGACGTCTTTCCTTGTGAAATCTATGCTCCATTGCTCAATCCCAAATCCTCACATAGGAAGGAAGAAATCAGTAGAAGTATGTCTTCTGAAGCCCATGCGCCACGTTCTACTTTGAGAAATTTAAAGCAAGTCCTATGGTGACATCAACTGATGGACTTTATATATGATATGACATACATAAAACCATCATCTCATTCGTCAATAAATGATGCCGGCATTTAGTCATTCATCTATTTGCTGTTAGTTGATAGTTAATTAGTGAATAATTTGCACGCTTTGAAGATCATATTAACTTTCAAACCGTGTTTATCACCACAACAATCTGGATCAAAAAAGAAATACAGGAAATGGATTTCGATTTGGTTAGCTAGCTATTCTGTCGACGGCTGGGGAAAGTTAACAAGCGTTCATCACCTGATATCTTACCTTGTTCTCATTGCAGGCTAGATGCTCGCAATGCAACTCTGAAATTGAACCTGGGGTTTTGATTCCGAATTATGGTACGCTCCAGGTCTTCTGTATTCAAAAGTTTTATAGAGCATCTGCTACCAGTTCCATCCCCGCTGTCTAATCATCCTGGAAATTCTTCAGCCATGAGAGCTGCTGCTGTTGCCGTGAAAAATGAGGATGGCCGGAGGCTCTTCCATAATGCTGTTCTCCGGAAACGAAGGAAAGAAATGGCAGAACAGATGGATGCTCCAAAAAGATTGAACAAGGTGCGGTGCTGGGCATTTCATTCTAATTTTTCTCCGGTTTCTCTCTCCTCTTTCTATATATATATATATATATATATATAATTTTTACAGGAAGATAGAGAGTTGACCGGAGATGGAGATGCCCTCAGACGGTCAAAAGGTGTCCTGTCCCCATTTGCGGTCAACGAAAGAGTGATGATCAAGGTTAGGCAGCTGGGTTTCAACAAGCTAATCCTCTCGGAACTGAAGTATGGCATGATGTTGATCGAATCATTCGCGCAGGGAAACAGAAGAACACCAGATAAGTTGGTTGGCAAAGAAGCTGTGATCAAATCCCAGTGCTTGAATGGCTGGTAATCACTCGCACTGCTCTTGTCTTATAATCGTATGAGGAAGGTCTAGGGTTCTTGGGGCCTGGAGGAGAGAAGCTCCATTGCTTGTTTGGGAATAATGTTCTACCCTTTTGTGTGAGCTACAGTAAAAAGGGTTTTTTTTTTTTTTTTTTTTCTCATCACAGAGGATAAATGGGTTCTCTCTCACCTGATCTTCAGGTATCTTCTCAAGATTCTTGAGAGCGGGGAGAGCGTTCGGCTGCAGTATCGCTCTCTTTGGAAGGCCTCAGGCTCCGAGGAGGGCGGGAGAAGCCAATCCAGCCCGCTGATTCAGAGTGGCGGCTGATCCGGCGGCTGTATTGGCGGTTCCATGGATCTGATGAGGTTTGTGCTTTCCATTAATGTCCATATGACCCAATCCAAAATTATGTAGGATGGAGATGGCTTCAGGAGGATGGAGCCAGTCAGCGTGTTGTGTGTACGGTGGCAAGAATCGCCACCCTGTCAGTTAAGGAGGGAGGTTACGTTTATGGTCAACTTTCTGTCTTTTCCCCTTCAGTTTGTTCGGAAGGTTGACTTTTCGGTAGTGGATCGTGGGGGGTCAGAAGACGAGGTCACTGTGCATACCCAAAAAATATGGTCTGTTCATGAACTCTGGGGGGGAGTCAACGGGCAGCCCGGTCATAGAAGCAGCCGAAAATGGGCAGAGAGATGGATGAATTTGTGACTCAGGAGTTGACCTGTTAGGCGTTGGGAGGCCACAGTTTGGCGTCCTGAGTGGTGTCCACGGAGGCGGGAGGCAGCCAATGCCACATGGCGAGCCCTGGGAATGCCTGGGCCTTGCCGGCGCCGGCGGCGTGGAAAGCCGCCGGATGCGGCAGGAACCCAGTCGGCGGTAAGCTCATGGCTTTGACCTGCTGCTCTAACTCCTCCTTGTCTGCCTTTAGCCTCGTCTTCTCGTCGCGGAGCTCGGTCTTCTCCGCCTAAACAGCCCAGGTGGTGAGGTCAACGGAGAGATAACCCGACGAGGATAGTGAGCGAAAGTGCTACCTTCAGTTCTCTGATCGCCTCTTGAAGCTTCTCGTTCGCTTCTTTGAGCTTCTGCGCTTCGTTCCTCAGTTCCCCCAGAACCCGAGCCGCGTCGCTCAAGATGCTAGCTTTATCTGATTGGCGATGTGCCCTCTCGGGATCCAGCACCGAACCCAGCTCTACAAACCTGTAGAGAGAGAGAGAGAGAGAGAGAGAGAGAGAGAGAGGTAGGGAGGAACATTAGATACAACTCTAGACTACAGAGAGAGAGAGAGAGAGAGAGAGAGAGGGGGGGGGGGTTGCAGAGGGCATGCCTGTCATTCAATCTGTCTCTCCTCATTTTCTCACGGCACGCCTTCGTCTTAGTTTCCACGATTGATTCACTTCTTGCTCTGCAAATCCCCCAGTCATCGGCCCCTCATCCCACGGAGAAGTTATGGAATGGAGATTACAGAGAGAGAGAGAGAACCTCTTCTTCGAGTCCATCTGGTCCGGTCCACCTGCATTTCCACAGACCTCCTCGATCGCCGCCCTGTTGCAGACGGCGTGAGAGAAGGAGGGAGATGGGGAGGGGCTACGGCGAGGGAGATCGCCGAGGCCGCCGGTGAGCGTCCACCGGAAGTCCTCCTCCAGTCCGCCGCCGACGTCGTCGATCCAGCTGTAGTCCTCGCCCCCATCGGAACCCATGCCGAGGAGAGAAAGAGTGAGGGGGCGAGGGGTTGAGTAGGATTTTTGGGGGGCTGGGGATGAAATGTGAAGGAGGGGAGGATGGCGGGTGGACGCTCGTGATCCATACGAATCGCGGCGCCCAACAGGCGCCTGCCCCCGGCTGGCTCCCTACCACCTTTCCTCCACGTATCGCCGGATTCTCTGTCCTCGTCATCCCCACTGGAGGCCACACAGAGAGAGCTAGAGAGAGCTAGAGAGAGAGAGATTTAAGCGCAGTGTCGGCGGAGGGAAAAATCTACAAACAAGCCCAACAAAAAGTTTGACCCAGCTTTCGCCATTATAAGTCAGCGATGGACCTAAAAGAGTAATTTCTTCCTTTGACCGAACGTAATGCGGCCAAGTTGCTCCATTGAGCACTCATCTTGGGAAACGATAGTCCACCTAGCGTGCGGTTTATGATTTTAAGTTATGAACCCGCAGGCAAATAAATAAATAAATAAATCGAATAAATGAAATATTCGGAATCATATGCAAATGTACCACCCTTTTATAATCCAATTGCAAGACTTTGTTCATCCATTGAATGGGGAATATTACCATCTATGCAACGATGGCCACTAATCATAATATGACGTTGAGTTTGTGAAAAGAGGGCCTTTGACTTTTACAAAAGTAGACTAAGTGAGAACTAGTAAAACAATAATCTTCCATTCATAAAAAATGACAACCTTGTAAATATGGTAATATTCCAATGAAATAAAAATATCATATTGTGGAAATCTTCAAAGTCATACGTGATGAGGATCATGTTCCATGATTTGATCAAAAGAATCTTGATTGAATTTCACATACAATCCGAAAAAAAGAAAGTGTAACCTAAATGAATACTTTGTATTTCTTTAACACAATCAATAGTCAATTGATGCATGAGCTCAATACAAATTCACCATCCAATGCATGAAGAATAATCTTGATGCAAATTGATGAAACTTTTTAAATATTTTTGGAAACCCTAGATAGGTTTTGAAGTTGGAAATGCTTACCCATCATGAAAAAATTATCTTTTTCAAATTTTTGATCCATTTTGTGCTTGTTCTATAAATGATTACTAACCACCAAAATTATCTCACAAGAATCTGGGACCAATTAAAAATATTTTGGACAATATTTACTCCTGACTTTAAATTTTATTATAACTTTTGACAATTGCATGAGAGCATGGAAAGAAAAGAAAGTAGTATGTAAAAAAAGATCAATAGATAAAGTCTCATATTTTCAATTCATGAGAATTATGATGTACAATAACACAAAATATGAAGCCCAATATTTTAGTAGGTGAAATTTACGCTAGAAAACACAGAAAATCAAGTTCTTAAGCAACACATGCATGAGTCTATTTATGGAGTGAAATATTTATGAGAATGTCAAAATTATATTAATAAACATTGGAAAATATAGGTGTCGAGTTCAAAAGTGGCTTGTAAATAATTATGTCAAGCATAATATTTCAATGCATGATATTTTTTGATATGTAAGTCAATTGGATGCAAAGTTTCATATCTCAATATGTAAATCTTATGCTCCTGCTACAAATTATGAAAAAATGAGTCAAAGTGACCATGTATTCCTATTTTATTTTTTTACCTTAATAATAACAACTTCACACTTCCAAGTCAAACCTCTATCAACAACTTCTAAAAGGGTTGAAAGATATAAATAGAACTATCAATTTCAAGTCAGCATGTCACATTGCATGATATTAAATTTTAGTTATTTTTTATATTAATTATTCCATAATAGTAAAAGTTGATCATTAATACTAAGAACATGCATGTGCTTTGATATCTTTTGAATTGTGAGAGCAAAACAATACGCTAGCATCAGATATCTTGTGCTATGCTTTGTAGAGTCAATAATACATATTTCTAAAGCCACGAATCTAATGAGGATAAGTTGAAGTTTGATGACCAATCTAACAATTATATCATCAATAAATTATTGGCATCTTTAAAAAGTAGAGTGGGGCAAACAAGTGCAAAATTATTCCAAAATTGCGTGGCTCTCTCTCTCTCTCTCTTCTTTTTTTTTTGCCTTTTTTTTTCATTTCATAGTCTCATATATTGCACCATTTTTTTTCCCATCTAAACCCATTAAATTTGATGTCTAATTCACCCCTTTCTTAGTTCCTTCGGCGCCAAAAGAGCAAATGACAATGTAGCATCATATGAAAAAACCCAAATAAATAATGAGAAAAATATCAAGTTAGAATGTCAAAGCTTCAATGGGTACAATCTTGTGTCCATAAATGCTAAAGCTAAATGTAGCAAATGTTCTTCAATTGATGGTTTAAAATTTTGTCAACCTTTGATACAAAAGTAGTTTGGAATTTAATGCTCGACTTATAAACAAGAATGGTTCCAAGAATTTGGAGGCTTGGGAGGATTAGAAAAAGTCTCATTTTATGATTATTCAAATAATTAATTAATAATAGTATATCACTTTGTTAAATTACTATTTTTAAAATATTATGTTAGTATTATTTACATGCTGGTATTTACTATGCTCTTTTATACCAGTTGTGTCCACTAATTTTCATACACCAAGAAAAGTCAAAATTAAAAATGTTCTATCCTTTTTTTTAATTTTTTTTTTCAAGAGGTTAGATTAGATTAAGGTCACACATATAAATTATATACATAAACATTACTTTTTCGTAGTGTAAAATGATAAATTACCTTCTATTTTATTTAGCAAACTTCAAGAGAAATTTGACTCAAAGATTAGCTCTTGGCCCACCTAAACACCCCCTTAGTCAACTACTCATGGAATTATTTTCGAGCAAATATCTTTTGCAAAATGAATAATGATGTCATAATTAGAATGAATTACCTTTTTTGTTTGACCTTAATGATGACATTGAGTTGAGAAAGGGAGGAAATTTAATGAATGGTCTACAAAATATTTATGGATGAATTAAATATTTATTGAACTCACCAAGGTCGATAGATTTAAGGATAAATTGAATGAAAATTCTGAACTTTCTAGGTTATTTTGGGTAAATTACGTGATAAAAGATTTTATGTCGTAATATATTTTAAACTATCATCATCTTTAAGACTAAGCTACGTTAATTGATTATTACTAGTGGTTTATTTTTATGTATTTTATGATTATTAGATCGTCCTTGACATGTTAATGATCTGCGAGATATCTTAGGGACGGACGGATCTTCTCGTTGTTCACGTGAGACATGTTAATGGTCAAAGTCAAATGTGATCTACTCACAGGTCCAAATATGGAAATTAAAGAATCAGCTAGTATAATATTATGCATTTATTTTTTGCCACGTGCTGATTTGCTTGAGATTCGTCGCCTTACTTTTTGTCTTTGGCTCAGTGCGACACGTGGTTGTCCACGTGTGGACGCCATAAATCCGACAGCGGCTGACGAGCGGAAGATTTCAAATCAGACGGCGGATCGGGGGACAGACGAGCAGATCTCGCCCGAATCTTCTCGAGCGCAACGTACGATCGTCGGGTTCGCGGACCAGACTGGGTCGAGATCTACGGCCCCGATCTTCGGGACCACCACGCGTCGACATCTCCGCCCTCGACCTGCTACAAGCGATCCCGCCAGAACAAGTAAGAAAGATTTTCCGAACCTCTTCTTACTTAGTCGTAATCATTTCCGAGGTTTAAGCGAGAGAGAGAGAGAGAGAGGGAGAGAGAGAGAGAGAGAGGAGATCTGGGTCGGCGGAGGGGAGCGGTAATCGAGAGATCCTCTGATGGGGAGGGTCAAACGGTCAAATACGTTGACCGGGGGGAGGATTCTGCGGCCACTTGGTTCGAGGTCTACCGTGAAGAGGAGGTTTTCAACAGGGAATTTAATTGAACGGAGCTACGAGGAGATCTGAGAGGTATCCGAGGTGATTCCCAATAGTCAATGAGGACTTACTTTTTTCCGGGGACGCTCCAAGAGAGAGAGAGAGAGAGAGGCGGTGGCCGAGACCAGAGATATATACAGGCTGGAGGATCCTCTCCGAGATATCCAGGGTATGGGGTAGAGAGAGAAGAGAGCCACAGAGAGATAGAAGAGAGGAGAGAGAGAATTGCCCCTGGCAACAGAGCTGGGGGAGCCCCACTGGAGGAAGTGAAGATCCTGCGGACTGGCGCAATCGAGATCGTCGCAGATCTCTTCCTTGTTCCTTGAGCTCCTCTGTGATTCCCTCTCCTTTATAAGCCTGGGTGTGTAGAGAGAGAGAGTGACAAGGAGAGAGATAGAGAGAAGTAGAGAGAGAGACATTGGCGGTGTGGGGATGTCGGCGATAAGGGGCTGCAAGGGGGAGGCGGCGGCGGAGCTGCACGTTCTGGCCGTTGACGACAGCTCCGTCGATCGCCGCCTCATCGAGAGGTTGTTAAGGGCTTCCTCCTACCGCGGTACGCCGCAGAACCTCTCTCTGTCTCTCTCTCTCTCTATACCTCCCTCCGGATGATTCTAAGATCCCTCTCGATCCTGATTATCCTCTTCAGTGACGACGGTGGACAGCGGGAAGCGGGCATTGGAGCTCCTAGGATTGGGGAAGGAGAACAATACCTCTTCTAAGGTTCTCCCTTTCTCGCTCTCGCTCTCGCTCTCGCTCTCTCTCTCTCTCTCTCTCTCTCTCTCTCTCTCTTTCTCTCTCTCTCTCTCTTCTCTCCGACGTCTTCCTCATGGTCCAAGGTTCTTTTGTTCTCAGGGGCCAAAGGTGAACATGATCATAACGGACTACTGCATGCCAGGGATGACCGGCTACGACCTGCTGAAGGTGGTCAAGGTACACCTTCTCCTCCTCGCCGGCGGCCGGATATTTTATATAAATGGGCGTGATCTGTGAACTGAATCTGGTCTCATTTTGCTGTAAAAGGAATCGTCGGCGTTGAGGGAGATCCCCGTGGTGATCGTCTCCTCCGAGAACGTCCCCAACCGGATCAGCCGGTGCCTGGAGGAAGGAGCAGAAGATTTCCTCCTCAAGCCGCTCCGTCCTGCCGACGTCTCCCGCCTCCGCAGCCGCATCGACGGCTCCACCAGCTAGAAGAGGCTAGCGAGAGAGAGAGAGAGAGAGAGAGAGAGAGAGAGGGGGCTTTCTCCCTCCGCCCTCCGCCACTAGCATCATTATTCTTCTGCTTCCTTTTTTGTCCATAAAACCGAAGGAGGCGCGGGCGGCGGAGGGAGGGAAGAAGGATCCCTCCATGGCTGAAGAGCGACCAGATGACTGAGAGCAAGAAGATCCGGTTGACTTCCTGCAGCCGTCTTCTCCGGTCGTTCTTCTCCTCCACAGCAGGTGGGAAGCCCTGCTGGGGGTATTTTGGTCTCTATTCCCCTTGAGAAACGATGATGGCATGTTGCGGAATCTACCCAAAGAAGATAACAACTTTGTCACGTCAACTCACATTTTCTATCTTCGGCAAGTTATTTCACATTTTCTCCGTAATAATTATTTCAAGAAAATATTTTAAATGAAAAATATATCTCGATCCCGATATTTTGATTTCCGGAAAAATTAATAAATTAATGATAACATAAAAAGTAATATGCGAAAAATGGCATCCCTTCTGCCTTTCTCTTCCCCTCAACCGCTCCCTCGCGCGTTGACCGATCCGATGCCCGCCGTTGGCTGCTGCTCCTAGCAGGTGACAGCCACTGAGGAGGATTTTTTTTTAAAACTCCCCTCCGGCGAAGCGAAACAAGCAGAAAGTAGCGTTGACCGTGGGCCCACGTTCACGGATCCTGACAAACAATGGACCGCTGCCCCATTAAGAGCTGTCTCTCTGGGTAGATCCATCTCCTACGGCAGTGTAGCGTTACCCAAATAGTAGACGGCGGCCCATTTGTTTTCCGACCATGGAGAGAGATGAATAGCAAGAGATATAGATGAATAGGGATGAAGAGTGAGAGAGAGAGAGAGAGAGAGAGAGAGAGAGAGAGAGAGAGCATACGGTCGAGGCGGTGGCCAGCGCATACGGTTGCACCGGGACGTCAATGGCGGCGCCGGGCCCCGCCCCCTCGAGGATTCAAGAGCCGCCATTCGAGTGATTGGATGGAGAAAAGGACGGGTGCCCGCCCGCCACCGCCGGCCGAGTTGTCCGATTCGGATTCCAACTCAGCGTGCGGTAGGCCTTTTCGCTGCTTTACCGGGCCCCGCTTTTGTCGAACCCGGGGGCGGCGACTCGGGAAAGGAACTCGGAATCGGAATCGGAATCGGTTTTGCCTACGTGCGAAAACATTTCCGGGCCCACCGGGCGGTGCGGCCGATAGCACCGCACTTCGAGTACCGACATGGTCGTGATGTGGCATGCCACGTCGGCAAAGCACCTGAGACAACATACGATATTTCCAGATATATCCCTGGGGAAAAATATAGCCGAGTCTATTATTTATTATTTTGAGACAAAAAGGACATTAATAATATGTATATAGACACAGTATTATATTACCCTCCTGGGCGCCCCCACCGCCCTGTTCCGGAGAGGAAGGCGAAGGATCCAGGCGCTGGTTGGGAGGGAGGAGAAGGACGCAGCAGAGATTTAAGGTGGCGAGGTGGCAGTGCTCTGTAGGCCGAAGCTTCTGAGGCAGGTACCTCGCTCGCTCTGTTCCCGATCTTCCTCTGTGTTCCGGTTTTCGGCCTCCGCCGGCCGTCCGTCAACGGGGAACTGATCGGCGATTGGATCGTTGTCGTTCTGGATTTCATCATTCGGTTGTGTTGTTCTTGGATTTGTGCAGTGGTCTCTCGTCGTCGTCCGAGGAGCTTCCTGGACATATCGGGAAGCACAGAGTGTGTCTCGTCGCTTGGGACCTGGTGCTCTTGGGAGTTCTCCGAGGTTGGAATTTCAGGGTGAGGAAGCAGCGTGAAGGACCGAGGAGATATCACGATTCGGTTGCGCTGAATGAGCGGAGAACTCGCTGTTGGGTGAATTCGGATTTTCCGAGAATCGCCGCCGGGCTGCTTGGAGGCGTTAGGGGGGCGGGGCGGGGGGCGAAGCTCGGGATTGAGAATAACGTAAAGTAATAATGGTAATGACCCCGTCGGGGGCGTTTTGATCGTCTGTGATTTGGCTGGTTCGGGGCGAATTAGTATTAGGTTACCGTTACGAAGATATTTCATGGCGGCCGATCCGAACATGGGACTTCAGCGGCGGAGAGCAGCGTCAGCTTTCTGTGACCGTCACATGGTTTCTTTTCAGCCGGATACTGTAGGGAGCGCGACGACGACGATTCCCTCCTGTACGGCTGGGTTTAGTGGGGTGAACAGCGCGACAGGTATAACTTTCTCCTCGAGTCCCGATGGTACAAACGACACGGCTGTGCTGTTTCCCAGGGGGAATGCAGCTAGACGCCTCCATCTTCATCCGGTAATCGGGCTCAAGCACGGCAAAGGGTTGGCTGCGGATTGGTCATTCGAAGAACAGTTATTATTGGAGGAAGGCCTTGTCAAGTATGTAGTCTGCAGCTTTTCTTTTCATCTTCTTACGATCCTTTTCCGTCGATCTCTTACTTATCTACGTGTATGAAGGAAAATCCTTACCCCTAGCTCCACAAATCAGGATCACAACCAATAAATCTGACAAGAGCAGGAAACCGTCCTCCATCATGCATAACAAATAAATCATACATAACCGAGCGAATTGACAAGGGAAAGCCGCTTTAGTTCCCGTGCAAATATTTTACCAATAGGTTATTGTCCTCGTAGCGAATATCCATATTCCAAGCACTCCTGTTCTGCTATTCGCATAGATCAAGCGTTTTTGTCCCGCCAGTTTTTAAGGGACACAATATGTTCCTGCGTCTCGAAATAAATACATTATTTACTCTCTGCACATATACTATACACGGATCCTGTGTGGCAACAAAGATTATTATCTCATGTTCTGGACCAATGCATCTTTTAGCCCCACTTAGTAATATTTCTCTGCCTTATGAAGTGAATGATAACTTTTTCCTTCCACTTATTAGGTACGCCAATGAACCTACTATCATGAGATATATCAAGATAGGAGCTATTCTGCATAATAAAACCGTAAGGGATGTCGCTATGAGGTGCCGATGGATGATAGTAAGTCCTTTATAGATTTTCTCAAGAGATTATCATCACTATATTTTTTACCTTCTGAATAATCTGCATTCCCTTTGCAAGAGTTGGACTGCACACAAATATGTACTTCTATTACATGTGATTCTCATATAACAGAGCTTCGGATAATCAAAGGATTATGCCAACGGCCACAGGGATAGATTTACCGTACTTTCCTCACAGAGGACAAGACGTTCCTTTGGAGAGTTTCACTTTTTGAACAGGCTATGGTGGCAGTTTTCTTGGGTTCATATCTTCCCTTTCACTGTCAGCATTTAAGTTGTGTTGCAACACTCCAACATCACCACAGTTGATTGTGGGATCTGATCCATGGGAACGTCCAAACTAACATAGATGAAAGCTACCCAGACCTTCAGAAAGCAGAGGCCATGCATCCAATCCATGGAAACCTTTGGACACGCAATTAGTGGTAGTATCTTATCTGCTCAAAGAAACCTGGCCAACAATCTTCAAGCGACATGAAGGTTTAGACGTACTTGTAAAATTTCACTGGTGCCTTCTTCGTGCAAGACAGGTATGAATGTGGGGCTGGCCGGTCTAGGGTTCTTAAGAATGCAGAGCCAGAGTTGAAGCGGAAAACAGAAGGGGAAAAAGGGGTTGTTAGTGGCTTGACCCCACAGAATGCCATTTGGCTCATGACCTTGGGTGAAACTCATTAGGAAGGCACAACGAAGGAAGTAGAACACAGAACAGCAGATTCTCATTGAAAATGACTAAAAAGAAAACCTTCTAAATGAAGTTACTAGCAAGCTATAATGATCTGCACTTGACATCAACCATGGCCCATATATATATATCGCAAAAATGGATTGTTGAGGAATTCATTAGCAGGAAAACGAAAGAAGATCAGGCACCTGATTATTGATTTCCGCTGAAGATGTTACTGTGAGGCTAATTTTTTTGCCAGTTTTGTCATAATTGAAGCGAGATTGTACCCTCACGTGTCAACTATGATTATCAATTCCCAGCACTCTGCTGGAAACATCTGATAAAGAAGCTAAACATACTCCCTGGCGGTTCTGTTGGCTTCAATGAGAAGATCTGATGATTCTTGGAATCCACAACACTTGAGGCTTGCAGGTTCAAATTCCCATACCGACCAAGAAATATTTATTCATCTCCTGGTCTTCAATGATCAGCGCCTCCTCACACCCGTACATTTCCTCCAGTTGAACCTTTTTGGTAGCCAGTTGGTGCACTTACAAAGTGGACAAGGGATATGTTTGCCCATCGCACAGCAGCTGGGCCTAATCCATAGGAAACCATTTCTGTTCACATTTCAAGAAACTATTCTATTTTTTTCTGTATGCTCTGCGCTAAGATGATCCCTCAAATCTTATTGGAATTAAGAATTCATGCGTAGTTTCTTATTATTTACAGAGGAAGGAGGCCAGGAAACGGCGCAAGCAAGAAGAGTATTATCAGAAGAGAATGAAAGACAACAAGGTAATTTCCTTCCCCTCCCTCTTTCTCTGTTCCCTTCCATGATTCTCGTCAACGAGGTTCACATAGTTACGAACAGGTTTAGACATAACTCAGTTCAGTTATAGAAAAAAATTCTACTCAAATTGGGTTTCAATCTAAGATCCACGGGTACGATAAAGCCTCTCCCAATTCACAACTGAATCGTCAGGTGGATTATTCCTCAAGGTCAGATCTCGCCTCAAGTCAACAACCCAATGCAGCTGCTTCTCCTCTCACTACAACACATTGCGTCGGTAGATGGAATGGCGTTCCTCTTGAAGGTCAGTCTGAATACTTCTCCATAACCTCGCCATCTTTTGCTTCACTCACTCTTTGGCTTCTTCCCTGCAACATTCATACAGCCCAAGTCATCGACGCCTCCATACAACGCCTGGTGCAGGAAAATACTCAGCTTTTGGTCGAGATTACAGCCAATATCAGCTCTCTAAAGGTAGCCATCCCATAGAAACTCTCATCATCAGCTCTATCGCAGATCACACTCAGACCCCCTGCTTCCTCACAGCTACAAGATAACATCGACATCTTCCTCCACGTAAAGAACAACATCGAGTGCATCCTAAACTGGTGAACACCTTCGTGGACAATCTCTCCGGCCCAGGTGGGTTTATTTACTTATTTATTCGTTCGTTTTGAAGGATGAGTGGGATGCCTGGAGTGATGGCCCAGATGCCATCCCTGCCGATTTCAGTCGACGAGCTGCTCCTCGCCGCCGCTACTTCGCCGGCTCTGAGTTCTGGGAGCTATCTGGTCTGATGTAAGTCCCATGAATGATGATTTTCTGCAAATCTAGCAGGCATTCTTGTTTTCTTTCATATTCTTGCCATGATGGTCTCGAGTGTGGCGACGATGGCGCGGTAGTGCTCGACGGCGGAAGCCTCGTCCCTGCTCCTCGCGGCGTAGTCTAGCTGAGCAAGGGACGAGGGAATGAGACCGAGGAGTTTGGGGGGGGGTAGAGGGAGGAGGAGGGAGAATCTCACTCTGGTGACGCTGTTGAAGAGGGCGGAGAAGAGCTTCCTCAGCTCCGGCCGCCGGGCGCCGGGCTTGGACTGGATGATGGTGTAGAGGTCCTGCTTCAAAAGCGGCGCGTCCTCGCGGAGCGCTTGCTGGAGCTCTCGCCATGCCCGCGACTCCACCAGTGGGAAGAGCTCGAGGAGCCCCCGCGCGTGGCCCGCCACCGCCGCCTCCGCCTCCGCCGCCGTCTGCTCCGGCGCCACGAACCAGGACTCGGCGGCCCCTGCTGGGTCTCTCCGCCGCAGGAACCAGGCCCCCGCCACGGCGGCGGCGGCCCTTCTGGTGAGAGCCCGCGGCGGATCGCCGCCACCGCTGCCGGCGAACGGCTGGAACCTCGCGCTCACGGGGGTTCGTCGGCGACGGGCGGCGGGGGGAGACAAGATCTCCGGCGGCGATTGCGCCGCCAGCTGGGGCGTCGCCATCTCGGGAGAGGTAGGAGATGAGGCCTCCGAGCAGGCCCTCCCGGGGGAGATTTTATGTGCAATTATTTAAATATAAAATTAATAGTCAAGTTATTTCCACATTAGGTGAGCCCAGTGGAGACCTTTTTGGGCCTTGTAGAAGTACGGCCCAGTACGGTTTTGGACAAGTGAGATAGGTTATTTTGTTTTGAGGGTTATTTTGTCATTTTGTCTCTTCCCGCGCGAGTTCGGAGCCCTTCCCGCCTTTTTCGTCCAGAAGGTGATTTTGCACGGCTAGGTTTCCGGCGATTTCACCGAGCGAGAAAGGCCGCCGCTCCCACGATGGCGGCGCCGGCGAAGTCTAGCGCGATGCAGAGAGGCGGTGACGGAGGAGGTGGCGCCGCCGCGCCTACTGGCTGCTTCAAGTGCGGCAGGCCGGGTCACTGGTCGCGGGATTGCCCCTCCGGCAACACTGCGAATCCAAGCCCTGGTTTGAGCTCCAGTTCCAAGCTTCCTCAGGGAAGTAAGAGGCTATTTCCAGGGAAAGACAAGGCTGATGGTGCCGGTTCTTCGAATCCCGCCGCCGAGAACAAGAAGCCCCCCAGGACGCGGCCGAAGCTGACGCCGGAGTTACTCCTCTCCGACGATGGGATCGGCTACGTTCTCCGCCACTTTCCCCGAGCATTCAAGTGTCGTGGCCGCGGACACGAGGTATTCTTGAGAGTCATTTGGATCGTGTCCTTTAATGCGGATGATGAGCCGTGTCACGTTCCTTGATGCGGTCGTGAAATTTGATATTGTTGAAGCTTGTGGATTCTCTATTTGTTCCGTATTGTAGGTTGACGATTTGGGAAGGTTAATTGACCTATATGCGGACTGGCACTCCCGCTTGATTCCATACTACTCATTCAGTCAGTTCGTTCAGAAAGTGGAGCAGGTCGGAGCCTCCAAGCGTGTTAGGGTGAGCGTCAACGTTTCTTGGTCAACTGCTGTTCATTTTTTAAACGAAGTCAAACAACATTTCTACGACGAATATCCCAAGGATTCACGCTCGGATATCCACAACATTTCTTTATTTAGGATTCTAACACAGAACGGGCGGCCGTCGGTGAAATGAGGGAAGATGTTTTCTGTGAGAAGTAAAAGATAATCACTGACGCAGAATTATTCCTTTCTACATTACTAGGGATGCACGATTTTTTGCTTGTATTCTAGTAGTGTGATGTGCTTTTCGCTGTATGGTTCTGTACATGTTATTTAGTTTGCAGGACAAGCGTGATCGATGACGTAGCCTGTATTTTAGTCTATTCATGCCTTTGCGCAGAAAAATTAGAAAGAACCATGTATTCGCTTGACATCAACGAAATAGAATCGTGATATTACCTTGAAAACATGAAAGAATGGCTTATAATTGTGGACTGCGTTTCATTATCTCATACTTTGATGTTTTGCGTCCTGTTTCTCAGAGATGTATTGATGAATTGAGACAAAGGATTGCCGACGGTGGGGATCCAACAAAACTGCACGAACCACCGACTGCACAAGCAGTTCCAGATCAGGAGCCTGGTAATTTTATTTGCCATCTGATTTGCAATGCATGGTTCAATGAATTATTCAGAAAATCTGACGAGAATTGGCGTTTTTGAGGAAATCATTATACATTTTGCAAACTTGACACACATACTGTCACATCGCCCATTTGAATAACATTTTTTCACGAATGATGATTGTAATGATGATCATGATAAGATAAAACTGGAGGGGACATTCAAACGCCAATTATTCGTTTCTATTTTTGCATCTTACACGAATGAACTCTTAGATATCCTCCAGACTTCGGGATGGCATTCTAATTATGCTCTACTGTTCTTACGAACTTGATTGCTTTTTGAACAGAAGATGGAGGTGTGCGAAAAGTGGATCCTGCTTTTGATGATTCGGACCCACCGTTAGAAAGTGGTGATATAGATGATAATCAAGAAGAAATGATTAATGAGGTATACCACACGGCTACATATGTAAGTTCCATCTCTCTTCCTTGTCTATATATGTAGCCTTCTCATTCGTGTATCATGTGAACTTGGTCCCAGAGTGAAAGATTATGCTGTCAGAGGAATACTTAAACAATTTTTTTGACCAGGTTTTCGGTTACCATTTTAAATTTCTTTAGAACATAATTAATGGCAGGCGTAATAAAGATTTATGAACGATAATCTCTGAAGTGTTTTCTTCTAAAATTCAACGATTGCTGGTTTATAAACTAAATTTTTTGTAGGGATAATAGCATATGAAAAGGATACCTGCGTAGGCTTGTTGCTGCCACTGGGATCTGTCTGCTCTCGCGACAGTGACTTTTGTAGTCGTTCCTTTTCTTATTTGTTTTTTTCTTCCAGCTCTCCTTCTCCATGAATAGATTTCGGAGTTCCATACTGGTTTCTAAATGGTTATCTTACCGTTTTTGCGGATTGCAGGGCTTTGTTGACGTACGAATGGTCTTACTTTCCCGCTAATTTTTCAAATAAACAGATAATAACTTATTTGGTAGCATTAGGAGAAAATCTGTTTGTACAATTTAAACGCTTTTCAAAGGTAACCCATCAGAACTCTGGTAGCTAAGTGAGATTCTGAACCCAGCTCCACCACAGATGCCGTTCAATCTCCTACATGGAAGATGATGATATCGTTGATTCATATGTTCAATCTCGACTAATTCTTCCTTGATTCATCTGTTCCTGCTCATTATTATTTTCCATTCTAATTTTTGGGCGGATTTGTCCCTGAAAAAATGATGATACAGCTTAAGTCAGCCCTTTCCCGCTCTAATCCCCGTACAATGCTCACAGTTCTTCTCCAAGATTCTCCTCATTCGATGCATGCAAGAATCACTAATTTCTCTCTTCTTTTTTTTTTGGAAACTGATTTGTCGTCAGATTTGATGCAATAATCATTTAGTTTCATCTCCCGCATCAGGAACCCTCCCACCCTCTTCATCGGGGATCTCAGGGTTCAGCCGCTTCTGAAGGGAACCCAGAGATCTCCGCAACGTTGGCTCTGTCGACCGACCAAGGGACATCTGAGAAGAGCGAAGCCGAGATCACGGAGGAGCAGAGAACTAGGATGGAGGCCAACAGGGTCAAGGCCCTGGAGAGGGCCGCGGAGAGATCTCGCTCTCTGCCTGTCCTCTGACTGAGTAATCCCCTCCCAAGGCAGCTCTCTCTCTCTCTCTCCCTCTCTATATCCGATGAATGTATGCGATGGGATATTTGAGATCGTCGCCCGTTGTATTTTTTGCTCTTTAATGAAAGCGTGCTGTTAATATCTCGCGTGAAAAGAAGATGCAGGCGGCAGCAGCAGCAGCAGCGATGAAGGAAGAGGGGTTGATCTCAACCAGTCACCTACTGCTCCCTTCAGTCTCTCTCAGTAAGACTCATGTGGTCGAGGCCGTACGACCTGGGCAGACTCTGCACGGCGTCGGACCACCGCCCAGGGGACTGATCGCTGCCGTTGGAGGACGCCGCTGCCCTCGCCTCCCGGATCATCCTCAGCGCCTCCCCCGCCGCCGGCCGCTCCTCCGGCCGCGTCGACACGCAGGCCGCCGCCACGCTCACCAACGCCGCCAGCTTCTCCTCCGCCGGGGGGGCTTCGTTCCCACCGCCGGAGGAGGAGTCGGCGGCGCCCTGCTCGCGGACGGAGCGCACCCACTGGGGGATCCCCTCGCCGTACTCCTCCACCAGGTCCTGGAAGGGCGCCTTCCCCGTGAGTAGCTCCAGCACCAGCACCCCGAACCCGTACACGTCCGACTCCGGCGTGACCCCCCCCCCTGCACCCCGCGGCAGCTGCCGGCACTCGGGCGCCCGGTAGACCAGCGAAGGTCCTCCACCGCCGCCGCCGCCGGAGTCGGGAGATGTGACGAAGGCGGCGAGGGAGTAGTCGGTGAGGCAGCACTCGAAGTCGGACCCGAGGAGGACGTTGGAGGGCTTCACGTTCCCGTGCACCACGCCGGCGGCCTCGTGGAGGTGTTGGAGCCCCGCCGCCACGTCCTCCGCGATCTTCAGGCACGACGTCCAGTGCAGCGGCTTGCCACCGCCCCCTCTGCCCGTCGCCGACGACGACCCTAAGCCACGGCCGCCAAGAAGACCGTCATCAGTAGACCATCAGCAAACAACATTTTCTTCGTCTTCTTTTTCAGGGATTTGTCGTAAAAAATATAAAAAAATCGAGTAATCCGCAGAGAAAGCCAAAGCCGGCGGTGCGGTCAAAAAAGGTCTGTCCTATAAAGGCTCGGTTGTCGAGGGTCGTCAAAGCACGCGCGCATCCGCGGTTAACGTGGACCGGCAGAGAGAGAGAGACAGTTGGTACCGTGGAGAAGGGAGAGGAGGCTGCCGTTGGGGAAGTAATCGTAGACGAGCAGGCGCTCCTGCTGGGCCTGGAAGTAGGCCCGGAGAGGCACGAGGTTGGGGTGGCGGATTGCCCCCAGCGCCTCCCCCCCGCGCCGGAACTCGCCGCCGTCGTGGCCCGCGCCGCCGCTGCCGGGATCCTTGAGACGCTTTACCGTCACGACCAGCCCCGACTCCATTACCGCCTTGTACGTGCTCCCCGCTGTCCCCCTCCCCAGCGTCTCTGCCGACGCCTTCAGCAGCTCCTCCAGGCTGTAGTCGGCGGCGCCACCGCCGCAGAACGTCAGCTTCCCCAACCTCTCCGCTTCCCATGAGAACACCCTCTTCCCCCCGCCAGCGCCGCCGCCGCCGCCGGAGTTGGGCCCCCTTGACGGCCCTGCTGCGTCCTCCCCCCGGATTCCTCCTCCCCCCTCCGCCGCCGCCGGAGTACTCCTCCTCCTCCTCCTGGACGAGAGAAAGAACGCCGCCGCCAGCGGCACGCAAGCGGCGAGGAACAGGAACGCGGCGGCGGAGCCTGAGACGATCACTGCTATCCTCTTCTTCCTCTTCTTGCCGTCCTCCGAGGACGGGGTGGTGTAGGAGGAAGAAGAAGAAGAAGAAGGAACCAGCGGGGGGGAGAAGATGGGGTCGCTGTGGATGGCCTTGCAGGGCTTCCTGAGTTGCACCCCGCAGAGGTTCGGATTGCCGGCGAAGGAGGAGGAGTCGAACCGCCGGAGAGCGAGGGTCCTTGGGATTTCGCCGGCGAGGAGGTTGCCGGAGACGTTCAAGTACCTGAGTTCCCTCTGGTTCAAGGCCGGGATTCGCCCGCTCAGCCGGTTGTTCTGCAAGAACAGTGCGTACAGCTTGGGGAGCTTCGTCAGAGAATCGGGGATCCTCCCGGAGATGCCGTTGCCGGAGAGGGCGATGGCCTTAAGCCGGTGAAGGGTACCCAGAGACGCCGGAATCTCGCCGGAGAAGCGGTTGTCGTCGAGGAAGAGGGCCTTCAGATTGGTGAGCCCCGACATATCGGGGACCTCGCCGGAGAGGAAGTTGGACTTGAAGCTGAGTACCCGGAGTTCATCCAAGGGGGAGAGCAGCCCTGCATGGAGGTTCCCGGTAAGGTTGACGGACTCCAGGACCAGCTTGGTAACGCGGCCCTTCGGGGAGCACTGCCTGACGCCGTACCAGCTGCAGACGCCGCCGGCGGAAGAGCCCCGCCGCCATGGAAGCACGCCGGAGGGATCCACGGAGGACTTCAGAGCCAGAAGACTCGCCTCGTCGGGGGACTTGCCGGCCAAAGCGAGCACACAGAGTGAAGAGGTACACACGAGAAGAAGAAGAAGAGGAGCAGGAAGAAGAGATTGAGACTCCATGGCGAAAGGATCAATGGCGGAGGAGAGGTCACACGGGCATTGCTCTCTCCGCCGCTGGCCATTGTCTCCTCCCTTCTTCTCCCCCTGCAACGACTGGTGTGGAAGAACCGGCCATAGTCTCTCGTGAAACCTAGGGGACGGGCCGGGAACGCCTCCCCCCCTACGGCCTCACCCCCGTTTTATATTGCCCCCGCGGCTCTCCCTCCTCGTCCTCGCCATTTTCAATGGCGCAATTTCTCGGGCTTCCCAGAGCTCCATCTTCTCTGCCCTCCCTCCTCCTCTACCTGCCGAAGAAGAAGAAGAAGAAAGAAACCCAGAAGAGGGGGGAAAGGCAGAAGCTCCTCCTCAGCTCTTCCAGCCAAAACCCTCAGAGAAGAGCAAGCACGAGGGTTGTTCATTACTGGCGGCGGCTCCTCCTCTGCTACGCCGCAGAATTTAACACGGGGGGTGCCCTCCTCTTCCTGCCCCGCCGGCCCCCCCAACTTCCCACGCCTGCGGATCCGTCGGCATAAATGGCCTCTCTTTATTTTATCTCCACTTTTTTTCAACAAAATATCCATTTTTTATAATACATATTTGTGTTTGTAATCCATTGGGCCGGATGGGCTTAGGGAGGCCCGATAGACCCATTAAGAGAAAAGGGCTGATCCTTGCGTCACCGGCTGGGTTGGCAGGCGGTTTTGGAAGGCTTTCGGTGTCCCGACTTGACACGTGGATGGATGTGTCTCGGTTGACACGTGCCGGGGGGGGGGGACCGGCTGGATCCTGTACGGCCGATGGATCACCGAATTAATCAAAAAATGAAGGCAGGCGTCGTTGCTTTCGGTTACAGCATCTTTTTGCGGGTAGCCGAGAGCTTCTCCCCCTCCACGGCGACGCCGTCTGGTTGATCTCGCATCCTCGAGCTCCTCTCGATCCCCATCGGGCTCTCCGGGGGTGGTGCCCATTGGGAGTCCATGGCGTCGGCCTCGGTGGTGGCGATGGCGTCGCACGGGCTGAGGAACGCCGCGGATTGGTGGGAAGCGGTGAACAATTCCCCCCTGTGGCAGGACTGGATTTTCCATACCCTTGCTGGGCTCTTTGGTCTTGTTGGTGTCGTCGCTCTCGTATGTTCTCCTCCTTTTCTCTTTTCCTTGTTTCCCCATATCCATTCCGCTCATGATTCAATTAGCTTTCCAAAATGTGACTCCATTTCATTCCACGTCCCACGCGATATCGGTTCTGCTCTTGGGAGTTTAGAGAATTATTTTCCTTGGAATTTTAATTTTTCCTTGGATTTATTCCGACTCAAGGTATTACTCCGGAAACAATCAAAATCCCTGAGGAATTCTCCAGATGATCTTCTCGGGACGCGCACGATTCATTTTTTCTTGGGTTGATGTTGTATTCGAAGTTCATCAAGAAAGGACAACGTATATAATTATCTGTATCTCAATATCTGTATGCTTGGCCCTACCTGCAGATCCAACTAATTCGAATCGAGTGTAGAGTTCCAGAGTACGGTTGGACAACACAGAAGGTCTTTCATCTTCTAAATTTCATTGTTAATGCAGGTTTGAGTTTTTTCCCCTGTTTGCTTCTTTGCTTGTATGCAACATCTGTGTTCATATGTGACTGCTAATTCCCTATCATACTGTTAAAGCTCTGTTGCTTTTTGCAGTTCGGTGTGTTGTTTTTGTGTTTCGTCGAAATGTGCAACTGCTGAATCCTGAGGTTTGCCCCCCTTCCCTCCTTTTTCATATTCAAATGGAGCTCCCTCTGTTTCTAAACAGAACCTACTTTGGATACATGGTGCAGATTCTTCAACATATCCTCCTTGGTATGCCTGGCCTAGTATTTTTCACAACATATGCGCTCTTGGTATTATTCTGGGCAGAGATATATTATCAGGTTGGTGTTAAATTGCACTTGGGTGTTGGACTTATCTGAAAATTTCCCCTTTGGGTTATACCCCTCCCCGTATATTTGACTTCTGGTGGCCGGGCTGTGGATGGACGGATTGGATGTTTTTCTGAGGTGGCAATTATTGCAGGCGCGTGGACAATCTACTGATGGGCTCAGGCCAAGCTTCTACGCAATAAATGGGGTTGTGTATTCAGCACAGGCGAGTTTTATTTGACTTTTGTTCTAGTTCTATTTTATCTGGTATGGATTACTATTATGGCTGATTGGACTGGCAGCATGGGAAATGAGAATAAATTTTCAATAAAATAGCCAGAGGCTAAAAAAAAGAAAATATGCATTTTGTGTCATTTTCATTATCAGCTTGCTAAGAGAGATGTGGAGTTCTAGGTCCCCCCGTTCTTCATGAAAAAAATAGTATGCGCATTTCATTAACAAATACTATGCAATGTATGATCTATTAAAATCATAGCATACAACGTTTGATTTTTTCCTGGATTTTTTTTTTCTTCACTTTTCTATGGCATCATTAAGACTCACCATGCTTTCTCCTGATACAAGTCTGTGTAAGCTTGCATTCTGAAACGAAGGTTAGTTCGGCCCATTCCTTTGCACACAAGGGATGATGTCTCAATCTAGATAGAGATGCAAGCTGTCGAAATGTATGAAAAAAACTTCTTTAGGCTTTTATCTTTTAGTCAGAAGAAAATGTCCATTCCTGACTTTCTGCTAAATTATATTACTTCATGTATAAAGTTTCTCATTAAATCCACTTAAACTCAACCCCCCCCCCCAAAAAAAACTAAACAATATTAGGACGTTATCGTCAGAATCCAATTGATTTTTCATGGACGTGAATGCTCTTGAGAGGTTACATGCAATTGCAATCAGCCACATCATTGAAGATTTGGCTTCCAGAGGAAGGCTTTGACGTAGAATCCTGAGAAGCATAAATATCTGGTCTTATAAAAAAATCCTTAAAAAATTGTGGATCTAGTCTGGAACATCAGGGTTAATCCTAAAACTCTGAAATGTGTGAGATTTTTTATATATATTACATATGTGGAAATATCACATCTATTTGCTTGACATTTTGTTTATGTCATCTAATATTTAGGTTAGTAGATCGATTAATTTACACTTTCAAAAAAATGAACATAATGATTGCAATTATTCCACAAACCTAGCAAAGGATTTGAGAAAATTCTGTCCTATTTCTTGCCGGATGTCAATGTTGGGCATACAGCAAAACACATGGAAAATGTAATGTTGTGCAAGGAAGTTTGCAAAGCCCATAAAACCATCTCGAGGTTAATTATTAGTCGAATAGTTAATCGAGAATTATTTCAGTCTGCTAAAATCTGTTTAATTTTTGTGTCTATAATGATCTATTGTTGGCTCCTAACCTGATCGTGTTTCCCACACTGGTGACGAGGAAAGACTGTACACGGAATATGAAATAACAAAACGATATTTTAAAAACATATATTTTTATTGTGTTGGGATATATACATGAACCCTAATGAAACGCCCCTCTCCTTTGCCATGATGGCCATTAGCATTTCACCTTGACCTTTTTTTCATTTAATACTCATTTGGAAGTTTGAAGCAAAATCTTAAATCTTCAATGCTTAATCTAAAGGGTTTCATTTAGACTCTTTATTTTTTCTCAGTTTACCACATTTTTGGTTAATGATTAATGTCCTTGATGATAGGGAAGCTATAGAGATATGTTCTGTAACATTTCATCCAACATAGTTTGGCTTAAATAATTCTCGGGCATTAACATGAATACTTTGCCTTCTACACACAATCTACTTTTAGATTGTTCTATGGCTGCTGTTATGGTGGAAGCCTGTCCGAGCCCTGCATGTCTTATCCAAAATGTTCTTTGCAGGTATGATTTTAGTCGTAGTCATACCCCTCTATGCAAAAAGAAATTTTAAGTAATTATGGTGAAGTACATAGTTTCTTGACAAGTTATTTTTTTCAGGTGTCTCACTGTTTGCCGCCCTTGGGTTTCTTCTATATGGAGGGAGGTATACTATTTATTTATCTTTGAAAATATTTTAAAAAATTTGTTTCACTGTGTTTCTTTGTGGATAGATTTAAACGCATGCATGAATTTGAAGTTCATCTTGATTCAAAACAGAAAATTTAAATCGCTTGAACAATCTTTGCACAAGGCTGCATTTTGTCACATCTTTGGTCTAATTCAAAAGCTTTCATTTCCCTGATGCTCCCAATGAAATGAAAAGTTGATTCTACATCCACCTATGATATGATTATCTTTAATGCGTTGCATCCAGATCAGTATATGATGGAGGTGGAATGGTATGCATGGTTGCAACTTATGTAAGAACATTTACAGAGACTGCCGTATCTTTGGTTTTCTATGTCTTTACTCAGAAAAAACCTTTCGTTCCTTTCTTTCTGTGATGAAGAAGCCTGCGTGCCGTTGGGAATCGTGATTTATGTTTTATTTTTGTGAAGACATAAAATAAAGGATTTTCAAAAAGAAAACATTCAATGAAGCGGACTAAGGAAAATCTGCGTCAATACTGCTTTTTGAAATTTGTATTTTGAAAAGCAATATTGACGCAGATTTTCAAGAAGATGCAATGAGGAGTATCGTATTATGAGCTGTCTATGCAAGAAAGAGGAACAGGAAAAGCAAAAAAATACAGCACGAAAAAGAAAAAGTTGTGTACCTGGTGGCCTGATGAAACCTAGTAAGTAAAAAAAATATCTTGAGTTCTTCAACTTCGTTCATATGAATTCTCCAGTACCATCACCTCGCCCATGCTGATCCCGTCACCAAGACTTTAATTGGACCGCAATCTTCTAAATTAATACATAAATCAGCTGATTCTCTTTCCTGTTTAAGTAATGTCTTTCTGTGAGTATAACTGGGATTAGCTATCCCAAGCTGATCAATCCCTAGATATAAATTAGTAATTTGGTCATAAGTTAAAAATTTTCTTGAACAAAAAAATAATAATAAAAGAGGTTAGGACATAAGGTCCTCTTGCTAAAATTTTGTATCAGTGTCAAATTAAAGTTCACCACACTACTAATCACAGTTGTCTGTGAACCAAAGACAGTCCTCATGGGCTGGCCTCAAGTTCCTTTTAGAACCTTGGATTGGAGAAAATCTGGATCGTGGAAACATAGGTTAAAGCCGCCAGTGCATTCCTCTGGGTTAGTCAGGAACTGTCATAACCAAGGTGAATGATAAGTGATGAAGGAAAAAGAGGATGAAGAAAACATTACGTGTCCTTCACCGATGAGATCACTGACCAAAAAATGAACTGAAAGACAGCGTATCATTTTTTTCAATTCATCTAATAATCTACCGCGCATTTTTTCTTTGCATCAAATTCTCTTTAAGCAATTACTGTGCGAGGGGAATCTCAAGTTTCTCCGGTATCTGCCAAAAAAAAAGAAAAAAAAAAAGAAACCTGGTTCAAATGAGAATACCATGAGTGGCTCTTTAGGTTTTTTCAGGGCCTGCTTCAGAAGGGTACACATGTAAAGAAATTCAGTATGTACTTCTAATATATCTGTTTGGTTACACTAACAGACTCTTCCTGATGCTGCGACGCTTTCCTGTCGAATCAAAAGGCCGGCGCAAAAAGCTTCAGGAGGTAAATTGTGTGTTCCCTTTTACAGTATGCTGCATGTACATTTATAGAAGACTCTTGCGTGTGTTCTAAATGATTGCTATTCCTGTCCTGGAAAGGTCGGCTATGTCACGAGCATCTGCTTCACTTGCTTCCTGATTAGATGCATCCTAGTAAGTGCACCTCACTTGCTTCCTGTCTCTATGGTTATGCATGATTAACTGATCAACGATGATGTTGGGGAACTCTTGTCCCTGGTAGATGTGTTTTGATGCATTAGACAAAGCTGCGGATCTTGACGTCCTCGACCATCCAATACTCAATTTCTTCTACTACCTGGTAAGGTTCACTACTTCTACACCTTTGAACACCCCTCTCTCTCTCTCTCCTCTCTCCTCTCTCCTTGAATTGGGCAATGGACAGATGTCGACCATTTACTTTTCAATGCAACTGGGCTTCTTTACGAGCCCATCAATGTTCATTAATTATTGTGTGTGAATCAGTGACCACATAGGAATGTGTGGTCAGAAAATGACCACATATAACAGCTTGGGTGCAGCCGGCCCTCCAAAGGTACCCATTGAGAAGGAGAGAGGGAGAGAGTTTAAGCCACCATGTGGGTGATCAATGGGCCAGCCCCATGGCAAGGAGACACAGGCTCTATGCTTGTGGGTAGGACCCTGGTAAAGCCTAGATACAGCCCAGGCCTCTTCTTCTTTCCGGCCTCAGTTGACACTCGTTACAATACCCTGCGATCAGTCGATGCCTTCTTTATGCTCTTTTTTGGGATAGATATTTGATTTATTCATTTGTTCCACTCCGAGACCAATTTTAGAAACTATTTTCCATGGGTTGACTAATGCCCCTGATTCACGTTTCCTTGGATTCTCCTGGATCACAGCTGGTGGAGATCCTCCCTTCGGCCCTGGTGCTCTTCATCCTCAGGAAGCTACCCCCCAAGCGTGGAATCACCCAATATCACCCCATCCACTGAGTCCCCCCGGCTTGAGCACACTGCTGCTTCTGGTAAGTCAACGCCACAGTAAACCCACCCCTCCCCCCCCAACTCTCCCAAAGATGAATCTAATCTTGGAAAGTGTGAAGTCTGTACAGTTGAGGATGACTGAGATCAGCCCTGTAAAAATATCACCTCTCTCTCTCTCTCTCTCTCTCTCTCTTCCGGGCAGCAGTTCCTTTGTTAATATTTCTCATGAATCTCCTCTGGTGGGCAGCCATATTGTTTACTCCGCATGGACCAAGGTTTTGGTTGGAAACCCATGAATGAATCTATGGTGAATTGTGGGCGTGCAAGAACAGGGAAAGAACCAGCAGAACAGGATGAGGGGGGCTCTCACCGGCCGGGCAGAGACCGAGCTCCATGGAGAGAACCGCAGGAAGATCTGAGGAAATTGTGAATGAAGCTTCTGTTCTTTTAGGCAAGGTTCTCCTCTGCCGGTCAACATCTTCTGGTCTCCTCGCTGTCCGTCTCTCTCCCCCTCTCTCGGTCAACAAGTCGGACTGGTGGACGTAGAGATTGGGCCAGTTCAGGCGTCTTGTTCGTTTGGGCATGGTCCAGTAGGATTGTGGCAGATTTCGGGCATTTGTGGGCTCGGTCGGTCCCCATTAGCTGTGTTGGGTGGGCCGTTGGGTGGGTGAAGATGTTGTGGACTATCGAAGTGACGTGGCCCATTTGAACATATGCATATATAAATTTTATATTCCAATAAATTTTGAGTGGCCTATATTTTGATAATTTTATAAATTCTTAAATTTATATACAATTATTGAAATCATTCTTTTAATATGATTTTTTGCATGAAACCAAATCTATTTAGTCGTTTCTCAGGCACCCACGTTTTTTTTTTTCTCATTTTAAAATAACAGGCTTATCTAAACGCCTGAATATTACTAATTAGAATAGAAAAAATGATGCATTTTGATAAAATGGAAAATCATAGGCTAGATATTCTGTGAGGGACTCATTGGGATATTTGGAACATATATTTTTATTATAGGTAAAAAATATGGGAAATTAAATAAAAAATATGCATTTGGGTAAATATGGGCCAAAAATCAGACCACATTGTACTCTTTTTAAAAAAATTGAAAATAAATATAGAAAAATGTGATAATTTGATGATTAACGTACTCTAAAATATGATTAACATCTGCAAGGTATCTAAAATCAGCAGGTCCATTCGACCCATATGGGCCGCCGGCCCATTGAAACTTATCTGGACAAGGGTACGTGGACCTCTCTCTCTCTCTCTCTCTCTCTCTCTCTCTCTCTCTCTCTCTCTTCTCTCTACGAGTTATATACGTCGTCGAGCTGCGCCGCCGATCTCACGGAAGGAGTTTTCGCGCAATCTGGGGCCGTTCTTCCTCCCCGGCAGCGGATACTTTTCGTCGTGCTCTGGTGGTGGAATTTGTGTAGGCGAGTGCGCGACGGAAGAGGGAGGCATGGAGTTCGACGGAAGGGATTCTAGCCACCCGCCGATCTCGGCGGAGGAGGAGGCTGTGAAGAGGAATACAGACTGCGTCTATTTCCTAGCATCTCCCTTAACCTGTAAAAAGGTAAGCCGTAGTTTATCGCCCTCTCGTATCACTTCTGGTGTCTGTGTAGTTTTAGGGCTTTGGATTTTTTCCCTTTATTCTTCCTAATCTGATTCATGCGGAGGGTCTCGGATGTTTCCGCTTGAGCACATAGCGATTGGTTCACTCTTAGCTGCGTCTGATGTAGGTTTTTTCTCTTTCATTCGTCCATGAAAATGCTGAAGGCATGCCTAAGATTAAGAGACGAGTTCCCATTGCTCTCCGGCTCTTCGCTCAGCCCGGTCGAACCGTTGTTTGGAAATGGTTACTTCTAGTTCATTAGGGAAAGTTTGAACTATAAACGAGGACAACTTCCGCATGAACTGGTTTGTTTGAATCAAGAAGGAACCCCCGTTGATCAAGGCTCGAGAAGGGGGGGATGAATGAAAGAGCAGGCCAATCGCCGAATGTCAGTTGTCTATTTTTTGTTGGGGTGTCAGATGTTGAAAACAGCTGTTGATGTTTGATGTCTGGAGGTTTGTCTAAAACCGAAACACAGGGAATCTTGAGGTTGGACCTCGTGGTGGCTGTTGCCTGTTCCATCTATTCCCTCTCTTTTCGACTGGCCTGTTTTTTTTTTCTATATCTGTAATTCAGGCCAGTTCTGTGTGGAAATGGAACGGCAATGATTGGCCTATGCTTAGTTGACTCAAGCTCTTCCCTCTGATATGTCGGTTGTCTACTGAAATTTCTGTAATCCAGGGGTTGGGCCGCAATGAATTTCCCAGCTCAAGTTGCATCTCTTCTACTTTCCATTGTACTTGATTTCACCCGCGGGTTGCCCTCTTCACATTAGCAATGCAGGCGTCTTTAGCAACACCAAGTCTACCTCTGATTTTACTCTTTGGACTCAGCTCAATGTGGTAGCTATCATTGAGGGCGGGATGAATGACTTATTCAATTGTCGTTAGTAGTCGGGTGCTATTGGTCAGATGATCTCTTTCTCATATATATATTTTTTTCTGTCACGAGTTTCGCTCTCTAGGGATCTCATAAATTACCCAAGGCTAGTCTCAATGTGCATGTCTTGTGCTTTCACTGTTATTAACTGCCTTTAGTGTGGCGCTTCTATTGAAGCAGGATACTTGTGATCGGAACTAGTTGCTCTGCCTTCTGTTCACATCTTACCTGTACTGGGTTTGTGGCCGTAGATTGAGGGAATTTATTGCTGATGAAATATTTCTGTTCTTCATTTACATTAAACAGTTAATTTTCCCGATGCTTTGGTGACTAGTTTGCTTTTATCAAATCATTAAGAACAAACAGTTGGGGGAAAACCTGTCATTCAGTATGTTCTCTATGGCCTCCATTCTTCCTCATCAATTATTGGATTTTTCTGGAAAGCTTATTCTGCTACATAACACTTCACCCAGAGCCTATGTATCATGTTCGTGCTTCCTATTATAAGAGCTTTGCTGGTTTCAGCATGTGTCCCTGCCTCAGAGATGTGACCTACTGTTCAACATATCTAAGCTTCTTGTTTTAAACAAACCGAATCAGGATTTTCTTTCCATTTCTATTCAGAAACATACTATAGTTGGCCAAATTATTCTCAAATATATACCGCTCTTCTGGTGAGGCCACAATTCTCAAGTAAGTCTTCCCTTGATCATGTCAAGGGAACTATGCTGGCAGATTCCACACTGGATCTGCCAGGTTGGGTCTTCTTTCCATTAAAATCTTGGTTTCGAGTTCTTTGGATTCCAGCCTTACCTTTTTTTTAAAAGCATCAAGGGTACATTTGCTATAAATATTTACCTTCAGGGCAATGAATGCGAATATCGGCACAGTGAAGGCGCCAGAGTCAACCCCAGGGATTGCTGGTACTGGTTAAGCGGCAGCTGCCTCAATCCAAAGTGCTTATTTCGGCACCCGGTGGGTCATCGTCTGTCATTTATTTTCGAGAGGTATTTACTTTCTCTTTCAATGTGCAAACAACTTATCAGAGGGAACACTGCGCTATTCTTGTTGCTGTTTGCAGCCGCTTGATGGCTTGATTGGGGCTCCAAGTTCGACTCCCCCCGGACCTGCTCAGTCTGCAGGACCGAAGAACATAGTTCCCGGACAGGTTCATGCAGTCCAAGCGCCAGCTCGTTCTTCAACCAAGCAGAGCGTGCCCTGCTATTATTTTCAGAATGGGGGGTGTTTGAAAGGTAGCAGATGCCCTTTCACCCATGGAGGGCAGCCTTCTCCTGGCTCTACGAAGCAAGCAGGACAGCCTGCCATGCCTTCTTCAGAACCGTTGCATGCATCCAAGAACCTGTCCTGGACGTCACAGAGGTCTGCGCAGCAGACTAAACCAGAAGCAGCTGCCGACAAGGGACTGGACTTGTCTCGCTCGTCGAAAAAGGTCGATAGCAAGGCAGAAGTCCCATTTGCTAATGGGCTTGCTGTTAAGAGTGCTGGGCCTCCCCCTCCACTGACTGGTGATGATCACGCTTTCCAGCCGGGTAACGCTGTTTCTCGCGACTCAGATTATGCAGACAGGTTCCATGGTGGTCATCTGCAGCCTGTGGACGAGCATATGCAGGATGGCAGGGAGCCCGATGACTCCTTGAGGGAGTCCTCTCCAGGGTTTGATGTTCTTGTTGAGGAGCACGAGGATGCTGGTTACTTCCAAGATGACACAGAGCTTGGTGGCACACCTGACTATGGCAGAATCAATCTTGGTCTTGTAAGCGATATTGACTACCTTCATTCCTCTGATTATGAATCCCTGTCAAGGTTTGAAGGGGAGGCGTATGATGGCGTTGCCGAGTTTGAGAGATACGGGCAACACAACGAGTACCGCCAGGAGAACAAGAGATCATCCGAGAGGAGAGGGCCAATGAGGGAGGACAGCCATGGTAAGCTGGATGCTTCTGATCTACGTCACCGGCTCCTGAAGCAGAGGAAAGCTAATAGGCCGAGGTCGGCCATTATTGCTGCTCACCGTGATGAACCTCATCAGGAATCTGATCGGGACGTTGAGCAGAGACATCGGAGTGATAGCTCTCGGAGAGATCAGCGTCATCTTCCACGTGAAAGCTCCATTAGCAAGCGCCTGCAAGGAAGAATAAAGCTACCCGAAAGGCCCGACTTGGACAATTACAGCAGCTCGCGCTCTGAGAGAGCAGCAGACAAGGGAAGGAGCAGGGGCAGATCATCATCACCTGGGCGACCTTCCAGCCGCCAGGGTAGAGACCACGAGATAACAACGCAGAAGGCGCATAAGCAGGATCCAGGGAGAGAGGAGGAAGCGGGGCCACTGAACTTTGCCGGCCCCAAAAGTCTTGCAGAGCTCAAGGGTATGATGACCAGAAACAACGGTAGTGCCATTACACAGGACAGGAAGATATCGGAAGCTGATCCTTCCTTTGAGAGGCCAAAGCTGCCGAGTGCCATTCTGAAGAGAAAGAGAGAAGAAGCACCCGAGGCGGCCATGGAAAGGCCTGCAAGTAGGGATCGTATGACCATTAGTTCTTCAGGATTGGAGAATGGAGATGGCCTCGCCGAAGGACCAAAGTCATCGCCAGTCGAAGAAGAAGAAGAGGAAAACACGAAGCTTCCTAATGGCCAGCTTGACGAAGAAACAAACCCCAAGGAGGAAGACCTCGCAGAGTGGCCGCTTTCAGAGCATCCCTTGCCCGAGCGACAGATGCTCGAAACAGAGGATGGGGATTTCCAGGAGGAAGATCACGAGCTCGACGATGAAGATGGAGATGACTTCGCCAGGAAGCTCGGGGTCATGCTTTCATAGAAAGTCCCCCACGAAGAAAGACTTCCACACCAGTCGTAGCAGACGGCCATGGAAATATCTCCGCCCACCGGGTCTTTTTCTCATGTGATGCCACCCCCTCTTTTGAATCTGGGTGTCTAGTTCAGGGAGATCTAAGAGCAGAGCTTGCTCTGGGCCCTTGCTTGAGATGCTCCAGAAGAGCTCTGACAGGATTTGGCATCCTGCTGCTGATTCATATCGTACGAGAGGTCATGGTCTTTCACCGCGTCCACAACCTGAATGTGGTGCCCGTTTGCAATGCTGCGCATAATTATTTGCTCACATTCGATGAAATCGTCGAAAGTTGTTTTTTTTTAATGATCTGTTATGTTATTATTCCCGAGTCAGAAGCGTTTTTTATTTTTTATTTTCATGTCGTACTGTTCTTTTAGCATGGACAAGAATCATACGCAGCTCGAGTTACAGAGAGAGAGAGAGAGAGAGAGAGAGAGAGAGAGAGAGAGAGAGAGAGAGAGAGAGGAGATTTATATTTTTTTCTTAAAATCCCCGTGTAATATGGCATTCACTGTAGGGGCTATTTGATTATAAAAATGGATCCTTGATCACTCGGCCTGCTGTTAGCCGTGGCGTCCAGTGCCGGCGGTCACCCTCCAAAGGCGCGGAGTGGGTGAAAGAAAGGGGGCGGCAAAAGAAGGCCTAGTCTGGGCCAGCCCAATGGGCCCAGAGAGACTCCATAAAGAGAATAGTGGCCAACAGGGAGTTTTATATAATTTTCACATAACATTGCTTTCATGAGGGTAATATGCGATGAGAATCACCAAGTCAGAGCCCCATACCGTCAGGAATTCTGCAGCCGGCATTTACTATCGTCGTATTTTTGGGGGTTAATTCTGGGGTTGGAACAGTCCCGAGTCATCGAATCAAGATCAGGATCGGCGGTGGCCAAATCAGACCAATGTTCAGTTAGAGTAAGAGTACAGAGAGAGAGAGAGAGAGAGAGGGAGAGGCGCCATTAATCCTCCCCGAATAAGGACACAGATGTTTACGTCTTATTTACTCTATTTCTATCCACTTACTGTTAGTATATTCTTTGGTTCCCTCTGGGCTCTATTAAAAAGATAGTTATAGGCGTCATTCTCCAACTGGACGAAGAAGAAAACTTCAAGCACGCGTTGACTTTGTGTCACGAACCCTAATTCAACTCGCCAGTGCGGGTGAGTGCGACGGCGGAGGCTCTGGGGGGCGGGTCGGCGCCGCCCTCCTTAGGGCGATGTTCCGAGGCCGTACAGGAGACCATGCGGCAGTCGTTTTAGGACACTGTTTGACTTTAGAACGGGACCTCCCGTAGAGCATTGATGAAGCAGTTAAATGGCTCAATCATTGAAGAAAGCCGATCCTGATTAAGGTTTTCTCCGACGATGAGGACCTCGTTGTCGATGTCTTGCGGGTGTTCTACGGAATGGCGAGGGATGAGGGAGAAGACTCCTCTCTAAGCGAAGAGGCGGCGGCAAGTTTTCCTGTTGCGAAGAGGGGGTTCAAGGCGACGTTGACTTGGCCCTCGTCGGTCGTCTTCTCCGGCGACGAAATATCTTGACGGTGGTTGGAAACGGCAGCGAAGAGGCCAAGGGAAGCACGCCACGGAGGGACTTGAGATCACCTGTTCGACGTGACGGACCTCAGAAAGACGCCGATCTTATGGGGTCACCGTTGAAGCGTGATCTTCACCTGGACTGCCGGAGATGTCTCCACGCGTTGTTTAATTGACGATATCATGGCCGTGGCTAACCCGACAGAAACCCCGTCGCCTTTCTTCCGTTCAACAATCACTGTTGCCCATATCTCAGTGGGATGAGAAGGCAGCATATTCCTCCCTCTCTCTCCTTCTCTCTCTCTCTCCCCTCCCATCTTAGCGGATCCGTGAAGACCCCCGCCATTCCTCGCACCTTTTGCCTTCGAATTGTTATCTGGAGAGGCGACGATGCCCCAGGAAGAGTACGAGGCGGTGGCAGTGACGGCATCTCCCTCTGCTAGGCAGAGCTGGTGGAAGGTTCACGTCGACCAGTACACATCCCGGAGCCACCAGATGAGTCCACGGTTGCTTCGGGACCCAAATCCCACCTCCCCATGCCGCGATCAGGACGGCTCTACCTCCATCTACTCATTCGTCGACTCCGGCGATCTCTCCGCTGCCGCAAACAGAGACAAATATCTAGTATTTTTTATTTGAACTATCGAAACATATTCATGACGTAACACTGAGATCGACAACAACTCGAACGTCCCAACTCAGACCTCTCAGCCATAATACAAAAATACTAAAATAATATACACGGGAAGAAGCCGTTTAGGTTTAAAAGGGAAAAAAAATATAATCCGTCATCTTCTTCCTTTTCCTCCCATCGCTGCCTACACAGTGGCGAGGACCTGCATGGCTCCCACAGTGACGGAGAGGAGCCTGAGGCGACGTCCTCTAAGAGCATCAACATGGAAACCCACGAGCCCGCCTGCAGTTGTCTGAAGAACAGTTCCATTGATCGGCCTCTCCTTGAGCTCAGTTTCCACGGAAGGAGGGCTTCACCGCGGAGCGCGAGAAGCTCTGCGGCTGGACCGTGCGATCTCCCTTTATCGGTTAGTATCTTCTACTTTGTTTCGGGCACGAGACGAGTGGGAAAAGTCAACCCCATGAGAGCTGCGAGACGACAAGATCTATCGTCCAATGTCTGAGAATCCATGGTCAACAGGAAGGAGTTTTCGGGCCTTCCCTCCGGCGTGTTGCTTGAACCCGGCAGAGACGGATCAAAGAGTCCAGGAACAAACGGGCACCGACAACTGTCAGTCATGCTCAAGAACAATGGGCAATGAGTAAAGCAAACCCATCAGTTGTAACCACAAGATTTACTGAATTTAACCCATGGATCATCCAACATGAGAGACAAATGGCAATGATCGGAGTAGACTCAGATATTTGAAGTCCACGTTGACCTATTATATCACAAGCACAATATTGTTTTACTGAACATCACCTGCAGTTGGCCTGATATTGAAGATCCTAACCTCGTTCTGTACAACACCCAGCTGCCAGAAGATCTTGAAGATCATACCTGATTTCACTGTGTTTTTAACTCTATCCAGTTAGCTTTTAACTTGAAGCTAACGATGATAAGTTTGGAGAATATACCATCATCAGGGCAATATTCCCCATTAAAGCTGGTAATATTCCCCAACTATCATTTACACAATAACATGCAACGTACGTTCATCCTTTCCCGGCCCCCACCTCTCTCTCTCTCTCTCTATCTATCTATCTATCTATCTATCTATCTATCTCTTTATCTTTAAATCTATCTGTCTCCCTCCCTCCCTCCGTACTCTTCTTTTTTTTGCCTGATCTAGTAAAGAAACGAAGTCCCATGACTGAACTATTCCTCCATTCCTTCCTCCCTCTTTCCCTCTCTCTCTCTCTCCCATCCCCTCCTCTGCGTCAATCCCTCTCTCTCTCTCTCGGTCATGGAGAATCTTTACTTCTGTTGATCTGTCTGGTTTCGTTCTGTCTCCTCCTGCAGGAACTGTTTGACAGCCACAGGTATCATCCCCCTCCTTCGGTTCCCCCTCTACGTCTCCCTGGCAATCCCCACATGCAGCTCATCCCCCACGCCCCCCCTCTCTCAACTGAGCTCCCCCACCCACCCCCACCCACCCTTCCCACCAGTATCGAGTCTCGGGCCAGGTCCTCCGTCCGCGTATTATCAGGCCCGGCCCAACCCTCGTGGGCCCCACCCTTTTGTCGGACGCGTAGACTGTGACGTGGGCCCACTCCCGCGACACGTCGTCGTGGCGCCTTAAAAGAGCCGTGACCTTCCTTCTCAGACCCAATTTTCACACCATCCAGGGCAAAAGCTGGCGACGTCAGTAAAAAGAGGGACTTTTTCTAAATTTTACCAAGGATGCTGACCACCATGGTGATAAGATAATAATGAAAATGAGAGCAAATCTTTTCAGAATGGTAAAGATGTCCCCTTCGTCTAGGGCAGGAACGAAAGGAGGATATGCGGTGTGATGTGCCTCAGGATTCGGCCTGGGGAGAACGGACAAACTTTACGACATCATTAATTACTTGCGCCGGACACGTACCGGGCTCCCACGTGTGCGCGCGCGAACGGCACGTGCGGTGGCCACGGGTTCCTCGAGGAGTCCCCCGGTGGGCCACCCCTGAGGAGAGATTTTTATCGGTTGAATCCTTCAAGAGAATAAGGTACAACCATAGTAAAATTCCTTATCGCACTTATATTATACGTGGCGTAAGATTAGGAGACAAGCGACGTCACGTGCGTGGCGAGACTTTCAATGAAGAGAGAGGGAGAGCAGAGACTGTTCGCCAAGATTCCCCCGTGGTACAGGCAACTTTTCAGAAAAGCCCCTCCAGAAAGTTTCCTTCTTGGGAGCTGACCTTCGGACAGGAGCGGGGGGTTTCTTTAATAAATCCCCTGGATTTAAAGATATCGGGAAAAGGGCCTGGCTGAGCTGAGCTGGATTTTCGGGTGATTTTTTTTCACGTGAAAACCATTTTAAAAAATAGGTGAAATTAAAAAAGAATGGACTAATTTACGGGAATGCTTGCCCACACAGCCGCACCTAACAATATTCCATTCCACACTTGGGCTCCCCGCAGTGGGCCCACCGAGTATTCAATCCGGCCCTTTAGCGGGCCTCCGGGCCCACCCCCGATTCCCTGCCTCCTGCGGGCCCCACCCCCGCCCCCCGGGGAAGCACATACAACGTAAGGTCATTCCAAGTCCTCATCCATCTGGTCTACTGCTACCCGAAGATAAACTCCGCTAGAGAGAGAGGGAGAGGGAGAGGGAGAGAGAGAGAGAATGTTGTAGAGAGAGGATGGGATTAATTAAAGCCGACCGGATAGAGAGGGGGAAGACGAGGTTGCAGGCGACACGGATCAAAGGGAAGGGCTTGACTCGTTTGACTGCTGGGGGAGGATGAAGACGGTGACGACACGATGAGACCGCCGGCGGAGAAGCCGTCGACAGCTGGGGATGCGGGGGAAGGGGAGATAGGATCGGACGACGGCGGCTTTGCACCGTCAGGCGGTGGTTTCCTGCCGAGGCCGCAGTTGTAGTGCGGACACCAACCGGGGGGAGGACGAGGACGAGAGGACTCCGTCCTCATGTGCGAGGATCAGTGAGGGATTCTTGATGTGCTGTCATGGGTTTGGCCGGGAGCGGAGGAGAAGGAAGAAGAAGAGAGTGTTGACGGGAGGTAAAGAGGGAGGGGGAGAGAGAGTGAAAACGGGGGCGCGATGGTGGGGCGGTGAGAGAGAAAGATGGCGATTGTCGTTGAGAAAGACGACGGAATCGTGGGCCATGCCGCCCAGGGGAATCTCACCGGACCCCACCTCCATCCTCCATCCTTCTCAGGTTTAACAGGCGTAAGCCAATAAACACGCCCTTCGAACGGAGGAGAGGAAGAGGCTGGCCGGGGGGGGAGGGTTTCTACTGTGGGGCTGCGCTGGGTTTTTGGATAGACACCGGTTCTTAGGCTTGACATCGGAACTTCAGTCTTAGACATGGACAAGTCTGTGTCCGATGGAATAATTAGGGTTACGGAGGAAGAAGAAGAAGGGTTCGGGGTTTTCACAGAGAGCCCCACAAAGACGAGTGGGAAGAATCTCCTCTGAGATGGGTCTTCAAGGTGCGGTATAATTACTGACGGTAAGCAGAGCTACAGATTGGGTGAGGTGGCGGGGGCTACATCTGGTGTCAGCCTCATGGCCGTATTGTTTCTTGCCGCAGCCCCCCACGAGAAGGGTAAATGGCTGAGAGAGTCAGCCCCACAGCGAAGAACGTGGAAACTCCGGTGGCGTAGGGAAGATGCGGAAAACGCCCGTCTGGTTGTCCACGGAGTTCACTGGTCCTTCGCATCGTCTCGGAGGATGCATATAAATGATTTAAATTCATGAGTGTGGGTGATTCTTTACAAAGGACCGTCATGGCGGAGGCCCACGGCGGGTCGGCAGCCCCAATCCGTCGCCGCATAACGACACTGCTCGTCTACGTGAGGCCCCCATCAACACCGCCTCTCTCTCTCTCTCTCTTTCTATCTCTCCCTCCCACCCTATCTCCATCTCCAATCCCGAAGTTTGATGTTAACATCCCTTGCGGACGGGCAGAAGAGGAAAAGTGGGGTAAGGAACTCGAAGGAAACCCCATAAACGTTACCCCATCACGCCACCGCCAAAGCCAAAGCAGGAGTCTTGGGAAGAGGGTGAGGAGGAAGAAGGGGGAGCAGCATATAGAAGAAAGGGTGGGGGGGGGTGTCTTTGGACTGGTTTGTTTATATCCCTCCGTTCTCGTGTCTTCTTCTTTCCTCCTCTCTCCCTCTCTCTCTCTCTCTCTCTCCTCTCTCTCTCTCTCTCCCCCCCCCCTCTCTCTCTCTAGTAGTTTTGAGTGCAACTGTTTGTTTGGTTTTCCGCTCTTCTTTGTTCGTTTGTTGATCTGAGAAGGGACTCCTCGGAGGAGTTTGGAAGCTTTTGGGGGGGTCTCTTGCTGGGAGTAGATCCACACGCCCGCACACACAAAAACACAAACCCGTGTACCAGGTTACTCTGCGAAAGAGGAGGGGGGGTGGTGTTCCTTGTTCATTGCCTGCTTATCTGATCTTTCTTTTGTTCTCTCTTGGGATTGTCGATGGAATCAGAGAAAAGGGGCAATCGAGCTCGTATTCCACGTCCGGTGGAAAGAACGTCGGCCTAAATTTTGACCGGAGAAGATTGAATAGAGGAAGAAGACGCGGAGAAAGGAAGAGAACAAGGTTTGAGTGAGAAGGCCAGGACTGGAGGGGATGGCAGCGGCTCCACCATCGGCATCATTTTTTGGAATTAGAGAGGAAGATCTTCGAAACCAGATGCAGCAGCAGCAGCAGCAGCAGCGGTCGTTGTCTACAACGACTTCATCCGCCGCCGCCGCCGCTCCGCCACCGGCACCCCCGCCGAAGAAGAAGAGGAACCAACCAGGAACACCAAGCAAGTATCAACTCATACATGTTTCTTTCCAAGCATCGCCATCGTTTGGAGGAAATATTAATCTCTTGGAGTTCTCGGAAGAGTTTTTCCTCGATGTTTCTCAGTCCCATCTGTTCAGCTCTTCTTTCTCCTTCATATCCCTAGCTATATTCCATATAAACCTAGAGCAACCGAGAATCTTTGTAAAAAATTTCTCGGTAGCATTAGCCCCAATCCAAATTTCCTTCATTGGAAATCATTTCCACCCCTTGTGCTCTATCTTTTCTGGGTTTCATGGCGGGCGCTCCCATTGCCAAAATAATTGGAGTTATTCGTCCAATTCACCCTCATCACCATCGACTGATCTGCCTAGATTCATTATCGCATGGCATGCATCCCGTCACATTATCATAATCACCATTGTTTTCAATCCAGTGGTGAATCCGACTAATATCTTTCACATGGTCCCCAAAAAAACAGATCCAGATGCGGAAGTGATAGCTCTATCGCCGAAAACGCTGATGGCAACGAACAGATTCATATGCGAAGTGTGCAACAAGGGCTTCCAGAGGGAGCAGAACCTCCAGTTGCACCGGAGAGGCCACAACCTTCCCTGGAAGCTCCGGCAGAAGAGCACCAAGGAGGTGCGGCAGCGGGTCTATCTCTGCCCGGAGCCAACATGCGTCCATCACGACCCCTCCCGAGCCCTCGGTGACCTCACCGGCATCAAGAAGCACTTCTGCCGGAAGCACGGCGAGAAGAAGTGGAAGTGCGATAAGTGCTCCAAGCGATACGCCGTCCAGTCCGACCTCAAGGCTCACTCCAAGGTGTGCGGCACCCGCGAGTACCGCTGCGACTGCGGCACTCTCTTCTCCCGGTACGCAACCAACCCAAAAAAAAACCCGATCTTTCCTTCGTTCTCCATTTCTATACCTCTGCTAGCGTCGGTAGATGTGTTTTTAATATACCAGGGTTTATGCCTGGGGGGAAGGGGATTTAGGATTAGGGTTGTTACGGCTGGATTCGGGGGTGACAGGAGCGGGACGAGAGGAAGAGGACCTCTCTTCTCTGGTTTCCGGGGCAACAAGAGACTGTTCCCACGTGAATTGCCCTCCATGGAGCTGCCATTTTTCGAGCAGAGAGGTGTTCATCTTTTTCAACATTGAAATCAACGCCGAGCTCTCCCGTCCTCTCTCTCTCTCTCTCTCTCTCTCTCTCCCCCTAGCCCGCCTATCCCTTTCTATTCACGTGCTACTGTGGACAATGCCCGGCAGGTTTGTACCCTTGTGAGTTGGCCAGCAGTGAGCAGGACTCGGGCCACTGCGGCCGCACAGGTCCACCTTTTCATGAAAACCTTTTAGAATTAGCTTCACCCTCTTCCACCCCTCGGCCGCCCCTCATCATTGACTGAAGAGCTCGCGGCAAGATCAGTCTGGGTTGCCGCGTTCCGCGGGATGACGAGCTCTGAAACCCTGTGGCTTCCGATTGATCTTGGGTGTTTGTTCATTCATGGACCTTGCTTTGCCGTTAATCAATGGGGGAATGAGTTGCCAGAAGTAGCTTCCCTGGGTTATGTTGCCATTAATCAGTCGGGGGGGTAGGCAACGGACACAGTAAACGAGCTGCCCAGTGATCGTCTTCTTGTTCCTTGGGAAAATTCCCCATCTGCATTCATTAGGGCGGCACTCCTCCATATGGGTTTCTTCCCTAAAGCTGTCTGCAGGTTTTCATCTTCTTGTTTTCTGTCACCCTCCTCAAGGTTGGAAGCGGACATGCTGAATTCCGACGATGCAGGTGTTCCACTTGAATCGTTAATTGATCTCTCTCTCTCTCTCTCTCTCTCTCTCTCTCTCTCTCTCTCCAAAACCAGGCAGCTGAAATTATCTGAAACTGGTGCGGTGGTGGACCTGCTTCGAAGCTTTTTCTTTCACCCTTATTCGTGAATTGGAACTAAATTAGCTCGTTCACTCGTTGTTCAATTCGCAGGCGTGACAGCTTCATCACTCACAGGGCCTTCTGCGACGCCCTGGCCCAAGAGAGCGCCAGGCTCCCCACCGGACTAAACACCGGAATGGGAAGTCACTCGTTTGGGAGCAGCAGCATGGGCCTTGGCCAGTCTCAGGTGACCACTCAAATCTCTCCCCTCCAAGAGCAGAGCCACGCCTCCGGTGATCTCCTTCGCCTCGGAGGCGGCGGCTGCGCAGTGCAGCTCGACCACCTCATCCCACACCAGAACCCTCCCTCCTCCTATCACCCACCTCAACCGGACGCCTCCTCGGCCTTCTTCCTCAGCCAAGAGTTCCAGGAACCTCAGCCACACCATGGCTTTCTTCAGTCCAAGCCCTTCCACGGCCTTGTGCAACTCCCCGATCTCCACAATAGCGCCACTGGCTCCTCCTCTCCCGCTGCAACCACCGCTGCCACCGGCCTGTTCAATATCAGCGCCTACTCCAGCAACAGGACCACGAGCAACCTCAACAGTATCAACAGTCATCTCCTGATGCCTGATCAGTTCAGCAACAGCGTGGGCAGCGGTACCAAGCCGGCAGCTCTATTCGTCGGAAACATGGTGGGCGATCAGATGAGCTCAGGAGTCTCCTCGCTCTACAACTCATCTGTGCAGAAGGAGCAGGTTCTTCCCCAGATGTCAGCCACCGCTTTGCTCCAGAAGGCCGCACAGATGGGCGCGACCACGAGCAGCAGCGGATCCACCATGCTAAGAGCGTACGGAAACCCCCCCTCCAGAAACAGCTCCAAGGGAGGCGACTTCAGGGTTGGCTACGGGGACGGGAATGGCGGTCAGAGCATGAGAATACAGATGGAGAATGAGACCCATCTCCAAAACCTCATGAACTCTCTCGCACACGGAGGCGTGGGTGTCTTCGGCGGTGGCCCCGGAGGAGGAGGAGGAGCGTTCGGGGGGAGTTGCACCGGCGGCGGGCACGAGCACGAAGCTGTATTCAGTGGGTTCTACCCTAATCTCTGCAACATGGACGCAGCGGCCAAGCTGCGTAATAGCATGTCGATGGGTGGCAGCATGGGAGGGTCAGATAGGTTGACCAGGGACTTCCTGGGGGTTGGCAGCATGGTAAGGGGCATGGGAAGCGAGGTGTCTCAGAGGGAACCGCATCACCCAGTCGATATCAGCTCCGAGATGAAGTCTCCGCCGGCCAATAGGTCTTTCTCAGGAGGGAATCTGCAGTGAGCGGGTGTTCGGGCGTCACCTTCCCGACGACAGGCGGTGGAGGAGGAGTTGGAGGCTCACACACCCGTGTACGTAACTCACAACTCTGGAGGAATTGGCCCTGAACTTCTTCTTCTTCTTCTTCTTCTTCTTTGTTCACGTTGTTGCTATAGGTTATCAAATAATTGGCTGTCGTTGAATTCTCTTCCATGAGGGATGATCTATCATTTCTTCCTTTAACAGTTCTCTCTTTTTTTTTCCGGCCTCTACGAGACAGTAAGCAGCTAAGAGTTCTCATCTTTACTCATTACCGGTGCTTCATATCATCTCGCACTAATGAAGGTGAGCCTTCTCCATTAATCCTATCCCAGCATCAGGCCCAATGGCTGCTCTTGAGGCTCATGCACTTGAGGGACGATGACCACATCCACGTTACCGGCAAAATCCCAAGGTTGACTTTCAGATGAAGGGTCACTTCAAGAACGATCCTATGTTAATCACTGTAAAATATAGAAAATATGATTCGAAACGATTGTTTGATAGATTAAGCACCACACAAACTTTCATTCCTATCGAACCCTAGAATTCATGTAGCATGGAACAGGGACACACTAAGAATGATCCTGCACTAAATACTATAAAAAGGAACTAAATGCATCAAAATTGGTTGACCCATTTTGAGTGTTGACCGGTTTTGAGATGGGTTGCTCAAAAAACCTAATATAATAGTCACCTGCGTAGATTCTCATGATCCAGTTCGTCGGAGTGGCAGTCGACGAAAGGTTAATAGCATATTGTCATCATCTTTGTGGATACTGCCAGAATGTGCGACACGTGACTATTCTACTTCGATAAATGCGTACGATGTAGGAATATCTATAAAAATGTCGGGACATGCAGACGGAAACCAGAGCGTTCTGTCGAGGAGTCCGGCGGTCAGCTTTCTTGCAGCTGATGGCACACCCTCTCTCTCTCTCTCTCTCGCTAAAAGCTGGCGGTCAAAGGCCTCCCATGTTGACTATCTTCTAAGCTTTCCTCTCCTCGAGAAGACCCCCGTCGTCTTCCCTCTTGACCTCGTTGACCCAGATCTGCGGCAGCCAGCTCCCCGCATCCCAAGCATGCAAGACCTAAGCGAGAGCCTCTCTCGTCCCGTCCCTTTCTTCCTCTTCCTCTTCTTCTCCCCCGCGTATGTAGACCGCGTATACACAAACTATCTCTAAGTACAGATGCGGATCGATGAGCGACCAGGCTTATCTGTCTCGACGGCGAGGAATTGGGAAGCACGCCGGCTGTAGACAGTTTTCTGTCGTATTGGGGTCGTCACGGGGCCTCCCATGAAGGGCTCTCCTTCTCCCTGTAGATACCGACAGAGACAGCAAGGATGAGAGAGAGCCGCCCAGCTCGCCAGTCGGTCATCAGTCTGCCATGCATGAGCTCAATCTATGAGCTACTCGTAAGCGGAAGGCTGCTTCATCTGGGGAGAAGGCTACGTTCAACGGAGCTAGAACAGGCGCGCCTCGGACTCGTCAAGGGTTGACTTGTGCCGCTTTTCAGGGTCCGATCACGTGTAATGGTCAACTCCGCCGCGTCTTCTGTATCGGCTTGTTTATCTCCATATCTGATGAACTTGAGAGCGTTTCGATATCTCTCTCTCTCTCTCTCTCTCTCTCCTGTCCGTCACAGAATGGATGGATTGTTAGACTGACTTTTGGGGACGGAGTCAACCAAAGTGGGCCAACTGGGTCGGTCGTATTGGGCTCTAAAATGGGCTCAAATGAGGGCCTTGTCGAAGCAGGCCGATGGAACGGAAGGCCATCATGAACAAAAGGGTGAGAAGATCGTGTGAGATTGCAAACCGATCAAAACAATCATGTTTATCAAACGTTTCAAAGAGAGTTGGATCACACCGAGTTCCTATCCCCAGTTATTTCCGCCGACAGCCGGGCCACCTGAGTGTGACAAAAATCAGCTTCCACGTCTGTTAGGGTAGAAGAAGAAGGAGACAGCGAGCGAGCGGACGAGCGAGAGAAGAGAGAGAGAAAGAGAGAGAGAGAGGGGCGGGGGCTACAAGCAGAGGCGAATTCCTTCTGCGGGTTTCAATTGCCCAGCTTTCCTTTCAGCCAGGCATCGTCGGTAGGGGACGAACCCTCGTCCCTCGTTCTCTGAGGAAGCACCGCCGGTTTCCTCGCCGGAGTTCTCGTTGGCGGCGCAAGAACCAGTCCGGGAGCTCTCCTTCTGGGGAGGGTTGACCTGGCAAGGGTTGACCGGTGGGAATTGCAAGGAAGCCCACCAGGGGAGAGACGCCATGGCCGCAGCCTCTGTCACGTTCGTGAGCTCCGGAGGGAGAGGTGGGCAGAAGATCATCTGCGGCGGCATCATCCCCCATGGCCACAGGTTCCATTCACACCGCTGCTGCGGTTGACTTTCTTGTTCTGCTTGACCGTGAGCTCCTCCGTCCTTGAGAGGCGGCGAGTTGGTGGCGGCGGCGGGCGCCACAAGGACAGTCCTACCGAAGAGTTTGAGGCTCGTCGGGGTTGTTTCACCGGAGGATGTCCCCTCCGAGGAGAAGAAATCTTGGGAGCTGACATCAGTTTTCTGGACATGGAGATCGAGGGTCGTCAGATGGAAATCCATGGCAATTCACGAGCAAAGATGAAAAGATAATAAGATAGTTACCGTGGGGGAATTGCCTACTTGAGATCCATTTTCCTCTCCGCTGGACAGAACAGAGGATCCACATCGGTCAACGAGCCCCCAGCTGGGTGGATTCATCGACCCACTTGCAGGTGAGTCCGGGGAGGCACGAGGGTTATGGTGGGTGGAACCCGACGCGCCAGCGGCGTCTGAACCGGCGGCGGATAAAACGGAGGTGGGGGACCTGTGTTCCTGCCCGGAGAGAGATGGCACCGGAGAAGGAGATCTTTCTTCTGGGGCTGAGGCGGCGAGGCCATTGGGGACGGAATGTCTCAGTTTGCGAGGGTAAGGATGAACAGGTTTTCTCTTTGGGCGAGGAGGAGGGATGTCTATGGGTTCCACGGAACTTGCTCCGCCTGTGGCAGTGTCTCGAACCACCTGAAAGATCCACGAAGATAAATCCCATGAGCATGAGAGGCAGCTTCCAACAGGAGTAAAGCGGTGGAGAATGTTTGAAATGACTCTCTTCAAGAATGGGACATTTCTGCATACCCTGTAGGGAGAGGAAGGGTGGGTTCTGTAATGGGGAAAGGTCACCTTGGAGAAAAACTTCTGGGCATGGCTTCGGATTTGAACCGCAGTCTTCGTACCGATGAATTCTGAGACCAAGATCATCGAGTTAGAAGAATGGCCCCTAGCAAGGAGGAAACCGGAACGAGATGCACGGAGAGCACTGATTTTAATACCTTCTATGCGGCGCCAGGCTCGGCCGTAGAGTTTAAGAGCCTCAAGGAACCTGCGGTGTTCATCGTCCGTCCATCTTTCCCTCTGCTTGGTGATCGTGTAAGGTTTCCTCACCTGTTCGAGAGAAAAAAAGTCAGAAACTAAGAATCAAAATGAAAATGGAACCAGATCACATCCGATCCACACGTTCCCACAGACCTTGGGGCCGAGATCCTCCATGGAAGAACACATCTCCTTCGATCGCGTGATCTGGGCTGGTGGAAGTATGGCGTCCATTAGAATCGAACTGCTGTCTATCACAGAAGAATCAACGCGCAAACCCAGATTTGTCCTGGTAGCAGAAGCACAAGATGAAACAAATTATTATCCGAGAGTAAAATAAAATACGATTAAATTAAATTGTTCCCCAGTTTTCTTGATATCGACAAGTTATCAGCCCCTAGAGAAAACTCATCGGCGTCCGTATACAAGCTCTCGGAAATTTGAAAAATAAAATATTCATAGGTAAAAAAACGATTGAAGTGAAGAACATCAGAAATTTGCAGCCTCCCAGAATTTTGAAAGCAGCAGAAGTTCCATGGAAACATGCTATCATATCATTCGTACCGCAAAGATAATTGCAGAAGGAAACTAGAAAAGAGGGAAAAGCGACGTGGTTAGAGATTTACCTGAACAGACGTTGCAGCAGGCGCCCTCAGCTTCCCCAATCGCTCGATCCTCCCAGTTGTTCCCAAAATCAAAAAGGTTGCCAAAAAACTCTCAGAGGTTACAGAGACAACCCCTCCGGTGATTTGTGATCCCCCTTGTACTTCGATACATGGTTTGACTGAGACAAAAGACTCCCAATCGAAACCAAATCAATTTACAGATTTCTGCTAATCGTCTTTCGCTGAATTCGCGACCTCTCCGTGAGCAGCGACCAACCAATCGAAACAAGAAGACGGGACAAGGCCTCTCAGATGCCCTTCCGGTGACACGTTGCAATGGTCAAAACAGACGACGGGACACAGATCGACGCGAGGACACAATGGATATCCACGGCCTATGCTCTCCGGTCCTGCTCCTGTTGCAGAGCACCACAGATCGGCCTATCTACCGAGAGCTATTTTCGAATAGACCAAAAGAGCCGCGAGTAGCTCAAAGAAGGATAGCGCCAGATCCGGCTTGACTTCCAGCAGACGGTATCCCCGAGTCAGAGGAGCTCCTACAGCTCGGGATGGAGAGAACGGAAGGACCGGAAGAAGTGGCCTTCGGAGGAAGAAGCGGTGGAAGCAGAGGCACAGATTCTTAGGAAGACGAGGAAAACCAAGAGCCAACGAAGACGCCCCCCCTTCCGGTCTCAGAAAAAAATGGGATTATCCTCGGACAGTATCTGCTTCCCAGCCTCCAGGAAGAAAGATCTTCGCTTCCGACACAGGCCGCCGGCCGTCTCCGCAGCAAGCTTCGCCCCCCCCTTGGATAACCGGCGAAGGAAAAAAACGAGGAGCCGAAGGGAGAGAGAGAGAGAGAGAGAGAGAGAGAGAGAAAGAGATGGAGGTGAATAAAGCTCAGGACTTGTGGCGAGGGAGAGAAGGAGAAGAAGGTACTAGAAAAGGGAGGAGAGAGAGGAGGAACGAGAGCTGCGCTACCGCCACGTCAATAATTATTTTTATCTATTAAAAATAGCTCCGAAATGTTCGTATATTTTGTGGTGGAAGACCTCCTCCGTCCTGCCAACGTGGCATCTCGCGGCTTCTGCTTTTGCTTTCCACCGGCGCCTGCGTTCACCGCCCCTGTCTGGCCTCTGTGGGCGTTAGAGTCACTCGGTGAGGGGATGCGGGTCAGCGTGTCAAGCGGACGTTAAGCGGGAGTTAGGGACGGAACCGAATGAGGATCGTGGTCAGCCACGGAAAATATCTTGGGGCGGCTATAAATCCGTGTCCAGAAACGGTGGATCAAAAGCGAGAGGACAAGAATCCTCTACTCTCTCTCCTCCCCGCGAGTGCGCTTTTGTCCACGTCGGCCACGTCCGTCGCCCGTGACCAGATCGGCCGCCACGCGTCCATCTGCAAGAACGGAAATTGGATATACATTACTCTCCACCACTAGAATCCGCTTATTTTTTTACCAAAAAAGGGTGGCCACTCGTTCGGACTCCTCTCTCTCTCTCTCTCTCTCTCTCGCCGCGCCTGAAATCTGCGCGCGAGGACACGTGGAGGGAGGCGGCCGAACGTGGCCCTTCCTGGATCGCGAGGTCCGAACGACCTGAGAGAGATCCGATAAGGATATGGGCCCCACAAAAGTATCAGTGGGCCCCGTGACGGGCCTCGCGCTTTATGCACTGCTGGCCACCTGACCACTCTATTCTCTCTCCTTTCTCTATCAGGTGGGGCTGATGTGAGAAAAATGCCCGAACGGGGGAGGGGCAATTATCCATCGGGGAAAAGATTGAGGGCAAAAAAGAAATAAAAATAATGCCCGCAAACCACTCTCCCCCTCCGATTCCTCAGGAAACCAATTCTTATCCACAAAATATTCGTCCCAATATCTACAAAAATACCCATTTCCTCTCCTCTCTGTCTCTCTCTCTTAAAGTCCTGTGTTGGTGGGGGACCTGCCCACTCTAGAGAGAGAGAGAGAGAGAGAGAGGAGATTCGCTTAAAATCCAGGGAGCCAGCTGGGAACTCGTGGCCACGGTGGGTCGGGAAGGGGGAGATGGCCACTGACGGGGGTGTGATGCTCCGCGGTGGATATTTTTCAGAGTTGGAATTTCCCTCCTGGGGGTGGTCAGACGGAAAGAGGGCCACACGTTTCCGATAAACAAGGCCGCGCGCGAGGCGACACACCGCAGGGCGGCAGAAGGTGGAAAAGGGGACGGCGAGGGCCACAGAGACCCACCCCCCCCACCACCGCTAAAACATGCGGCCGCGCTTCTCCCCGGTGCCCCCGCTATCCGGCACGCTCGACTGCGAGGCCCACTCTCTCTCTCTCTCTCTCTCTCTCTTCCTTATCGCCTGCCTGCTGCGGCTCGAGTGGGAGCCGGCTGTTGTCTAGTATGCGGGCTCCATGCCCACGAACTGGGGAGCTACATAAAACCTGCTCATGCGAATGCTATTTGGGGATTCTTTGATACGGAGAGGGAGACGAGAAAATGGGCATTCGAATGTTCATCAAAATTAGGTCAACCTTCTTTTTATACCGTGAGGAGTTATTCTTGGGTAAATTATTTGAGCAACAGATGATTTTACAAGTCAACGGGAACTGACTGCGCATTTATGTGGCGTGGGGAGCGTTGTCTTGGGATTCAATTTGACTATAATATAATATCGATTTAATTTCAGTTATTGGGAGTTATTTAAGTAGGATAATGATCCACCAGAAATTACCGTCTCCCGCTGCATGGGAATCTATCGACAAACTGCAAAACATTTCCGTAATTATCTGCTCAGTAAATAAAAAAAAGAGTTGAATAATCTGAGGAGAATATCATCCTCCCACGTAGATGATGGAATTTTTTAATATTATTATAATTATGATCATAATCACAGAAGAATACCCATCTATAGAAGGTTGGATTATAATTATGATCATAATCACAGGAGACTATCCATCTGGAGAGGTTGGATTATAATTATGATCATAATCACAGAAGAATACCGAACTGGAGAAGGTTGGATTATAATTATAATCATAATCACAGAAGAATACCCATCTGGAGAAGGTTGGATTATAATTATAATCATAATCACAGAAGAATACCCATCTGGAGAAGGTTGGATTATAATTATAATCATAATCACAGAAGACTACCCATCTCAGCCCAGCGTCTGGATCGCCAAGTCATGAATTCCCAAGTCATGATACAAGCTGCGCGCGAACTGAAGAACCGGGGCATCATCAGCACCTTCCTTCATCTGAAGCACCAGAGATCATACACAATTATCAACATGAAGCCGCAGGGAATTTAAATCGCTGATATTATAAAAAAAGATTTTTTTATATAAATATAAAGCTCGGGCCAGGGGCAGTATACGTCCATTTCCATTTTAATTATCATTTGAATGAACTAATAAACAAATAAATAAATAAAGCGTTTTAAAAAATTCACCCTTATTGAGAGCGATCCAACGACGTGGCCAGGAACCAATTCCCAAAAGCGGGCTCGAGAGATCTCTAAAACATCCTCTCGAGCGGATATCTGGAGGAACAGCAGGCCGATGCGTATTTATGCTCGCGGAATATGATAATTAAGATATAAAGATCACAGGACTTTGTGCGATAACTAACTTGTCTCCAGCATTTATTCAACGCAGAGGGCGGCACCGTGGCTGGCGCCGCTTGCAGCAGGATCCCCCCAGTTGCCCTGAAGAGCGGCATGGCCACCATGAAAATGGCGACAGAGACCAATCCCAGGCACAAGACCTCTGCGTTCTCAACACTGGCAGGGAGAGAAGCATGTAGCTCAAGCTATCTATAGACATTCGATATTATATAATTCGAGGAGAGAGAGGCAAAGAGTAGCTACCCGAGCGTCAGAAACCATGATGCGAGGAGCAAGCCTGCACTGATGTGGGAAGTGGCAAAGGCATTAGCTCTTCACGAGGAGATTTTGAGAGGAAAAGGAGATTGAAAGGAGCCCAGAGGAATCCATTGTCGGGATTCAATACCTTCGGATAGAATCGGCGAGGACATGAAGAAAGACTGAGTGGTGGTTCATGTCTTCGGCGTTCCTGTAAGCTGCAGATGGAATGCTGGCACCGATGATCTTCGGAACAGGCAGATGGAATGGTGAAAGGACGGCAGAGGAGCTTACTGAGGTAGACCCGCGCATAACTCCGAAAAAACCACACGCCGAGCAAATTTACGAGAAGATTTGTTACGGCTGAAACGATCAAGTAGTGCCTAAAGACAAATGGTGATTGTTATTTTAGTATAATACGTTCGATATAACTGATGAAAAGCCTGCCCGGAATGGATCCCATGGAAGAAGTTGACTTACTTGTGCTCAGATTCATCTTGAATGAAAGCATGAAGGGCTTCCACTGCCAAGGAAAAGGCCAGAAACAGTAGAAAGAGCTGCCTACATGCATAGCAATGGTGGCATCATGGGAAGATATTAGCCCAGATGAGATGGAATTCAGGGTGGGTAGCAAGTCTTCATAAAAGGTCAAAAGCTAACAAGAAGCAGAGGAGAAACATAGATTGCTCTTTTTAAAAAAAAAACAACTACGTGCTGACTCAGGACAAGCTCAAAGGTTAACAAGAAGAAAGCGAGAAACATAGGTTCCTCTTTGAAATAAATTAATAAACACGTGCTGACTGAGCACGAGCTTTTAGAGAGACAGAGGTTCAAATAACAAGAAAAAAAAAAGAAAGGAAAGTACGTGCGAGAATTCGAGAAGCATATTCAACTGGATTCATGATAAGCACGAGTAATCCAATTAATGTATTGAAAAACCTTGGACATATTGGTATATTAGCTCGAGTTATGCATACACCAATGCGATGGACAGAGGCCTGTTTAAGACATGCGTGATTTCTCACTGCTTTCAACCATGACCAAAATTAGGGCAAAGATACGTACAGCATTTGTAAAGGCAGCCAGAACTTCCAATCTTTTGTAGCTGAAATGCATGTAAAAGGAAGCACGTGAGCTCTCCATGGTCTTTTTCTCATCACATAAATTTATGTCTACATCAAACCATGCAATGAATTGCAACCACCGATAACTAAGGACAAAGATCATGGAATTGATGCACAAGAGAGACAGCATAAGGAAAGCACCCATTTCCGTATCAGTAAAGCGGCACCACCCATTTCCAACGATATTTGCAAAAAAAATAGATGAATGAAGGACTGATTATCCCGCGATGATTAGTAAAGTTGAAAGCAATATGACGGAAAAAACACCCCTTATTTTAAAATAAGCAAGCTCATCCTATTTCCTCCTAATCCCGTCTCTCCGACAGGGTTTAGACAAGAGTAGGAAGATCTTTTTCTGAGTCAGCTGACAAGTTTTCTGAGAAATATCAATCCTACCTTAGAATAGTATTAATCAAAGAGAGATGCAAGTGAGGCAGGAAGAGATGGCGTAAGTGGGAGAAATTTCTGGGCAAGGACAATGATTATCTCAGCAACATATTTTATAGAACACTTTTTTGTTTGCAAGCCAACATCCACACATCTGTGAGTGACTTTGGCTGGAAGAGATACTTTCAAGATCGTTATGTATTCTGCAGTTTGAATTCCGGCATTTTCTTTTCTTAAACACGCTAAAGGTTATCTTAAAGAGATTAACATGAGAACTATGGCCTACGCATTTTTCCCAGCCAAGACAATTATCCCTGTGATTGTTGTTGGAGTAAAGCCAGCATTCATCAAAGATGGCATGGAAAATATTATATGCATACCCATAGGTGTAAGATCCATCAGCTTTCCTGTTGGATGCAGCCATTGCAAAAAGAGAGAACGTGAGAAGACCACAACCAAATGTCAAATGGAAGGCATCCGAAACCAAGCCTGCAAAAACAAATATCAGTCAGACAAGATTGTCTATACAGGATTACAAGAAGACTACAGAAATCGTCTTAAGTGAAGACTGAAAAGCAACCATAAATTTCTGAGTTACAGATAGGAAAGCTAAGCATATTATGCACAATGCTTAGCTGATAAGAAAGCTTGAAACATGATTATGTGTTGGATCATAGTTGGAATGTACAACTATTCAAATTTAATCCTGCTTAAGCGCATAACGAAAACTCCAGATAGCCATACATGTAAATGACAGATAACCAACAAAAAAGCCAGAAAAAAATAGTCTTAAAGAAGAAATGGATATGTTGTCAAGGTAGAATGGTCATCATCTCGTTTAAACATAACGTGATGACTAGAGAAGATGTAGAACAAAAAGAAAGAGCCAACGAAAATATGTTGAAAGAAGGAGACTTGCACAACTTTCTCGTTTTTCTCAAAACCAGGAAGTTGCTGACAATAAATCGAATATGCCATGGAACAGAGATTGTGAGAGTAGCTATCAGGCCCGTTTATGAAGCTTAACGAGGAATTGCTCCAAGAAGAGGATGCAAAGCGAACAGAAATGGAGGGAGGTACTCCCCTATGATGAACAACAAGGACAGAGTAAATTGAAGAAAAGATCAAGGAAAAAACCTTCATTATGGATACCAAAAAAACTCCTAGTCCTGATGGGTACTCTAAAAGCGTCTACCAATATATTTGGGATATTATCACAGAAGAGATGCTGAAGGTTGTCAATGAATTGAGGATTAACGTTCTATTGAACAATTTGATTCTACCTGAACCAATGAGGTTCAGTGATAAGCCATACTAGTATTTCACCATTTAGTAGAAGATTAGAACAAAGATATTGGGCAATAGAAACAAAAGCGCCTTACTCAAATTGGCAGATGACAACTGAAGAGCCTTCAGAAAAGATAGATTTATCTAGCATAATTTCGTTGAATAATTTGAAGCGAGTTTAGGAAACGGTAGAATCCTATTTGAAAAAGACGATCAATAAGAAACACAACGGCTCAAAAGAATTAAATCAACGATTGGAATTGAAGATAATACATGAGAAAACTTGGAGTCGCTCAAGGCAGCAAAATAAGACAAATGTCCCTTCAAATAGGGGCGTCAGTCACTCTCAAATGGGAGGATTACGACAGATGGATCGAATTGCATCCTTGGAGACTTTTGGGTATAGAAAAATTAAATGGAAAAGGGGGTGATTTATCTTAACCCAGAAGTATAGTAGCATCCCGAATTGTATGGGTACATTGCTTCTGATAGCCTTTCAATAGCATATGCCCACCTGCCCTTATGAAGCAACCCAAGCGATTGAAATCTCTTTTTTGGGGAAGGGGCCAACACAGAAAGACAAATGATTTTGCTTTGTCAATTGGGGTGCATGTTGCAGAAAAGAAAGTGAGTTAGAGGTGGGCTTGGTGAAAATAGCGGATTATAATAAAACTTTCTTCTCTAGCTGAATTCCTACAGCAACTTAAATAGGGTGAGACATTTTCAGCTTCCATTACCAGAAATATTGGTGCGTTAAGTCGACTTCTGCCCACTCAGTCGAATGGAATCCAGGGGATACCATAAAGAGTACCTGCGATTCTGACTTTTTCCACTTCGAATGGAATGTCATGCAGGGAGTATGGGAACTCTTAAAGATTCTGGGAGGCAATGGACCTCTGATCCGCCTTTGCCACCAAAATTCTCTCGGATGCATCGAGTTCTCAAAGATATAAGGAGGTTTATCTGATGAGTTACAGGGGGTCTTTTGCAGAAATAGGATGACATCTTCGATTCATAAGACATTCTGTGACTTCGGATGTCAAAGGGCGTGGCAGTTTAATCCAATCGTTAGGTCGAGTAACTTCGCCAAGAGGTAGAAGAAAAAATAAAATAAAACTGGACATGGCCAGCAGCGAAGGAAATACCCACAGGGGAAAAATGTGATGCCAGGCACCGGTGAGGCAAAAACATAGATCGAGATTTTTATGTCAACAACAAGTCACAAAATTTTTCCAAGCTCGCACATTTCAACCTCTCAGGTCGTATTTGTTAGACTTAACTCTATTCGATCATCAGAAAAGTTTCTCCAAGTACAAGTTTCCAGGAAGGTTCTAATAAATTTTCATAGATCGATAAGATGGGGGGGAAATATGAACATAAGCTTGTGTGGAAGAGTCTTCCTACAAATGAGCACATTTCCATAAATGATGGGAAACGACAACAACGGCGCATCGTACATTGAACAGATTTCCTCAGCCACACTTACTCGACAGATGAAAGGCAGGAAAACTAGTAGAGGAGGAGAAATCAACTTTCACTCACCCACACGGCCGCTGAGGATTCCGATCAGTAGTTCCGCCGTGGAATAAGCCATGTTCAGGAAGATCATCAGAGACAGACGCTTCATCAGCCGATTTCCCGATCTAATAGACCTCAATACTGTCAGCGCGAGAATGGGAAAACTAAACTTCTGATGCCGAGGTCTTTCTTCCCCGAACGACGACTTCCGGTACGATCGCCCAACGTCCTCGCCTCCAACCGGCGAGTACATATCCGACGGAATACCGATACTGGAACTGTTCCGGGCAAAGAAAGGTCTTATGGAGTCCCTTCCCTCCGAAGACCTCGGAGTGGAGGCGTCGGCCGGACGAAAGGAGGCCTGCCGAGAGAAGGCCAGCCTCCGGTCGCCGCTGTCAAATCCGTAGTCCCCGTTCCACGTTCTCCCTGAATCACCGTCATTGAGCGCCCAGCCATCACCAGACGAACCTTGTGAAAACCCTCGACCATCCATCTCACTGGCCCGAATTCACTTCTTCGATCACCAGACGCCAGGATCTACAGCCGCGGCACCGCGATCTCATCCATCATCTCCCGAGCGAGTTCTTCGTGAACCCTTCCTAGGGGAATAGAAGAACGAGACCCCTGAGCACGATGTCTCCCCCGACCCTGTGAGCAACGAAGACTGGCGACGATGTCCAGTCGCCGGACCCCGCGGAAACCGGAAGGAACCAGAGGAAGAAGACGAAGGGGCTGCGGTCTTCGGATCTAACGCGGTCCTGGATGAACTTGATCCGAAACCCGCCAACCCTCAAAAGGTTGCAGCCCTCTTGGCCGGGTCCATTTGGGGACCACCAGGAGTCCACCACGCAGCAGTTTCTCTGTAAATTAAATTATTTTTTTAATTTCCTCGTGACTATAATTGTATTGATTTCAATGTTTGACCAGATATTCTTCTAATTAATAAATTAATCGTAATTAAGATAGAAAACTAAAAAATAATAATAACTATCTTGCCATTATTATTTCAAAATATAATTAAAAACTCGAGCTCATAGTCGTCGATATTTATTGCCGTATTTTTTATATTAAAAATACCGATGGATTTTAGTTTAACATTAATTTAATAAATATGGAAACCTTCCGAATTATTGCACGTCTCGAAGACCGTAGAACGATAAAAACAAAATATTAAAAAAAATGAATTATTAAATAAATATTTCAGAAAAAGAGAGGTAATTTTTGGCGGATTACGAGGGCTTTAGTGGTCCGATTAAAAACGGATATTCTCGTATATCGAGCCAACCGAAGCTTGGAAGAGAAGGATCCGCTATCCGAAACGGTCAACCGGGCGAATCCCAGCCATTCAATGCCAAGGAGAAAAATCTAACCGTCCAATCTCCCTCCTCTACCCTTTAAATGCTCCCTCTGTTGTCTTCACCCTTCCTCCTCTCTCTCTCTTCTCTCTCTTTCTTTTTCCTTTGGGGGCACGGCGTTCGACCCGGTTTCTGGAATATCCCTCTCCTCGCGTTGTGTTCTATCTGTGGAGGCTTCTTCTCTTCTGATCGGGGAAGCGATCTCGGAGGCATAGCCGGCGGATTGCAGCTTGTCGGAGTGATTTCTTGTTGCCGTGGAAGATAGGGTTCTTCGGAGCCCTTCGTTGCCGTCTGGGGGGGTGTTGCCGCGGGTGAAGATTAGGGCTCCGGTGCCTGAGCTAGGCTTATGCTGTTGATCTGTTCGTCCGGATTCGATGAACGATCCATCGCAGATGATGAATCGGAATTATGGAATGTGGCAACCGCAGATTCCGCTGCCTCCGGCGGTGGATGATCCGATGATGTTCGGGAACCCTAGGCTGACGTTCTCCGGCCCCGGTGCGAAGCCTGGTTGGGTCAATTGGAAGGGCAAGAAGGCGGCGGACAAGCGAAAGAAGGCGGCGGCGGCGGCGGCGGCGGCGGCGGCGGCGGCCGGTGGAGCCGGTACATCGGGGTACAAGCCACCGACACTGAGCGAGCTCCAGTCGCAGAACCGCGTAAAGGCGCGGAGGTTCTACCCCAAGAAGAAGTTCGCTAGGTTTGCCCCCTTCGCCCCTCGGAACACCACCTCGTTCATCATCCGAGCCAAGAAGTCTGGCGGGATCGCGCCGCTCGTCTCACCGTGCCCCGTGACTCCTGCGATCCTGCCGACCCCTACCTTCTCCCCCTCGCGGGAGGTCCTGGTGGACATGGCCAAGGAGGAGTGGGGAGTCGACGGTTACGGGTCGATGAAGGGACTCATCAGGTTGCGTTCTCCCACGGGGAACGAGACGAGGGTGGATGACGACGACGACGGCGCTGCCGCCGCCGGCGACGAGGGATCAAGCGAGAGCGATGTGGAGGAGCACGTCGAGGTGGAGCGGCGCCTGGACCACGATCTCAGTAGGTTCGAGATGGTGTACCCCATCTTCGGCGAGGAGCACGGAGCGGCGGCGTATCTTCTAGAGAACAGGGTGGACGATCAGGACGCGCACATTGCTCAGCTGGAGGAGGAGAACCTGACGCTCAAGGAGCGGCTGTTCCTGATGGAGAGGGAGATGGGCGATCTCCGTCGAAGACTCCAGATTCTGGAGACGGAATGCAGAGGAACGGAGGAGGAGAACGAGAACGACGCCAACAACAACAACAACAATGGCAGCAACGAGATGAACCCGAACGAGGACGAGGAGGCGTCGGAGACCGAAGGCGGCGGCGACGTGTCCTCGGAGAAGAGCGTCGGAGATTGATCGACTGATTGATTGCCTGCTCCCTTTCCTTCCTTCCCCCACCTCCATGAAGGTATTATCTTCGGGAAAGAACCCACAATCTCTGGTTGTGTACAGAGGCCGTCGGTGCCTGGTTGTCTGCTATTTGCGGTAGGATTCTGAGATTGTCGATGACCAAGAACTCTGAAAAATAAGCTCTGGGCCTGATCAGTTTGATCATCCCGTCTACCTCGGCCAGTCGGGGAAGACGATCTTCCTTACGATCACGTCCCCGGCATGGGAAAACCGCAGTTCCTCCCCGAGCGCGGCCGTCCTCCCTTCATTATTCCGCAGAGCTCGTGTAAGTAATTAATGTTTTATATAATTAATGTTTTAATCTTAATATCAATTCGGCCTATTAGCTCAGTTGGTTAGAGCGTCGTGCTAATAACGCGAAGGTCGCAGGTTCGAGACCTGCATGGGCCAATAGCGGTGAGGATATTGCGCCGGTGATAATATGGGTTCCTTCACCGTCCTTTCGCCTGGCTGGGCGAATCGCATTGTCTGAGCTTTTTTCCCCCCTTTCCTTTTTTCTCTCTTTAGAAGAATCAAGGGGCTAGGAAGTGAGGTTCGTATACGGGCTCCGAAAAGTTACTTCTGTTTTGGTGCCATTAAGCCCATTAATATTTGATTGGGCCAGAAATAACTCTTTAGCGAGGTTGATGGGCTTTGTGGAGAAGTCAACGAGGCCCAAGATTATCTGCTTTAGCTCCCCTAAATGCGACGACTCTAAAAGAAAGCCAGCCATTGATGGCGGAGGGGGATCACCGGAGGACTAAGTGCCACGTGGTGTACACGTCAGCTGGTCTTCATGGGAAGCCCACCCCCGCCATGGGGACACACGGGCGGGAGTCAACGGTCCGGACGTCCGAGTCGGCGGCGAAGGGGAGGGACAGGAGCGACCGGCGGCTGAGGAGACGAGAATCTATCTGCACTGGTTCATTTTATGCCCTCCATCCGAAGGCACCAATCCTCCTCCTCCTCTGGGGAAGCCCGAGCTCAGAGAGACGGTGGTCACGACGGGAGGAGAGCAGGAGAGAAAGAGAAAGCTTTTCCCCTTCTCCGTCTCGTTCTGATTTTGCACCATTAATCTCAGGTCCAAGAACAGAGAAAGAGGATCAGGAGGAGGGGAGGCTGAAATGGTCCCGCCGAAGGCGTCGTGAGGGCTGCTGCCAACTGGGTCCCCTCCCAATTTCCATCCCCATATCTCTTCCGGCTCCGCTAGGGCCGCCCTGTCTCTCTCTCTCTCTCTCTCTAGAAAATTTGCCTTTGCTTTGTCCAATCTGCGCCTAGAGAGAGAGAGCAGATTCCTCTGCCTCACGCTCTCGCCAGCGGAGGCCGATTTGACGGAGCAAGGGAGGGGAAGGAAGCCCACGGGCCGGGGGAAGAGAAGGAGGGGGGGGGCGGGGGGTGTTCCTTGCTTGGGTATTAAGAAAGCCTCAAGATTGCCGACCGGATTTCTCCGGCCGATCGATGCGCCTTTCCCCGTCCCTTTGATGGGCAACTCTTGCAGGGGGTCCTTCGGGAACAAGGGGTTTCTGGGTTACCCGGAACCCGCTGATCGTTCTTCCGCCGCCAGAAGCAGCAGCCGCCACCACCACTCCGATCTCAACTCCGCCAAATCCGACGACAGCAACCCGCCGCCGCCGCCGCCGCCGCCCAAGGAATCCCCCGCCGCCCCCGTGAGCTCCACCATGCGACGTGGGTTTGACCCCCAGACTAACTACGTTCTAGGGCACGCCACTCCCAATCTCCGGGACCTGTACACGCTCGGCCGGAAGCTGGGTCAGGGGCAGTTCGGCACCACCTATCTCTGCACGGAGATCTCCACGGGGATCGACTACGCCTGCAAGTCCATCTCCAAGCGGAAGCTGATCTGCAAGGAGGACGTGGATGATGTTCGCAGGGAGATCCAGATAATGCACCATCTCTCTGGCCATGAGCACGTCGTCTCCATCAAGGGCGCCTACGAGGACTCCCTCTACGTCCACATCGTCATGGAGCTATGCGCAGGCGGGGAACTCTTCGATCGGATTGTTGAGAGGGGGCACTACAGCGAGAGGAAGGCGGCGGAGCTGATCAGGATCATCGTCCGGGTCGTGGAGGCCTGTCACTCCCTCGGCGTCATGCACAGAGATCTCAAGCCGGAGAATTTCTTGCTCGCGAACAAGGACGACGACTCCTCCCTCAAGGCCATCGATTTCGGACTCTCCGTATTCTTCAAGCCCGGTAAGGTCGGCGGGATTCCGGCAACTGGGTCTTCTTCTGATCGCTTCTTTGACGTGAATCCTAGACGCTCTCTTTCTTTTCATATCAGAGAGTGGTTTTTCGCCGGAGATTGTGAGGACGAGAAAGAGAGCGTCCTCACAATCTCCGGCGAAAAACCACTCTCTGATGTGAAAAATCTGTTCTTCCACTTAACCACTTCTCCAAAGCTCTCTATAAAACCGACCCATCGCATTAATCTGTTTTTCCTTTTCTGGGTTTCGCCGCGTTCGTCTCTGTCACTGCATTTGCATAGTTTTCTGTGATTATCAGGTCTTTGTCTCAAGGTATACCTCATCTCCTCAGCGTGGTTGCTTGAGCATCCATCAAAACTGACCATTCCTGCCCTCCTTGACGCCTCCAGGCCAGGTCTTCACAGAGGTGGTGGGGAGCCCGTACTACGTCGCTCCTGAGGTTCTCTTGAAGCACTACGGCCCCGAGGCAGACATATGGACGGCGGGAGTGATACTCTACATACTCCTGTGTGGTGTTCCCCCCTTCTGGGCAGGCATGATCTCCATGATTTTTCTGTCCAGAGGTTGATAAGATAGAAAAAAAAAAGGGGGTATAAATCTGCCATGGGCTGAATGCGATGTGGTTGACTTTTTCAGAGACCCAGCAGGGGATATTCGATGCGATCATCAAGGGGGTCATTGACTTTGCAACAGACCCATGGCCCCGAATCTCTGACAGTGCCAAGGATCTCATCAGGAGGATGCTCAGCTCTCATCCTGCTGATCGCCCGAATGCCCACGAAGTATTATGTAAGCTTGCTGGTGGACTCCGTCGGATGAGGATGGATGTTTCTTTCATTAATCATATTTAGACAGCTCCAGCACCGATGATTTGTCGCATTTCAAACCGACAGAGATGCATTAATCACTATTAATGATGGTCAAAGCCGAAAAATATCACCATATTAACTGCTGTGAGATGCGATTCCTTGCCTCTGTGATTCTTTTAGGTCACCCATGGATCTGCGAGCATGGAGTTGCTCCTGATCAGGCGCTGGATCCTGCTGTTCTCTCTCGACTCAAGCACTTCTCCGCTATGAACAAGCTGAAGAAGATGGCCCTGCGGGTGAGTATCCATCATTCTTATACATCTACATGCAAAATGATCACATCGGTGGTTGAATGGCAGTATAGTGGCATATCCCAAGGGCTTATTATTATTATTATTACTATGATTATCATCTTAATCAAGAAGGCTTCTGCAAGCTCAATTAGGCATAATTGTACAATTGAGGAAAGGGGTAGATCTTGTGAGATAATTATATAATTTTTTTGTGCTAGAGTAATTATGTTGATGGATGGAAAGCTCGTCCAGTGGGATTGTATTATCAGTAATGATCTTCTGGTTTTTGTGACTGACAGATTGGTAGAAAACTCTGAACCAAGCTAGCAAAATTACATCAGCATCGAGAGAAAAAATCATCTAAATATACGCTTAAATGTTTCAACAGTGAGTAATATTCTTCAAAAGTGTTGCCTCCAGGAGAACTGCTCATGGCCTCTTACAGAGCTTTGAATAGAAATGGGAAGAGGAAGCTGGGGAGGATGGGAAAACTGAATTGAAGAAGCAGGGTGTCTTGTTCTATTAGCAAGCTTTAGCTGTGTTTCTGTCACCCTCTTCTCAGCTCCTTCCCTAGTAGCCTTGGTCACTGGAGATCTCTCTCCCTACCTTGACCAGGTGATCGCCGAGAGTCTCTCAGAGGAGGAGATTGCAGGCTTGAGGGAGATGTTCACATCCATGGACACCGACAACAGTGGGGCGATCACCTTTGACGAGCTCAAAGCCGGTCTAAAGAGATACGGGTCAACTATGAAGGAGTCCGAGATCCGGGACCTCATGGATGCAGTAAGTCAACCTCCTCATGGATGCTCTCCTCTTCTCATACATGGATGGCCGCTTAGAACCGGGACATGGGTCTGCCCAATTCCCTATTTCTAGCAGAGCCGTGGCTGTCGGGGCCCGTTGGGCCAATGATTTATCTCTGGGTTTTCTAATTTTCGGGCCAAGGATGGTTGCCCCGCCCGTTGGCAAAAACCCCTGCTTGGAACCTGATCTGCTCGTGCATTGTGACGGCCACTGTGGATTCAGTGTGATGTGGACAACAGCGGCACCATTGACTATGGGGAGTTCATCGCCGCCACTCTTCACCTCAACAAACTGGAGAGGGAGGAGCATCTGGTGGCGGCATTCTCATACTTTGACAAGGACGGCAGCGGCTACATCACCGTCGACGAGCTTCAACAGGCCTGCAAGGAGCACAACATGACCGACTTCCCCATCGAGGACATCATCAAAGAAGTGGATCAAGACAATGTAAGTATGGAAGGATTTTGCCCAGGTAGCCCCAATGGTGGGATTGGGCCCTTGTGGGTCCATGTTCCAGAGTGGGCGCCCCGTTTTAACTCTCTCTCTAAAAAAAATGGGATTTTGATCTTGTTGGTTCGTGTTTCAGGACGGTCGGATCGACTATGGGGAGTTTGTGGCGATGATGCAGAAGGGGAACATGGGGCTCGGCAGGAGAACAATGAGGAACAGTCTCAACGTGAGCATGAGGGATTCCCTTGCTAGGTCATGAGATCTTTGAGCCATGTTTTGTAGATTCCTTTTCAAAATTTCCTACCTTGTACTGCACAAGACTGAAACTAGGGTTCTTCGAACATCTCCATGACTCGGTACCATTTCTGGGGAAAAAGCAGAGGAAATTCATGATTTCGGATGACCTTCATAACTCTGTGTCTTAACCAGACAAACGAAACCCAGGAATTGATCGTTAGGGCAGTCCCACGTCTGAAGAAGGCTCGTGGACCTGGGTTGGGTTACATGGGGTCCCCGCTGTAAACCCATTAAAAAGAATGGAGGGCAGGTGGGGATAAGGTGTGGGGCTGCTCTCGCATCAGAGTTCCTTTGAGTAAGCGAGGTGGGCTTTTGGGGGGTAAAGGGAGGTCAAAAACTCAGGCCCGCCATGGTGGGGTACAGCAGAAGGGATAATGATACATTGCCATCGTGGGCTTGTCGGGCCAGTGATTGGAAAAGCTGGGGGCGGTTAGGGTTCTAAGGTTTTAGGTATTCCACGTCTGAAGATGATGAATTCCACAGCAAGATAACTTTATTAATGTGGAGATAATGGAAAGCTCGAATCTTCCATCCCATCTGCCCAGACAGCGGCGTCGGTGGCGTTCTGTATATAGCATATTGTCTGGTTGATGACGATTACAAGTTGCATATCCTTCTGTAAAGTATTGACTTACCACAACAAGTAAACATTTGCGAAAAAGGCAGATTTTTTTACGGTGAGACTGATGGGACTAAACGTCCTTGGGAATTTCAGCTTCACGCCCGACAGCTATCTCCTGCAATAAGAAGGAATGATGATGGATTGCCACCAGGAAAGAAAAGAGCAATAATTTAAATGATTTTTTGTGCATATTGGAAATACCCATGATAAATAATCTATAAATGGAAATACTGGGAAGATCCTACAAAATTTGGCGCCTTACAAAGTCCACATAAAGAGAAAGGAAATTCTCATTTAATCCTCTAAGTCAATGCTGGGTCAAACTGTGGAGAAAAATTGATTGAGATCCTATGCGTACGATTTAATAAAATGTCAAGGCAATGACACCCAATTCCCAGGTTTCTTCTGGGTCTTACCGTCTGTTATTTTTGTGATAAATATATATTATATGGATTCACGAAATATTTTTGGGGGGATCAAAGGTGTGCTTTTATGAGATTTTATTTTATTTTTTATTTTTTTTGTTACAGTCTGGAATCTCAAAAGCTTTTGCATGCCAACAAATTGAAACAAGAATTTCACTTGAAAAAACAGTACAGGTCACAGCAGCGATAATTTTACAACTTACCTTCAAATTTCCGTCCTTGAGGAACACGCATCTGGATGTGATAGATTGCCCTTGATCGATCAGCCATCCAGCTTCCACCCAACTCTCAGCATCTTCTTTCTTTCCTATTGAAGACCATAGTTTCTTCGGGAGTGTTACAAGGCCTTCTTGACCCCTGACCAGCTTCTGTCTCCTTTCACCAGCAAGCTCTCGGATGGCATTCTAGTGAAAATATAATTAATCAAAACAGAGAAAAATTAGAGCAAGTTCATCATCTACCGCCAGGCACATTGACCTCATCCTCTCTCGTGCTCACTCCAGCCTTCCATGTGCAAAGAGAGCTACGGTTGAGTTCACAGTATCACAAAATAATTCGGCACCATGTTCAAATGAAACAATTATGCCCTGAAGTGACTGCCTTTGTGAATTGCTACATGCTGAAGCTAAAATTTCATATGCAATTGGATTCCTGAGTATAAAAATGATGGACCTCCTAGGATATGAGATGAAAGCATAGATACTCACTGTTTGGGGATCGGTGAAGGTGGCGGCAACACAAGCACTCTGCCATGTACCCAGGACTTCAGACTCTTCCATGGCAACAGTGGATGCGAACCCAGATTCACGAATCGCGCATCCGCCAAGCTGTTCGCCATTTCGGAAGGGACCATACCATTGTTCGGAAAATACATTTATCTTTTTAATACTCAACACCATCTGCTCCATCTTGATGCTTTGGATTATCCTAATGCGAACTTCGTGATTCTTAGGATGAACGAGGCAATGCTCTATCTCGAACGATCTGCCGTCAGTGTGCTCCTTGATGGCCCAGACGGCCACATAGCTTCCAGTTTGATCATATGCAAAGGCAGCTAACTTAGCATCAGATCCCTGAACTATCTTCTCCTCAACAGTGTACCTCGTTGCAGCATCAGCTTCACATCCTACCGTTGGGAGCAGCTTGATCAGCTTGTAGATGAGAGAAGGCTTCGCCGTTTCTGCAAGTGTTGGGCACTGAGTTTGCCAATCGAAGATTTGAACCCCCCATTCCCTGAATGCCTCAGGGACGACGTTTTCAGGGAGCTCGACGGGCTCCCCTCTGCTGCTGAATTCTGCCCCGTATCCGTCCCATTCACCAGATACACGGGTTGCAAACTCGCCCCATTCTGAGCACAACAAAAAACACCATCTGATTAGGTTATAACCGCGGCACGGCTAAGCAACGAAAATCACATGAACTAGTTTTTGTGGAGGCACGGCTCAACGTCGTAAATTAGCACTATCCCCAAATGATCGGGGAAGTCGACAGGCCATCGAATTGCGGTTTATCAGTTCCAGACAGGAAATCTAAGCATGCTCCCTCGCATACAGTACAGCGGATTGCCCTAACATGCTCCTGAGGAGAATCGCAGAAACAAACAAAGAAACAGGAGCGGGAAATCTTGCAAGAGCGGAAACTAACTGGGGTAGAGTTGCAGAGTTTCATTCTCCTCCTGAACCTGCTGGACGCCGCCAACAGTGGCACTCGTGATGGAAGAGGTGGCGAGCATCCTCCGCGTCGGACGGCGGACATCCCGCGGTGCCGGCGCCCGCAATTGCAGAGGTCGGTCATGCGCGCTCATCAGAGAATCCACACCGGAGAGGGAGCAACGAACGAGGGGGATCAGCTTTGAGCGTCGAGCGAGGGGGTTGAGAGAGAGGTGCTCCATCTCCAGTTCCTCCTTCTTCCTCCCTCCCTCTTCCCCTCCACCGCGCCCTGTAGATTCCCCACGCTCACCCTCGAGCACTTCCTCTGTCTTTCTCTCTCACACACACAATGGATACGGTTTTTTCTCCGCTGCCCCCGGAAAATCCACGTTAATTTAACTCTTTTTCTGGAATAATTATCAATAAACACATATTGACTCCCTTTAAAAATTTTAACAAACATAAAAAATTCTGATTTAACATTTTATTATATATAATTGTTTTTATTCTAATACGCTAAAAAAAAATTATTTCTGTGAAACCATTTGTGGGTAGTTCTGAACGTGAGTCATTCTTGGGCTCACTCACGGTGACGGGACTCATGGAATAAAAAATCCGATTTAATATTTTATAAATCTAATTAAATACCATAAAAAATTAAAATCTTTTTTATTCGAGTTTTAAGCTGATTTTTTGTATTTTCTTGAAACCCCATCTAAATTAAAAGGTCACCCAGAAAACCCCTTTAGAGGGATAACAAGCATTTGTGGGAGGTCTGAGCGGGAGTGCAACATTCTTGAGCTCACTGTCGGTGACGGAACTCGTAGTATTAAAACGACCCTCAACCCTAGATTCTCGAGTCCCGTCATCTTCCCGGTGATCTCCGGACGCAGACCTCGGACGCCAGCGACCATGGATATCGCCGCCATTGAAGATGGTTTTCCGGCCGACCGGCTGTTTGGACGCGGCTACTCCTACACCTACGACGACGTCATCTTCCTCCCTCACTACATCGACTTTCCGGCGGACGCCGTCGACCTCTCGACCCAGCTTTCCCGGAACATCCGCCTCTCCGTCCCGTGCGTTGCCTCCCCCATGGACACCGTCACCGAGGCATCCATGGCCGTCTCCATGGCCGCGCTTGGCGGCGTCGGGATTGTCCACTACAACAACACCTCCGCTGAGCAGGCCACCATTATCCGCTCTGTGAAATCCCGCCGCATCCCCTTCGTCACCGATCCCGTCATCATGGGGCCGTCTGATCGGATACTAACGGCGGATGAGTTCGGCTCCGCGCCTTGCGTGCTCGTCACCGAGTCGGGATCGGCGAAGTCGAAGCCAGTTGGTGTTGTGTGGAGTGCCGACTGGTGGAACAGGACAGACAGGGACGCCCCACTGTCCTCGTACATGGTGGGGCTCGCGGCCTCCGCCCCGTCGAGCTATGATTTAGAGCAGGTTGCAGCTTCTCTGGGGCTAAATGGTGGCAAATGCGTGCCGACGGTGTCTGAGGAGTTGGGGGAGGTCGTAGACTTGGTAACGGAGGCGGATGTTGAGAGGATCAGGGCTTTGCCTAAGCTTGGCGTGCCGTCGTTCGGATCTGATGGGAGATTTCTGGTCGGCGCGGCGATGGGAACGAGGGAACAAGATAAGGAGAGGCTAGAGCATCTTGTGAGAGCGGGGGCAAACGTGGTGATCCTGGACAGCTCACAGGGAAACTCAATTTATCAGATCGAGATGATTAAGTATGTGAAAAGCACTTACCCGGACTTGGACGTGATAGGGGGCAACGTGGTCACTGCGTATCAGGCACAGAATCTGATCCAGGCTGGGGCAGATGGGCTGAGGGTGGGAATGGGCTCAGGTTCAATATGCACAACGCAGGAGGTTTGTGCAGTTGGGAGAGGGCAGGTACCTTCAAAGTTTTCTTCATTTATCTCAGTTTCCTTCAAATTGAGTTGTGTTTTGCTAATCGATAATCTTCATTTCTATGTTATTATTTTGGATCCTTAACCAGCTGAGATTTTTTTCGTGAGCATCTCTCCATTTGTTGCTGGGGAATTGTTTACGATAACATGTGAAACGACTGCCGTGGTCCACGTTGATTTGTAAAACTAAGAAACTATATGGGATAGAAAATAACATGGGAATCTGCTTGCAGAATAATAAACTGATGGCTGACGTATTAATGCTAGAATACACATGTTTTCGTGTCATAATAATTGAAGCCATTTGCTGTTATTCGTGGGTCCCCTAACCGTGCATAGTACTTGGATAGATTTGGAATCCATTTTGAGGCTCTGCTTGCATAGTTGTACATGTTTCTATTCCTCCTCCAGTTCGTACTTTCAGAGCATTTTTATTTGTTTATTTAGAATCCTGTGAAACATGGAATAAGCTGTTGACCAGGTCTGCCTATGATAAAACGATGTGGATGACAGGGCCTAGGACTTCAAAGATATGCACATTCAATCAGAGAAAAAACGAATGAGATGCATAGCAAAAGGTGTTATTAGTCGAAGAAGAAGCTTTATTAGTCTGGGGTTTAGGACAACAGGTTTCTTCGATCAATTATACGAATACTAGTAATGCGGTTTTGATCCTTGTAAAATGGGATTAATATTTATTGATCTTTTTGTGACCAGTAAGGAATGGGCCCCCTTCCCCCATTCCGCAACCAAATAAATTCATTATGGATTTCCAGAAAAAAGGGATTTTATCTGATAAGAGAAAAGACCGTCTGTTGATGCACTTAAGATAGAAGGCTGGCAAGTGTACCTGCACCTACTCTTCTTCTTTTCTGCCTGCCTCAGAAGAAGCCGCATTTTCCAATTCAATTTTTACTTTTTACGGATAGAAATCAATGTAATTGTCCGTTACAGTGACAAGTTATTTTTATTCCACATTGAGATGGGGGGATCCGGCATTATTCATCGGTTCAAATCCGATAAAGGGCTTTTTCACCCAAACTTTAATCTTCATTTTTCAGCTGAGAGGTGAATAGAGAGATCTTGTTGATTTTTGTCACCATATCTTGTGTTTAATTTCTTCTGGGACAATAACAAGAAATTTTTGGATTATAGATCTGCTACTAGAAATTCAATACGTAATTTCAACATTCAAACCAAGAAGGTATTATTTCTTGCGTTTTGAATGATAAATCCGCTCATCAGTTTAGGACACAAATTTTCTGTATCCGATTTCATTATTTCTTTTTCCTTTCACAATCATTCGGTTGTACAGTGTTTTTTTATTTTTCTTTTGGTTTTCTCAATGTTCAGGGGTTCAGTGTTCTCATTCTATGCTCAGTATACAGATTTTCTGTTCATCATGTTCCGGGGTTCTTGAACTTCTCAAATGTGCATATAGGCGACGGCGGTGTACAAGGTTTCATCCATTGCTCAGCACAGCGGCGTGCCTGTTATTGCTGACGGCGGCATTTCAAACTCTGGACATATTGTCAAAGCTTTGGTGCTTGGGGCTTCTACCGTTATGATGGGCAGCTTCCTGGCTGGCAGCACCGAGGCCCCTGGAGTCTATGAGTATCGGGTAAGCTATCCATCCCTCTCTTGGGCTCTACCAGTATATGCTACACTTCTTTGCAACTCGTCACAAGTTCACCTTTTTGAGGTTGACTTCATGACACCTCTCTCTATAACTTTAGTCAACTTGGTTTTTTCCTTTTATAAGCCAAGCGGCGCAGCTGATCGTGCATAGGTTCAGCTTGGTCTAATTTCCTATTTTCATATTTTTTTTTATAAATGTAAAAAATAAATAAATCGTAGGATCACTCCTTCCCTCATCAAGATCAAACCTGTCTCTAGGAGGGAGAAAAAAAACCCATATCATCATTTTGCATGCAACTAGATTATTATTCCTTGATCGGATATTAATTATCCGTCATCAAGGTCAGACATCTCTATAGAAAAAAAGAATAAATAAAGAAAGAAAATCCCATACCACCATTCTGCTTGCAACTAGATTATTATTCCTTAATCGGGCATTAATTACCCGATGACTTAGCTCCTTATTCCCTCGCTGATCGTTTTATCAGGATGGCCGGAAGGTGAAGAAGTACAGAGGCATGGGCTCCCTGGAGGCCATGACCAAAGGGAGCGATGCGCGGTACCTGGGGGACACCCTGAAGCTGAAGATCGCTCAGGGGGTCGTCGGAGCCGTGGCCGACAAGGGCTCCGTCCTCAAGTTCATCCCCTACACCATGCAAGCCGTGAAGCAGGGCTTCCAGGACCTTGGCGCTTCCTCTCTCCCTTCCGCCCACAGCCTTCTGAGGAACCAGGTTCTGAGATTGGAGGTAAGCCGAAGAAGATCAGGTCCCCTCGTGTCCCTTCCGTTCTCGCCCTGCTCTGAGCCATGGGTTCCCCCCTGTTTTTGGCTTCCAGGTCCGGACTGGGGCCGCCCAGGTCGAAGGTGGAGTTCACGGCCTGGTGTCGTACGAGAAGAAGGCCTTCTGAGCTCGTCTGACCGAGGCTGCTCTTGGTCCATGTTAACCGGGCTGTCTCTCGGTACTCTTTTATTTAATAATCCATCATTTTCTGATATTTCGATGATGCCGTTTCTCTCACTGAGTTGAGTATTGCTCTGTTTCTCTCTCTCTCTCCTCGCTCTCCGATTCTGAGTCATACAGGTAAGCACGCCTCTGGCTATTGGATCCGGATCTAGGGGGGGAGAGAGAGAGATGTTGTGGGATCACGTGGACTGATCAGAGAGCAAGCATCGAAACAACGAAATTCCACCTGTTTCCATGATTTGACGGATATTCCGAAGTTGCATTAAATGAATAAATAAATCGGCAGTGACACGGCGCGCCACGTGGCCATCGTTTTAACACCATGCCTCTCCCCATGCATATCGCGAGGATGATGATCATACGAATTACGTGCTGATCATCCGACGCGTCCTCCGAACCAGACAAGCCGCCCATTCATCCTCCCCCGCCCGAATAGTATCCGATCGACCTACGAGCTTAAACTCAACCCGGATAAAACACCGCCATTCATCTAGCGAGAGAGAGAGAGAGAGAGACAGAGAGACAGAGGAGGTTGATGGGTGATAAATAGGCAACGACAGAGAGGAAAAACCATTGTTTATTTATGCGAAGGGGGAAGAAAAAGGGTCTGGGATTAGCAACTTGATGCTCGATCCAAAATTGGAAGGTTTGTACCTTTCTTTCCTACAAAAAAAATCTGATTTTTTTACGAGCGAGTCTTCCAAAGTGGTACGTTTGATCATTAAAAAACCCGTTTTTTGGAGAAGAATAATGACGATCTGGAGATGTTTATTATGATGATTTTATTGCATTTAATCGATAATATCATACTGTGCGGAGGAGGAAGGTAACGAGAAGGATGAGGCGATGGCGGCGGAGATATCGCCCTACCTTCTTCCCCGCGTTTCCAGCCTTCTCTCTGTCACTTCCTGCCCATATATCACCTCTCTCTCTCTCTCTCTCTCTCTCTCTCCCTCCCTCCCTCCCTCTCTACGTGGAATTGATGTTTCTGTCCATGCGCAGGAGAGATCCCTTCCCCTTCCCCATTTCTTTTATTGCTGGCCTTGATCCGTAGGCTAGGTTTCCCCTCTCCCATTTCTGCTCCGAGAGTTGGAACCTCTGAACGGCGGTCACGGAGGGAAGCGAGCCCCTCTGCGGAGCCCCTCTGGACGATTTCCATGGCCGTTTGATCGCCCGAGGTAGATACGGGTCTTCTTCCTCGATTGATCAATCCCTTCTGGGCGACGCTCCCTCTCGATCGGGCTCTTCCCCAGATGGGAATGGAGCGACGATTTCTCGATTAGTTGTACTTCTCCGGGAACTGCTCCGGGTCTCCACTAAAACCCGCGGGCTTACGCGAGGTCGTTCCGGAGGAAGCTTTTCCTCCATGAAATTCCATGCTCAGATCCCTCTGGGCTTCTTCCTCCTCTGAACACCCCTCCCTCCCTCCCCGCTTCCTTGCAGAGAGAAAGAGAGAGAAAGAGAGAGAGAGAGAGAGAGAGAGAGAGAGAGAGAGAGAGAGAGCGAGAGAGACGACACAGAAGAGAGAGAAGAGGGGGAGGGGGAAGAGCCATGGAGGGGGGGCCGATCAGGGCCGTTGTTTTGCTCCACTTGGTTTATATTTTTTGTTGGGCCAGTTTGTCCGCATATGGTAAACAATCCACCGCCTGGTGATGTGTTTTTCGATCGCCACGATGGGCTTCGCGGTGACGATCGCAGGCGTGGGGCGGCGGCGGCAGCAGCAGCTTTGCGCCCTAGTCTCTGCCCTGCAACAGCTCCTCCTGATCTTCCCTTCTCTCTTTCTCTCTCTTGTTCTTCCTCACTCAACCGCCTGAGTGAACCTCCTTGTCGATTTATCGGGCGCTCGTGCTGGTTTCCCCCGAGGAATTGACGAGTTCATTCGCGAGCTCATCCTTCTCTCTCTGCTCTGGCTTTGATCCCGTCCTCAGGTCTGGTAGATTTCGACCGGCGCGGGGCTGCACGATGAACGGCGCTCTTCTGGTCGCCTTCGCCGCTTCCATCGGGAACTTCCTTCAGGGATGGGACAATGCCACCATCGCCGGTAATGACTGCGATCTATGCTCCTTTCTCGACCATCTCCAGTGGCGTTTTCTCCCGCTCTGAATTCAAACCCCTCGGCGACTGTTCCCTCCTCTTCCAGTGGCCGTTCTTTACATCAAAAGAGAGTTCAGTCTGCAGAGCCAGCCGACGATGGAGGGGCTGATTGTCGCCATGTCCCTCGTCGGCGCCACCATCATCACCACATTCTCCGGCGCGGCATCAGACTGGCTCGGCCGGAGGCCGATGCTGATAATCTCCTCGATTCTCTACTTCGCCGGTAGCCTGGTGATGCTCTGGTCGCCGAGCGTCTATATCTTGCTCCTGGCGAGGCTTGTGGACGGGCTGGGGATCGGCCTCGCTGTAACCCTAGTTCCGATTTACATCTCCGAGACCTCGCCATCAGAGATCAGAGGATTCCTGAACACCTTCCCGCAGTTCAGCGGCTCCACCGGCATGTTTCTCTCTTACTGTATGGTGTTCGCGATGTCGCTGAGGGAGAATCCCAACTGGAGGCTGATGCTCGGCGTCCTGTCCATCCCCTCACTGCTCTACTTCCTGCTGGTGATCTTCTTCCTCCCGGAGTCCCCGAGGTGGCTGGTGAGCAAAGGCCGGATGCTCGAGGCCAAGCAGGTGCTGCAGAGATTACGAGCCAGGGAAGACGTCTCCGGTATCTCCAACTCCCATCCTCCTCCGCATCCAGCATTCAGATTCAGGTTCTCCATTTCTGCGTAATTGCAGGTCTGCCATATCAGCTTTTTCTTTTCTGCTGCATCTGCAGGGGAGATGGCGCTGTTGGTGGAGGGGTTGGGCGTGGGAGGGGAGACCTCCATTGAAGAGTACATCATAGGGCCGGGGGCGGAGCTCGCCGGCGAGGAGGCGGCGGCGGGAGGGAAGGAGCAGATGACGCTGTACGGCCCCGAGGAGGGACTCTCCTGGGTGGCCCGCCCCATCGCCGGGCAGAGCGTCCTGGGCATGGTGTCCCGCCATGGCAGCATAGCAAGCCAGGGTGCGTCGTCCTTCGTGGATCCTCTGGTCACGCTCTTTGGGAGCGTCCACGAGAGGCTGCCAGAGATGGGGAGCATGAGGAGTACCCTCTTCCCCAACTTCGGCAGCATGTTCAGCGTGGCGGAGCAACACCCGAAGGCGGCAGCGGACCAGTGGGACGAGGAGAGCTTGCAGAGGGAAGGGGAGGACTACCCCTCCGACGGCGACGGCGCTGGCGACGGCGACTTTGAGGACCCCCTGAGGAGCCCGCTGCTCTCCAGGCAGACCACCACCATGGAAGGCAAGGACCTGGGCCTAGCGCCAGCGAGCGTCTCCGGCGTGCTCGGCATGAGAAGGCGCAGCAGCCTCCTGCACGGCGGCGGCGGCGGCGATGGGGAAGAGGCGGTGGGCAGCGCCGGCATCGGCGGCGGCTGGCAGCTCGCGTGGCAGTGGGCGGAGAGGGAAGGCGTCGACGGCAAAAAGGAAGGAGGGTTCAAAAGGATCTACCTCCACCAGGAGGACTATCAGACCTCTCGCAGGGGCTCCGTCGTTTCCATTCCGGGCGTTGACCTTCCCGCCGACGGAGAGTTCATCCAGGCCGCCGCTCTGGTCAGCCAGCCCGCTCTCTACTCCCAGAAGCTCCTCGACGAGCATCCCGTCGGCCCGGCCATGGTCCACCCTTCGGAGACGGCCGCGAAGGGCCCCATGTGGAAGGATCTCTTCGAAGCAGGGGTCAGACACGCGCTGTTCGTCGGGATCGGCATTCAGATTCTTCAGCAGGTGAAAACTTCTTTTCATCTCCAACTAACTCGGGATTTTTAGTCGTCTGCTGCTCCGTTCACCTTGAGTTTATATGCAGCAGTCTGTTTAATATTCGTTGACTTTCCGTGAATCCCATCCATTTTCGTCGCAGTTGGCGAAGAAAGGTGTCTGCTTTTTGTTAAGTAATCTTCTCTTTTTGCCGGGTGTATCTGAAACAAAAAGGCTTTTTGTTTACTTCTGGGCGTAGCAGACACTTTTTCCCTTTTGGGTCCTTTTAGCGCCCGCATTTGCGGCTGAAGCGCTGACTTTTGATGAGCTCTTTCTTCTCCCTGGCCGGCGCAGTTCGCCGGCATAAACGGGGTCCTGTACTACACCCCGCAGATCCTGGAGCAGGCGGGCGTTGAAGTCCTCTTCTCCAACCTGGGCATCGGCTCCGACGCCGCCTCCATCCTCATCAGCGCCCTCACCACGCTCCTCATGCTCCCCTGCATCGGTGTCGCCATGAGGCTCATGGACATCGCCGGCCGACGGCAAGCCCTCTTCCTCCTTCCTCCTCCTTCCTCCTCCTTCCTACTCCTCTCTCCTCCTTCCTCCGCAAAACCCTAATCATCTGTGGGGCTTGTGGCTGGGTGTTGGGTGCCGCAGGCGGCTGCTACTGTCGACGATCCCGGTGCTGATCGCGTCGCTGGTGGTGCTGGTGTTGGCGAACGTGCTGAGCATGGGGACGGTCCCCCACGCCGTGTTGTCCACAGTGAGCGTCGTGGTCTACTTCTGCTGCTTCGTGATGGGGTTCGGACCGATCCCCAACATCCTCTGCGCCGAGATCTTCCCGACGAGGGTGCGAGGAGTCTGCATCGCCATCTGCTCGCTCACCTTCTGGGTCGGCGACATCATCGTCACCTACTCGCTGCCGGTGATGCTCAACTCCGTCGGCCTCGCCGGCGTCTTCGGCATCTATGCCATCGTCTGCGCCGCCGCCTTCGTCTTCGTCTTCCTCAAAGTCCCCGAGACCAAGGGCATGCCGCTCGAGGTCATCATCGAGTTCTTCTCCGTCGGCGCCAGGGCTGCGAGGAGCTGATCCTCTCCGGCTCTCCGGTGGCGGAGGAGCTTCACTGAGAAACCCTAGGAGGATGACAACCATGCAAGCTCCTCTAGTTCAGTACCGTAAGCAAGGAACTTACAATCTTCAAATGCTTCTTCCAGTTTTGCTACATTTAATTTCTGTTCTTTCCTCGCTGGGTGCCATCTCTCTCTCCCTCTCTCCCTCTCTCTCTCTCTCTCTCTCTCTCTCTCTCTCTCTCTCTCTCTCTCTCTCACTTCCGCTCTCTCCCTCTATCTCTCTCTCTACAACTCTCACTCCCTCTCTCTCGCTATCTCTGTTACTCTCTCTCTTTCTTTATCTCTCTCACTTCTCGCTCTTTCTATCTCTCTCTACCACTCTCTCTCCCTCTCTCATTGTTCTCTCTTACTCTCTCTCTCTAGCTTTCTTACTCTCTCATTTTTTATCCCTTTCTAGCTTTCTTACTCTCTCTCCCATTCTTTCTCTCTCGCTCTCTTCGGTTTGTCTATGTTTGGAGGGCCGGGCCCGGGCTTCGTGCGGATCTAGCCCGGGGTCTATTTTTCCTAACCCGCTGAGTTATATTATATTATATTATATTATTTATATCTGATGATGCGGCCTTTCTATCTAAATTTTAGCCTGACTTAAAACCCTGGACTTCAAGTTTCTTAGGTCGTGGGAAGAAGCCCAACCGGCGCATTATTAATTGTTTCGGGCCAACAAACCCCGGACCAAGCCCGGAATTGGTGGGAGGAAAGAGATGGAATTGGGGCTGGACGTGTTTTTCAGCCTCTTGTTATGGGTCCCAACACGGGCTTGCGATTGTATGGATAATGGGCCGAAACGGCCCAACCCATTTTTTGGGCTGAGGTGATTGTGGCCCAGGCCTGATGAAACAAACATCAGACCGGAGCTGAGAATCCGCACAATACTTTATTATTCTATTTATTTTATAAAAAAGACCAAACGAACGGGATTTATTAATTAAATCCATACTATAATAATCATGCTCGAGAATTACCATTTATTTACAAAAATAAACCATTGAAGCTGTGGGTATATTATATATATATTAAAAATAAATAAATGAAATTTAAGCGAGCATAATATCCATAAATAGGAGGAAAAAACTGTTTTTTTTCCTGTAAAATGGTCAAGAGACACTCGAGAGTATGTACATGTCCTCTGGCGATTTCCCCCAAAATCCCCGCATCGATGAAGACGAGCAAGATCCAAAGGTTTACGCACTCAGCAGTTCCTGGACAGAGAAGAGGGCGAGCCGGGGGTTGGTCCGGAGGCGCACTTGCTGGATCCGCCGGCGGCGGCGCTCGAGCCGTCCCCCAGGTGGCGGCGGCAGGAAGGGCAGGAGGAGTGAGCCGCCAGCCACAGGTCGACGCAGGCGACGTGGAAGCTATGGCCGCACTGCGGGAGGACCCGGATCTCGTCTTCCTCGAGGAACTCGGCCAAGCAGATGGGGCAGTCAAGGGAGGCGGCACCGCAACCGGGGCGGAAGGGCAGCCTGGGGAGGGACCGCAGGACCTCCTTCTTCAGGCCCTCCTTCCTCGGCGGCGACGACGACGACGGGGCCGCCACGCCGGGGAAGCGGCGCAGCCAGGCACAGCGCGCGACGAGGGCCAGACCCACCACGCAGATCAGCGCGCTGAGCAGCGCGGCGAGAATAACGACGACGTTGGAGTCCACCGGCGGCGCCATCGCCTGCGCCGGAGCCTGTAGCAACTTCCTCGTGTCCTGCATTGAAGCAGACGATGAATAGATAGAGATGGATCTAGAGAGAGAGAGAGAGAGAGAGAGAGAGGGGTGTCCTCTTGAGAGTGCGGTGGGTTAATATAGGGGACGGAAAAGGGAAGATATTTTTCCACCGGCTTTTCCTCGGGGAGGGCGCCGGGACTGTATTGCTGCGGGGGGGGGGAGACGACGTGTTGCCAGCGGGGCTTATGTGGGGGAGGGGGGGAGGGGGCTAAGAAATATCACGGCGCGGTACCGGCTGTAGCAAATCCGTCGGTCGGAAGAAGGGGACAAGCTCACGTGGAGAAGGGTCCCGCTGACGGCGACGGGCCGGAGCGCACGCCGGCGTTATCGCTTTCGTTCCGTCCCGAGACTCTTCCTTGTCCAAAGATTTGGTGCTCCCTTCCCACCAGTCGAGTCGAGCTTTCCACCGTACATTTCCATCGTACAGTTTGGCCAGGCCAAATAAGACCCTGATAATTATTTATTTCAGCCTTCACGTTAATAAAAATAACTAAGTTTTTTAATAAAATGTCTATATTGCAATAAAATGTGGTGACGAAAATAGAAAATGACCCACATTAAGGTAAACAGCCATAAGCGTTAATTGTTTTATTTTTTCCTTTTTTGGAAAGAACATGATGCCATAAGTATGTTGGGCATGAAACCCATGGAGATGCATGTTGGCATGACGCAGCATGCATAGACATGCGTGTCGACATGATGTGGCACAATGAAGCACAGATAGAGGTGCACACTGGCATATTATGGCATGGCATGCGCATCATGAGAGCTGAGGCACACAGCAACATGACACAACCCATGCACACGTGGAGCACACATCATAACTAGGGAATACTTGGGCGTTGCAGGTATGAATGTGCACATAATGTGGCATGTGCAACATGGGCATGAAGTGGGAGTTGACTTGGGGTGACGGTTGCACCAACCACATATTTGACCAACACCACCTCATGAGTAACCAAGGTGGGCATCAAGATGGTTACTAGGGTTAGACAATGTACGTAACATGGTCTTAGAAAGAGAATTTTCCGAGCAATGGTTGAGGCTGGCATGAAGGGGTGGAAGCGTATAGGCTTACGGGAGTCCTCATGGCAACTGGGCGGACTTCTTGCGAGTATGAGATCAGAGTTTTTGGGTGCTATGAGAAGATGGGGGAGAAGACCAGATTGATTCAGCAGAAAAAGAGAGAAATTCGGCCGTTAACACATAAAATGAGTAAAGAGAAGATAATTCTAGATGGAATAATCACGAGAAGAAAAACACTTGCTTGTATCGTGATGAGGTAGATTATTCCGAAAGGTGGCCTCGTTTTAGTTGAGAGAGAGAGAGAGAGAGAGAGAGAGAGAGATGGTTCTTGTCTTAATTTAATTGATCAACATATGGGTTGGTCCGGGGGATTAATCAGGCGCCGCCCAATTCTCTGTACGTCCCCAATAAACAGAAGAGAAGGGAGAGAGAGAGAGAGAGAGAGAGAGAGAGAGAGAGAGAGAGAGAGAGAGAGAAAGTTCTTGTCTTAATTTAAATGGTCAGACTATGGGTTGGTCCAGGGTCTAGTCAACCCAGCCTAGTTCTCTGTACCCATCTAATAAAACAGAAGAGAGAGGAGGGAGAGGAGAAAGAGAGGGAGAGAGAGAGAGAGAGAGAGAGAGAGAGAGAGAGAGAGAGAGGAGGGAGGAGGGAGGAGGGAGAGACAGAGACAGAGAGAAAGAGATAGGGAAGGGGGGAGAGAGAGAGGGAGAGAGGGAGAATGGAGGAAAGGAGGGAGAGAGACAGAGACAGAGAAAGAGATAGGGAAGGGGAGAGAGAGGGAGAGAGAATGGAGGAAAGGAGGAAGAGACAGAGACAGAGAGAAAGAGATAGGGAAGGGGGGAGAGAGAGAGAGAGAGGGATGGAGGGAGGGAGAGAGAGAGGGATGGGAAAGGGGGAGAGAGAGAGGGAGGGACGGAGAGATAGAGATAGGGAAATGGGGAGAAAGAGAGAGAGAGGGACGGAGAGAGAGATAGGGAAAGGGGGGAAAGAGAGAGAGATAGGAAAAGGGGGGAGAGAGAGAGATAGGAAGGAGGGGAGAGAGAGAGAGATAGGAAAAGGGGGGAGAGAGAGAGATAGGAAGGAGGGGAGAGAGAGAGGGAGAGAGAGATAGGAAAGGGGGAGGGAGAGAGAGAGAGAGAAAGAGAGGGAAGGGGGGAAGCGAGAGAGAGATAGGGAAAGGGAGGGGAGAGAGATAGGGAAAGGGGGGGAGACAGAGAGAGAGGAAAGTGGGAGATAGGGAGAGAGAGAGAGAGGGAAGGTGGGGAGAGAGAGAGAGATAGGGAAAGAGGGGGAGACAGAGATAGGAAAGGGGAAGATAGGGGGAGAGAGAGAGAGAGGATGCCACACTAAGGCACCTCAACGAGAACGGGCAATACACAAAATGGCCTGCAAACGGGCTTTGGGCTGACGAAACACAGCCCAGCCCACACTGTCTAAATGTGAAAAATCACTTTCATCGTTCGTTGATAAGAATCACCCAGTCTCCGAATCTAAGAACTAATCGCCATCATACGACAAGTGAAAATGGAGTTGAAGACTGACTCCTGGTCAACGACCATGTTCCTGCCAGCATATCAGCTTCTCAAGTCAACTGTCTGCAGCCGGCCCAGAGCAGACAAGATCGTAGACCTTGTATTTGCTATTTCTATGATTGCCTCGAGCGCTGAGAGAAAAAAATATGGATCCATCAGAGAGAGAAGATCATACTATTTTGATGCATTAGTTGGATAACTCGTGGCGTTGACTTACAGGTCTCAAATGAACCTTGGGCAACACGAAGCTTTGGAGGAACCAAAGCTCCGAACATGGAGAGAGCCTTGGATCTCTTCTTCCGCACCTGCAGAACCCAAGGACGGGAGAAAAGAGAGCAATGAGCTGATATATCAGCGAAGAATGAAACAAGATTTGAAGGAAAAAAATGACCCAGGATATGGAATAAATTCTGTAAAGCTTCAACTCGAACAATTCAAAGATCTATGGTGAATATCTTCCCTACGCCTTAATTCAATTACTATTGATCGATGAACGACCCGATTCAGAAATGAACTGGAAGATGACCGCGCTTTTCTCTAATATTATTAAGTACAGACATCAATTACTAAATTTGGCAGAGAGAGAGAGAGAGAGAGAGAGAGAGAGAAATTTTACCTGATTGTCAGCAGCGACAGCAGGGTAAATAGTAGCTGAAATCCCCCCCTCATCTGAATCATCTGTCCTCGGTATTAGTCGATCTAGTCAACTCACAAAAACACTTAAAAACTGAGAAATTCACTTCAGTAATAGTAATCCGCAAATAGTTCTACCTGAACATGAACTAGCCTGGCTCGGCGTCTTCCCATCCACCTCCACGGAGGGACTCTTCTCATCTCCACGTGATCCCCATTTCAGAAGAGAAAAATGTGGTTGCGTTGCTTGATCCGCATCACTGGCTGTTCAGAAACAGCTTTCAATCGTTTAGTCATATCTTTCATTCGATCAAGAAGTGCCGCAAAATAATGTAGAAAAATCTCCCAGCATGTGGTACTGGCGAGTATTAATCACTGTGAGGGACATTCACCGGTAGACACAGTCAAATCTACAGTGGTAGCGGAGGAGTGTGGTTTCATGTCAAAGAGTACACTGGAGATGCGCGAGTTGCCCATAGAATGGCGAGCGCTGGAGAGTTCCAACCATCCCTGTAGAAAGAAATCCGCGAGGTAGAAATCATGTCCAGAGGGTATGCATAATGCAAGAAAACTCGGTGGAAGAATTCTATAGCTATTGTGCAGGAAATTTAAACATATAATTAAATGAGCAAACAATCATCGACTGAACAATCATTTTAGGAGCAAAATGATCGCTTGACGATGAGTTACCTCTCTCAATCTGGGAGGCAATTGGTGCATCCCATGTACCAATGGGACCAAGATAATAGTTAATCTGAGATGGGTTCCTGTCAATAAAGCCTAGAGAATCATTAAACCTAGGGAAGAAATGCCGTCAAATCTTCTGGTTAGAACATGTGAAATCTGCCTTGTTTCTTTGCTTTCAATCTTTTCGCCATTAAGGTACTACTTACTGCTCCTCTGTTTACGAGAACGATACTCCCCGATCCCCATCTCGGAGACGAATTTGCGAGATTGAAACAAAATTTACGAGGCGACTTCGAACAAGTATAATGATTCCGAACCAGTTTCTAAACGATCACGCGTAGATCGCCTCACGAGCTTCCACTCGATGAAGCGGCCCTTCTCTGGCCGTCTTTTTTGATCTTGAGATTATCTGAATGTACGCATAGCGACTGAGAACAAGAGAAAGAGCGCTTGCACGCCATGTTGGCATCGCACCTGACGAAGCGACGACGACAGGGAACCCATCAACGAGATGTAGCCGTCGAGGGAGTCGAGAAGCTGCAGGATGGCCCCGTCTTCCTCGCCTACCGCCTCGCCTCTCCCCTCGGTCCCAGCGGCAGCCGTGGTTCCCATCGCAGAAATCAAACCTTCACCCCTATATGCGCTGTGGAAGAGCTTCGCGCCGAAGAGGCAGGAGAAGCGCAGAGAGCATCAACAAGAGGCTGACGCTGCCCTCATGGAAGGGATCGACGCCGCTGGGGTGCCCTGATTCCTATAAGCATCGAGCTAATAACATCTTCCAAATTTTTATATTTCCAAAAAATCCAGATTTTTAAATGGTATCATTTAACCATTAGTCTAATCATTCTTATTCTCAAGATTTTATGTTCACTATTTGTTTGGACCGAAAGTTATTATCTCATTTGAATAACATACAAATTATGGCAGTTTATTTACAACAAAAAATTAACAAATGCTCATGTTTAATAATTTTCATAAATTGTGATTGCATATTTTTTCTCTGGGTTTAGATTTTTGCGGGCAAATTCTAAACCCAGAGAAACTAAGCATTGGGCACAATCAGTAGGACCTAGGTGACATTATAAAATAATCCCTAGAATGAGAAAATATTATAAGATAAACATTAAAAATAATATGGAAACTTAAAAACAAAAATATTTAGAGTTTAATCAAAAACCCTAGAACAAGAAAACGTGAATTAAATCATAGTTTTTTAATATGATTATTTATCTCCTTGACACTACCACAAATTTACCATCCCAATTTCTTGTTCACAATACTCTAATATTTCTTCCCTTCTATCAAATTTATTTTTAACATTGCTCTTTTCTCTAGGCGTTTGGGTGGTGTCTTTATCTTTTTTTCCCTAAGGAGTGTTATGCCCACCAAGGGTACATCATTACTCTCATACGTGAATGACATATTGTCCTCTAATAAATCATAGTTTATTGTCATTACATATGGTCTCATTTCAAATCTCATTGAATCAACACTTTTGATTTAATTGGTCAATGGTTGCACTTTTTAAATATTACTTATGATTTGACAATCAAATTAAGCTCTTTTTTTGATATTAAGGGAAGTGGTTGGCTACGATCACTTGGTCTTAATGTCTTTCTCACTTATAAAATAAGAAAGACTATGCAAATTGATATGGTGGTCGGAAGTTCTAATAGATAAATAATATGTCCAATCTTCTCAAGGATCCTATGAGGGCCAAAATAACTTTTTCATTTTTTTTTCTAGTGAGTGCATAGTAAAGTTTTAATTTCAAACTAAATTAACTCTCATTGTTCATATTGTATCATCATTCTTTTCAGATTGACTTGTCCTTATTTTGGATTGTGATCAAGCTAAATTATATTTTAATGAATTTAAAATGATGTCTCATTTATGTCATTAGTTTTTCACAAAGATGACCTTTACTTATGCCATATGAAATCAACATAATCAGAAGATCATTGTCACACACCACTTTAAATGAGATACTATTACTATAAATGTAGGTGATGTTGTACAAATATTTCATCTATGTTAATAATGTACTTAACTTTTTTAATACGTAAAAAAAACTAGTAGTTTTAGATTTTTAAATAATAATTGCTTATTTCAATTTTTCTCTATTTAAGATGACATGTCATACTGTGCTTAAATTTATTCTTGTTGAAAAGAAGAAGAGAAAACTCTATAATTGATATATTGAAGAAGAAGAGTACATGAAGTTATATAGAAGAATGAAAGAAAGAGAAAGATAAGGAGAAGTAAAGATTGTGGAGGAATAATAGGGACGTGGAGATAATAAGTCTAAAATAGGCCTAGTGGGCCTAGTGAACCTATTCTAATAGTTTTTGTAACTTAAAAAAGTTTAGGCTAAAAGATATTTAAGAACATCTTGTCATGAATTATCACCATTGATTTTGAAAATTTCATGTCACCTAATAATCTTTTGAATAGTTGTTAATATAATTTCTTTAGTTGTGTGAGAGTCTTAGAGGGATATAAAGTGTATATATATTTATTCTAATTGACAACCACTATATAAAATTATTGCAGTTTAACTAGACTATTCTTTTAATGAAACTTATGAAAAGGTTTTCTAAAATTTGGTTATAAATAGTTAGAGGCTAGAGAGTTATATTGGATATATGGTTCTAACTTTACTATGTTGACATATTGCATACTCTATCACATATTTCTTAATCCTTTATTTCATTATGTTGTAGTGGATGTTTTGGGTTAAACATTTTTAAGTAACTTATAACAGTATTCTTTCAATAATGTTTAAATCATACTTGAATTCTTAAAAAGTACCATTATTCTATGGTAAAATAGTAAATCTTGTTATATTTAAGTCACTCTTTTACCTCTTGTCCTTATGATGTGGAAACATAATAGTTGAGATAATATCTTTACCCAAACATGTACCTCTTAGCATATGTATACAATTTATGTTCTAATTACACTATTATTATTTCACTTGAATATTGATCATGTGTCACTTTGTCCTTATTAAAAATCAAAATTTCTTAAAAAAACTAATATAAATTTACAAAGATAAGATAGTAATATTTAGTTCATTAGTGACTAAAATATGATTGAAATATTATTGAGTCTAAATGGCATAATCAACGATTCATAGTGTCTCTTGTGTGTCCTAGATGTCATTTTTAAAGTATTGTTATTTTTCATTGGCATTTGATGATATCTTGATTTTAAATTTAGGTTGAAGAGTACTATTGTTATGCATAATTCATATAGAAACTTGTTCACAACTAAAATAAAAAATCAGATTCAAACTCTACTATCATCATATTATTTTTCTAAGATTTAGAAAAATAAAAATTAATCAAACTAATATTTGTGATTGGGTTAAATCTAATTCATTTCTATAGTGCCTACATGGGTTGACATCTCACACTTTTTGGGGCATCATTTGATAATAATAGCTTTGCAGCTAGTCATTGGATTGCTCTTAAATTTTTTCTCTCAACCATCAATGTTCTTACCATTTGGTGTGAATTCGATAACATGTAAATATCCTAATCATCCATAATTCAAAGTATTTGAATTCAATCATCTATATATATATTGATACACCTACTGTGATCCCCAATGGGGGTCACAATGTGTCTAAAAGTAGTCACTTCACATGATGTGTAGTCAAGACAAATAAGGTGTAGACACATCATCACTTTTTTTTTTGACTAGTCACCACTCGAGTTGATGGCCATATCATTATCTCTCATGCTAAGTCAGTGTTACTTTAAACAAAAGAACATTTGAGTTCTAATATATAACATGGCTTAGATTGAATTCTCATGTTGAGTCAGTGGCATGACACAGCTTAGATTTCTACCACACAAGCTAACATCTTACAAGAAAATTGAATTCTCATGCCTCTTTATTATGATCAGATCACATGCCACATGTTTCCTATATAGAGAAGTCTAGAGAGAGCGACTATGTGTGTGTTGAGTGAGCAACCATTACCTGTGGGTTATTGTAATCATTTCCTATATGATTAAGATTTGACAAAGAATAGTCAGTGACTTCATTGTCAATTAAGGAGACTCATCTCTTTTTAATGATCATAAGTATCCTCCTCATCAACCTCAAAAGAAATGGAATGAGAGGGCTAGGTGGAGGATCTAGATGTACTACTCAAAGATCTCTTTTAGCAAAGTTCAATTATTGTTTGGTTGAGTGCTATGCAATTTATAAAAAAATTTCAAATTTAGTCCATTTCTTAAAAAGAATGTTAACTCCACTATATTATTTGTAACTACAAGAGGAGTAAGAGGTTAAGACTATCATGTGGGGATTAAGAAGGGGGTAACATGTAAACATTTAAGGGAGTTAAGATGTATTAGGGTAAGAGATTGGGGGTATAATGTGGGGCTTATGTTGGGGGGGTTAAATGTCTCAAAGGGGTTAAAGGATTATTAAGATTGAAGGATGAAAGAAGAGGGAGGCAAAGACTTTTTTGGTGGCATCATCATCCATAGAGAAAGTTGGGCCTCTTGAAAGGTGAACATGATGACTTCATGTTATTAGGTTTGGTGCTAGAAGTTTTTTTTGGTAAAACTTTATTATTCTTCTAATTTTAAATATGTATTTTAGATATTATTTGTTCCAAAATACTATTAACTTGGTGTCAAAATCGTTATGAAGACTGACATAAATAAAAAATAATATAAATAATATGAAGCATGATGGTTTAAATCCTTGAGGTAATTTCCAAAAGTCTATTTATGCAGAAAATGATTTTAAATAAAAGATAAGAAATTCAAGAAAAATGAGTAAATAAGCACAATGATGTAGATTATATTTTTAAAAATTAGGATTGAGGGCATAATCAATATGTTATTTAAATCCTTGAAAAAGAAAACAATGATTGAACATGTCACTATGTGGTAAGAATCCTAGTTGATGGATATTCTAAGCCAAATTATACTTTTCTATGAACAAGATGATGGAGATTGACAAGTTAATAGTTGTAAGACTAAGTTTTGCTTATTAAGCAATCACATGATTGTAGTGTACCTACGCAAAAAAATTCTTTAAGAGTTGAAGAGAATTGAAGCATCAACTATTGTGATGTTTGATCTTGTCATAGGTGAGAAGTCTATACATATTATATATATATATAATAATATCGATTTGTTAGAAGATATATGTAATATTTTAAATCATTTATCTTAATAGAATGACCATCAAAGAAGGTCTTAGAGAATCATTATCAAACATTTGAAATCAAATATCAATGTGGAGATCAAAGTCCTTGAACTAGTCAATTTGAACTCAATTGCGAAGAAAACATAATTAGTGAAAGAGAAATTAAGAATAATTAAACAAAAACCTTAATGACCTATGACTATCTAAACTCAACTTCTATAGAGCACCAAGTATTCTTCTGGGTTACAGAGGTACTAAGAATTTAGATCAAATTAGGAGCATAACTCATGACTTAAGTATATACTAGTGAAACTCTACTAAATGTTGTTGCAAAATAATTTATTATGAAAGGACATCAACTCAACAATTGTAGTGAAGTCGAGTAAGGAATGAGTCTAATTGAGACAAAGATACAAGTAAGAAGGCCCAATGTATTATACCTCTTGAAATAGAATTTTGATGAGAAAATGATAAAATTATTTATCAAATAGAATAGTCTATTAACTTTTGAAGTCATTAGGGAGTCAACAACCATAAGACTTTATATTGATTTTATATAAGAGAGTTATATTAGGCCCCCAATATTTTTAATTTACTTTATGAGTAAGAGGTTGGGTATCATGAGGAGATTAAAGAGTAATGCAATAAATATTTAAGGAGTTAAGGGGGTTATTAAGACTAGGATGAGAGGGGGAGGAGAGCATTAATTTTAGAGGCATTGTAATCCATAGAAAGAGTTGGTCATCTTGAAAGGTAAGTATGATGATTCAAAACCCTAAGGTTCATTTTCTGAGTATTTTTGGTCTCTCTTATTTTTCTACCATATAATCTCTATATTTTTATATTTTTTGTTGTGAAGTTTTGTCAAAGTAATATTGAAGTTGAATAGAAGCTTACTAATAGCTGGATAATCACACATTTCTAGTGCAAGACATTTTATTTTTTTCTTTTAAAAACAAATGTAATGATAGGGCTAAATACTAATTACTTTAGACCTTAGCTCTAAACAAATGATATTATTTGGTCGAGATGTTGCAGTAATGTTGTGTTAGATCTTTTCATCTCCACATGTCATGGTATAATTCTATAATTATTTACTGACTTTTTATAATTATCAACCTAATACCTTCGAGGTAATATCTAATTTGTATAGATTTAGGTCTCATTTATTTTCTAAGTGATACTCATAATAAGTTTTTTAGGTTGATATTTATTTCTCTAATCACTAGTATTTCTAACTATTGTATTTTGATAATCATATCAGTGTTACTAGTTGAAGAGGTAATTAATCTTCTACAATTATCAACCTGTATTTTCATAATTTCTCATTTGTAACTACTTTTGTCCCTCATTGTCTTTTCATTGCCCATTACCACTTATAATTTCCACTAATTTTTGTTGAAATAAAATTTTGCATTGCAATGTATATCTCGATTTCTAACTATTAATGTTAACTTAATACAATTGGGTTATGTTAATCTATCATTAAGTTGATTAACAATTCAATATTTTCTAATGATCTTACTTTTATACATCTTTAATTCATCTAATGTATCTATTATCTCCTCCTCTAATTTGACAATTACTTCTTAATCATTTTTATGTACCACCATAATTTACAAGTATCGTTTACACATGCGGCTTACATTGTATCTTTTATCACAAGATATTCACAATTTTTTACTCTTTATGTTTTGATTTCCACCTTTCCTAAATTGAGTCACTACATGACGTCCTTGTGTGGAAGGTTAAAATTATTTCCACTAGCAAATAGTGAATGTACTTCTCAATATTTATATAATTTTGTCTCATTTATTACTTCTACTCAAAATCTGATCAATATTTCTAGTCTCTCCATGATTCAAGTATGTATTGTTCCCCACATAGAGGATGGGTCTAAATGACCTTGGACTACTTGATTATCTAATTTATTTAAGAGTAATGATTTTCTATAACACCAATTAAACTATCTTCATAATTGATCTCAACCCAATAGATTTTTGGAGTTTAATTTTTGTTCTAATGTCTTGTTTTGGTTCTATGATGAAAATGTTATTCAATACTTCCTCTAGTAATTCTTTCAAGACATTAGTATATAATTCCTACCTATTAAGACCTAGATCTCATAACCAACTATTTTTTCAAGTTCTTTCAACTTTCAAAGGGAATCCTTGTATGTTTATCAGAGTTATGTCATAGCCTTATCTTTAAAATGTATTCATATTATCATTAGTTTCTCAACCTCTATCATCATGTATATAGTAAAATAAAGGTCTATAAAAAATAAATCTATATAGATTTTCTCTTTTTAGATATTGTCATCGTTATTGTCATTCTCCTCTCTAAGACTTGGCATGGTATATTCATCATAAATTTTAAATACTATTTTTTTTTAATCTCATCTTTCATAATTGTACTTCTCTTGGAATCTTCTACCTTACCCTAATACATGATTCTTTGTCCATGATGTAATTCTTTTTCTTTGTCTTTATTTTTTCTATTGATGGGATTGATTATTCCCTCCTCCATCTCTCATGAATTGAGTTGAGTCACAGTTTCTATATTTTTTCCACCTCTAATTGGGTCTATAACTTAATCACTATCTCTAGCAAGTTGTTTCAACTCATCTCTTATATCTTTCGTCTCTTTCTCTAAGTTTTATATTCCAATGTGATTGGTCTTGGATGCTAGCAAATTTTATTTTGACACCAATGATGAAACTTGATTCAAAATAGTAAAACAAATGGTGGAAATAACAAAGAAAATAGAAGAACATAAAGATTAAAGCTTTGGCAAGAACCTTAGAATAAAAACTTGCAAGCTAAATGACGGTCTTCAAGATGACTCTCTCTCTCTCCCTAATGTAAAATCATAAAATTCTCATTCTCTTTTACCCTTCACAACATTCTAATAGTTTCTCCTCTTCTATTATGAACTTAACAGCCTTCTTTTTATGAAGCCTCCGAGTGCTATGGGTGGCTGCTCTCTTTCTATTCCTTTTAGAATATGTTAGGTGTATCGGCAGCCTATATATCCATAGTAAATTAGACTGGTGAAAGACAAGAATCTAGTATTTAGATTCAAACAAAGCATGTTTCATTTTGTAGCTTTGTTATACCTTTATTAAACACTTAAATCAAGATTACTAAATTTGGAAATAAATTGTCACAAGCTCAATGCTTTTACAAAATCAAGTGGCCATTTGTAAATCAGGGTATGGTACCACTAAAAATACAAAATTTTAATTAATTCCATTTTAGTGATTAAAACGAATTTAAACCCCTAAAATGGGGAAGATCGTCACTCAACATGTGGAGGTGGGTGTCTACTAGCCTTGGTGGGAGGGGAAGGATTAGCCACCAAAGGGGGGCTAGTAAGTCATTTACATAACGTAAGCTTTAAGGCAATTTAAACGGCCATTAGTGGCATGCTCATAACATACTGATTTAGCGTCAGATTGTTTCCACATTGTAGGAAAAAAAAAAAGAAGCTTTTTCTTAGTCTAAGAAAATTTTGAGGGAATTAAACTAGAAACAGCTAAAGACTTCTTTTTTAAGATCGGATATTTGTTTCCAATAAAGTTTGAATAGCCTGCTAATCTGCGCGAGCTAAGTCATCGATGATGCATCATGCACATCCTCAACGGGGCACTGTCTGCCTCGACAGAGGACGCCAAACGGGGAGAGTCTTGCGTCCACATTCCAGGATGGCAAATTCACCCTTCTATCTCATTTCATTCCACCCACATTCATCAGTCTGCCTTAAGTGATCTTTCATAGCCACACCAGCCTGCTACACCTGTCTACTCGTAACCCTAGTTCATCTGATTCACCTCTATCTGCAGCGGGTAGATTGAAAAGAAAAACATTTAATCAGCTCTGGCAGAGAACATCTTCCATGATCTTGTGAACTCCGCGTTGATTCTCCATCCATGGAGGACTTCGACTCAGGGAGTTGACCAGAGTCTCCCACACTGTCTGATCAGGGGGGAGATCATTCCCAGCCATTTCATCAAGCAAATGGAAGGCCTTGTGCAGATTCTCTTGCCTGCAAAGAGTCTCAATGATGGGAGTGTAGCTACCTGAATCTGGTGAGCAGCCTCTTGTGATCATTTCCTCGAGCAGCTTCACGGCACTCATTGATTTCCCCTCCCTGCAGAACCCACGGATCAAAGAATTGAAAGTCGAAACCACAGGGGCATAGCCCCTCTGGATCATCTCATTCATCAGATTGAATGCTTCACGCGTGTTCTTCTCTCGGCAAAGTCCGTCGATCAAGCTGGCGTAAGCAAGTACAGAGGGAGTGCCGCCTTCCCCAACCATCTGTTCATAAACCTTCATGGCTTCCTCGAATGACTCCTTTTGACAGAGAGAGGAAATCTTCTTGTGGCGTCCAACAGATCTTGGGAAATACTCCCCCATCTTCTCCAGAAACTCCTGTGCTTCGCACAGTCTCTTCTCCCTGTATAGCCCATATATGATGCTGTTGTAAGGTCCGATTCTCTTCCCAAGCTCCCCTCTTTGTTCTTCCATCGTCCTCAAGAACTTGTACCCCTCGTCAACTCTTCCCACTGTGCAGAACCCTCTGATGATCGTGTCATACGTGTTGAAATCTGGGTTGATCTGGTCTTCTTTCATTTCTCCGAGCAGATCAATGGCCGAATCAATGTCCCTCGCTGCGCAGAACCCAGAAATCAGCGAATTGTAGGTGCGCAGATTGGGGAGACAACCCTTGGCTTCCATCTCCTTCACAGCGCGTTGCCCGACACTCGGTTTCCCCACCCTGCAGAAACCTTCAATTAGAGTATTATAGGCCACCACATCGACGACTCCCCCCTTATCCTCGACTCTGTTCAGAATCTCCACTGCCTCCGAGAATCGAGCCTCGTTGCACAAAATATCCACAATCTTCGTCACTGCAACAACATCAGGGATGTATCCAAGGTCGAAGCACTTCTCCAGCATCACCATGGCCTGGAGGTAGTTCCCCTCCCCGCAGTAGGCTGATATCATAATGTTGAAGGTAACATCATTTGGACAGCCCATCTCGCTCATGAGGCTCCTCGCCCTCCCCACTTTGCCATTCCTACAAAGAGCATGAATCAGAGTATTGTAGATCACTGGATTAGGAGCCAATCCAGAAGACTTGAACAGAATCAGAAGTTTAAATCCTTCGGCGATCCTGTTCGTCCGGCAGAGGCCCTTCATCAGTATCCCGAAAGTGTAGTCGTCACCACGAACACCGGATCCCATCATCTTCACCCTGTAGAAGTCCCTGGCTAGGTCAATGTTTTCTCCGACCAGCACATTGAGAATCGAGTTGAAGACCTTAATCGAGGGGTTCTTGATGCCGAACGCGGGGGCCGTCAAAAGATCGGCCACCTTGACCGCTTCACGGCTCATCCCAGCGCGGCCGAGACCGCGGACGATGGCGATGAAGGTGTCGTCGTCGGGCGGCCGGCCGGTGGCGGCGGGAATCTCGGCGAGGATCTCCTTGGCGTTGTCGAAGCGGCGGAATGAGACGAGAGCTCGTATGAGGGCCCGGTAGGTGCATGCGTCGTGGCGGAACGAGGCAAGCCGGGAGGCCCATCGGAAGGTCTGCAGGGCCCCGGCGGCGGATTTCTGTTGCAGAATGGTGTGAGCAACATCTTCGTTCGTCGGAGTAGTGCTACCGGTGGCCAATGCTGCCGGCGAGATGGAACTTCGAAGGACGAGGTTCAGAGATCTGAGGCGGCTTCCCGACGACCATACGGAGGGGCGAGGTCCGATGATGGCGGAGGAGAAGGGCATGGGATTCAGGGATTCGCAGGAACGCTCGGCATCAGGAACGCAGAGAAGGAGAAAGACGAAGATTGAAGGGCATTATGGGAACTAAGGAAAAGATAAAACGACTAAAGAGCCCAAAATATCAGAAAAAAATAATAATTGAATTATTTAAACATTTATACTAAGATTTCTGAAAATGGAACTTCTTCCTAACGGCCAGTTCTGGGATTCGTTATCTTCATTCCCTCGCTGCTGAGCTCTGCCGTCTTCTTCGTCTTCCTCTTCGTCTGTGTGCTCTGGGAGGGGGGGGGGGGGAGAAGGATGGCCTTCTGCTCCACTTCTGTGCCTACTAGGACCACCCTGTTCCGTTCCCCCTCACTCCGTTCCCTTCTCCCACCGTCGCGCTCTCTTTCTTCGCTTAATTCGTCCCCTCTTAAACTCGGCGTCGTGCCCTACCTAAGCTCTGTGACTCTCCGTGGTTCCTCACGCATCAGCGCCATGGTCGAGAGCAGAACTTCGGACATAGATCCGAAAGGTGGTGTTCCCTTATATAATCCCAAGTCTTACGAGGTTCTCGTCTCCGACGCGGCCAAGTCCCTCGTTTACGCTCTGGATGATGGCAAGACCCGCCTTGAGATCGATTTTCCGTGAGTTATTATATCTCTGCCATATTATGTTTTTCTTATTTATTCCGACGAACTTGTTATTTTCGTCGTGTAATTGGGACATTCAATTTTTTATCTGCGGTTCAAACATTTTTTTCTCTGAAAAAGTATGATATGAGTGGAATGTGATTCCGTAAAACTATGACCTTTTTTTTTCCATTCCCTACGGCCCCAGTGGAGCATAGATAGGTTTACTGTATTCTTTTGATGTATCCACTTCATTTATGTTTTAACTACCGGCTAACTTCTTCTTTTTTCCTTTAGAATTTTTTTCCTACCTTTTATATTTACCTTACTCCCTTTATGGGTTGACAATTGGACTGGATATTTCCTTTTTTTTATCTTTCATTTTATATGTTAAAGTTATTTGGCTTGTCAGTAACGGTTTGGACTCATTTTTACACTAATTCCATTTTATTGTTTCTACTGGTGTAATTACTCAACAGACCCTTGCCAAGCTCCATTTCCTCTTACAAGGTACTTCTCACTGTTGCCAGATCTAACATTGCTAATCTGTATAAAACCTCTTGGAAATTTAAGATGTTTTTTTGAATTTATCATATCTTCCTGATGTGTACAACCTTTCCTTAATATTGTGTTTCTGGCAGGATGATAGAAATTATTTAACACAAGATAGAGCCATATCAGTTGGGCCTTCTATAGATACTTTTAAACTAGTCAACAATGATAATTAAATAAGAGTATGTATTTTAGCCTGCAAAGACTTAGCCATAAACAATATTTTATACGGTCCTAAATATTAAGTTTTATTGTGTTTGAGGCATCTAATTAAGGATGATCTTCCTACACAAGAAACGAAATTTTAACCATATATGCCACGCAATGGTAAACCAAGGTGGTACCTGAGAGTGTACAACCAGTTTTGGTTTCTTAGGATTTTATTTCTCTTTATTTTTAATTCATTCCTCAAAGTTAAGAGCAAGAATACGCTTATAACGTTTTCTAGATTCAGATCTGCGTTCATACTACAATAACTGAGATATCTCTCAAAGGAACATTGCAAATGAAAATTGTGGGAATAATGTCACAGTTTTTTTTGTTCGCATCAAAATTACTGTGTATCTCTAATTCTCTAAGAAGCTTGGCACCTTACTGGATGTGTACTGTCAATCAAGGCTTTTCACCGAGGCAAATTTTGCGGGCAGTAGGGGTGTCAGAGTTTATGGAAATACTTTTAAATCGGTAAAATGCTACCATTTCTAAGATTTTTACGTGGTGTTACTCCAAAATGAAACATTTTTATGGGAGCTAGGACTGAGATAGTTGAGTAATTTTGTGATTCTTTGGTTTTTTAACTTAACCTACACCATCTTGGTGTAGAATGCAACAGATGTACAGTTTTACATACTTTCTTTTTAGTATTAATCATGATGTGGTGCTATCTACTTTCATTTTTTTTATGGTGGAACATCATAATTCTAGGCCATCTATCTCTTTTACTATTTGTAGATCATAGTCAATAGTGCTTGGATAATTAGTTGCTCCTTGCAGTCCCAGACAGTCCAGACTGCCATTACTTGTGTGTATAGGGTCTAAGTTATGGAGTGTATGACTTCGATCATAAGGGTCGGTTTCTGGCTGCGTAGATTCCCACATTTTGACTTTTCCTTTACCCATGGGGCTTCTACCTCTGTGCAGTTGTTCTCCATAAGACTTTTGCCCATTGCAGAGTTGCACACTTGTAAGTTCCCATAATTTAATTGTATGGGACTGTGAAGTTTTATCTGTACATTTCTCGTTTGCTTTATAGGGGATTGCTTTCTACGTTTTGACAATATCAAACTAGACAAAGGGATTCATTGATTGAAAAGGAATGCTGAGCTCTTTGACAACTTGGACTTCAGTTAAAACGAAACAAGAAATGAAAAACAGAATTTAATTCATATTTTTAGGCGGACGTTCTCTTGGAAAATATTATAATATTTTTCAAAGGGAAATACAGGTTTTGGACGATCCTCTAAAGGAAAGAAATGCTTAACTGAGTATATTGATTTTCTCATGAACAATTGAAAATTTTCGGTCGATATCTGCTCTAAAAGAAATTGAAAGAATAATATAATTGACTCTGATTGCCAATTTTACTGACTTCTCATGCTGAAAGAAGTGAAAGAGTAAGGGCTAACATGCTTCTTCAGCTGTATTGTTTCTCAATTTCAGAGATATATGCAATCTTACTGGAGGTATTTAAATATTTGAATTTTTTTATAAATGAAGGGATCATCAGATGAATTTATTGATGCCAACATCCAACTCGCTCTCGCTGTTGTCAGAAAGGTCCAAGAGATGCGAGGAACTAGGACTTGCATCGTAAGTTTTTGAAAATGGATCTTTTTTCTGTGGTGAGGCATTTATAATTACACTATTATGAATTTCGTTTGACCATATTGGCTCTAAACAGCTTGTTACCCTTTTTATGGGGAATGGGATTGGGGAATATGTACTCAGGTGTTTCCTGATCGACCAGAAAAGCGAAGGGCTGCTCAGATGTTCAGGACGGCTCTAGATATGGTATGATATTTTTTTAATGTAGTTCGTTGCTTTTGAGTCCTGTATTGTGTTCATTATGTGTCGGACAGACAATTTTACCCTCTTTGTGAAGGGAAGATCCCATTCCCTTAAATCTTGCATTTATTTTGTTAGTAATTTTATCATGTCGTTCAGATCAAAGATGTAAGCATTGGTTCTCTGGACGATGTACCTGGGGGCCCTGTTACCAGCTTCTTCAGATCACTAAGGAATACCTTGGACTTTGATTTCCCCGACGAAAATGAAGGTTCACTTTTAAAATAACAAATCTGTAGCTATAAGTTCATTTCTCCTTCTTCTTAAGTAGCCAATGCATGTTGTAATTGTTACCATTTGGGATATCTCTGGCAAATTTAATATTTAACTGACACAAAAATAACACATGGTTATTTCGAATCCAATGCCTTCACTTACATTAGCTGTTGCTTTTTGGAGATGGATATCAGTAATCTGAAGCTGTAGGTTTCCGCACTAAAAGCGATAATTGTGGCTTTCACTGTAGGAAATGTTGAGATGGATAAAGTTTTAGGTGGGTGAGCATGGTACAAAGAATACAATGTGACAAGTGGACCCATAACCACAAGGTGGCACATACCGTACATGCAATGCCGCAAGAAGGGATATGCCATTAATAATAATCTTGAAAAAAGTGATAGTTGAATGTTTCCATAGCATAGTTCCTCATTGGCATATAATGGTTGGCATAATTCTAAGCACTTAGATATTCATATACTGTTCCCAACCAGTTGAAATGATTATCTCAAGAAACCCTCTCTATTACCTAGGAAACAGAAAAACTTAGTTTTCAAGATGCCAACGAGAGAGTCAGATATTTCTCTATTAGGTCACCTTTGTAGGGACAGGCATGCTCACTGGTCACCTATCAACCAATTCTATGCCAATCTTGTTCTCGAATTGTCTTTTGTCTGGTTCTATCAATTGTGTACCTAGATTCACTTTGGATGTGAGTTACATTCTCAAGTGGGTTGTAATGATCAAATAAGGAACCGGTTACATTGGCCATGAGTCATTCAGACTCTCATTGTTGACTCGTATTGATGTTATGAAGGTATGATCAGAGATATTGAGTTGGTTGTCAAGTCCATGAAGTGTGAGATCTATTATCTATCGTTAATGTTTGTTTAAAAATTAACTTTGCACCGTAGTGTTGTTGTGTTGATTGAATGCCTTATCATGAGATGAAAATTCTTTCGTTTACTCTTTTGTGTGCCATTGTTCGCTGATTAGTAACATACGAAGCTGTTACAAATTTGATTGGATTCTAAATAAAGGTATACTTTTATCTATCTCTCACAAATGTCTGCACAAAAAAGTTCATGCTTTTGTATTTCTGCATGCGTTGCATTCAGATACATCTTTACTGATTTAATTGATTAACAACGGTCTGTTTACTTGCACAGATGCTGATTCGTCTTCTGTAGATGAGCCGCCATCTTTATATATATTCATCAATTGTAGCACACGTGACCTTTCTGTTATAGAGAAATATGTGGTACGCGCCTCATTGTTTACATTCTTCATCCAACTATGATGGTTCTTTTTTCTTACCCTTTTCTAAAAATGCTCATATTTTTATGCTTTACTGGCTAATTAAAAACCCGTTTTCACATGAAGCATTTGCTGTATGTCCAATATAACTGAGGGCTGCTCATAAGTTGTTTTGGTTCATGGAGCCCAGAACTGAGCTAGTGTAACCTTGCCCGGTATCAATCTTCGAGTCAGATATAAGAAGGGAAATCCACGTGTTTTCTGGAACAGAGCTATCCGAATATGCTTTAACTTGGACCAGCGCTCCTGCAAAAGGAGTGAACAGAAGACCTGCAAAGGAAGCTCCACTTTTGATGGCTATATATGAACTTTGTTCTGGGTTATTTGGCATTGAGGTTTATTGAATGGATCCACACTGGAACCACTATTTGCCAGCCTGATTCTTTTCAGAACAATAGAAAAAATCACAAGTGCGCCAGATTCAACGTAAATGATCATAACCTCTGATGTACGTCTCCTAAATTGTGCTCGCAGGAAAGCTTTGCTGCATCAACCCCCGCACTTCTATTTAATTTGGAACTTGAAACCTTGCGGTATGTATGCAAGATGAAACAGACAACCTAGTGCATATCCTCTGTTGTTGAACATATTTTCCTTTTGATTTCCCAGTGCTGACCTGGGGCTCCTGGGGTTTCCGGGCAAGGACCTGCATTACCGGTTTCTTTCTCAGTTTATTCCCGTATTCTACATACGAACCAGAGATTACTCAAAGGTAGCATCTAATTGTTTATATTCTTTCTTCCATCACTACTGATAAACTCTTTTCCTATGCCAAAGACAATTGCAGTTGCACCTTTTATAGTAAACTATAGTGGAGCGCTCTTCCGGCAGTATCCAGGTAAGAAACTGCAATGTCAATTGCCTTTTGATGAATAAATATACATGCTTGTCATATATGCTTGAAGCAATTTTTTTATCCGTTTCTGACAAGCAGAATCCTCCGAGGATTGTCATATATGCTTGTTTGTGATAAGATCAACTTCTGCGTTTCAGTTGGGTATCTTGAACAAAGATCATACTACCATTTGGTTTCTAAGGGACCAAAGAAATCGTTGCCTTCTTCGTAGGACCAGTTGATAACCGTTCTTTGAAAATTAGCAAAGCAGATGGATTTACAAAATAGAGATTATCTATACCCAATTAACGCACATCTGACGAGGATTTACCGTATAAATATTTTGGGCTTACAGACAAGACTTTTGGATTAGATAAACAAACAATTTGCGGGAGCTAATGAAGTGGGATTCGCATTTTCTTCTGAAAATTCAAAGAAACTCCGGTAGAAGTGCTATTTAAACGTTCATGCCCACAAAACATATGCTGAGTTCACTTGGAAATGACACTCGTGCAGGGCCCTGGCAGGTGATGCTTAAACAAGCAGATGGCTCCTATGCTTGCGTAGCTGCAAGCGGCACTCGTTTCACATTGGGAGAGGTCTCACATTTCTCTGTACATTTATCATCTACTGCTTCATTACGCCAGTAGTCTGCAGTTACCTCTGTCTATTTCATTTCCGTGACAGACCAAGGAAGAACTTCTGAGGGTTCTTGGTCTGCAAGAGGAACAAGGAAGCTCACTGGAGTTCCTGAGAAAAGGTTATAAGGTTCGTAGTGTCTTCTTTTCTTCCATTGATCCTGAGAACTACAGAATCCAAGAGCTCGTCTTCATCACAGATTCTTTGTCCAGATCCTTGATGGATTTACCCAGTTATTGGGAAAATACTGATTCTAATTCAATCCTTTCATGGCTTTCCTTCCAGTAAATAATATTGTCCTTATCTATCATATGACCTTGAGTTTTTGAATGAGTTTAGAATGCTACTTGGTGGGAAGAAGGTGTCGAGCTGGAATCATCTTCTGCATGGCGGAGTTGAGCTGTGGGAAAACTTATTTCTCCCCTGTTCAAGGAGCTTGTTTGGCAATGCGGATTGACCGGAGACTGTTATTGGTCAAATTGCAAGTGATTGGAACAGCAAGAGATCGTGAAAGTACATATATCACGAATCACATGGCGCTATCCCTTGTAATTTATTCATCAACCATAATTTTTTACCCAATTTTTTTTACTTGTTTCGCTGTATTTAGCCTCATCACAGTTGCAAAGAAGGTTCACAGGAGGTGGTGCAACGGCGGATCAAGAAGTGAAAACGAGAGAACGACTTGGAGGAATTGATTGGTATAGACCGGGCCCATTTCAGGATCTCCAGTGATATCCCTATAGAAAAGCAGTGGTTGAAAATTCTTCTTTGGATCCGCCTGTCTAATAAAATGATACCCTTTGAATGATATGTGCCCATCTTAACGCCCATTATCGATATTTCACTCAGTTTTTCAGTGAAATATTATTTCAGAAATCTTTAGTTATTCTCTAGCTATATTTTTATTCTTCTCGTGTACTAACCTAATTTAGGTGCCAGTGGTCAGCGTCAATCTGAAAACTTGGCCTGACCCTTTCCTCTTGGCAGGTGAAAACTTGGTCAAGATTAGGTTACTCATCACTGCTTTTGATGAAAGGTTTCAGAATCGGAAGGGGGAGCATTCGACCTCTGAGAATCCATAGAGCAAACCAGGTTTCCCCATATTTACATAAAATCTGAAGGTCAACGATCAGTTCAGCCTGTGGACGGGTGAAAGAAGCACAGAATGCTCCATAGCTGAGTCTGGGGAGGGATCTTAGAGCAAACCCATGTCTTCTTTATATACAGATACATATACCCATCAGAAAAAGCCCAGCTCACCAGATCATCGTCACTGAGAACAATCATCGGAAAGCCATGGCACACAAAGATCATCAATGAATTCGTCTATCAATTGAGACAGAATCATGCCCTCCACAGCTTCACCCGCTGCATCCATGCCCTTGTGAGGTATCCAAGGCTCCACTCTTAGATCATTGGATATCAGGCTTTCTAATGAGCTGGACTCGCCCGCAGTTGGACGGAGGCTCCTCTCTAGCCGTTGCCATAGACTTTTCATCAGTTCTTCACCACCTCTCAGAGGCCTTCTCTTCATTGAACTGGAAATCGGTGAGCTTACCAGGCAGAAGAGTTCTTCATTCAGTAGATCAAAGAGCATTCTCCTGGAAGAAACGGTCTCAAGAGGGCTTACATCATCATTCACCTTGTCAGATCCAATATAATCCTTTTCTACTTCCTCGAACACCCCTTCAGCAAGCGGCTCTGTGGGTGAATTGCAGAGTGCAATAATTAGGTTAAGGGGCTGGTTGTAGAGACCAGAAGTCAGGAGGATGTGTCTTAGGTAATTTTCCTCATGGGATTTCATGTCTTCATCTTCATGGAGCTCTTCCAGCTGTTCCCCATTGGAGGCTTCTTCACATCCAGGGGCTTCAACTGGCGCTGACTGGCTCGGCACCTCTGTAAGCAATTGAGAAAAATAAAAATGGAAGTTTTTTTCCCAAGAAAAGTACTATTTCAGAAACGGGGATGATTCAAGTGCATAGAAAATGACTATTAGAAGGAACATCAGAAGTTAAGTTCTATAGAGACGGCTTGAAATGATCTAGGCATGTACAAAGAAAAACTGTGGGCACTATTGATTATCTCATTCATCTGTCTCTTTTTCTATGATTGTTTACTGAATCATAGAAACATGCATAGATGCAAGCATAAAATCTTTCTGCTCTCACCAGGAGTCTCAGAGCCGATCTCCTCGGAGATTTGGATAGGGTAATCCTCATTGAAGGACATCTCCAGAGGAGAGACTGGACTTGGAAAGCCCGGCTTCCACACCTCCTCATAAGAGCTTCCGCATATGGAAGCAGGGCTGGGGGGCACCTCAGTGGAGTTATCCTGAGATCAGGGAAATGGTAACTATATATATATATATATATATATATATATATATATGTGTGTGTGTGTGTGTGTGTGTGGAAAAGTAGTGTTGATTCCATATGGTAAAACAACTTGAGAAATTCCTACCCTTCTTGCCCGTGCAATGCCAGAGTGCAGCTTTAATGACGGTGGGGTTGCAGTGGTCTCTATTGGATCAGTTTTATCTTCTGCTGGATCATATGCTGGTCGATTCTTCCTTCTGAATAATTTACCTGGAAGGGTCAGAGCACGCCTCAGGTACGAAATCTTCCCTCGGAGGTTGAACACATCTTTCTTGAGCTTCCTCACTTCCACAGTCGGCTCTTCAACTGGTTCAAGTTGCCTTTGGATGTGAGCTCCCGTCAAATTATCTTGCTCCCGCAATAGAAGCCTTCCCAGAGCTGTTTCCGACATTGGTGCAGAAAAACATCTCACAAGATTTGCAGATAGATTCTGATCGCCACCTCCCACAACCTGGCTCACCTGCCCTTCTCTGAAGGACTGCGCCCTCACCTCCAGCTCACCCTTCACATCTCCATAGTAGCTGTAATCACCTAGCACCGATGACCCAGTTGATGGCCGCCTTCCATTGATGTTCCTCAGTCCATCAGGCAGGAGTCTTTGACCATCTCTCTCAGCAAACTCTGCAGGATTTGATCCTTCTAGTCCACACCTACTTCCATAAGACCGTGTAGATCCAGTTTGCAGCAGAGTTGTGCCCAAATCGCCCATCCCCCTCTCCCTGACATGACTGAAAGGAACCCCATTTGGGCATTCTCTAGGCCTGATCTTATTCCTAGCGTTCCCATGTGGTTCAGATCCGAGCCTCTCCCTCACCTCTTCCAGAAAATACTTGATGCTATCTTCCCTTGAAGAGCAAGGCCACTGTTCCTCAGAATCCTCGCTTCTATCACTGCTGGGCTGCAGGATTACTATTCTTGTGGGAGAGGAAGATCTGTCCACTCTTTTGCTGAACTTCAGTTCAGGGAATCTTCTTCCTAAATCATTTGCGTTTTCTCTGTTTCTTGGCTTTCTGGCCTCCACCAGGCTAGATAGGTGCTCCTTGCTCATATTCTCAGGTCTGCTGCTCCTCCATGTTCCTGAGGGCGAGTAGTACTCCACAGGTTTCCTGAGGGAAGAAGCCCTCCTTGCGGCTCCATCTGGGGCCTCACTCTGGTTGTTTCTTCCATTCAGATGGCTGCCATACAGTTCCCATACCCTGGCCTCTTGCCATGCCTTGAACTCCTCCTTGAATCTCTGTAGCAACTCCTCTTGTGGGTGCTCACGACGATGGGGTCTCATCATGTTGAGTCGCTCATGCTTAGTCGAAATTCCTCCATGACTGTTCTTTCTGAGTAAGTTTCTCAGATTTCCATTCGTATGATCACTTGTTCTCACTCCCATCGCACAGGCATCGACCCTGTGTGTCTCCTGTTGGGCTGAGTTACGATGAAAGCTTTTCATGGTAATGCAGTAAGGATCAGGGTTGAAGGCTTGTTTGGCGGGCTGATTCTTCACCTGCAATGAAATCTGAAATCAAAATCGCATGATGGCCCATTCTGCATCAATTCTAATGCCTACAGACATCTTTTCCATGAGCAAACTGAACTAAGTTAATGCATAAAACTCAAGTGGGTGGATGATGGATGGATGGTAATCTCAGTCGCCAAATTATTTTTATTTTTATTTTTATTTTTATTACCATGAAGCAGCGATTGATTGATCTTAGGTGGGGAGTTTACTGAAGTTTTCCAGTTTAATTAATTTAAAATAAAAGTAAATAAAATAAGCACAGCTACTATATTTCTTACAGCAGATGAAGAAAGAAACATGAAAATACCTGGATTTTCTCATAAATCGCTTGATGGTTCCGAGAAGCTTCGAGGCCTGAAACAAGAGAATGTACCAATAATAGTAAAGTGGGTTCCCAGGCCTGCAGATGGGTACAACCTTCATATTCCTAGAGTTGAGAGCTGTGGATCAGTGCTCACTATCACCATCCTCATGGCCAAGATCTTGAGGATGCAACATGCCCCCTGCGTGGTAAGAGGGTCCTCCTCGAGGAGGGCGATGGAATCCGGTAGTCCACATTTCTTGATTCACTGCATGATCATTCGTTCAGTCTGTCACCTGAAAAGCCATACGAGAGTCTCCCGCATTAGCCATGCTAGGGCTTGAAGGAATGATCATCAGTTCATCTGATTGCGAAGATCCTCGCCATCTATGAACATTTGGTGAACAGAAGTCGCAATTCCATTAAGATCGATGCCCCAGAAACCGCATGTCGATCACAGAAGAGAAATTCTCCGATCTGTGCATTGCGACTGGCTGTGATTCTCTCACATGACATGGAAAAACATGGCACCGAACGAGATCAAATGTAGCGGGAATCCCAGAACAGATCCATGTCCATGGAAACAGGATGCCGCACGAATCGAAGGTCGCCTCACCACAGGAGAACCCTAACTCAGGTCTAGAAGACGGATGATTCGCATACCTACCAGGGAAAGCGGAGCGGCCGAATTCCGGAAAGCAGGAAAGCTACTTCGGCATCGTGAGCCCTCGGCAGCTTCAAGAGACCTCCTCCCCGGGGCGAATTCGGGCCCGAAGCAGGCGGTAGTTGGACACCAGAGCCTGGTGGAGTGAAGGGGAAGAGAAATGACCTTTTGAAGGAGTAGAGACTCCATGCTGGCTCCGGAAAGAGCGGCCGGAAAGCGACGTTCTTCCGCCGTCCCCCTTTTGATTTACTCATTGCCCATTGTTTCATCTCTCCCCTTCTCTCCCCCTACCCCACATGCTTCCCCCCCATCCCCCTCTCTCTCTCTCCGCAATTCACTGGTGCGATGCACAGACCAGTGAGTTAACAAGTCGGTAGGGTAAGGTATTGGCGGCAGTAGCAGCAGTTTCCACACCCTCTCTCTATATCTATCTAGGTATCTATCTATTTATATATATATATATATATATACATCTCTCTATGTACATATATAGAAATCTATCATTCTCTCTCTCTCGACTGGGTTCGACTGGTGGGCTCAGCGTGGAGGTCGGCCGGTTTCGCCCAACTCTACAAACGGTCCCCTCTTTTGTCGTTTTCCTGCACTCGGTCATCTGCTCCTCAATACCGCTGTAGCGTTATCGTGCACCGATGGTTCCGGGTGTCCGGCGCCACTCGTTCTGCGGAATAGACCGCCCTCGCCCTGTCCCGTGTGTCCAGCTAACACTGTACCGCTCTATTTAGGATTTGATTGACCCACGTGTAAGGGCATTTTTTTATCGGTTTAATTACGTCATCCCTCCCTCCCTCTCTCTCTCTCTTGAGGGAAAAGAGTCTGACGTCACGGGCGCCGGTGAGCTGTCTCTCATCCGCCTCCACGCCCGTCGGCGGCCTACCGAGCCCACCTCACCTACCATAATGCATTCTGATGGCCCCACAAAAATTGCTGCCGAAAAGGCCCACAAGGCCCATTAAGATCCAGTTGACTGTTATTCCCCGGCCGGTGTTGGGCCCAGTGGGCTGCCACGTCTCATTGCCAAGACAACGAGTTGACCAGCTGGGAGTATACCTGTTCTTTGATGGCGTCTCTGTTTCCTAAGCTGAGCGTGTACAGAGTCGCCCCCGGATGATTCCTCAACCTTGCAACTGCCACATCAAGGACCAGCTGGTCAGATTCAGATCAGATCAAACACTGGGGACAGCTGGTGTGGATTCCTCAGAGACAGAATGTGGTTGATTGGGCCGAAAGTCAAAGTCAATTAGTCAACAGACTTTCGGTCGGTTTTGGTTTGTAATGATCCAATTGGTCAACCGGGTAAGGTTCACTTCCGATTGAAGATTGGAGCCAGGTGAATCTGACCAATCGTGGAAGTTGAGCTGACTAGTGTTCCGAAATGGGTTCTCAATGGTCCAATAGTCAGATTCACATCAGGTCAATGATCGGAGAAAGGTGATCTGATCTCCTGAGAGATGAATATGACCCATTGTGAAACCGAACCTGAAGTCAACCTGATTAGTCCAATAGTCAACCTTGTTAGCTTCGGATCATATTGATGACAGGAGCCACCTGATCAGGTATCCTCAGAGATGAAACTGGGTTTTTCATGGTCAGATGATTAGCATCTTGATGAAACTGGGTAGAACAGAGTCAGCGCTTCATGACATGATGGCTTCTAGAACACCAGAAGGGAAAGATGTCATGGAGAATGATCATGATACTACTACTATTAGAACAATATAATATATTAATATATATATATATATATGGATATGGTAATGGGCAGTGGGTACCTCCAGGAATGTCGCGGCCGGCCTTTGGGATGGGTATAGAAGCCAGCAATGGGATGCCCGAGTCAAGAACTTGCAGAACAGCGGGGAAGAATGGCGAGCTATACAGCTCCATTTTACCCACTTCATCAATGATGAACAGATCTGTGCCATTCTTCACCTAAGAAAAAAAAAAAAAAAGATTCAGAAACTGCGAAAATGGCTTCTAATCACTGGTTTCATTGCACCGGGTGTTACCTGCAACTCTGGCAGAGCCAGAGATTCGAAAGATGATACGTCCACTCTGTATTTTCCAACAGTTGGCCACCTTAGAGACTCCGAGCTGCAATCCAAAGGATATGGCTCAGTTTAATCGAGAAGAAAACAGAGACCATGGTTAAAAAATATTTGTTGAAGCCCGTGAAACCGATCAAATCTTCCATTTTTATGCCCTTCATGCCAGGAGTGTAAACAAGAGTTGTTTCAACTAGCAAGAGGCCAGATAGAGGGAGGAAATTGAATGCTGGTGAAGATTTCTGCGTGGTGAAGGAACTGGGCTTATTAGCCGGGATTAGTTCTGAGTGCTGGGGAGAAAACAATTATACAAAGTTTTATACAAGGTGGTCAATGCCCTTGGTGTTCTTTGGGAAGTTGACTCGGGTGCCCTCCTTTCCCAGTGCAGATCATAGTAATCATCTTGTGGTCGCCACGAGAGTTAAGATTCAAAGAGCTTTCGAGATATAGTTTGGAGGAAACTAATATGAATTCTCTATCATTTAGACATGAGGTTACCCAGGCTCACGTCGCCACGAGAGTTAAGATTCAAAGAGCTTTCGAAATATAGTTTGGAGGAAATTAATATGAATTCTCTATCATTTAGACATGAGGTTACCCAGGCTCACATAAATGCTGTTGGAAACATACAGGCGATGAGACAAGTTCAATGAAGAAAGTGGTAGATCAAGGAGTCAACGCAAGAGTGATTTTCTGATAAATCCATCCCTTTGAGAGCCAAGAGATTTCTTATGGTAGTTGCTCAAGAGAAACTTGTCTGGGGGTATGGCTTATTAATTCAATTGGCTCTGATCTCCGAATGCTTCAGCATCAAGACAACATGGGAAAAAACCTTCATGGATCTTTGTTGGTGATGTAGAACAGCATAGATAGAAGCAGGGAAAGTCCAACACTGGTGGGCAAGGCACTCTGGAAACGTGAACTATGGGCTAAAAACATGACAAGATCCAAAAAGGCCCAAAATTAGACTAGGCCCAAATAAAATGCGTGAATAACTCGTCAGAGTTGTTAATTTAGTCAAGTATATTTCCGTTAGGTCGTTCTATATTCTTTTTTGTAGCAGATCATCCCATTTTTTAAGAGAGTTGCAACTTATTTGAGCCTATTTAAAGGTTAGGATGTTGTAATTCCAGGATACCTTGATTCAAACATCCTAACCTTTAAATAGGCTCAGATCATCCCCAATTCTTTGAGAGAATTTTGAGTGTATGTGGATTCAAACAACCCTTCTGGATTCAAGGGAGTTATTTTTGATCCTTGTGGATCCAAGGATCAACCCTTGTGGATTCAACGACATTTTTTGATCCTTGTGGATTCGAGAATTGGGGAAAATCATGCCTTTTAAGGGTTCAAGGCCCAATTTTCGTTCTTCTCGCACTCCAGATTCGTGTCTTGTGGATTCAAGAGTCACATCTTCCATTTTCCCAACCTTTCGCTGTGTCATAAGATGCCGAAAAGGAAGATGTAAAAAAGATGAAAGGATTGACGAATTTCTAGAAAAAAACTGTCACATTTTCCTATTGTTTAGAGGCCTCTCTCTCTCTCTCTCGTTCTAGCTTCTTGTACAGTATGTTCCATGGTTTTTGCCTAACGATCCACATTATACTTAGGCCCGACTTGTTTATACAGTTTGAATAATTCCTGCTTATAGAGTAATTAATGAGTCCCTCTGCCCTGCATATTACCTTCCTAGTTTTTTCTGGCTGACTACACTAAATTATTAATCAACTTTCTAGTGGATCAAAACTTCATCACAAAATTCCATTCGGTCCAGGTATGGTTGAGAAAGAGTTCATGGCCGCAAAAAGAACACAGTGAATTCAAAAATAATATCTTCGCGCAGCTTTTGTTGGGGAAACTCTGAAGCATGCACGACGTTATTCCTCTTCTGTATGCTTTCATTTATATCCAGTTCTAGTCGTAGTTGATTCGGCAAGAATCATTACAGAGGATAAATTAATGCCTGGACATATAGATCAGATAATAGATCCAAGGAGATTCCGAGATTAATTGACCCACAGACCCATCGGACATCAACTCTATCTGGAGAATATTTTCTTGACATAATAATGTGTAAGCTACAGTTGATACCCTGATGATAACTACCCAGAGCCTCACTTCAGGTCATACTCCCATGTTATTATGGATGTTCTAGTCTTTCTGAGCCTACATGGCCTAACTGTTTGATGGATCACCTACGCATTTCTTGCACGAAAAACTTAACATCATGAAACCAAGCGACAATCTCCAATAAAAGAAAAAAAAATCTAGATTAATACTCAGATGCTGTGTCAAGCATGCTTTGATGATAATACAGTACAAGCTTGGTTTCCACAGATGAAACGCTAGAAACTTGCATCAAAGAGAAATGCCACCAGCAGTATAAGATCCGAACTGTTTGGTTTATTGATCATACTGAAATACCAGCCAGGACAAAAAGTTGATAAAGAAAGTGGTAAGCATCTCACGAGTAGAATGCAAACCTGTATAACCCATCCACTTATATTTTTATCAGAAACATTCTTGGATCAAAACAGGTTCTCCTGAAAAAAAAAGTTGGGGGATAACGAACGAGGGCGCACCTGGACGCAGAGCTAGAAGCAAGGGGTCCGCGCCTGCCGTCCAATGTCACGACCTCAAATCCCACCCTATGCGAACCTTCTCTCACTTCTCCTAAACCTCAAAGACGGGACGACGTCAATTAATTGAGTCACAGACAACTGCAGTTGCCTAGATGAAGTCCCAGAAAGGAAGACACAGAGGGTGTGTCGCTTACGGGTGTAGAATCCACGGACCTTGAGGTCGGGGTGGGAGGCCCTAAGGCTCTCCAGCACTCTCATCACCAGCGTCGTCTTCCCCACTCCCTGCATTCCACTTGCTCAGAGCGTCTCCCTACGGGCAAACGACGATGCCGGAAACACAGTAGCAAGAGGAAGATAGGGGGAAACATTTCCTCACCGGGGGTCCGGTGACAAGAAAGCACTTCCCTTGAGCTCCCGCCATGGACGACTGCGAACGAGCTCCTCCCTCTGGCAGTTCGGCTCCACCCAACGCCTGTGATCTCTCTCTCTCTCTCTCTCTCTCTCTCTCTCTCTCTCTCTCTCTCTCTCTTTGTGGGGTTAAGAGAGAGAGAGAGAGATTATTGGGCCTGGTTGTTCAGTACTTGGGCCCAATTTAGGCCCATCAAACTTGTACGCCCGGGCAGTGTTGACACCCAACGGTCATATCTTCTAATCCCGCCGTCGTTGCTGGACGAACCCAGAGGAGAAAGGAAGCCCGTGGAGGGGAGTTGGAAAGGCGAAGGATTCCTCGGTCTATTCGTTTCTGAGGAGATGGGTGACGGAGCCCTAGAGGATGGTCGACTTCTCTCCCCCTGGCCCACTGCCATATTTCTCCTCGTCGGGATCCTTCAGCTCATTGATCGATTCATCGGCCGTCTCAAAAAGGTTGTCCCCATCTCCTCGCCCATCTGTATCAGCGGTCGGTTCTTCAGATTTTTGGGATTATTAAATTTAGGATTAATTTAGTTTTCTTTCGTGTTCCTATGTTTGAGAGTTGCTTTCGTGAAGAACCATATTCCCTGCTAGGGTTGAATGTATTGCATTTTAGCTATGCTGTTGATTAGGGCCGAGATTGCAAATCTAAAAGACATGGCTTTTCTCGCAAGCTGTTTTTTTTTCCTGCATGTTGGTATCTCTGTTTGGTCAGCTAGTCTGATAATCTTGATCATAAACCAATGAAGAGATTAAGAATTAGGAGCATATGTCACCCAGAGTATTGAGAGAAATTCGAAAGGGTAGGAAATATAAATCTCGCAACCTTTCTTGTTGGTATGATATATTTATTCTTCTGATTATGCTTTTTTTTGCAGATGACAGATTAGCAATTTGCATGTATAGAAGTTATATTTGTCAAATTAGAAAAATAACTTTGCAAAGGTAAACTTTTATCTGTAGCTTCACGCACACCATTGGGAAGCTCAAGATGCTGAAGCACATGATTTTCGGAATGCTAAGTTGGGTGCTAGATTTTTTATGGTGGCTAGCGTACCATTCCTAGGTATACTTTGCATAAATATATATATATATATATATATATATATATATATATATGTGTGACCTTTGGCTCGTATAAGGTCCCATGAAAGGGTACTTTACTATCCAAAAGCATTTATATATTCGAATTGGAGAAAATGCACAAGAAAGTCCGCTGACCGATGAAGTCATGGGCTTTGGTTCATATCTTGACGCCCCAAGCCTAGTAAGCAACCACGTCAAGATGAGGAGCCTTGTGTTGGGTTCTGTGGCTTGTTTGTTGAAGCTCAGGTGATACACGGTTGCTTCACAAAGGAGCGGGGTCTGAAATTCATATCCATTTTTGCCGGAAAAAAACTGAAAATGGTGAAATGTCTGTGTGATTTTGACAGTCAGCTACAGTGGCTTTACTTCAGCCTGTGTAGCCAGGGTATTCAGGTTAATCCAAGCTATCAGGTTATTGGGTTTAGACGAGTGAGGGGAAGGAGGGGAACAACAATGTTATTAGGTTTTCTTTGTGTTGTCCTTTAAGAATTGTGGACACATTTGGGGGATCCATGGATGTATGATTTGTCAAACAACAGATTATTCTTATTTTCTATTTCTTTGTTCTGTATGTGTATTTAGGTGCGTAATTATGTTGAAATCAAACGACAATGCTTCTGCACGTCATTCAAGTTATTCTCATTTTGTGGGATCACAGCTCAGGTTTGTGGTAGAGACCATTTTAATCTGTATGGTAAGGATGGACAACCAGATGAAGATGCAAGCCAAAAATGTCTGATTGGAAGGGCAACATCAATCTGTGACAGATGAGATGTTATGCATTTGCAAGGATACGTGGTGATAATAAGATCAAAACTCTATAGCGAGGATTGAGGAGAACTAGAAAAAAAGAGACGTCAGAAAAATGTAGATATATCTTATATATATATATATATATATATATATATGGCTCTTTGCATTGTGATGTTAGAGAAGATGGTAATTGATTTGTAGAAAGGAATCGAATTTTCGCAATATAATATATACAGCTCAAATAGTGGGAACAGGTTGGCAGATGCAAAGAAGTAGAAAGAGAAGGATGGGTAGAAGGATGAGATGCACCGGTGGGAGGAGGCTCTGAAGTCAGACTGGAGGGGTGATCATAGTTCCCATCATTCCTCTCCTAGGGAGAAACTCTGACTACTGATATGTCTGGTCCCGTTTCAGGAACTTGACGCTGAAGAAGGTGATCCTTAATCTGCCGTGAAGCATCATGAGGTGGATGATCTTTTCATTTGATGAGAGAGGGCAAATTTCCTTTTAGAGAATGTCTTGGCCTTTTTACTCGTGAGGACAGAATTCAAAAGAGCTAGCTAAAGGTGGCAATGGTAGAAGAGGCCATCACAGCCTTACCTACAGGGACCTCAGGAGACAGAGAAGAAAGCTCAAAGAAAATAATGAAATAAATTCTCTACATTGGAAATAAGATTATTATTTCTATTTGACGGAAAATATAATGGGTAACCATTCGATCCTTAATTATTGATGGCATGAAAGGGACCAGTAGTTTATGGATGAAGTTTCTCTGAGTAATGAATGATGTGCTGCCATCGCAGAGTCACTTTCTCTGAACCCGAGATTCATGTGCGAGGATATGTGGCACCTTTGTGTTTTTTGACCATATACGATGATCATATGATGAATTCATCAAGAATATAATGATTTGTTCTTAAAAAGAATGAGCTAACTTGGAAGGATGAGGATACAAGCGAAATGGAATGATGTTAAGGGGAAACACAGGCTATGTACCAAGAACAACCTGAAAGGAGTTTTGACCAATCATTTGATCAGTGAACCTGTCATATGCAATTCAGTCGTGTATGGCAGTCGGTAAAATCAGGTCCCACTTGGTTTTCTAGTCTCCTTCTGACCTTTCTGTTAGATCATCATCTAAGGGTGGAAAGCCAGATAGCTTTAGTTGAGTAACAAAGGTTTTCCATTGAGTTACCAGAGAAGCTTGTAACTTTTGCATCTCTGTCAGAATCAGTTGGCATGTGTAAGACTAAAGAAGAGTTTGGCGGCACACGAGGCACGAGAGGTTTGCTGAATGAAATGGAAGGTGTCATTTTAGAGTAGTCCACTTTCATAATGGCATCATTGTCCCCTGGATGTTTTGGGAAGTTTTGGAATAATATCAGACTTACAGAGGTGTTATGAAGACCAATGTTTGGCTCCCTAGTCGTAGCCATTTGATATCTGTGGTCTTAGGGGACAATTCATTCGATGTCGCTATGTGTAGAAGGCCAGAAGGTAATCCATTAAGTTGACTTTCACCTCTGTTTACTTATTGGGAAGAAGGTTCTGATCACATACAGTTTATCAGGTGTTGGTAACATGTAGCTAGGCGATCCTATTCATCCAAATAAAATGAATAGTGGGAAATCCTGTGTAGTAAAGACATTCAAATAATCCGAGCAAGGGGTAGTACAATGGATGGAAAAAAGGAGGATCATCAAGGTTCCTAATTTTTTTCTATTTCTAGGTTGTGGGAGGGAGTCCATGGATGTAGGCTGCCTTCCATCTCGTTGATTGCTCACATTCATAAGGGGGAGAGAGAAAGAGGATGAACAGAAGAAGAGAGAGAAGGACAAATGAGAGATTGGCAGAAGCCCTTTGTGATGTGCAGATGTGAAGAGACTATCTTCTTGCATGCCACCAAAGGTAGGGTTCTTTTCTTAATGCTAGTGGGGTTACAAAGGGACAGAACACGAATTCATCTAACATGACTGAATGGACATTAGAGGGAAAAACAGTTGTCAAAAAGGTAGGTCTTCCGGGTTATTAGGTCCAAGATTGCAGTAGCCCATCCATGGGTGCAGATCATAGCCTGTGTATTGTATGATTATTTTCGAACTTATGTACAGTACATCCATAAGCCATTTGAGTGTTGTCAAGAGAAGCTCGTTCCGATAACCTCCAAATCACAACACTGCAAATGTAGACCTCATTCACCATTTACTTTTTGCACTTGCGTCATCTGGTGAAGCCTACATTTTGACTGAAAGATGCTATCGAGCTTTAACAAGCAATGTTACCTTAATCAAAGTTGTTTTACGGAAACTTCAAGATGATACTGAAGGGATAATGGCTTCGATCCCTGCTGGCTTCACATTAGAGTGATATTAGGATAGCAGGTGATGTCAGGCCACTTTGAATGCCGTTTTGAGGTGATGCCATAAGGTCAATAATATCATCAATCTATGTCATTGATCCATCATTTAGGATTGTAAATTGATAAATATTCTAGTAAGCAACAGGATTTCTGAGAATGATACATGTGAAATTAGCTCTGTTAGATAGATTAGACGACGATCCTAGATTTCTTTATTTATTTATTTATTTATTGAGTTTGCTTTCGTTCTTCTCGTTGTTTCAAATGATATGAGGTAAACATATTATAATCTCTTGATTTCTTGATATTATGTTCATCTAACACTTTCTTGCCAACTGCAGCTTCATTGAATGTATAATCTTTGTAACCTCACTTTATTGCTATTGAATCGACCATGTTTCTCAGAAAGAGTCAAGAACCGCAGAGGAGAATCAATTGATAGAAGAAATAAAGGAGCTTTTAAAGCAGGCCAGCTTGCTATCGACGTAGGTTTCTATTACTTCATTGAGTCCATTCTCTCAAGAACCAAAATACAATCTGGTTCTTATATATTTTTGGGATCAACTTGGCAGCTTGAATAATTTTTTTGATGGCGCTTATGCGATATTTCATTCCTCTCTTTCTTGTCCTGCATATTTTTACTTTTCTTTCTCATATATCAATGAGCTGCTTTTTACTGGTAATTTTGGACCAGTTTGTTTTCAGGGTTTTCTGGATTTAGTTGACGGGGGATAAAAAAGGAAACATTCAGAGTCGTGACATTCTTTACCCAGGAGCTGCAAAAAGAGTAAAAATTGAATCCTTAAGAAAACGAATATAATAGAGCAAACAGCATTCTTGAGTAGTTAATGCAAAAGTAATGAATGGTAATGTTTACTTTCGCCAACATATAAAACCCGAGAGAATCAGCAATTTTTTGAAAGTTAGTGCTTTAGAAAAATGATGAGTAATCTTTGTCTGGTTCTTCAGTGTCATTCGTTCTTTGGATGATATAAGAGTGCAAGGATATGCCAATCTTATCACTCATTAAAATTTTGATTTATATTTCCCCGCATGGCAATGGCAACCTTATTAACTTACGTTTATGGTGGGTTATCTGGGCCAAGGTCTGAAAAAGTTATTCTGTGGAACTAATATGTTGATCTGTTTACGTGATGAAAGGGGATAACTTCCTTATTTATGTGCCCCCCCAGAAATGAATAAATGTGCTGCAGATAAAACCCAAAGATTAGAAAGTCGACATGTTCTGACAATTTCTTTCAAAAAAATTATGAGGAAGTCAATAAATGATCCGAAAGTTAATATTTTATATCTCACCATCATCGGCCAATTGATTTTTTCTTTAAAATTCTCCACTGATTTTTATTTAAATTATATAAAAAAGTTTCTGGAACTTGTTTATTTGACAGTTCTTGTTGTTGAATTTTTCTTCTTTTAATCATAAAAAAAAATCGACTTCATTTTTGCATGGAGGTTTAAATCAGTGAAAAGTTATTTGGATTAAACCAAACCCCTTTCGAGGTATTTGATTTAACCTATTAAACTTTTAGTTTATGATTCTCAGTTATACTTAGAAGAATGATTACTTATTACAGAACGAATTGACTGATGAATAAGCTAAACTCTTTTGGAATGACCCAATATGTAAATTCTCTTCAGAAGGTTTTTAGAGATTTATGGAGAACTTACCTTGAAAATACATCGGTCAGGAATTCAGTGTGAATACACACCATCAGGACATGAAAACGGTTCCCATAATTAGTGAATAAAATTTGGGCTAAGATTAATTGCATTGGGTTTCTTTTTATGTATCAACTAGATCTTCTTCTTCTTCTTCTTCGTTTTAAGAATCACGTTTAGGATGCCTCTTCTCTCTGTCGATCAGTTTATTTTGCACGCCAGCTGTTCATATTCTATTTGTTTTCATGTCTGCAGACCATCCTCATTTGCTCATGCTGCGAAGCTTCAACGAATGGCAGCAGCTAAACAGAAGGAGCTTGTGAAGAGTAAGTCAACATTATTAGGAAACATGTTCTGCTCCAAATCCATACCCACTTTCGGAAAAAATGATTAGAATGTTGATCTACTCCTCCTTTTCCATATAATGGTTGAATTCCCATTCAGGGGTTGAAGGTAATCGCCTGCTTTCTTCAAAGATTCGTTCTCATTCTGGTCCAGGTTGAAGTCTGGCTCTTTCAGGACCATAAAAGGCTGATCCCGAAACTGGCCTATTAAAAAAATTGTGGAAGAAATAGTCATGAAAGAACTTCTTCTATAAATAAAAAAAATTGATAGTTCTCTGATTTTTCCTCCCTCTAAAGTCCTAAATGTTAATGTCTTTCAGTTCAGCAGGAAAATAAAAAGAACAAAAGGGTGTCATATGATTCATGTGCAAGGGCTTTTATGCTTCTGAAGGTCCGTTTTGGTGGTTCTCTGGCTGATTTTAGTTTAGAATTTTATTTTTTTATCTGGAAATTATCACTCTTTATCCACTTAATAAATATTTATGGTTGGATTTTTTTTGCAGGTAATCATATATCTTGGCCTTAGCTGGTGGTTTTGGGGAGTTCCCATTGCAGAGGTCCCTCGACAGTTTCTGCAACCTTTGGGTGAAATATTTATTAGATTTTATTTCCTTATTTCTCTCTGTTTCACCAACTATTTTATTTAATTAGACTTTTTTTGGCACCTTATAACATTAAAATTCCCAATTCCAGTAATTAAATCGGATCTTACTATTTTTGGCAACTTGTGGATGATTCTGTAAACCGTGGCCTATTTGGGTAAAAGAACTCCAAGAAGATCGGACTTGCCGATTGCCTTCATCTGATCGGTCTTCTTCAGGCTCAGCTTATCTTAATCCGGCATGTTCTTGCAGGGAGGATGCTGTCGTGGAGAGCTGCGGATCCGGCAACTGACGTCATCAAGGTACGAGAGAGTTCCCCAACAAGTGCTTCAAGCCCTGGTTATGGTTGACTTGACTGGACCCACCCCGCTGACCATCATCTTCTATCTGAACTCAGGTTGGGATAATTCCCTGGCTGGTGCTGACCAACCGGGTCAGCAAGTTTCTATCTCAAAAGCTGCCTGATCTATTTCTCTAGATCCCTCATGCGTTGGTTCCTCCGCACTTCAGCGTACTCGGTCAGTGCGGATGTTGTAGTGGTTGTGGTTGACTTGACTGGACCCACCCCGCTGACCATCATCTTCTACCGCAAATCAGGTTGGGATAATTCCCTGGCTGGCGTTGACCAACCGCGTCAGCAAGTTCCTATCTCAAAAGTTGCCTGACCTATTTCTATAGATCCCTCGTACGTTGGTTGCTCCGCACTTCAGCTTACTCGGTCAGCGCAGATTGTTCTGGGCACTGTAAGCACCTGCATGGGCCTGTCGATGGTCCCGGGCCCGAATCTGGATGGGCCTTTCGGGCCGGGCTTTTGGCCCATTAACGTCTTAATACGGTCAAAGTATTTGTTGAACGAAGTTTCTCTCTCATAAGATGGGTCGATTTGGTGTCATCATCCCTCTCATGACGTGGAAGGGATATATTGGGCCAGGCCATATTTATTGTCAGATCTTGAGATGAAAAATCTGGAGATGGCCGTATATGGACCGGGCTAGGCTCCAAGCGTGCAGCCCATTAAAATTACCAAAAACAATATTAATATATTGTAAAATGTATTTTATCGAAAAAAAAATGCAATTTGCTCATATAAAATCCTACCCGCGAGGAGTCGAGGGTATAATTTAAAATGTATGGATATACGGGTCAATTTTTTAAAGGTTGGAAGAGCATGTGAGGAGGAATGTTTCTCATTTTGGATATGTATGCAATATAAATTGGTCATTTTTGAAAATATTAAATATATTTTGGTTTTAGTGTAAATAAGAAGCCCATCGGCGTAACCCTGATTATTTCACTGTGGACTTCCTCCCGCTCCGTCCCGCCGGTCTTCTGAGTCTCTGCGAGCGAAGGAAGTCGAGGAGTTTGGGGGCTGCAGGTTAGGGTTTTGCTGAGGGCCCTCCGTCCACTGCCTTCTCTGCCATCTCCTGGTCAATTTTATCTGACGGGCAGGGGAAGAGGCATCCAATTGCCTCTTTTTTATGTTTTCTTTGTTCACCTCAGGGTTTGTTGCGGGCGCTCGCGGGGGAGATATTCTTCCCTACGGTGGTGGCGATCGCGGTATCTCGTGTGTTCTTTGTCTGGAAGGTACCCGCAGGATTCTCTACCAGGCGCAATGAGCATCTACGGCCCTAGGGGGTAAGTGTGACGAATAGATACCCTAATCCTAGCGCCTTGCTTATTGTTGTCTTCTTCTTCTCGCCTGTCTGGTAGTGTCATTATTGCCTTGTTATCTTTTATTTCTATTTCGTTCATTTCACCGAGTTTTGATTTTGTCTTCTGTTTCAAGATGTGGTTTCCGGCCTTTGTTTCTTGGACTTTGCTGTAAACCCCATTCAATGCTCTCGCCCTAAACCTAGGTTTCTCGGGCAGAAAATCCGTCGAGTAGCGCGGCATATCCCTAGCAGGATCCGTGAATTTGCAGCTTATGTGGGTTTTTATCTTTCTAAGGCTGCGATTTTAGATGGTAGAGTCTTAAAAGCCAATGTCTACAAAATGGTGCTGGATTAGGCTGTTATCCGCACAGTATTTTTTCGCCCCTCTGAACAATTGAATGCTATGTTGCAAAAATTGGCTATCATTTAATTTATTTCTGGAAATTTTCCGGAGGGATATTACGTCATTGTGTAAGTTGATCTGATGAGAAGTCGACTTGCTTTTCGTCGATAAAAAATATCTTGAATCCTAGTCAAGTTTTTTTGTTATTCTAATTAGGATTTGGTGCATTAATGGGTGATTTAGTGGAAGATAGAGGAGTAAAAAGTGAAATGGCCCGTTTGAGAATGAATAACGGAGTTTATTTCTTATAAACCAGCCAACGGCTTGTGATTTTCAGAAACCTAGGGAAAAATATTGATTCATCCCGTACTTGATGAAAACTAAATTTACAAAGATTATGTCCTATCACTCATAATACGTTTTTTTTTCATATAATTATATGTGGATTTTCCATTGAAGTAATATTTTTTTGTAGAATGAAAACTGTAGTCGATATTAACCTCTAGCGACCTTTGCTTTGAAATTCGACCGACATCAATCTGAATTAGCGGGACTGATGATTATATCGGTGAAGCATGGTTTCCCCAATAGTGGAAAACAAAAGAATGAATCAGCTTCAATGCCCTTCTGATGATTGTTAGAGAGAGGTTCTTTGTTCCTCCATTCCTTTCTTTATAACATACCAACCTTCGCCACCACCCTCCTAGCATAGTCTGTGCAGCTTAGGAAGAAGAGATTGGGAGGTCTGTACCACTTCCACTTCGCATAGTTCTTGTGGGCCTCAACTCTCGCCCAAGGATGATCATCTGACCACTGCTCTAGAACATTGCCTTTCTTGCATTAAATGATATAATGTCTCAGTTCCCCAGTGGCAAAAATAGTAACCTAATTTCAATCTTTGTCTAATTAAAATTGGGGCGTCAACTATCATGTAGACCGGGCTCTGTAAAGGACCTCTTTGCTTTCTCAATTGTCCCCAAAGCAAGATCCATCAGTACATTGGGAAAGGAAAGAGGGAGGGGCGAATTACTGTGAAACATCATAAGTTAAAAAAAAATCCAAAGAACAGGGAAAAAGAACCTCAGATGCTCTTAAATTCTGATCTCTCTACACCCCCCCGCCTCTCGTGAATCATATACGCACCAGGGGCTCACCACCTGCGTTCTTCAGAAGTGAGGTTAGAATTGGACATGATGATTAGGTGAGAACTGGGTTGTTTCTAATATAAAAAGTTCTGATGGTGAAAATTACAAATGCTTCATGGCTTCGCTATTCTCCTTCTAAATATTTATACATGAACTTTTTAATGCTTTTTATCTTGCATCGAGCCTCCATAGCAGGTTTCCTCAGCTTGCCTAATCATTAGGTGGGATGTTGGCTTTCCTTTTACCCTGAAGGATCAAGCAATTTGGGTAAACATTTTGACCAACCGGACACCAGACTGAAATCAGATTTTCTATGTGGGCAGTTACTACTACTTTAGCTAGCTACAAATACTTTGTGAAAAGTTACTTTGCGGGTTAATGAAGGATCTCAGCGGGTTACTTTGGTTGTAAGTGATTAATCACCATTTTTTTGGGTTCAATAGTTCGAATCCAACAAACGAGGTAGTCCTTCTAGGCTTTCAAAATGCCTGAGTTTAGCAAACCTACAACCGTGCTTCTTTTGGAAATATGCATTCACAAAATAATTGGGTCACACCACACAACATAATCCCTGCAGAAATTTCACTGGTTGGTCCTCAAACCCTATTTCCTGTTTTCGTTTGCTCAAGAAGGCTTCTCCTTCTAGTTTATGTGGCTTTCGGCTGTAAGCCTTTGTTAGTTATCTTTTATCTCTGTTGGCTATGGCAGTCTCCCATTCTTCTCTTTCCATAGATTTTTCTTCCTCCCGAGTGCATGGTTTGTTCAGACCCAATTGTGCATATTGGAATTTAATATTTCTTCCGCATGTCCCTGGTGTGTTCAGTTGTATGGTCCTTGATAATATATGGAAAAACGAAGTTCATGTCTAGTCTCGGGTTTTGGCGCGCCAATGAGGTGGGGAACTGACGAGTTTTGAGGCTTTTGCTCTCCCGTTTCTCCTACCCTACGAGAAGGACGATGTGGGGGACCGAGGGGTATTCAGAGGCGTACGAGGTCGGATCCAAGAGACCGCGGGTGGTAGACTCAACAAACCCCTACTTCGCAGTGGGCGCCGCCAGCGCAGGGTTCCTCCTACCCTACGGCGGCGGCTACGGTGGCGGGGACATCAACTATGGCGCAGCCCTCAGCGGCTACGGCAGCAGCACTGGTAGCAGCAGCATGTACGCCTTCCCCGTGGTCCGCCTCAGAGGCCTGCCCTTCAACTGCACCGACATCGACATCTTCAAGTTCTTCTCCGGCCTGGACGTCCTCGACTGCCTCCTCACCAACAAGAACGGGCGCTTCTCCGGCGAGGCCTTTGTCGTCTTCGCCTCCCCGATGCAGGCCGAATTCGCCCTCGAGCGGGACCAGCAGAACATGGGTCGCAGGTATGTAGAGGTCTTCCGCTGCAGGAAGCAGGACTATTACCACGCCGTCGCCGCAGAGGTGAATTCCCTGGGCATCGGCGGTGGCGGCGGCGGTGGCGGCACTGGCGGGGAGGGAGACTACTCCCGTGGCGGCCCCTCGTCCAGTGCCAGGGCCCATGAAGGAAAGGACCAGATGGAGTACACCGAGGTCCTTAAGCTCAGGGGGCTCCCCTTCTCGGTGACCAAAGCCGACATCGTCAACTTCTTTGGCGGCGACTTCGGCCTGGCCGAGGACAATGTCCATGTCGTTGTGAGGGCCGACGGCAGGGCCACCGGCGAGGCCTTTGTGGAATTTGCCTCGGCAGAGGAGGCCAAGAGGGCGATGGGCAAGGACAGGATGACGATCGGGCCGAGGTATGTGGAGCTCTTCCCTTCTACCCCTGAGGAAGCCCGGAGGGCTGAGGCCAGGTCTAGGCCATGAACAATGGTGGTGGCGGCCAAACATCAACCCTCCATAGCTTGTTTCTATGCTCCTCCCTGCACGGTTGGGTGCCTGATTCTTGTGTTTTTGAGTGTTCTTAGCCCGTCTTCGATGCGAGGCTGATCAATGTAAACAACTCTATTTAGGGCTAGATGTTTTATCAAAACGGTGAGCTTTATTTATGTAATAAAGCGAAGGATATGGTGAGCTCCGTGGGTTGTAGTGTAGCAGGGGACGGGACGGCGGCGGGGAAGAAGACCCTTCCTCGTTTGGTCGTCCAAAACAAGTTCCCGTTGACCTACTAGCCTCCCATCAAGAAAGAGAAAGGTCAAGGGGGGAGGGGGGGTGGAGAAGGGGACCAGGGAGCCACGTATCCGTCTCGTCTGGCCGAGAACGGTCAACGAGTTATTGTCCTCGTTGACTGTTCAGACTATGGGCCCAGTTTCCGTGGCTGCTGGATGCGGACGGCCCAACTACAACTGTGCACCCGGCGGAACATTCCCTGCCGTAGTAGTCAACCATAGCCTGGATTTGCAGCTTACTACCGAGAAAAGCTGGAGGTAAAGATCGAGCTCAAGGTCAACGAAAGGTTTCTCCAAACCTTTAAGCTCTTCTTTTGAGGTGAAAGGGAGAGATAGTCAACGAGGGAAGGAAACTCCATGATTTGACCAAAATTCCCATACACATGCTTCACAAGATCCTCGCCCAAACTTGACTCCAAAATTGCAGCATGGATACTTGGCGAGTCAAAGTATATTTGTTTAGATATATTTCATCCAGTTATCATTTTCCTATTTTTCTACTTTTTTTTAGTAGCTCTTTTTTGAAAATTTATAGATCCATCCTTCTTAATGTCCCGTAAACTTTAGTCTGATATTATTCCTGATTAAATTATATAATTATTTAGCCATTGCATACTATGCGCCAAAGTTTTCTTTCCCAGTTGGCTATGAATGGCGACAATGACTGCTATAATCTGAAACCACGACAGGAAATAGAAGCAATTTTCTCTGGCGATTGACTTCGATTAATCTCTCTCCTGAATCATTAAGCCCATCTTAGACTACTATACATCAGTTGACTTTCTTTCACGATCCACTTAATATCTTGGTCAACGATCACTATTTGTCGTTGATTCGTAGACACGTCAATGAATCCACTCTCCCACAAACGAAAAAGGAAAAAAAGAGCGAGATATCGACATACCAGTCTGCACGGACGCATCAAATACTGTTACTATTATTGCCTTATTCTAGCGGCTACATAATTTTTATAATAATTAAATATGCACGTGAGAAAAATAATAATATCCTCACATTTATTGTCACTGGTAAGTCCACGAAAAAAATAAAATTAATTTATTTAATTCAAAAGGTAATTAATTACCCAATTGTAGTATTTGGATGATAATCCTAATTAACAAAACCGCACGCATTTTTTTAACTAATAAGAATATATTAGCATGTTTCTTCTCCGAGAATGGGGGCGACCAAGTCAACGTGGGACCGAGTCGCGCGCCACACGGCGAGCCGGTTCGGTCGCCACATCACCCTTGAAACCCCGTTCCGATAGCGCCTTCTCGATACGCGCTTCGGGACTCGTCTTTTTTGACTCGGGAGGATCGGGCGGAAATTCAGTCTTCGTGCGTCGTATTCCAACGGCAACCCCCGAGTGAGTTCCCTCACCGATTCGACCATCCAAAAGAGGGGAAACTTCCACGTACCTCCTCCTCTTCAAGAAATTGCAGCAACTGGAACCGGGAAAATGTTTCACCGAATTAAATAGAAATTGTTTACATATCCCCAAAGAGGGGTGGAAATTTTATCACGAGCTCACACTTTTATACTGGGAAATTTTTATTTCACTGTGATTTATTTTATATTGTTTTAGTAACCCTCACTGAAGTGGGACCCATACCTTACTTGCGTTGACTATTTTCTCTCTCTTACCTTCGGTCGCCCACCATGGCGGCGTTGTCGTCTTCATGGACCGTCGATCTCTATGAAACCAGGACCCGCCTCTCGCAAGCGCCGCCACCAGGGGGAAGGACCAGCGGCTGGCTTCCTGGGAGATGAAGAAGATTCGGTGAAAGAGAACTTGCCTTAGCGGTGGAGGAGGGGGGAGGGATTATCAGAGAGAGAAGAAGAAGAAGAGAGGAGTGGTCGAGAGGTTGGGAGGGCGGTGGTGGTTCGGGATATGGGGAATTGTTTCGGTTCTGTGAGGTCTTCTCCGATCCCTGCCAGCAGCGGGACTTCCGGCCCAGGTACTGCGTGAGATGAGATGAGATGAGAGAGAGATGATCTCGATCTCTGTATTTTCTCTCTGATTCGTTGCCGCTCCGTTGATCTCCACTTTTCTTGTTCTCTGCTGCGATTCAGTCGTCTCTGGTTCATGCCGTTCCCTAATCGAATTGTGAGCACCACTGGGTGTGAGAGAGGGAGAGAGAGAGAGAGAGAGAGAGAGAGAGAGAGAGAGGGGGAGAGAGAGAGCTGCGATTCAGTCGTCTCTGGTTCATGCCGTTCCCTAATCGAATTGTGAGCACCACTGGGTGTGAGAGAGAGAGAGGGAGACAGAGAGAGAGAGAGAGAGAGAGAGAGAGAGGGGGAGAGAGAGAGAGAGATTCGTTTCCTCCCTTGATTCACTCTACTGGAGGTTCTTCCCCTGACTGAGGAGCGAGAAAGGACCTCATCTGGTTTTTTGTTTTGCTAATACTCGAGGGATCTCTTCATGGAAGGGATTTCCGAGGACTGCGTCCTTCCCTGACCTCGTCTTCTTCTTCTTCCTTCATCTCTCCAGTGTCAGACAACCTCAAATCGAATAGCGGCAGCACCACCACAAACACGACGAACAGCGAGTCCAAATTTTCGGCCGCTTGCAGCAGCAATGGACAGTATTCCACCTCCAGCCAGAGCACCGAGGAAATAGAAGCCAACGGACGCATCCTGGAGGCCCCCAATCTCCGGATCTTCACCTTCGCAGAGCTGAGGAGCGCCACGAAGAACTTCAAGCCGGATAGCTTCCTCGGAGAAGGGGGATTCGGGAGGGTGTACAAGGGCTGGGTCGACGAGAAGACTCTGAATCCGACGAAGAGCGGCTGCGGGGTGGTGGTTGCCGTCAAGAAACTGAACTCAGACAGCATGCAGGGGCTGAATGAATGGCAGGTACCGATCGGTTTCCAGTTCTCAAGAGCAATTTTTCAGTCTTCGTTCTGAATTTTCCACACTGAAAATATCTTCCATAGATTCGATTCAAACCATTTTAAGGGGATCATCTGCTCTTATCCTACGAATTTGTCTGGATCGTTCTCCAAATCGATATCAGACAGAGTCTTCTGATCCCCTTTTGTCATGGAAAAAAAATAGTCTCCGCGGGGAAGCCTTCCATTAATGAACTCCCTCCGTCTTCCGGTCCGAATGCCTGATCCAGAGACCATCCGCCATTCAAAGCCGGTCAAGGTCTCCACTGACGTGCCCCCCCCTCTCTCTCTCCGTCCTCGCAGTCAGAGATCAACTTTCTGGGTAGGCTCTCCCACCCCAACCTGGTGCGGCTGCTGGGATACTGCTGGGAAGACAGGGAGCTCCTCCTGGTCTACGAGTTCATGTCCAAGGGCAGCCTGGAAAACCACCTCTTCAGAAGTAAGCTCCCTGATCCTTCTCTCAGCTGATAAATTCAGATGTCAACGGCGGATAGAGCTGATGCCCAGTTCTTGATGGAATCAGAGGGAGTTTACCAGCCCCTGTCATGGAGCCTACGCCTGCAGATCCTCATAGACGCCGCCCGGGGGCTCACCTTCCTTCACAGCTCGGAGAAGCAGGTCATCTACAGAGACTTCAAGGCCTCCAACATCCTCCTCGACTCGGTAAGCGAACAAAACCCACAACTCCCCGTGCTTCGCTCTGCCATGGCTGGCACTGATCGGCGGCCATTCTTTCTCCGCGGGGAGCAGAATTTCAACGCGAAGATCTCAGACTTTGGGCTGGCGAAGAACGGGCCGGCGGGGGGAGAATCGCATGTGACGACGAGGGTGCTGGGGACGTACGGCTACGCGGCGCCGGAGTACATGGCGACGGGGCATCTGTACGTGAAGAGCGACGTCTACGGGTTCGGCGTGGTGCTGCTGGAGATGATGACCGGGCAGCGGGCGCTGGACACGAACAGACCGAGCGGGCAGCACAACCTGGTGGACTGGGCGAGGCCATTCCTCTCCGACCGGCGCAAGCTCGTGCGGATAATGGACTCTCGAATGGAGGGCCAATACCCTTCTAAGGCGGCGTACCAGGCGGCGCAACTCTCGCTCCGCTGCCTCGCCGGCGACCCCAAGAAGCGCCCCAGCATGCAGGAGGTGGCGGAGGAGCTGGAAAAGATCGCCACACTCAGGGGGAAGACGAAGGACGTCAACGCCCCCCCGGCGGCGGAGCGCCACCACAACGTACGGCCCACCGCCACCCCCCAACGCCACCACAACCAACACCACCATCAGCATCAGCATCACCAACGCCGCCCCTCTCCCATCCATCCCCACCAGGTCGCCTACTGATGATGATAATCATTCAGAGTGACGGCCGTTTCGGGTGTCTTATTTTTTTTTTTGGTTTCTTTCTCTCGGTTCAGTTTTAATTGTTTGGGTGGTCCTCGGAGGTTGTGGCCGGTCCTTGTCTGTGTAAGATGGGGCTCCTTGACCAGCTAAGGATTGAATCTTTGGCGGCTGTTCAACGCCAGTGGCGGCTATGCGGGTTAAATGTTGGGCGGCTGTAGAAATCGCTTCTGCGGCCGGAAAGCGACACCTGAAAGCTTGGATTTTGCCTCCGTGGGTCCGTCCCCGATTAACCAGGGCCGTTGACTGCCCCCAAGCTTGGAAATGACAGTAACTGGGACATCTGCGAAGACCATATATAGAGATTTACAAGGAGATCAGCTCCCTCGTGGGAATCTTGGGGAGAAATCAATGTACAGCCGAACCTAATGGAGGAAGGAGGAGAAAGAAAAAGGGAGGGGGGTGGGCGAGGAGAGGAATGATCGGATCTGTGGCCGGCAATAAATGGTCAGGATCCGCTCGTCGGAGAGGTGGCGGCGGCGGCGGCGGGCCTTGGACGAGCAGGATGCTGAACGGAGATCTTGATGGTGGGGATACCCGAAGATCTGTGGATGTCGCCGCACTCATGCAAGTCAGCGTCGCAGGTCATGAGGACCCACTCCGAGTCGTCGTCAAGGTACTTGAGCTCCATCGAGCTTGACCGGACGATGCCGAATCTCCGGGCGATCTCCTGCTTCAGATCCTTGAATCTCCACGCAGGTTGCAGCCTGAGTCTGATCTTCTCCTTCCCGTGGGTGGCCTTCACTCTCAGTAGACCGGCCGAGGCCCTGTTGTACGGAGCGGGATTAGTCTCCCCAAGCGACTGGAAGCTCTGGGACTTGATCAGAAACCCAGGGTTTTCCGCCGCGGGGGGGAGGCGAAGCTGCGCTTCGCTGTGCACTCTCTTGAGCATCTTTCTCTGGTTCTCCTCCGGGAAGCCTTCCTGCTCTTCCTCTTTTATCGGAGCCTGCGTTCTGTGGGAGCAGGACTGGCTCGAGCTGGAGCTATGGCTGCAAGACGAAGACGGAGAATTGGAGAGAGAAGCTGGAGGTTCGTCGTGTTTCTCTGAGCTCCTTCCGGGCTCTCTCTGGGCATTTTGATCCGGGGCACCAGCTTTGGGGAAATCTGAGTACAGGGAGCTGAGATGGTAGGCGCTGTCGACTCCCTGGATGGAGTCGATCACCACCTGTAGCTTTCTCAGGGAGTGACCCACCTTCTTGATCTTTCTCGAGGGCCAGCGAGAAATCCCATGCTGCCTGCATATCCTCTTCAGTGTAGTAGGGCACACTGCAACACAGCAGGTTTACGGATGTCAAGTCAGTGCAGGGTCTAGCTATTTTTTTACCTTTTTATATATATATTTATCTCGATGTTTCCACGGAGAATGATGAAGTCAAGTCTACAAGTAGATAGAGCTGAAGGGGGTCATGCCCCCTTCAGCTTGATAGAGAAAGTCAGCAACTCATATAAAACAGAGTGGGCAGCTAAGCTGGTGAGGGTGGTAAGAAACATCGAAGGCTTCCTGTGTCTGCGGAAGGAGTCTAGACTGAGAGGGAAAGAGGGAATCAGGGGAAGATTTCCAGTACATTGCATGTCTTTTTTTGTAAAAAAAATTAAATCGGCTTTACACACACGGCGGGATGGCAAGAAGATTCCACGCTTTCCCATTCCATTTATGAACTAAAAGTAAGAAGATGATTGGCAAAGTATTCCCAAGGCAAATAGGTCTAACACTCTCTCATCCAATATCTGCAATCGCTATAAATACTTGGAAACAAATTTATATACTTTAAATGGAATTGCTTTGAGATTGTACTTCAGTGTGTCTCTTTTATTTGAAATCTGTGCCTACAATCCGACATCCGTAGGAAGAAATTCTGAAACCCCTGTGACAGGATCTTGATCACGCCCTGGTATGGGAGGGATAAATAAGAAACATAGTTTTCATAAAATCCTTTTCGGGGCATATCATCAGACCAGAAACAATGATCTAGGGCCTAACGAACCCTAGTAAAGTCATTGATCAGGTAATCAAATCATCAAGTGATGAGCCCTCATCTCGCATGGATAGTTTGAGGAAATTAGACAGTAAGTCTAAGTGGAAGCTGATAAATAAGGTTTTCCGTTTAACCAAAGTTTTTGATCTGCGAATCGGTTTATATTACCATCTATGGTGAAATCTTCTTTATTTGTCAGGAAATGATCAAGGGACTTCCTAAGATGTTGTGTGGTGGAGGTGCACAAAATGACGATACATATGAATAAAAACGGACACGAGCAGGTGGGTGCCTACCTCCAATGCTCTTCGCAGCATCTTTTAGACTACCAGAGAAGTGCTGTTGAAGGACCTCCATGCTGATTGTCTTCTCCATTTTCGTCCGCTTCTTTTCTGCCGCCTTCCCTTTGCTAGAAACGTCGGATTTACCGGTAATATCTCCACCTGGACCTTGATTGCGGTCTGCTGATGGCTTACTGCTCTCTGTCAACAGCTCTGCGTCAGGTCTACCAAAGAAACTTGTCCCACTGAATCTCTTCAACTCCGGGTCTTCAAACTGCAATGACGAACCAGCACGGAGAACGTTGGCTTTATTATTATTCAGTAGAGCTTCTACAAGGTCTTCAGTGCACGTTGGATCCGGCTCAGGAACTTCTGCAGCAGGAGTTAAGATGCCTAAACTCATATTCTGACCCTCATGAAATCCAAAACGTGCTCCGCACAGCATGTTTGAAGCCAGTTGTTCATTAACTTGCAGAGTGGTTTCATCTTGCAGCTCTTTTTCTGTGAGGACCCGAAAACTCCGACAGACCTGCCGCATGGTTGTGGACAGTGAGTGAAGTATCACCTTCTGCTCTTCACCCTCATGGCATTCCATCGGCAAGAAGAATTCCAGCACGAAGTCACAGTTTCCAGAGTTAACACCGCGTAGTCGGATAGCCACTGCGGCCCGCAGACTAAACATTCTGGCATAGTGAGAGAGAGGGTACTCGGTCTTGCTGTAAGCACTGACATCAGATGAAAAGCAAGGCTGATTTGTTGTGAATGCCTTGCCAACTACGCCTTGCCCTCTAAGCAGATGGTGCTCAGAGCATGCCTCGTGGAAAGCAAACAGAGAAGAATCGTTCACGAAACAAGCGCCATCCACAGTGGAAACGCAGCCCCTGTAGTTCTGATCAGAATGACGACTGCCACTTTTACCTTGCTGGATGCAGGGAACCCAGGTCTGAGCTAAAGGCAGGCCATGAGTCTGGCAGACCGCTCTCAAGACTGCTGATATCTCTGGCATAGCAGCCACGTAGGATTCAATTTTCATCTGAACCAAAATAACCCTGCCCAATTTTTAGAGAGAGGAATGTACTAAAATAAAAATATAAATATTCATGTCATAAAAAATAACTTCTCCCATCCTCCCTACTTATTTCATGGGCTACTTCACCAGAATAATCACATACCTTTATGCGGGGAACAGTGGGGACTTCAGAGCTTCTCAGATCAACAGCCTACAAAAGCACAGTTAACTTGATGAAACTGCGCTGGCTAAGTTATAGGTTTCCCCAAGCATCTTAAAAGGTATCTGATCTGATCAATAGATCACTCAGAAGGAGCGAATGGAGATATCTCTTACACAACGCAGAAAAAACATATGCATCTCCCCCTCAGTTTTTAATGGTGGGTAGCACCCCCACATCATGAAGCTAAAATGATGAAATATTCAAAAAATATTTCGAATGCGACTCTTTGATGAACATACTTTTTTAATGGATGGGAAGGATCGGTGATATCAGTAACTTAGTGAAACTACATCAAATTAGCTCGACAAGCTTCACTGAATTAATCCAAAGATCTTCTCACTTGAGAGAAAGGATTGTGATCTCGAGACTGATCATCTAGACAAAGCAAGTATTGAAGTGTTGAGTCAGAGTAAAAGATCTCCAGATAATGTAGAAGGGATGAGCAATATTGACGAGGTGGGCCCGATATGAAGAATTTTAATGATTTTCTAAGCGCGGGGGAAGAGGCTCAACAAAAAGGATCACATTAAGATCGCTTTAGAGAATAGCGTGACGTACCATGTAAGCTAGAAAGAATAACTTGAAAGGAAAGACGACATCAATGAAGAAAAACCACACCTGTAGGGCATTGCAGATGCTATCAAGATCAGAGCGGTAATTGATCTTCTCTGTGGTCATCACAACCTCTAGAACGCCTATGCATGGCCGGCTACCACGCTCAAATATGGGAAGTGCAAGCGTGCCGCGCACATCAAAATGTTGAGCATAATTAACCCGAGCATATTCGTGTGAACTAAAGTATCGGACATCTGGAGACCATTCAGGCAGCTTCCCTACAAAAACTCTTCCGGGCAATCCGAGGACCTCATCGGAGTTCTCTTCAGCTGAAAACTGGTAACTTGTTGAGATCGTCCTGTAGTCCAAAAGCCTTTGGCAGTTGGGATTGAGAGAGAATGGTTGCCCATAGGTAGTAAGAATCTGTTGATTTTCTTTCCTGGTAGGAACCCATATCTGAACCAGCACGTCACCATCTCTATGGGCCTCCTTAATCCAACCAACAGCCTGGACTACTCTCTCCTTCAATGAGGACATGGGATCTGGATCTGCGCTTGGCTCAGTACTCAAACTCTTGCTCGTTCCAGTCTCCCCAGGTTCACTTGCTTGGACTGAGTCGTGACCCAAACCCCTAATCCCTGGATTGAGTAGTGTATCTATCATGTTCTCAGCTGGCGTTCCAACTTCAGGTGGATATTGGGAAGAGCCTGGTGCTTCGAGATCGGCGGGGCGAGCATCATCCCCGTGGCCGGGGTAGGAAACCCCCGTCTCTGTCTTAGAGGGGGGAATCAGATACGAAGAGAGAAATGAATTTGGAGAGTAAGGGGAACCCTGTTGCAGCAAGTCTGCGGAGTTTGGAATCCCTAACCAAGCATCTTCCGATAAGAACTCGTCCATCAGATCAAAATCCAGCGACGCATCTGAAATAGTCGGCAAGCGGATGGTATCTTCCATTGCTCGATTTCTTCAGAACTCGATACCAGAAACCGTGAGGGAGGCAATTTCCATGGCTTTCGTGATAGGGACCCTTCTCCAGGAGTACTACAACTAGGCGAGAATAGCATAAAACATAACTCCGTAGATGCCAAAACAAATATATGCGCATTTCAGCATCACAGTAGGGAACTATTGGAGAAGTCCCAGGCAAATTGCCGGGATATAAACTGAAAAAAAAATAAAAATCAATGAAATAGAGTTACAGACTGATCGATTAGTTCATCGCGCCAGGTAATTGAAGGACAAAAAATGACGAGCACTTACGTCGAGTGAACTTTTCCCAGAACGAGCCGCCCTCTCTCGCCTTCGTGCACTCTTCACCAGTCGTCGAAGAGTTCAAGCACCAAACGAGCAGAAGAAGAGGGAAAAAAGGGGGAATCAAGACCACAAGCTCTGCCCTCTCGGCGACGAACGCAGACGACCACAACCTGCTAAACCCCGACGAGTAAAATCACTTCTAAATCCTGCGGGACGTAGCTCCTTCTTGGCGTGGCCCTCCCTATATTTGGCTGTAGGAATGACACCGTGCCTTCTCTCTCACCAGGTTGAGGAAGTAAACAGCGTCCGGAATCTTCTCCCCTCCTCCTCTTCTTCTTCTTCCTCCTCCTCCGGCAACGGCCATCGTCAGCAGATTCATTCAGCGAAGATGCTCTGCCGCCGAAAAGTCAACCGGAGGGGATCGGCGTCTTCTTCTGGCCGAGATTACTCGCATCATTATTAACGTCTCCGCCGCCGGTGAGATGATGCGAGGCCGCCGCCACCGCCGCCCGTTTTACTTCTAAGAAGATGATCTGAAAGAAGTAAAACCAACCCCCCATATTTTACGTAATGTTTTTTTACCCTTATACTTTATTTAATCGTTTTTTGGTGCTTCTAGTTATCTTTGGACTGAAGTAGTCTGGATTTGTCAAAGTGAGAAAAGGATAATTTAGCATTTAAAGTTTTTTTGGGTACTTTTATGTAATATAACAGAAAGATTGGGTGCTGAATATCAAGAATCCCGTTCCGGTAAAAAGTGTGTTAACTGTCGACAGATTCCGTCGGAGCGACGAACGGATCGGTAGCGTGCAGCGGTGGTCTGCCGTAATTAAAATCATTCACTCATATAAATTTGTAATTGCGTATGTAGACAGATGACCGGTCAGCAATAAATCTGAGATTTTTTTTTATCGTCGAGTTCCTATCCGGCCTCCTCCGTTGACGTGGGGGACGTTGATACGCGCCGTACAATGACGATGCGCCGTCTAACGTATCGGGCTGGTGAGATTAGATTTTGCTTCTTTGGTTTTAGTTCCCGGATTAACTAGATTAATTATTGCGAGATACACTTTTTATAATTATATTTTATCCATACCCCCTAAAAAATTAATTATAGCACCTCCACCTCCACCTCCACCTCCATCTCTATAATTTAATATATATTTTTTATTTTTACAAGGACTAATAAACCCTTTGTCTCGGTGGTCCTCTCCCCCTGCATCACGAGGATTTTTCTGTATTTTCGTATATTCAAAGGGAGATATGATATAAAATACATCAACGGGGATTAAAAAATAAACCCCCCCGGTGAGAATTTATTAACGTGAGATTCCGTGATTCCTTGAATCTACAAGGGAAATTGGCTTCCAACAATGTGAGCGAGCTAACGTGTTCAAGGCCCTGTCCGTCAACGTTAGACACGTCATCAATTATTTTATTTCATATTGAAATGAAAAATTTCGGAAAAAAGGTCTTCAGGGAAAAGGGTTGGAATCTTTTATTTAACTCACATTAACTAAAAAAATACAGACGTGACGTGGTCTCAATATTAACAAATAAATTATTTAATTAATTCAGTTTAATTAATTTCCCTCCACGGACCAGGTCGTGGATCATTTTTTAGGTCGGATTTAATGATTCGAGGAAGTCCGGTGAGGATGGCTTGCTATTTGGTCCCTTCTCCCTCACAGGGGGGGCGGGCAGAGAAAGAAGAGCTCCGGATCCATGCGAGAATGGCGTGTAGAGATACCGGCCTCTTCCTCACTGTTCCTCTTTTTTTTTGAGGTACGCGATGATCTTTGATTCCGCATCTTCTGCATTTCGATTTCCTAGGGCATCCGTCTTCCCCACGCAGCTAGTTATCTCAAGAATGATCTGAGAAAAAAATCAGCGAGAGAGAGAGAGTGTGTGCGTGTGCCGATTCGATCCGAGTGATATTATTCTCTTTCTTCGATCCTCTTCTGATGAACAGCGTAAGGATCTTCTGGACGAGTTAGGGTGGAGATTTCTGGTGCATGAAGTTGGAAGCGCTGTTAACTGTTCGTCATTCGTAGGGAGCATCTAGGAACTTATGCAATGGATGCACTAATCTTGATGAATATTTGCACATATATAGTATTATAATTTATATGCGCAGAGATCCACGCGACGGACCAGGGTGGAGACTTTCCGGCGAGAAACAGGAAGCTCTGTCAAGTGTGTGATGTTCTCTACGTATAACAGGTGTAGAGCTTCCAATTTCTTTCCTGGAATGCTCCATCCGGGTGGGATCCGTAGAGTGAATCTTCACTTGTATGAAGTTATATCCCGATAATGACTGAGAGAACACCGAATCACAGAGATCAGGCGCAAAGAGAGAAGTTACACAGATATATAGATCCCCATTGTGATCGTATTGTTGACACTGCGTGGAAGTGGCAGTTTATTACATCGATTCAATAGAGTTTTGACTTGAGAAAGGGAGGGGCTCCCATTATAGCATACGAATAGACATCTCCATGGATCTCGAGGACCGGACACTTCTTCAAAAAATAGGCTTCAACCTCTTCACATGCTGGGCTTCACGTTGAGGCGAGTCGCCAGCTTCTGGCCCAGGGATTTGTCACACTGCAGTTACAGTCACACAACCAGGGATTAGACTGAAACAAGGCAATGCTCATGGTAGAACTTGTCTTATGATTCTATGATGGGATGAATTAGGATATGAGCTGAAGACAAGAAATCTCCTGGGAGTTGCCGATTAGGGGGGCTCTCACCTGTGACCAGTATGAGATCCAGATGCTCCGGATTTCGTGGGTGACCCTTTGGTCGGAGAGCGCCTCGATCCACCTCCGGATGAATCGTTCTTGCCTGAGACAGACACAGAAGAGGATGATCGGCTCAGTTGTTGAGGACGATAATAATCTAGAGGGAAGCCTTGAGGATTGGGATGTGAGCTGGGAAATTACCTGTCAGGCGCCCACGATCGGTACCTCTCTCCGGGCTGCTTGAAGTTGTTCTCCTTCTTGATGACAGTCTGCGGTCAACGGAAATATATGGCATGAGTACCTGGCATATGGTGATGCAGTGCATGCAAGGCGATCGGAGCTCACCTTCTCACGTCTACCAGTAAGAACACGGGAAGGAATCGGGTACTGCTCTGCGTGTCGAACAGGGTCGTACCTCGAAGGGAAGTAGTTGACCTGAGAAAGTGGAGATTCATCCAGTCATTAGTTGCCACAGAGGGACCAAGGCCGCATAAAAGGGTGATCGATATGATTTCATTACCTCCTCGTCCCGATGCATAAAATTCATGAAGCCCTCGTGGTGGTTGTTGTGGTGCGCGGACTTGGGGGCATTGGGCGGGAGCAGCAGGTAGTTCGGCCCAAGGCGGTGCCTCTGAGTGTCAGCGTAGGAGAAGATCCTGGTCTGCAGGAGCTTATCATCTGAGTAGTAAATCCCCGGGACGATGATTGCCGGGCAGAAGGCAAGCTGCTCATTCTCCGCGAAGAAATTGTCGATGTTCTTGTTCAAGACCAGACGGCCCACCGGCTGGAGGGGCAGGATGTCTTCGGGCCAGGTCTTGGTGACGTCAAGTGGGTCAAAGTCAAACCTGTCCTCGTGATCCGGGTCGATTGTCTGAATGTAGAGCTTCCATTCTGGGTAGTTTCCGGCGGCAATGGAGTCGTAGAGGTCCTTGGTGGCGTGGCTGTGGTTGGTGCCTCCAACCACAACTGCTTCGTCTTCCAGCAGGGACTTCACCCCGCAAGTGGGCTTCCAGTGGAACTTCACGTAGTGGGTCTTCCCTGCCTTGTTGACCAGAGTGTAGGTGTTGACCCCGGAGCCGTCCATGTGCCTGTAGTCAGCGGGGATGCCGATGTCGTCGAAGAGGAAAGTGAACATGTGGAGGCTCTCGGGGTGGTGGGAGAAGAAGTCGAGGATCCTCCAGTTCTCCTGGATGTGGGACACCGGGTTGGGCTTCAGAGCGTGGACCATGTCGGGGAACTTCATCCCGTCTCGGATGAAGAACACCGGGAAGTTGTTCCCCACAAGATCGAAATTCCCCTGAAGCGCCACAAAAAAAAAAAGAAAAGGGAACAAGAACAAGAAGAATGTGATGAGGATCAGTCATCGGAAGCTAAGTAACCATTGTTTGACTTGAGATTATCTAATGATTCGACCCATGATTTGGAAAAGTTGACTGAGTGTGGGACAGAGCGAGCTAGAAAAAATACCTCTCTGGTGTAGAACTTGACGGCGAAGCCACGGGGGTCTCTTAGGGTTTCGGGGCTCCCCCTCTCGTGAATGACGGTGGAGAACCGTACGATCACCGGGGTCTGGACACCGGGGCCACGGAGGAAGTCCGCGCAGGTGAGGTGGGTGATGTCGTGGGTGACCTCGAAGAAGCCCTTGGCACTGGCTCCTCTGGCGTGGACGACCCGCTCGGGGATCCGCTCCCTGTCGAACTGCGCTATCTTCTCGATCAGATGGTAATCCTCCAGCAGAATCGGCCCTGCCAGGAAATCCCACAGCTTCCATTACCACCATTCATCATTGCAGTCTCTCATCTCACACTCTAATAATCCCTTCTTTCATCAATCCCTTTTCGACCCAGAATGCAACTACCATCTTCTGGGCCTCCCTCGTCTCATCAACCCCTGATCATGATGCATCAAAGATGAGACGGTCTTCCCTCTGTTTCTCTCTGACCTTAGCATGGTGTATTATACATAGTTTTCTTCAATTTCCTAAAGAGTCTTTTGAACAACTAGAATATGTGTTTTATTTCATGGGGTAGTATATATATAGCCTTCATTCCCAGTCTCTGATCTCACATTGTAATAATCACTTGTTTCATCAAACAGTATTCTGTCTCTCTGTCTCTCTCTGTCTCTCTCTGTCTCTCTCTGTCCCTCTCTGTCTCTCTCTATCTATCTCTCTGTGATCTAAGGATGGTGTGTGTGTATTATATATATAGCCTTCTTGGATTTCCTCAAGAGTCTTTGGAGCATCTAGAACGTGTGTTTATTTCATGGCAATAATCACCTGAACCCCCCTCCCCCCCTCCGTGGTGCTTCTGATTCTTCGAGGAGGAGAACCGTTCTAAACGGGGGAATTATTAGGCGGGGATGGAATCGGAATCACGTATTGCAAACAAGACAGAAAGAAAAACTTGTTCGAGAAAGCAGAGATACGGCGAAAACCACCAGCAAGACCATTTCCGGAGACAAACCCATGGATTTATTGCGTGCATGAAAGATAATCAGGCGTAAAAATAGCAGCAAGGGAGAGGGAGCAGCTGGGTACCCCTCTCTCCGACAGTGAGCGAGTTGTTGTTGTTCCAGACCGGCGCCCCGGAGTTGGTCGTCCAGAAGGGAGAGTTGAAGGCGCTCGAAGGCCGAAACTGTTCCAACCCAACATATCAGACGTCTTATACACAAACGAGAGAGAGAGAGAGAGAGAGAGAGAGAGAGAGAGAGAGAACCTTGTAAGGATCCATGGCGTCGTCTCCACCAATCTCGCTCTCCCTCCTCTGCGAATGCCCGCGAGCGCCTGTGCAGCCCCCCCCCGCCCCCCCCCAGAGCTATATATACATACCCATCATTCTTTCCCGAGTTTCTTCCAGAGCTTGCTTCTCCGCCCTCCAAATATCGGAAAAATCCGTAAATTGCGCACCATTTTAACCTTATCCCGTTACCCCAACCATCTCACGCAAATTATCGTCTGCTGCCAATTTGCCGTCCCCGATTTATCGTGATAAATATCTCCATACCGCGTGCCGGGCACACATGTGAGTCGACATTTTTCGCAGAAAAAATAACCGAGGGGCGGCCTCGGATTTATTTCGTTTATATCTCGGATTTTTCTCACGAGCGGCTCTTCCGTCATGTACGTGCAACCCGCGCGGTGTGAAAACCAAGTGTGAACGGAATCTACGATATGCCAAATGGCTCCATCTAGCGAAGACGCCAAAAAAATCTGCGCCGCTGAGGAATTCTGGCGGCGCACGCACCACAAATAATTAGCTCCAATGCTAAGGCGGCCTAATCGGCCACGTGGCGGAGAATTCTAGGCGCCTCTCTCAGCCACGACAGCGCCCACAAACGACAAGCTCCTTATCTACCGGCCAACCTATTTTCATTGAAAAAAACTTAATAAATTTTCAGGTGTAAATCATTTTTCAAATAAATATACCGAGAATATAACTACAAAATTTTAGCACCCATCGTATGCAAGTTCTTTTTTAAAATGGGCATTTTTGAAAATTGCAAAAAAGGGCCCCTTTTCGACCCAGAATGCAACTACCATCTTCTGGGTCTCCCTCGTCTCATCAATCCCAGATCATGATGCATCAAAGATCAAACGGTCCCCTCCCCCCTCTCTCTCTCTCTCACACACACACACACGCACACATTTTCTGAAAATTGCAACAATCGTCTTCTGTGTCTCCCTCGTGTCAACAATCCCAGGTCATGATGCATCAAAGATCAGACGTCATGATGCATCAAAGAACAGACGTTCCTCTCTCTCTATCTCTCCCTCTCTCTCATTTTCTGAGCTTGCAACAATTCGACCCAGAATGCAATGACCATCTTCTAGGTGTCCCTCGTTTCATCAATCCCAGATCATGATGCATCAAAAGATCAAACGGTCTCTCTCTCTCTCTCTCTCTCTCTCTCTCTCTCTCTCTCTCTCTCTCTCTCATTTTTGAAAATTGCAAGAAAAAAAGGACCCCTTTTTCGACCAAGAATACAATGACCATCTTCTGGGCCTCGCTCGTCTCGTCAACCCACCCCAGATCATGATGCACCAACGATCAGATAATTCTCTCCCTCTCTCTCTCTCTGTCTCTCTCATTTTTGAAAATTGCAATAAAAAGGTCCCCTTTTCGACCCAGAATGCAACGACCATCTTCTGGGTCTCCCTCGTCTCATCAACCCCAGAAGATCATGAGGCACCAAAGATCAGCTAGTCCTCTCTCACCCTCTCTCGTTCCTCTAAAAGAAGCAGGAAGGAAAGCAGGACTGAACCACATGCAAGAACAGCCCACCATTTTGGAGCACCATTTAGGCATCAGGACGACCAGAGAGGATTCCCCCACTGGAAAACAGAGCCCATGAATAGAAATAATTCACAGTGATGCAGACTGCATTAAGAAACTTGTGTATGTACAGAAGATCAGATTCCTCCACAGACAGACGGACAGACAGATAGACAGGCAGACAGACAGACAGACAGACAGACAGACAGACAGATGATAATCTCAAAATAGCGAGCGAAGGTCCCCGTCTCCTTCAACCTCAAGCGTCTAAAATTTTCCACTCCATAGCAAGGGAGACGGCGAAAGAAGCCCCGGCATCGTCTTAAATGGTCACGAGAAAAGGCAAGAGACGGCCTAATTTTACACGCCCTCCTTCCTCCGGCGGCGGGCTGTCATAAAATTAAGGCTATCTTCCCTCATGGCGGCGGCAGCAGTGGCGGCGGGTTTACTGCCCAGGATTCCCTAAAAGGCGCTCCACGGCGGCGTGGACGTTCCCTGCGGTGGCCCTCAGTGCGCGGATATTCTCCTGAGTGTCAAAGAAGCCCATTTCCTGGAGCTGAGACAGCTGCGTCGCATAGAGCTGCTCCGGTGGCACTGCACAGAAGAAGAAGAAGAAGACTTGTCAGTCCTACTGAGGCCCGGAGAAGAAGTCGTAGAGAGAGAAACGGGAACGAAAGGAGGAGATGGAGTTTACTGACCTTCTGGGCCCGCGGGGGCGGTGAAACTGCCGGCGCCGAGACCCCCAAACATGTTCATCAGCAGATCCAGTCCACCGCCGTTGTTCAGCCCGCCTGCAATCACAGACGACCCGAGAAGAGGAGAATTTAATGGCGATGAGGGTGAAGCCAAGGGCAGCTGGCTGCTTCAGCCAGAAATGGCGACGAAAATAAGAAGATACGATGGGGGGCGGTTCAAATATGGTTTCCGTGCCCACAATCCCACGACGAACAGCAAATATCTCATCGGGTTTGTACGATGAAATCTGGATTATTCGTCATCTAAGTTACCTGCGCCGGCTCCCGTCTGGTTTTGTCCCCTGAGACAAAAAACATACATATTCCGCTTAGTAACCTTGGCCGTCAATTCTCTGAGAGATGAATAATCTTTCAGCCCAAAAGAAAAGTAAAACCGCCAAGAAATGGAAATTCTTCAACCATGTCATCTCGATGTACCCATTTAGTTCAATATAAATATAAATAGTTTTAGCGAGAGACAGAGAGAGAGGGAGAGAGAAGGGGGACTTACTGGCCTGGTTGCTGTCTCCCAAGGGACATGAGAGACTGCTGGAGGGTGAGCAGTTGCTGGAACATGGAGGAAATGACACAACGGTCACGCAGGAACCAGGGAGGGGAGTTAGTCAGGCAAGAGAGAGGAGAGAAGAAAAACGCGAGGAGAAAGAAAGAGCTCGAGAGGGGCACCTGCACTGTTTCAGGCGAAGTCAGTTGCCGGAGAAACTCTGGATTCTGCAGCATCTCCCTCAGCTGGGTATTGGACTCGAGCAGGCTGCGCATCTGGGGATTGAGCCCGAGGATCTAACGAGGAAAAGTAAACCAAGTAAGACGAAGCACAGCTAGGCGAGAGTTTTACCCAGCAAGCGGGCCCAACACCCACCTGGTTCAAGTACTGGGGGTTGGAGAGAAGACTCTGCATGATATTCGACATGGCCGGGTTCTGCAAGACCTGGTTCAAGAGCGCCGGGTCCTGCATTCCGTTGACCATCTGCTCCATGTCTGGGAAACCAAGGCCCCCAAGCCCAGGCAGCCTTGTCTCCGCCGCAGGAGGTGGCGCCCTCGCATTGGCTGTCGGCGCCCCACCGGCTGTAGAAACAGAAAGTTGAGAGCAAAAAACAAAGACCGGGGCAATCGATGGCGGATGTGAAATTAGAGTAAGCAACTACCAGGAGCGCCCCACGGATTAGGGAGCGGGTTGGTGTTTGGGGCGGGAGATTCGGTGGTGGTCTCTCCGGCAGCCAATGGGTCAGCTGCTCTGTCTCTGTTCTGGGCGCCGCCAAGGAGGGCGGCGAAGGGGTTCGACCCAGCGGCAGCTCCAGCATCAGCCCCCATTGTGGTCGCGTTCAAGAAGGGTTCTTGGACGGTCTCGTACATGCGGCGGAGCATGTTGAAACCTTCAGGGGAGGACTCGATGTTGCTCATGGCGCGGTCTGTGTTCCGCATCATCTCCCTCATAAGCTCGGGATTCCTCGCGGCCTCCAGCGTCTGCCGGAGGGTGCTGGGGTCGTTCAGAATATGGGCCAGATCCGGGTTCCGGTCGATGATCTCCCGCATCTGGGGATTGGCCATGATCAGGTTCCGCATCAAGTCGGGGTTGTTCATCAGGTTCTGGATGGCGGGCAGGTTCATGATCTCCCTCATCATGTTGGGGTTCTGAGTGAGCTGCTGCTGGACCTGGTCAAATTCCGGGAACCCAGCTCCAAATAGGCCTGATGGGGCATTGCCACCCAGTCCAGCGGGACTGAGGCCCGGGAACAGAGAAGTTCCAAATATGCCCCCTCCGAAGCCCCCACCCTCATTAGGACCGGCATTCCTTCCGGTGCCCTGGGTGTCGGCGGAGGCTCTTGATGCATTGGTATTGGTTCCTGCTGGTGCAGCAGCAGGCGGAGATGATGCAGACCCACGGACTAGGTGAACAGTGTGGTCCGGCTCCAAACCTACAGGGCGACAAGGTAATAAATATGGAGGGAAAAATAAAAACACGAGATTCGAAGTAATATTTTTCATTCGGTGAAAAAGAAGAAAAAGTTCATTATCATGAAGCACGCAAGCAAGCGAGACTAACTTAAATTTAGGATGTCGAGCGTCAGGCCAACTAGGGCAGAATAAGATGGAGAGGAAACATTAAGAAACGAGGAAAATAGAAGGAAAAGAGTAGAAGTAGAAATATTGAATAAATAAGATTCTGAGAGGTATAATTAAACTAGTGGCATAAGAATAAAATAAACTAATTAAAAAAGGACAATAAAGTTCAAGAAGCACTAGAGAGTGTTTGGATTGTTAACCTTGACCTTACTTGACGAGTTATTATTTGTCAATTACAAATGTTGATTTCTAACACGGAACAAAACAAAAAAGACGAGAGCGGAGAGGAAGGAAGAAGAGATCTTCGCCTTAATTCTAAACGGTAGGTTGAACCAATGTGACATTCCAAAGTCAACTTCCAAAGTCAACTTTTCGGCAAACGGATCGAATACTTATCTTCAAGTTCTTGCAGAACACTAATCCCTCTCTAATTCCATTTTCTTTTAAAAAAATCACTTAAATCTTCAAAATGGAATGCGTTCATCAGTAGAAATTTTCCTCGTGTTCTCGTCAGTGCAGTGTCTTTGGGACAGCAACCAACTTTGTCAAAGTCACACGATTTTGACCCGTTATCTAAGTCAGGATTGTCGGACTAGTTAGTGAAAGAGAATCTCTTGTTTCCAGAGGGGTCTTATGCATAGACCTGAGCTGAGTTCAAGCCGAGGTTTCTGGGCACTTATCATGTAAGTAAATTTTGGTTAAAAATGATCTCTTTGAAGTTTCAATTCAACACTGAATCGGTCTTGACACAGAAATTAAGATGCGATTCTGTCAGGATCAAGGTTAAAGCAGGATTTCTCACATGGGAGAGTCTTCAGGGCAAAGTTCCAGGAATCCATCCATGCAAGATAGTGACACCATGGGAAGTTCAACAAAGACAGGTAGGACACTGAAGGACTAGAATCCAAACGGGATCACCAAGGATCCCACGTTGTTTGATAAGGACGGTACTGGAATCATAATCTCGGTAGCGATATCCAAAAATGAGCAAGGCAGAGTCTTCCAGTTGTATTAGTGGGCCTCAGGTGCTAAGCCAATCATCATAAAAGTAGCGCACATTACACAATACAAAATTTCCTCAATCACTCATAATTTTAGCATTCTCAAAGCGATCAATCAGATACGAATTAATGAACCCTAATTTGTTTGCATTTTATACTAAAATAAATCCATGTACGACAGTAAGAAAGTAACCGACAAATCGGATCCGAACTCTCCAGCTTGGCAAATTGATACATTGTCGACTCAATATGTAATTACTCTCAGTGCAAAATGCAGCCACTCTCTACTTGAATACTTGCATCTGAAGTCCTGAGATTCTAGTAAGATGAAGATACAAATCAGGATATGAAGGGCCCACATCTAAAAGATGAGTTATCATGACCCCTAATGTCAACTCCCAGGTTTAAAAAGAAAATACAAATGTATCGAGCATTTCCAACCCCAGGAAAAATGTGAAGGGGAAAAAAAGAAGTTAGTACGTAAAGAAAATAGTTTTTCCCTTCACAATCAGGGAATGCTAGTCCAGGATCATCATAGGTGAACGAAGAATCTTCTCCAATAGGTTAGTGGGACATGTCCCCTTGCACTAAAGAAAATTTGGTAAAAAATCCCAAAATTTAAAAGTAAAGTGCCACAGCTTTACCTATATCAATTATGATATCTTAAAAGTTTATTTGGCACGTTTAAATGACAAATAACAGTAAAATGCTTGTCAAACGCAGCATTCACAGAAACTTCAACTAAATGCAATTAGAAAACCCTATCAAGGTTGAGAAATCGCAACCCCACAATGTCCTAATCCATGGGTGAAAATTGGCTTTGCTTCCAAAAAAATTCTCAAGATCCAGACCACTCAAGTGGAACATATAGCCCATTTACAGATTAATGGATAGTGTTTTACACCTGTATGTGAAACTGATATCCGACCTATAAAAGCACAAGTAAGAACTAATCGAAATAAAATCAATGAAACTAATGTCTAAACGTAAATACAAATTGGCCTTTACTTCAAAACCATGGATAAGTAGGCAGAGAGATAAATATCAGCTTGAAAATAAGAACTACATACAGAGACTGATAAACCAACGGAAGGCAACACTGGTACACATGTTAATCTAAAGGAGTAAATAACCAACGGAAGGCAACACTGGTACACATGTTAATCTAAAGGAGTAAATAACCAACGGAAGGCAACACTGGTACACATGTTAATCTAAAGGAGTAAATAAATACAGTCTGCAATCGAAATAAAACAGTCTGCGAGTGGGGACGAAAATTACTACGAAAAATTAATCAGCACTGTCCTCAAATCTGAGTGCACTAGAAAATGAAGATGACAGCATGCATGAGAAACTTATATCACACACGATGAAGCGACATAGTGTAAGGCAGTGCACTAACAACTCGTGGACGAGAAAACTGAAACATACAGGGTTTCTAAGGCTTTCCGTTTTCAGAGTGGGAGCTGCCACCAACTTTACAAGTAGACGACACTTTATCAATATCCAGCATAACTCTCAGACAGAAAATATGATGTCAACGTTCTACCGTTGTTACAATTTCACAATACTGTCTCCACCACTACTGAGCAAATGATGTGGAACAAATAGACTTCTGCTAACAAAAATCCTCCATCCTTGTTTGGAAATAATTTCGATCCAGAACGTTTCTACACAAAGAAATCGTTTGGAAATGATACTAGTTCCGCATCCACCAATAACTAGGGAAGGAGTTGGAGAGAACAAAGAAGTACTAATCGGAAAATACCATGCAAAGATTTCCACAAAACAAGAGAAATTCTGCGATATGAATCCTTGTTAAAATTGTGCTTATGGATTTCCCCGGTGTCCAAAAAGTAGGATATTCCAATGGGCTCTTTCAATCTGGTGCTTGAATATCAGCACTTGTCTTTTGGCAGATCAGGAATGAAAACAGTCACGGGCTGGGCTTACTTTGAACTTCCTTATTTTGGATTCAGCAAATGTCATTGTCTAAAAACTGAAGGGAAGGAATGACAAGTATAAAACCACCTGGCTCACATTTCAATATGGAACTATCACAACTATAACAAGAAATAGATCGAATTTTGGAATGCACACAGTGTCCAATCAATAAAGGAAGGCATGAATCATTAATCTGAGCATGGCACTTGAAAGCGAAAATGAGCACTTTTTTCTGTAAAAATAATCAATGCAATGATGTGATACTGAAACTTTTGGACTGACGAAAAAGGAAGACAGAATCATGTTGGACCACTTGATCAGAGCTAGCCAATACCAACATAGATCAGCAGATGTACTGTTGTAGAACATCTTTCAGATTCTTCTGATTTGTAATCTTTTTATTTTTTACAGTCCAACTTTCCTCCCAAAATAGCCTCTTTTTTTTCTTCGGAGTGAATTGGATTATTGGACTAAAATAACCATTCAGATTTCTTACTTGAAAGCGCACAAATCAGACAGTGCAAGATTAGGAATCTGCGATTATTCTTCAATGAAGCCACAGTCCTTGACAATAGTCAAGATTTTCCTATGTTTGGAAACCTATGGAGCAAGATTATCAAATCAGCCAGTGTAATATCCAGATCGAGTCAAAAATGTGCCCGGGTTAAGACTTCTATAGATGGTTCTCTTGTTTCATTTAAATAACTAAGGGAGGCTAAGGCAGAACTGAACTATCAATTAAAACATATTGATATCAATCAAACCTAAACCTCCTGAATATTAGAAGAGAGCCCTGTTCAGGGGTCCAGTGAGGTTTCTAAATAGATCGCATTAGAGTCGTAGAATTCACTGTGCACTCAGTGATTAAAATTTGCAATCTATTGGAATGCAGATCATGTGCTCGAAAAGCCAATTAGTACTCTGGAAACAAATTGGGGATACTGATCGCATACTAAAGGATAAAAACGTATCTCAAGTACCATTTTGTTCTTCGTGCATCCTTCTAACTGTTTCCTTACAATAACCATCTCTTCTTTGAAGTAACAAGGAAATCCTCAGGAGGAGGTCAATTTTTAAACACATTCCCAGTCTACTGCTTTAAGATTTAACAGATTTTACTCATCCCAGTTATTCCATAATTCATTAATAACTTAACTGCTTTTGACCTGCCTTCATGTGGGACATCCCATTGGACGATGAAATTCTGCAGAAAGGTGCAGGGGATTCTAGCAATAGGCACATCAGAAATATGCGCCAGAACACTAAGATAAATCTCAACAACTTCCAAATCGAACTTACACTTAAGATGAATCTCTCTGGTTTTGAAAAAAACTTCTTGAAGTCAGAAAATTCCAAAAAAACTGTCAATAGGAAACGACGGCATCAATGTGAGCAATTCGAACTAGAAGTATATCACATGCAGAGTCTACAGAAAGGAATCAAAGCCTAGATTGTGCGGCAATATTACCATCGAGATTAAATCAGATCAGATTAGATCAACTGGCCAACTAATCCCAGGGAAAATGGCTGATACAGGTAAAAAACAGGAAATTATGATTATTTTCACGAATATGCTTATGAACAAAACGAAATGGGTACAAAAAGCTTTCTTTCTTTCATGTGGCATTTAGAAAAAAAAAAATCAGCATCTTCAAGTACTCTTCCACTGTCCCGATCTTTGCTCCATTCTTGAGGAAACCAGGACAGAAAGTGAGCATGATGGGTGGCTACAGAGCCTCGACAAGCAGTAGTAGGCAACAATGGGCAGTAGAGCGATGGCATATTTTCTTCCATGTTTTCAAATGTTTCTTCCTTTCACAATCACTACCCTTCCTGGGCCAGTAATTCTTAGAAAAGTTTAAAGTTTTCCTTTGGGCACTATGTCTCTTCATCATTCCATGATCTTCCTTTGGTTGGAAGAAGGATGGCCATAAAAAACCCCGCGTGACCCTGAATTAGTTGATCGAATGTGATTAACAGATTTAAATTTTTTTTATCTTCACCAAATAATCCCTTATGTAGATGGCTACCCTCCCCTCCCCTCCCAAAAAAGGTAAACTGACCAAAAGTGATAGGTAGTTAACAGCAGTGAGAAAATACAAGGCACCTCAATCTGATAAAGGTATACATCAGGCCTCAGTACCAGACAACTACCAAGTGGCACAGGATATAATCTGCTATCAAGGATCTAAAAGAATATCACAAAGTAAACTAGACAGCTTGCAACATAGCATTAACCTCAAGTATGTTTTCATCACATTTCTGAGAGAAACTAATGAATGGCACGTTTTCTGAATCTTGCTCTATCAATTTGAAGAGGCAAGGGCAACCTCTGATTTCTAGTTGCTGGTTTCTGCCAGACTAATCAAAACAAGTTCCAGTTGTAATCTTAACAAAATAGAATATCATCAAAGTCAACATTCTATAACCGACGGTGTAAATATCACATATCTATATCAATCAAACAGATAACTCAGTAGAGCCTGGAGGAGATGTTGGAATGGTCATTTCAATGATGTATCCACAAATATAAAAAATGTAACACTTCACAATTCGTCGGAACCACCATGAAATACTCAAAAGTTGATTGATAAAAAGCCGTATAGTACCAGCTTAGATCATCATATATGATCTCAACCCAATCAGATGTCCGGGATTTTCAGATAAGAGGAAGCAGATAAGGTGATCAAAAGATTAAATTTCAGCTACACACAAAAAATATCAGGATTCCTTTTCCAAGAAAGGAAAGTAACATGGGGGGGCATATTTTTAAGTCCAACCAAAATAGACTGGTAAATATGCACCAATAAACAGAATGAAAAAAAGAAGCAATTATCGATTCGAGTATCAACATGCATAACAGGCATAGTCCTATGATATCACAGTCCCCATCAAAACAAAACAACAACAAAACAAATGCTCCAAAAACTACAAGCTTTAATGTGCACGAGGAATTCGCTGGATATCTTCTAGTCATCTGTTATCAATATTCCATCTGAAAAAATTGCAGTGTCGTCGTGGAAAGATTCTACCAAAAACGAAATATCGGATATAAATCATGACCAGGACGCGATGACAGCATAATTGACCCAAAGCGGTTGACCGACATTGAATATCTCAACGGATCGTGCTTCATTAAAAGATTGAAAGGAAACAATACCGTAGCTCTCTAGGGTTTGCTCGTCCTTCAAGATCCGACCCTTGTAGATTAGGCGCTGCTGCTCGGCAGGCACGTCCGACTTTTCTGCAACGATGGCCTTGAAGGATCTCACGGTGGAATCTAGAGACACCAGGACGGAGAACTTGGACCCATTGGAGCAGCGGACGTGGACCGTAACCGGACCGCCGCCGCCCCCAGCGCCGACGACGGAGTCGCCCGCCTCGCTGGAAGCGCCGTCGGCACCCATGGAAGGCGCGAGCGTCTGCTGATCCTCGGACGCTAACCTTGGGGTGAACAGACCTCGATCTAAAATTCCGAGGTTGGGTGTGGGGGGAGGTGGCCGGGAGAATTCTGCAGAGAAGGGTTGATGGGCTTTCTGGGAATAAAGCGGAGCGCGTGGGTAATGAAATGTGCTTTTGCTTGCGGGTCGGGGCGACGGACCGAATGAATACCTCGAGGAGCCTGAGGGAGACCGGTGACGAAGATGAGGGGCTCGGATTAGAGGATGTCGCCGAGGACCCTCCAAGCAAGAAAAACACGCATTTTAAAGCCCGTCCCTTTCAGCCTTTCTCCTCTCCGGGCTCCAACTACCGACTCGGGCCTCCAAAGATCGTAAATTCCCCAAACCCTAGAGAGAGGAAACAGCCGAAACCTTTAATGACTGGAGGTTGTCATCGGGCGGGGCCCAAGGCCCTAGGCTCTGGGCTCCTGGGCCCGAGATGCAGCTGGGTCAAACACCAACCGAGCCTAGTGGGAGTCAGATTCTGAGATTCAGATCCCTAGGAAACCAGTTCCAAGAGTGCACCCTCTTGACCCACTACCCCTATTGGACCCTTTTCATAGCACGAGAATGATTCCTATGTTGTGCTTTTCAGTATTTACATTATATTATTCCTAGACAATTTCTTAAAAATAAATCAGTTCATCATTTAAACTCTGAGTCTTTCAGATTGTCTGTTAACTTTTTGACGAGTATTATAATTTCTGTTGACTTTGGTTGAATGCGATTGATTGCAAGTATCATTCTAGAAAAATGCATGCAAACATTACATAAATGAAACGTAAGTTCAACTATCACATTATCTTCATGCTATTTAAATAATAAAATGGGTTTTTGGTCATAACTAAGGCTTCCACTTTGAGGAGAAAAAAAGAAGGCATCAACTTATTTTAGCGCCCAGTGAGTGGAAGATGAGGAGGGAGGCGAGGTGAGGCAACAGAAGCCATCAACATGGTAGTTGAGGGTGTTAGGTGAGGCTTTAGACCCAACCAGAGATGACACTTGTCGAGTGACGTGGAAGACAGGGGGCGTCCACGTGGCAATTAGATGAGTTGACAATCTAATCAAGGGTCCATTATTTAAAATTGTGAATAATAAATATCAATTTTCTGCATAAAAAGTCTCTTAACCCCCCAAATTTTAGTAAATATTTCCTGTTAATTATACTTGTCCCCAACTCCCCCACACCCAGAAATCGGATCCTAATCGAATCTAACACCCCGCACAAACAGGTCCGATATCAGAGCCGCCCAGTCGGATTACCAGAGCAGCAGTCTTACCAACATTCAAATACACCACCGAGGAAGAAGTCTAAAAGACGCCAAGCAGCAGCGAAAAGAAGCCTCCACGCGTTGACCGTGTTCTCCCTGAGCCTTTCCATCGAGAGATCCAGAGGAGAGTCGGTTACCGCCTCACAGGAGGAGCCACGCCCCTGCCGGGTGGAGCACCTCGGCCGGCAGCCTGCAAGAAGCACGCCAGAATGCTCTATCAAAACCGTTGACCAGAATGAAACAATAGAACAGGGGGGCACCATGAAGGTTCACAATCGGTCGCATTCGATGGGTGGGTCATTCCAAAACAGCAATCACATTGGTCAAACCATATTTCCTTCCGAGGGTCATTCTTTTTTGGGCATTTTGAGCTTCCAAGAACAGGTTTTTTCTGTCACCGCCTGATTTCATGAGGAGACGAGAGGTGAATCATGGACTAGGAAGTAGGATCGAGCTCTTGGCTATGGAAAGAAAAGATATTTCCTTTTAAAAAAAACAAAAAGAAAAAAAGAATTTTCTTGTGGATGACGAAGAACATTCTCTTGAACCTTCCGCACAAGATTCTCCTAGTCTCCGCAGTTCCTCGTTCCTAAGACAGGAGGGAGGTCAACTGATGGGGAATATCCCAAGTCAGAGGCCACAAATCATACCACCTCTCGACAGACCAAACCTCAAAACCATGACCCCCCCACTAACCAAGCTTCTGGCATTGCCGTGCATGCCAATAATGGGTCACCCGGATGATTAAATCCCCTGTTCACTGACATTAAACCCTTGAAGACGCTGGCCCAATTTTCTTCATAGCCTCTCCTCTCGGGTGGCAGTTGCCAAAGCTTACTGGGGATTTTCGCTAGAATAGATCCGGATGGAGTCAAATGCAATGCATTTGATGAAGTGATTTCAAGTTGAACACGTAACAAAAAAATTTAATCAGACAGTAAAATTCCTACATGTTGACCCACATAGCAGGTTAGCTTCCATTTAGGAGGAGATGAACATCATTTGAGCAAAGAGCAGGGGCCTCTAATTTAATTCGATGAGGGGGTCCTAAGTCCCCACTTGAAATAGAAAGAAAAATGGAACAAAAAGAGAACCGCCCAAAAAATCAGCTTGATTGGTCTTATAGAACCCATGCCTGCCCGCTAGCAGGTTGTGACGTAAGAAAACCTAGAAAGATAATAAAATAATAATAATAATAATAATAATATATATATCACCTGCCACTGCCTATGCACCAAGGTTCTTGTGGGTCGGGAGTTCGTGTGCGGGTGGGGGTTCTGTTAAGTAGTGTCTTGTTAAGAAGCCAAGTTCCGAATTCTATTCTAACTATGACCTTTAGTTAAGGTTATTTGTCTGACATTATTCATAAAGTGAAAAGACTATGTCAATTTTCCATTTTTTAATTGAATCAAGAAATTTAACATTGATTCACTTGAATTGACTGTTCTGACACAGAGCTAGATCAGATAGGCCCAGACTATCCGTAACCCAACCCAAGTTGACAATAGATCAGCAATAGAAAATACTGGCCTCTAATACTCGTGTCTATGTTTTTTCTAAAAAAAAAACTCTCCTGCTTTTATGACAATATATACAATTATCCAGAGTAAATCTCAAACTTAGAACTTAAAAGTTTCAGTATCATCAAATGGGCCCGATACTTATCTGTCTATTGGAAGATTCCATGAGACTTTCACCTAAAAAAACTAAAACCAGAAAAAATTGATCTAAATCATAATCCATGGCACATATTCATCATCTAAATCAAGAGCATCTGAAATGAGAAAATCAATATGCCTCTTCGAAAGTACCAACCCTCTCTTTAATAATGTGTCCTCACAGAATGGGCTCCTGTACCACGGAAAAGTTTTCCTGGATGTTTCTCTCTTTAATAAAACGCAATATGTTACCTGCACACCACTCTGATGATCATCAACTCCAAACTATACCCAGAATCCTCATGATAATCTAATACGCTCTAAAGCAAGCTAACCAGTGCAACCTGTGAACTCTCAGAGACTACCTTCTTTGGGATCGGTACCATAAATGCCTTGTTTCTACTTGTTTAGTGAAAGCATATCCACTTATAATTCAAATATAGCAGCAAAAGGCCATCTTTGATGACCTTTCAAAGTAATCTTAGAACGTTAGGAGACGACCATCTAGGTATTGATAAATCCGCCAACCTTCTTGTTGCCTTCCATCACCTACATCTCTCAAAAGATTTCTACTTTAAGTACTGTTGTTCCTTTGCCAGAAGGCTTGCCGCTCATAGACATCAATTTGACCAGTATGTGTTTCGCTTATCACTTGTATTTCCAAAGTTTCTACGCCCTCTTTGCTCCACCAGCCTGTCTTTGACCTTCTTCCCTGAAAATCCCCTAGCTGCTTCCCAGTGAACCAAAAGCTGATGCATCTTTTCAATTCTGAGCTCCTCTACAAATTATTGCTCAGTTGTAAGGAACACGGCTCAGAAGGGTCTTAGCAAGGGTGGATGATATGCGACTATAAAGACACTTGATACAATCTTAGTAACGAAAATCTACAGCTGAGCTAATTAGCATATAGCAGAAATGGCTACAGAACCATTAACATCATGAAATCCTAGATGATTTGTTGACTCAGGTAAAAGACAGTTATGACACAAAAAATTCGATTGGAATTGGTAATGGGTGACATCCTGGTAGATTTGCGGGAAAAGTAACCCATTCACCCAAGAACTATGATGAAATTTACGATAAGTAAACAATCACACTTATAACTAAAAGAACGAAAAATTTACCCTGGCACGCATTGCAACTGCACGCCCACGACCAACTCCAAGAGATGAAGACTTGCCCTAAAGTAAAAAGCAAAGAGACAAATGAAATCAAATGATACATTATTCTAAAACGTAAAAGCTTAACACTTGTTAGATAACTGCATGCCTTAATTCTTGCATCCAATTTCTTGAACATTGGAGCATTCTTCAGCATATCCGGTATCACCATGAATCTGAATGGAAACATTTCATAGGCATCTTATAATAAGAAAATAAATTGAGAATTTCCTAAAGACAATTACCTTAGAAATACACAACCAGGGGAAAATATTAGTTTACCTTACTTTACTCCCTCGGATAAACACGTGCTCAAGTTGTGACACCTTCCCATCCTGCAGAAAGAATAGCACACGCTTTACGAATTAAGTACAAGTGAACTATAAAGTTTTTAAAAGTTCAGAAAGTAAATGAGAAAAATATGTAAAGGCTCAGACTCGATACCAGAAATTTTACTGTGCAAAGAATTAAATATTTGTATAGAAGTGAAGTTTTTTCATACAAAAAATTGGCCAAAAATTTTCCGGCAGTACAGATTCTAAGAAAACTCCCCCCCGTAGATGGAAAGGTGAAAACCATAGATGATTTCAGGAAGTAAGGATGTTGAAGCACATAGCTGAAAGCCAAAGATGAGTCAAACTCAAAATGGGGCAAGAAATGACGTTCTGGGGAACATATGGTGAACCACTCATTCCACGGCATAATAAATCGGCGTCTCAAGGCTTGTAAAGAGTAGGACCTTAGTAACCGCTTCATCTGTAGGGATCTACTCTAAATTTAATCACTTAATCCCCAAAATACAGAAGAAGGGAAAACACAACAAAGAACGAAACTAAAACACAGTGGTACCAGTAATGCCATTCTTTCTCAGCGGGCAGAGAACCGTATCGTAACAGGAGGAGACCTGACTTTCTCTTAATTTGTATTTTGACACGAGCAACTCGGTTTCTTTTCCCAGATCGAACCACGGAGGACACCAGCCATATGAATTTGGGCACTCTGTGGGAAGAGAGAACCCAGAGCCTAAACCCTAGAGGAGGAATACGAAACACCCTAAACCCTAGAAGAGGGATGACAGGATGCCGGGAAGAAAATACCCGAAGAGAGACGCTCTTTCTCGTCCAATCTACAATGGTACGAAAGCATACCTTGGCCGTGTACGTAATACTCTCGAGCTGGCAGTTCCAGTTGTCCTCGCACTCCAGCATGCTGCCCCTGTAGAGCTCCCCGCTCTTCAGCTCCACCGTCACAATGTGCCCCGCCGCCTCGTGCAGCAGCTTCACCGGAATTCCCAGGCTCCTGCTCATGATGACAAGCCCGAATCCTCTTCACCCGATCTCTACGTCCCCGTGCTCTCTCAACGCCTCTGCGCGCTCGTGAATACCCCCCACTAAACAGCTCGAGAACGAAAAACCGTTCTACCTCTGGCTTTTCAACTGAATTAGTGCACGCTTTCTATAAATATATATTTAAAAAATCGCGATATTTATTACGACGAATACCCCAGGGTATAAAAACTTATGGAAACAATATTTTCTTTGCTTTAACTAAATAAAGTATCCAATTAAAGTACTCCGATTCCACGAAGATTCTCGAGCGCTTATTAGCTAGTCTCGGTGGAAGTCAGCTGCGTTTGTAGACGGTTGACTTTGAACTCAAATTTCTTCGGGAGGATTAAGTGACACGTGTTTCTTAATACATGGTGGCTTGACTTCTACATTCTCTCATACTCGGATATTTTCTCATTTTTTTATACATTATTATAAATCAGTAAATAATACGGTAACCTTTAAAGTTATTAAATAAATATTATTAACAAGTCGTTGTGTTGATTTTGAGGATTAAAAAAATTGGATGTGATGGCTCTATATATATTTTATTTCTCACCATTTTAGGCATTTAATTACTAATTAGTAATGGCCAGATGATCATACCTAGAGTTCTCTTAGGTGGCCCCTATTTATCACATTTATTTCTTATTTGCTCGTCCTCATATATTTACACATATTTTGTGAACTATCATTGCAACTCATTAAATAAAAGATCAAACAAGAACTTTGATAAGGAGAATTCTAAATTTTCATAGCCAATGAAATCAAAGTGTTGATCTAACTTAGATAAATAGTAAAACCCTATCAATATTGTTTTTAGATAGCTTAAAATTCTCATGATCACCAACTATTGGTTGCTCCCTTCTATATTTGTGGCACCATCATATAATCAAATGACTTCAAATGATTGTTCGAATGTCCTTTTGCCACGTCAACCTCTCTCTATGCCCCACCGCTTGCAACACTAATTTTGAAGGTTTTGAATTGCACACACAGATTATCTGCCATCTTTATTTTCCTCCCCCACTTAGGAACTTTTGATTGCTCTCATTGTGTCACTACTTGTGATTCAATATGTCTTCTTGTGATTGCCACTAAGAGACCTTAGAAATAACTATTTTTTGCTCATGTGGTATATTATAGCCTCATGATAAATTGATTTTTGATCTACTTAAAGAATGAGTATCCTGTTTCAAGAGATTTTCTTAAATTATTTGATAAAATCTTCTTCCATTCACTGGTGTTTTCTGTCAATAGACACAAAACCTCCTATCTTCACGCCTCAACCTCCTTCACTCCTTGTAATTTAAGAAGAAACAAGAGCAAACACAAATAGAACATAAGAGGACAAAATAACACTAATTCAATTCAAGAGCTTAGGGATTACATAGGGTTAGTACTTGTATCGACCAATTAGTGAAAGATAGAGAGGAAAAATTGTTCTAGTTCAATTTGGACCAATTCAATTTATAGTAATAATATGAAAGAAAAGAAATATAGTGAAAGAACACAATATCAAAGAAAACATAGTAGACAAATTAAGAAAACAATGATCATTTCTAACACTTTCCCTCAACCTGGAGAATGTATGTCATCAATTCCTAACTTAGAAGTGAGATGACATAATATTTACTTTGTAATCCTTTATGTAATATATCTACAATATGGTCAGTCATATACACATGATTTGTAGATCAACTCATTCTCTAAAATTTCTTTAGAAAATGATTGTCAATCTCAATGTGCTTGATTCTATTATGTTAAATTAGATTATGTACTATATCAATGGTTGACTTGTTGTCACAATGAAGCTTCTTTGGTTCATCTCTTTTTATTTTCAAATCTTCTAATATGATGATGTTCACTCATAATACTTTACATGTACCTTGTGTCATAGCACCAAATTCAACATATACCTTGCAACTCTGCTTTGCTTCTTACTTCTTTATAGAATGAGATTCCCTTCAAAGAAAGTATAATATCTAGAGGTCAATCTTCGATTCATAATTGACCCTACATAATCTACATCTATGTAAACTTCAAGTATTAAACAATCATTTCTTTTGAATACAATTTTCTTTCTAGGCATTCTTTTAAGATACTATAAAACACAATGAATTACATATAAATAAATTTGCCTTAGACTATACATAAATTGATTGATCATGCTAATTGCAAATGTTATATATGAGCATGTATGTGAATGGTAAGTTAACTTACCAATCAATTGTTGATACACTTCCTTATTAATTAAAGCATCTTCCTCAATTGTACCAAGTTTCAAGTTTGGACCAATAAGAGATATATCTAGTTTGCATGTTGTTTTATCAATTTCTAGCATCAAATCAAATAGATATTTCTATTGATAAATAAAAATATTATTCTAAAATTGTGTAACTTTAATTCTTATAAAATATTTTAATCTTCTCAATAACTTTATTTCAAACTCCTTGAACAAGTTTTGAATAAGATATTCATTTTCAAAATCATCATTTACATTAACAATGATATCATCAATTTACCGTATGAGTATTGTAACTCCCCCTGAAGGAGAGTGTTTGATTAATAAGGTATGATCACCTTGACTTTATTTATATCCCATTGTAATCATAGTTTTCATACATCTACCAAATCAAGCTCATTGAAATTGTTTGAGTTCATAGAGATTTTTTTTCAAACACACCATGTCAGCTACCAAACTCTTCTCATAACTTAGTGGCAATTCCATATAAACTTCTACAAGATATCAATGGAGGAAAGTACTTTTTACATCAAATTGTTAGAGATCCCATCCAAGGTTAATTGCAAGTTCCAATAATATCATGATTGTATTTATTTTCTTCATTGAAGCAAATATTTCAAAGTAATCCTTGTCATAATTATGTGTATACCATTTAGCTACTAGTCAAGCCTTGTACATTTCAATAGAGCCATCAGCTTGGTACTTAATGATATAAACCCATCTACATCCTACAACCTTCTTTCTTGATGAAGGTCTCGTCAATTTTCACATTTCATTATTTTTTAAAGTCTTAATTTCCTCATTCATAGTTGTTTCCACTTTTCATTAGTTAAGGCCTCAAAAATTGTATATAGAATGATGGAAGTATGTAAATGAGACAAAGACTTTATGAGATGGTAACAATCTATTATAAGATAAGAAGAGAGCCATAAGATATAAAAGTTTTATTGTGCAGGTAGTAACTCTTTTTTTAAGGGCTATGGGTAAATCTTCATCATCAAAGGGCACTTCATTTGACTCTTCTAGAGGATTATTGGACATGCTCAAGTTTTGAAATTTTCACCTTTTTCCTTAAATATACATGACCAAATCTTCATTTTTCAAGTTCTATATCTAAAATAGGTTCAATAATGGGTTGTGTTAGGTTCTAATGAAAAGTGTGAGAAAGATTTATAAATTATAATTAAAAACCTACTTTCTTGCTCCTCAATAATCTACAAAGGTACACTTTAGAGCCCTACGAGACTCTAAAAGTTATAAACCAAAATTTAGCTCCATATTGTTCATGACCATGGACAAAGGCTATAGACCCAAATAGTTTTAGTAAGAGGTTTGTTTTTAATGAGACATTAAGATAAAAAAAGATAACATATCTATGGAACCTTTTAAATTTAGGAATTTAGATGGTAGATGATTTATGAGGTAATCAGTCATAAGAACCCCTTAACCCCAAAAAGTTATGGGTACTTTATTTTGGATGATAAGTGATCTTGTCATCCCTAATAGGTGGCCATTTTTTACATTCAGCCACCCCATTTGTTGGGGTGCAAACTTACAAGAGACTTGTGTAGAATTCACTCCTCAAAAAAGGAAGTTAACGTTTAATTAAAATAGTCTCTAGTATTATCATATCATATTTTTTATAGTTTTATCAAATTAATTTTTAAATAGAGTACATAATTGTATTAAAGCTATGCAGACATCAGATTGATTCTTAAGTAAATAAACTTGTCATCTTTGTACATTCATCGATAAAAGTGATGAACCACATAACCCCAATTGTGCTAGTTAGGGGTACATGTTCTCATATATTGCTCTGAATGCAGAAAAAATGAATTGAACATTTCATATTACTTTTAAAAAATTTGAAATCCTAATATCAAAAGGTAGAACAAAAGGGAGGTGATTAAGCCCACTTTTCCGTTGTGCAGCAAAGAGAAATGATTGGGCATATCAATTATAGAAAATTATAGAGGAACCCCCACATGCCTAAGAACTATAAGCCTCATGCTCACTTTCTTATGCAAATAACTTTCCAAGTTTTAATGATTTACTTTAGATTACTAATTCAAGTGCTACTATATACATCTTCTATGCTTCTTATTTATTTACTATATTTTCATCTTGCTCATATGATAGAAAAACCACTACAATTATTAACACTTTAATTAAGATGGTATAGTGACCTCCACCTCTCACCCTTTATTATCCTTAAAAGTATTTTTTATGTACCTATGTTGACTAACAACCTTATTTTAGTAAGTAAATTCACAAGAAATTTAGTAAATACCTCGTTTGATCCTAACACCTATCTATTTTTTGACAAGCTATTTGAGAGAGTAATTAGATGTACTAGATGACCTTAAATTTTCCAACCAAACAAATGTAACAATAAGAACAAGTCATCCTCCTACGAATCCTTACAAGTCAAATGTAGAGAAAATCTAGCTCTAACATCAAAAATTGGGATATCCTTATTTTGTAATCTTGAAAACATTGTTTCCCTTTTTGTTTCACAACTTGAATGTATCTAAATATAAGAATGAAGTATGTAAACCTATAAAATATCAAAGGCATTCCGCACACTAATGCCTCTCTCTCTCACACACACTCATCTCCACTAGTTGCTAGTACACAGAGGCATGTTTCTAGTGACTTATTCAAAACAATAACATGCTGCTCTTCATGAAGTTTATGTGTAATTAAATTAGGGAATTTGATTTATACAACATTC